GGTCTCCGAATATAGGTTCCTCTAGGACGGATACTACTGGTTTCCCGTCGATTCCGGTATCGTCTGTTCCATAGAACCAGACTTCTTGATCGTCCTCATTCTTTTCGTACTGTGGTCGGTACTCAGGGTAGTCCTTTTTGGTGGGCCAAGCCCTTTTGACCATCGGGTCGTCGCTGAAGTCGACATTCGCTTGCGCAGCTATTGGTTCGTCCGGGTCGTAATGAGTTGGGCTTTGGTTGGCCTCGTAGAGCTGTGCTTCCCTTTCACGGAAGACTTCTCGTCCAGGGTCCGATTCGTCAGAGGATTCTTCTTCTTCTGAGAATGGTGTGAATGTAATCGTCCTGGTTTTCTTCTCAATATCCTTGTAGGATGTCGATTGCGTAGAGGTTTGGCTTGATCTTCTGAGATCCATGAGTTGCTTGGCAGCCTTTCTTTCGAGCTTGCTCGAGGGTTCGAACTCATCAAGCGATTCCTCATGTTCTTCTTCAGAGCTTGTTTTCTCGCCAAGTACTTCAATCGACTCCTGGGGTGTGGGTTCCCTGAACCCGAGTTTTGGAGGAGAAAATCTGGGTCGTCGTGGTTGCTTCCGTCCCACGGCTACTATCTTAGTGGGCTTCCCAGGTTTGATGCTCCTTTCCTCCTTGAGAGCGTTCTCGAGGTCCTCCTCGAGTGCCCATTGTTTCTGGAAGTTCCCTTGGGCTTGTATGCGTAGTTGGAGTCGTTCCTCGATGACTTTCAGGGTGTCGGGCATACAGGGGTTGTCTTCCTTGCTTTGTGCAGCTTCCTTGGCTCGGATGAGCTTGGTGATTAGCTGTTGGTTTCGTTGCTCCAGTTGCTGAACCGTGGTTTGTTCTGGGTGGCCTCCTTTCTGGGTTCGTCGGGAGATTGCCACAGTTCTGGGTTTGGGCTGTTGTGGGTACCATCCGGCTTGCTCTTTCAGTTCTTGATGAACTAAACAGTTGTCGTCGAAGCAGGTGGTCCAGTTCCTTTGTTCGTGGGGAACTTCCCTTCTTGCTACGTTGGCTTTCCTAGTGCCTTCAGGTACGGGTCGGTTCTGGAGTCGCTTAGGTTGTTTGCAGTCTCTAGCTATGTGGCCGGGCTTCTCGCAGTTGTAGCATTTGAAGTCCTTCGGATCCCGGTGGTTCTGGTGAGGCTTCCTGGTTGCAGCACCAACGTCCATGGGTCCGCTGTGTTGCCCATAGGAGGTGCTCGGCTTACTGTGTTGTTGGTTGTTCTGCCAGTACGAGTTGGGTTGCGAGTTCCTAGGTCCCTGCGGCACATACTTTTTGCTGGTATTCGGCTGAGGGCGGCGTGCTTCTCCTTTTTCCTTTCGCCGTTCGTACAGCCTGGTATCGATTCTGACTGCGATTTCCACGTATTGTAGGAAGTCGTTGGGTCGGTCGAGCTTGGATAGCTCGTCTTTTACTTCTTCCTTAAGTCCTTGGTAGAACATGAAGATCTTGGTGTCGTCGGTGTAATCAAGTCGTGCGCAGATTCTTCGGAACTCTGCAGCGTAGTTGGTGGCTGACTTGGTTTGTTTGAGATTTGCCAAGTCTCGCTCGGCTTGTCGTTTCTCGTCTGGGTCCTGGAATAAGGATTTCAAGGCGTACTCGAATCCTGCGAAGCTCCCAAAGATTTGCTGGGTCTCTAGGTTGCAGTGCTCCAGCGTCTCACTGTCCAGGTAGTCTTCTAGGTAGGGTTCGAACCAAGAGAGGACTCGTCCTCTGAAGAAGGTGCCTGCATGGATGATTCTCTCCGTTTCCGTACGGAAGTTGCCAGAGTGAAACGTCTGGTAGGTCCTGACCTGTATCAAGAATCCTTTAAGCGTTCCAGGGGTCCCGTCGTAGGTGGTGGGGGAGTTGAGCTTGAGTTTTTCCCGCCCATCCACTGGGGTCGAGATGATGTTGGCAGCAGCTCGGAGAGTGCGAACTTCTTCCCTGAGATTGTTGGTTTGCTGGACCTCAGCCCGAAGTTGGTCAAGGAGTGCCGCGTTGTTGTTGAACATCTGTTGCATGTCCGCGATGTCCTTGTGGGCCTTCTTGAGTTGCTTGGCCATTTCAGCATTGTCGTCCTCGTCGCTAGAGGATTCGGCGCCCTTCATTTCCTGGTCCAAGCTCATGGGTTTAGGGGGTGCGACCGCCTTTCCCTTGGATCCGCTAGATGAAGTCGGGGTGGCTTTGGAGGACATCGTTACTGTTTGGTGAGTATCAAGGTCAACTTACTAAACAGGAGCAATCAAAGTGTTACGGTCAGATATCCGACAGTGGTGTTTTCTGCTAATAGGCAGCTGAGGTCGATACTCGGTAACAGTAAGGTAAGTCTTGTTGGTAATCTTGCTGGTCTGTTGGTGTCTGGTGATCAGTCAGGCACGTCTAGGCGTAGATAGCTTTATAGCTTCACAACAGAAGGATAATCTAAGAGTCACTTATGAGAGAGTGAATCACGAAGTTGATTGCTGAAGAGCTATGGAGAGTCTTTGAGCCCCAGGCTCAAGTCCTGTCTATATACTGATGTCTCCCTATCGTGATGCTGTTGATGGTGATCAACTAGAGTGGGTCCGGGGTGAGCTGCTCACTTGGTGATCGCTCCCAGTGATCACCTTATCTCTTGATCACTTTCTTATCATCACGTGATCTGTCCATAGTTCTTCCGTTCCGACCCTTGCCCGTAAGCGCCGTGATCATGCATACATGAGCCCGAATGTCCCCTGGTCCCTCGTGGGTTCGTTCCAGGTGGTTACGTTAACCAACGCTTTCCTGGGTCGTAACAACAGCCTGGTCCTTCGTGGTGATGGGACTTTTTACATCTACAATCGGCGTTATAATCCCTCATCTCCAGGAAGACTATCAAGTCACTGACATTCATGTATCTGCGATTTTCCTTGTGGGTCCAATCGGCTACTGTTTCGCCTCATCACTGAGCAATCGGGTCCATCTTAGATTCGGGCAGAGAGGTATTGCCATCCTTGGACCCGCATGCCATGTCTTCTACGCGGTCACTGGCGCGCTTCATCCCTCCTTTCCAGTATTCTTCTTAGGTGTTGGCGCTGGCTCGTTTGGAACTGGGCTCTTAGACGGCTCTTGGTGCGCTTGGGTTGCCGGCCTAAAGAACGCAAATACATTGTCGGGAATATTGCACGGCTCATTCTCTGCGGGGGCCGCCATCTGTCCCTACATTGCTGGTCTGATGTTCTCGATGAGCAAGGGACTTTGGTATCAGTGGTTCTATATACTGGTAAGTTTTTTGTCTGTAATTGAATTATGAAGGGCAGCTGTCATATCCTAACTATATATTCAGTCATTGGTATCTGCCGTAGAACTCATTGTTCTGTGCTGGGCATTTAGATACGAGAGTTCGAACAAATATCATAAACACGATGTCGACTTGAATCGAATAAGTGTCAACGAAGTGGCCCAGCAGGAAGTTTTAAGGTACAGCGCCACTTGGGTCTATGCAGCATACCTCCTCGCAGACGTGGGTACCGAGAGCACAGTATCTGGCTGGGTCGTTGCGTTTATGTTGCGTATTCGGCATACTAGCACTTATGCATCGAGCATCTGCTCTTCAGGCTTTTGGGCGGGTATGGCAGTTGGCCGTTTAGCTTTGGGGGTTGTGACAGACAGACTCGGTGCCCGCCGGGCGGTCATACTATACCTTCTCCTTGCGCCTGTCTTTGCCGTACTGTTTGCGTTTGTCCATGTTTTGTGGGTATCAGTACTAACTATGTCATTTATTGGTTTCTTGATGGGCCCCTTGTTTCCTTCTTGCATCGTTCAGCTAGTTTGTGTTTTACCAAAAGGATTGCATGTTGGGGCTGTTTCTTTCGTAGCCTCGATAGGCCAAATTGGGGGGGCGATACTACCATATCTGCTGGGAGTTATTACGCAGTCGATGGGACTGTGGGTATTCCCATACATGCTTCTGGCCCAATTCTCTGCAATGCTTTTCTTTTGGTTACTGTCATTGAGACTTTTGAGAAAAGACGAGGCCGAAGAAGACGCAGAGGTTGCCCATCCCCGTCAAGACTGATCGACTGAATAACCTTTCCTAAAGCTTTGATAAGGGATAAGGAACTCGAAGGCCTCGATCACAATTGCAAAATGTTCGTCGGTTTTTGACTCTATGTCTACCGATTATATACACCTGCTGGTTGATTATCCCGTGACAAAGTTAATAAAGGATTTTCACAAAATCCTACCACAGTGGAAAAAAGATACATGTTGACCATGTTATGATAGGCCCTAGGTCTTTTTCTTTTGGCGACATAGGTACGGCGGTTTTGTCATTTGACTCTTCGAAAAACAATCATTGAAGGCTGATATCTCAGAAACAAGACCTGTACATCTTTTGGGTTAGCAGAATATCATGGTTCTTTGAACTGCTTCTTCTGATCGACCAAAATCCCGCTTTGGTACAGGCACCCCAAGACCCTGAGGGATGCTGAAAGAACTTGAACGGGTTAAAGCTTTATCAACTGAGCCTACCCGCGTGATGGATGCAGCAACAACGCTGCGTTCCCTCTTCTCAGCATAATTATGATCCTGAATACATACTAAGACGCAAATGAAATGTCATCATTTGCCAGCTGAACTTTCTGTATAGGGAAACAAATCCGCCAAACCCGCATTTATGATGCATTCTATATGCTAGCACCGTCGATAGGAGAATGGAAAGGGATGAAAACGACTCTAATAATGAGATACGGGGCCACTCAGAGACTCTATGGCGTGTCTTAAACACCTGGACCGTCTGTACTCAAATATAGATCCTGTGTCCAGCACGACCTAACTTAAAACTAAGCTCTGTCATCGTTGACAGTTGCCTCCCACGCTCTGGCGCCCTTTCTCGATCTGGTTCGTCCTCCAAGTCGAAATCTTCCGGTCTGGGCTGGGTTGTCCTATGGTCCCCGTCGTCAGTCTCTTAGTCGAATAATCTTCGCTTCGCGATATAACGGCAATGCCCCATGGGAGTCCCTCAGGGGATCAAACTTCTGATGGTACTCAGACAAAGCCCTGTTTCGTCCTGGTAATATCCTCTCCGCTCCAGTCACGGGACAAGGGAATGTCGTCACGCACATTATTGTTGCCTTCGATATCGATACGGGCAAGTTCCACCTCCACTGCTTTGGGTGTATCGGCACTCATACCGAACCAGCCGCCTCCAAGCATAGCAGCAGTAACGCCGAGCTGTGTGCCGAATAGAAGTACTAGCTTCGTTGCAAAAGAGCCCATGACTGGATCAAGACTCGAGATCCGGTTGAAGGCATAGGTTGTGGTGTAGGCCAGATGAATGAGCTGAAATGGTATGCCGACAACGGTTGCACGAAGCATACGCATAGCAGGTCGGCAGTTTGGACTTGATGAGGATCGGATTTTCTTGAAGGTGGGCCACATCCAGCCACAAACGCCGAACATGACGAACAACTGCATGCAGTTGCCTATCTGATTTAAATTCTCATTTATGACGCCGCCACTGGAGTGACTTGGAGCACCTCCATATGTCGCCATGCCAATGCCTGCGGTGTTGCAAAGATGTGTTACTCCCAAGATGATCTTTTCGGTCCAGCGTTTTGGCGAGCCAGGAAGCATGATGTTGCTGTACGGGCCAACATGTTAGGTGCTTGTTCTCCAAGAATAATGAACGTTCCCTTACGATTCATAAACAATGCCGATTAGAGTCAAAGACAGACAAGCCAAGCTACCCGCACTCGTCATAATGTTGAACTGGTTTGGGAGCAACGGTTTGTCTCTCTTGATGATTTGGTAAATATCGGCGATGAACCTCATGAAGAAATGGGAGACAAAGATAGGCCAGCAAACCATGCCTTTCTTTCCATGCTTCCAGGTAATCCAAATCGCAGGTGGGAAAAGGAGCCCGTAGATTGCTAGCTCGGCATAGGCGAGATTGACGACATCGCTGGAGACCGACGGGAAGCTTGGAACCGCATTTTCAGCCATATTGAGAAGGAATGAGTCGCGACTTGGTTCAACAATGTGGTTGGTTGGTTCGACGACGAGCTTGAACTGATCAGGTGGCTTGAATGATGATGAGCTAAAGGCAGGCGAGCAATTAACAACGACCAACTTGAGACTCCGAAGTATCTTGTTTGGACAGATGCAGCGCTTTAAAGCTTGAACAAGAGCGTCGCTGTGTAGACTGTTGATTCACGTATGATCCTGCATCGAGAGAAATCTATTAAAGAAATCCATATGTTAAGTTCGAGTCATTTGTCATGAAGTTTTAGTCTAAAACAAGGCCATGCTGCGCAATACAGGTAGATCATTGCAGTGATTGACAGCACAACCTTCGTGTTCAGTGTCGTACGCAGCCTATAGATGAGCCTATGCACAGCAACTCCAGATGACACAGCGAGACCGAGACCGAGACCGATTTTTTTGAACCGACGCCCCTGCAATATTACGCGGGACGGATAACCCCGAGTGGAGCATGGAGCCTTCAACACAGCCGGGGAGACCAAAAGAATGGCTACCAGCCGCATCTATCCGGGCCAACATGCAAGGGACTCCCCAGCACGAACTCGAGGAATCGTTGTTATTTGACAGCCATGTTGATGATAGTGCAGCAATGCGTTTCATGGGTAGGTGTCTCTCAGTCTGCCTCGTCTCGCGCGATCTGCCCTACGATGAACTAGCGGAGAATTTCGTTCATAACCACGCCACCCATGCAATCTAGGAGGAAATAGTCCATGCACTAAGTATCACCAATCCGCACACAGATGGGCAATCTTTGAAGTATTAGATCGACACTAGGGTTGCAAATACCGACGTGGACCAATCCAGGAGACCTTGTAAGGTGTAGCAACTATGGCAAACCTTACATCGAAACAGCTTGAAAGCTCGCTTTCGAGAAATGAACAGGGTTGGCATCGCATAAAGATGTGGCTCAGAGCAGCTTCCAATGCGTCGCCTTCTTATAACTAGACACAAGGCAGAATAAAGCCACAATGACATGTACTTACATTTTCGTGCTCATACCTATCACTCATCATAGAGAATGAAGTAACTAAGGACTAGGACTCTGTCACTATCGTGTTGGTGTCGGTCTTCTCGACCTAACTGGGAGAACATCTAGTCTTACTCGCTAGCAGTGTGTGCCATCGGTAACAATTTCTCAGGCCTCCTGAAAATTTGACCCAACCGTTGCTGAAGACAACGTAGAAGCTAGCAGGTTATCACACCAACTCTGGCTTACCTACATCTCGCCAACAACCTGTTAGGCAGGATCTACGTAGTTCGCCCTTGCTGTACATCACCATATCCTTTAAAATAGCAAAGATAAGTGGGTATCTAGTATTGATAAACTACGGAAGGGCACTCAGATGGTTGGTCGTCAAGGATGTCTCGCACGCGTCACATCTCGCTTTCGTGACGGTCTGTCTGTGGGGAATCAGGAAACGTTTGCGCTGTTACCAGGAACCACAGAAAAAGCAGTGATTAATATATGATTTCAACCTGAACTTTCTGTTGCCAGTCATTGACTGTGAGGGGCTCTCATAATACTTCCATGGGTAGCTGATAACTGCCTTGTAGGCCGTTTATCTTATCTTTGCTGAATCTGTCCTCCTTGTCTCGTGCTGGCTGGGACTCTTGTCTATAAGCTCCAAATAAAGAGGCTTCCTGTCGACTTTTAGTGCAAGGCTACCATTCCAGTGTTTGGAAAGGGCTACAAATTTGTGAGAAGACCATTGAAGACCTTCGAATACATCCATGACTGATGCAGGTAGCGTTCTGGGTTGTTTTGGATATAATTACTTAATGCAAAGATTCAGACAAAGCTACGCAGTTAAAAGAAACTCATTATCTACCAAAAGCTTCCAAAGGCATGAAATCGGTTTTACTTGGAAGCAACGTTCCTTTACGACCTTGAGGCAGTAGCTTCAAATTGTGTTGAGGACCTTATACCCATGATGTGTTCAAGAACAGGAGCTGACGTATCTCTGGGGAGTCAGAAGTTCGACAACGGTCTGGACCCGTAGATCTACAGCACCGGCTTAAACTCACTCACTGCCTGCCGACTTTTGGTACTTTATACATTGCAATGTGTGGCGAATCCGACTAAATTCTCCAGCATGCACAAATACCAACACTAGGGCTCCGTACACAGCTTGCGGTGCGTAGTTTCCAAGAAGTTCAAATATGTGAATAACAAAGTGGCACTTGGTCAGTCGCAGTCTTCACATCTTTGCCAGAAATCAAAAATGAGGACTACCCTGCTTTTCAAAAAATGCAGCATGACCAGGCGAATCGCTATGGCTCTTTGCGCAAAAATGAGCTCACAGATTGTGGTGCGGGACCCGTACTCCGGAACTTGGGAAGTCCCGGCTACCATCTAACAAAATGTTCTTTACCGAATTAATTTCTTCCCGTAGCCGTGTGTCACGTCAGAATACGTTCAAAGTTACAGACCGCTACAATCTGCATTTTGGAGGTTGATCAGTCGAGATGTTGACCCGCGGGCAGGAGAAGTCCAATGGGAAGCTATTCGTTGACCACTCCCAAACGTGCTGCAACAATTACTGAAACAGGCTTGAATAAGTGTATAGAAGGGCTGGTGGCGGCTGCAGTTGAACGACGTGATGAGGTGCGATTGTCCACCGCCCACCAACGGAACTTCCATGTGTCTACAAACAAGATTTGGTATCGCCGAGGGAAACGGCGGGGCACACGGCTAAAATCGGTTGGACCGACCTTCTCTTTTCATCATGTTCCCCTCAATCGACCGTTTCTTCTCGTCATGACTTCTTTCCACTACCCTAGTTTTCACGCTCACGGTCCTGATCTCCCCAAATCGAAGGCATTTGAGCCCCTGAAACTTCTGTATCGATATCAGATACCATGGAGAGCCTCGAAACTGATCCATCCCCGCAATTGGTCGCCGAAGAGGCTAGTGTATGCTTTGGGCAAAGTCACATCATACGACCACAATCTGAACACACTCACACTGCCATCATGTTACATGGACGCGGAAGCTGCGGTGAGGAGTTTGCCGAGGACTTCCTCGCATCAGTACTTTCGGACGGCTGCACTCTGAAAGATAAACTGCCTGGTTGGCGCTGGGTATTCCTTTCCTCAAAGGAACTATGGAGCACTGCTTTTCGAGAACACATGCCTGCTTGGTTCGAGGCACACTCTTTAACGGATCCTACCGTGCGGGAAGAGTTACAATTGAAAGGTCTCCGCGAATCGGTGGATTACATCTCGCAGGTTATGGAAGAGGAGGTGGAGCGACTTGGTGGTAACTGGAAAAGTCTAGTCCTTGGTGGAATCAGTCAGGGTGCTGCGGTTGGGATGTGGGCTTTGCTCTGCCAGCGAGATCGAGTAAAGGGATTAGGGGGGTTCTTCGCCGCCAGCACTTGGCTTCCTTTCGCGGCTGATGTCGAAGAAATCCTGGCTGATCAGAAGATGTCGTCTGAAAAGAGTCATCAGTCGAAAAACATGGGACCTAAGAATGAGGTTCTTAGCATGATATCAACCGTTGCTGGACAGCCCAGCCTAGGCACACTGGAACAGACTCCGGTCTTCATGGGCCACGGCATTGATGACGCATACGTGGACGTGGAATTGGGTCGGCAGGCAGCATATATCCTGACGCAAGGGGGATGGCGTGTTGAATGGAAAGAGTACGAAGGGGCAGAGGAGGAGGGGCACTGGTTCAAGGTGCCGGGTGAGATGGATGACATCTATCATTTCATCACAGCTAAAGTCGCGGCTAGGTAGTCATGCTCCGAGTAGCCAAGACGCTGTGAGTTGAATATCAGTGGCATCAAATCTTAAATTGAGGCGACGTACGTTTTGTCTTCTTCTTCATCCATGCCGCGGACCGATGAGAAGGTCCATTGCATAATCCGTTGGGAATTTCCCTATTACCTTTGTAGGAAGGTCGTCAAAGGTGAGCAGTCGAGCGAGGTGACTGCTTTTGAAAAACGAGGTGGGCTGTCATTCAGTGGAATCGGCGTTCGGAACTTACTCGTCTCGTTACTTGATAGAATAAGAACACCAGAAAAAGCAATAGACATGTGGTCACCCAAAACAACAAGGATTAAAAATTTGGTCATCAAAACCGGTTCAAGCTCTGCCCCTCATCGTCTGGCCATGCCTTTAGGCCCAAATATGGTCGCACAACCCACCAAGGTTACTAAGTTGAGGCGTCTCATTTATTCACACTAAAACTTGGGCAGTCGTTATTAGGCTTGAAATATATGACACCGTTGCACTCATCACTCGCCCACTGATCCTCATCTACTCGAATTCTTTGCCTTGCATCTTCATGCCGTCTGCAAACTACTTCGGCTTCGATACTGGCTTTTTTTCCATGATATTATATGGATATGTGCATGCCACATAATTGGAAATGAGGTATCTGGCGACCTCCCGATGCGCCGCAAAGGATATATACGGAGGTATCATCCATCTATTGGCAGCGTACTTGAGATGCATAACGATTTCAAGTCAGTTTGACAGCCTCGTATGCGGAAGAATGCAAATTGACCACTCTGTAACGGAAGATACGGTAAATTAACTTTTCCAACAGAAGGTTGGCTGGCAAAGGAAAAAGTTGGCCCTACCCCGCGGGAGTCGTCATGTTCCTAAGGAAATGATTAAACTTAATTTATATACTTTCCATATATTATAACAAAATGCTACAGTTCGCACCTAATTTCATACCTCATCTTTTTGTCAAGCGGATCATTGCTGTCCGGCTACAAACAAGTATTAACCGTTTCTCGTCTTATCCTTAGTCCCTCCTCACCCGTGTCGAGTTCGGCACCACCAAACAAGAAAATTCATTTCCACAGGTCATCTTCTGTACTAGTTCGCACCAAGCCGTTAATTTCGATGAGGTTCCAGCTATTTATTTCTGCTGTCTGGCCATTTCTGGCCGGCGCGAATGTGATAGATGAACCCACGGTTGACCTACCGTATGCCCGTTATCAGGGTATTTACAATTTGACATCCAATCTCAATATTTTCCGGGGGTATGTGATGTACAGACATTATGTTTCCTTCATTAGCTGAACTCCATCAGCATCCGCTACGCAGCTCCTCCAATAGGAAAGCTTCGATGGCAACCACCCCAAGAACCAGACGGCAGCAAGACGACTATCACGCCAGCCGTCTCCAACCCACCGCACTGTCCATGGTCTCGTCGTTCTCTACAGTACCCTAAGACGGCCGCTGAAGAGGATTCGCTAAGATCCTTCAACTTTACCGGTGATGAAGACTGTCTTTTTCTGAACGTTTTCGCGCCGGCTAACGCCAAAGACCTCCCCGTACTTGTATGGATTCATGGCGGCGGCTATAGTCTTGACGAGGCAGCGTCATTCGACTTTTCAACCCAGATTGGGACTAACAATAACAATTATCTTGCTGTTGTGATTCAATATCGCCTAGGCGCCTTTGGCTTTCTGTCATCAGCTGATATTGCGGCGAATGGGGTCAGTAATGCCGGGTTGCATGATATGATGTTCGCCCTCCGGTGGGTTCAGAAGCACATTTGTAATTTTGGTGGCGACTCGAACAAAGTGACGGTTGCAGGGCAGTCGGCGGGTGCTGGAGCGGCTCTATTGCTGGCTACCATGGACAAGACCGACGGGCTCTTTAGTGGCATAATTGCGAGCAGTCCATATATCACCACACAACCGTGAGTCACTCCGTTGCCATATGCCCTGCGGCATTACTTATATTAGTTTTGTTTTTGGCTAAACAAGCTCCACCAGTCTATTCGATGGATACACACCAACAAAAACCTACCAAATGCTAGCGGAGCGTGTAGGCTGCTCATCCTCTGGCAGATCCTTATCTCTATTTTCCTGTCTCCAGAACGTAGACTCAGTCTCTCTTCAAAATGCCAGCGACTGGGTGAGCATACAGGCTCGTTACGGCCAATGGGCATGGGGCCCAGTTATTGACGGGAAGCTCGTCAGGGATACTCCTTCAAAGCAACTTTCCCAAGGAGTTAAGGGATCTCGCTTGCTCACCGGCAACGTCGCAGACGAAGGCCCATATTTTATTCAGCAGAATATCACCACCCAGGTGGACTTTGTCTCATTCTTGCAGTCCAACTACCCCAAGCTAACCACTTCCAACATTACTCAGATACTGGGCACTTACACGCAGAAATTCGAAGGATTCCTCACGAGTAACTCAAAAGAGGCGAATAACACGGATCCGGGCTTTGCAACTAACGGTCGGAATCCTCCCTACGCTACGACTGTGTCCAACTACGCCACAGGCTGGCAGCAAGTAGCCAACAATTTCTACGCCGAGGCTACTGTCATATGTCCGTCGTATTGGCTTGCCGACGCATACGCAGCGAAAAAAGGAGGCCAAGCATGGCGTTACCAGTTCAGCGTACAACCCGCCTACCACGGTCTGGACGTGGGCTCCGGATCCGGCACCGATGTGCTTCTCGCCGACGTCAACACTCCCAATACGTCTATAATTTTACCTCTTCGGCGCGGATTGCAGATCGCTTGGGGTGACTTCATTGCCAATGGGGCGCCAACTCTACGTGGTTCTGGTTTAAATGTGACCGTCTGGCCGCAGTGGAGAACAGGGGGGGACGGAGTCGCTCAAATGCTGAATGCAAACATGACAGGAGGTGTGCCAATCGAGAAGGAATCTTCATTTGACGGCATGGTCAATTTGCAAATCACCAGCTATCTACCTGGTGACGCTGATGACCCACCTCTACAGGCCGTCTTAGACATTGTGGACGGCGATGTATGGGAGGATGGCCGAGGGGAACGATGCCGCATGCTATCCGCCCTAAGCTATTGGATTACTGAGTAGAACAACATCCTGTCAAGTAGCCGGGCCACATTTTACTCCCAAAATTGTGTTCGGAGATGAATGCAGCTTTCTGATCATGGTCTGTGACGATTTTCTTACGCCCACACTCAAGTTTTCTATAGACACACGGCATCAGGCTTCGGCAATGGTCCGAACACATCTTTGAGGCCCATTGACTCGCACCAGAAATCCCAAAGCTCACGAGTCGTATCCACACATTCAGGTAGTGGCCTAGGGGCGTGCATATCGATGATGATGAGACCTAAGACTGCGTCGCCTTCTTCGAGAATAATTCTAGAGCATTCGCAAATGTAAACGCATCCCGACGACCAACCGCCGAACCTGTACGGACTATGTGGCTGACGCTCGCGGATTGCGGCGAGGTAAAGAGGCGTGGCTTGCTCAATAGTACACGTGAATGCATTCGGCTCATCGGCCCAGGGTGAATGCATGCCGAAGTCGCAAATGTCTTTGGCTAGCTGCGGTAGCTGTAACAATGAGCTCACTGAGCCGGGCATGAGCCAGAGTGAGTTATTCTCTGGCGAAGGAGAACCCTGAATCACAAAGGCCTATACAGCGTACTTACCACCTTGAGAAGCGTCGAAGTTGGCGTCGTCAGCCGGTTGTTGGTAGTCCAAGGCAGCTTCCTTGCTAGTTGGTCTACCCGGCTTTGGGATCATTATTGCGTCATCGTCAACGGTGTTTTCCTGCCAATATCTTTCGTTCGAAAAGCAAGACGATGAATCACAATGGATGTGGCAGAAGCCCTGCTCCTCGCTAGAAAGCTTCTCTACTGGCGACTCTGTACCACTAGGTGTAGCGTTTAACGAGGCTTGAGTTTCTGACACTCCATTCCCAATGCTTTGTGTGGCGTTCTTGTTTCCAAAATCTTGTCGGATGTCAGCTACGGTAAGACAAGATCGAAATTTGGCAGCAGATATCTTGATGGCGTGCTCTGAGCGCAATTTCGAGGCCAAAATGATGTTCATAAGCCAATCAACGCCAAAGGTAGCTAGATCTGTGTTGTCATCGAGATCGGAAAGCGGCCAACCTATTTCGTCGGCGATCATTTGCAGCAACATCTCGGCTAAATCCTTCTCACGGGAACTTGTGACTGGAAGAGATGTGACTTTGGACTTTGGTTTATTTTGAGTGGTTGATTGAGTGGCGACTGGAGAAGTCGAAGACTTCGGTTTGTTCTGTGGGTGGCGAGAAAATTAGTTGTTAAGGAGCGATAAAAGTAGCTGCTGCTTCCTGAAGGCTTTTGATAGGCCCCTTCAATTCCCTGTGACCACGCGAGCGACGAAGAGTTACTCGCGAGCAGACCCTGTCTGAACAAAGTGGAACCAGCTTGCGGCCACAGAAAACATAAACATCGCCAAGAGCTCCGGTCTCGATGGGGTCAATGAAACAGTATACGTTTCCTTGTCAGAGATATGGTGCTCAAAGAGTATCTCACCGACAGCAACCACAATGAAAGCAGTGTCTTTGGGCCCTGCAGGATGTTCATTGAGCATATAGTGGATATACCGCTGGAACAGTTGATATATGACCGTTTTGCGAAGAGTGTGACCCTTGCCGGCCTTGGTGCACTTGATGAAAGATTCTACACGGGACAGTACCAGTGATGATGCTGTTGGGCCAACCTTCGCCAAAAGACCAGAGCTGCGCTCAAATTGATGAACCCTCCACCGAAATGCGCGCGCTCAGAGACATTTTCTAAATAGAAAGTACCCTTGACGCCCCTGGCATCACAAGCCGCGACAGTATGAACAACAGTATCACCAGATACCGAAGTGATGACAAGCGGTTTGCTCATCTCGAGCCCAGATAAGATGAGCGATGAGATGTCCAGCTTAGAGGTTAAATTCTGGTGCTTAAGTACCAAGTGTTCGGCAGCAAAGTAGGCCATCTCGCAGACAGTCGCTTCATGGAAGATAGGAGTGCCATCCACCATGTGATTCTGGGTAGCAGCTACCATCTCAGGGTGAGACAAGTGTAAGATGAATTCGGTAGTAACAACACCATCTGTGTCAGCGGCAGTCTAGCGAGTGAGGTAGTGCAAGTACGGATTTAGACACTTGGTACTTGGCACAAATCTGGTGCTGTCTTGAACGGTGGTTGGTGGGTTTCGCTGGCTCCTGATGCGCGTATGCCCTCCAATAATCCGCCAAGTCAAAAGAATACGGATGGAGACCCAAGAACCGAAGCTGAGACTCTTACTCCAGATGAAAGCTGTTCCAGTTGACGAGACACCCCCTGGTGTATGCCGTGGCCATCATGGATCCAAAAGTGGTCTGAATAAATCTTCTACGTCAAGCGGTCACTTTCTAGATGACGAAATCAGCCAATGGGACGCCAACTTCTTCGGCACTCCCGTAGCTGAGGCGGCAGCCATGGACCCCCAGCAGCGGTTGATGATGGAAGTAGCCTATGAAGCATTCGAGAACGCCGGCTTGACACCGCGGCAGTTCTCCGGAACCAAGACAGGCTGTTGGATGGGTGTTAACAGTAATGAGTGGCGAGAGGCTCTTTTCCGCGACCCTGAGTTTGCACTAATGAACACATGGACTAGGACTGGACCTGAGTACATATCCGGCCGAGTATCTTGGTACTCCAACTTGAGAGGTCCAAGCATAACTGTCAATATGGCTTGCTCGTCGAGTCTCGTCGCGCTAGCATCAGGCGAGACAGGCGATTCTGGCGGGCGAGTGTCCTATGGATATGGTTGGCGGTATCAATCTTATCTTCAACCCAGAGTACTGCCTTTACTACTCTAATCAAAATCTCCTCTCGGCTGGTAGAAAGTGTAAAACCTTTAACGCTGATGGAGATGGCTTCGGGCGCAGGAAAGGCGTCGGAGCCGTGGTTTGAAGCTCCTGAAGGATGCCTTACGCGACAGAGATGTGATCCGCGCCGTGCTGCGAGGTAGTGGTGTGGTAGGTATTCCACTAGACCCTTTACTCACGCACTATACCAGTTTTCTAATACTCCCATGCCAATTACTCAGGGACTAGGTGGTTGAACGAGTGTCATTACCCTGCCCAATGCCGATGCTCAAGCCGAGCTAAGTCGCGATACCTATAAATCTGAAAAAATGTCGACGGACCATACCATCTACTTAGAGGCTCATGGGACCGGTACTCGAGTGGTAAGGATTCCTGGTTAGATGTATGACGGCTAGGCTCTCACGAGCCAGCGCCACATGCAAAGGGTGTGACACTTAGTGAGCTAAGGTAACCAACAAAACGATTGCAGTGTGACCCCGCGGAGCTCGAGGCAATTTCCAAGGCTCTGGGTACCGACTCTCGGGAGAAGGAGCTTCTCGTTGGATCGGTCAAGACAAACATTGGCCACTCCGAGGCGGCGGCGGGCATAGCCGGCTTGATCAAGTGCATCTTAGTGCTTGAGAACTCCAAGATTCCTCCCACAATTGGCATCTGGAATCTCAATCCGCGAGTTCCTTCGAAACGATGGAATCTGCAGGTTGCGGATAGGTTAACGTCCTGGCCTAGTAACGATAAAATTTGGCGCATCAGTATCAGCTCCTTTGGGGCAAGTGGTACCATTGCTCACGTTGTACTTGACGGGAGTGAAGCTTATTGGGATGCGCATAACTAGGCTCTTGGGCTGAAAACCCTCACGAATGGACTGCCAAGTTTGGTCGAGAGCACTTCACAATTCTGGACAGTATCAGGCTATCACCCAGTAACAAGGAAATCGGAGCCACTTACAGCGTCTTTAATATTGAGCATATCCTTCGCAACAATCGTAGGCTGTCTACCCGGCTGTTGGATGGCGCTATGGACTTCGTGGCACGGAGCTTCGTCAAGGCGGTCAGTCCAGTACGGGAATATCCCATGTCCGAAGTACATGATGCCTTCAGGTTGATGCAGACAGTTGGTCATGTGGGAAAGACTGTTCTGGGGTGGACAGATGATGTGACAGTCCTAGCCAAGGCCCAGAAGCTCCCTGGCGGTGCTGCTACACTAGCCAGGTCGTATCTGCGGCTGTACCCCAACGCTACCTACCTGGGTAGATAGAGTTCAACATAAGAAAGACTAAGAAGTGTTTTCAAACCTGGACCAATTATGGCTCAAGTATAATACTACCATAGAGCAAACTTATTTCCAGGAAGCTTAACGGTACCCGAAAGAAAAGAAGTCGGATTGTCACGTTTTAAACGAGACAGTTGCATGATCCATCGCCCACTTTTCGGTCACAACTGCCCTAGACTGCCTCGTTAAGATATGTACTCCCTTGGTAATTCTATCATACTCTTATCGAATTTTCATGAGAATTATGCTGCCTTAAGTCCATGCTCTCTCTGAAGGTGATTATCCAAAAGAGCTACATAGTTTTGTTAAGTAACCATATGGGCTAAACAAACGGGAAACCTTCGGAAGACAGCTCGCGTGTTATGACTCGTTCCTATCCAACCATTCAGTAATCCCACCTTAGTTAGCGGGAATTATACATTGCCTTCACTATGGGTCAAGCCACCCAGGCTTTAATACAATGAACTTACCCTTTGCATGAGGAACGAGTTCGACTCAGGAAAAAATCAGAACGATTTTCTTAGCACATCGAAACTCTGCGTAAACGCAAGACGGAAAACAGCATCGCCATGACCTCTTCTCATCTCTGCCGTCTTCTTTGACCCTATCGATAGCTACTGCAGAACAAGAGTTGCACTCCTAAGGTATTGAACTTTGCGTTCGGGGCAGTCATCAGTCGGAGGGGAGAAGAAAAGCGATAGAAACAGCATTTATTGGTGTTTTCCAGAAACCAGAGAAACAGCAGGCGATTAAAGACCCGTTGGTGTTAGCTGTTTTAGCAAGTCAAGTGACTTGTTGTTTCATTTGACGGTACATCACTAAGTCCATTCAATTCTATTCGGAAGTGTCCATCGATCAAGTGGTGGGAGACCGAACTTCACTCAGAATCAGAATTGTCAATTGCATCTCTGCCGGTAAAACTTATCCAAAGACAATGATATTCTCCGTGCCTCCACTCTGACATTCGGTTCGCAGTCACCCTGCCAAGAGGATGTTCTAGCACTTGCAATTGTGAGATGATCCCGATGGTCTAGCCCCAAGTTCTATGAACTGCAGAAATAATTCGAGTGCCAAGCTAAAAAGAGCAGAAGGAAAAAGTGGAGAAAACGAAAAAGAAGCAGAGATAGAATAGTAAAGAACAGTAGGTAAGGTGGAACGATGAGTATAACGTTTGAGTTGAGGAGCAATTGCGACTCATCGCCGCCATTATCGCTGCAACATATGATGATTGCTCACTTTGCGGGTTGCAGCAGATAAACTCTGGACTCGATATTTATGCGTGGTATGGTCGCTATTCGCAATGAACATGATTTGAGATAAGTTTTACTGAGTGAAATGCTAGATAGACCAGATTAAAAGGCACAGCCGCAATTACCACCGCTGTAATTACAGTTGTTTGGTATATCACGACAACATAATCTCGATCCGAAGAACCACTAACCAACTCCAAGAACCTTCGTGCTCGCAAGTCAATCGATCGGCAACTTGGAATGGAGATCCTGAAGCGGAGACATATATGTAACCACTGTGAAAGGAATTCAATCGTATTTTTAGTATTTGTACCAGCAGGATTACTGAGTAGTAAGGGATGTACCTAGTAAGGAGGGTGGATCACATCCAGCGGCGATGAGGGATGGACACTTCTCGAGACAGAGTCCCCATCAGGTTTTGGTCTTCATTTGATTTTCTCAATTGAAACGATTAAACTCGAGCCTGTTGTTTGCAATAGCAGAATGAAGTCGAATAGCCCGACTGCTGCATACCATCTCCCTGCCCTTATGGGCATGATTCGTGCAGCTCATTTCATGGGAGCTTTGGTTCTCTCCATGGCAAATATGAGCGTTCAATGCCCCGGTGCCTTTGATTTTGGCCTCACATTCAACAACAGACACATTCACGACTACAATCATGACAGCCCAACCGTACCAGGAAACTAAAGGCGAACAAGACAAAACAGATGACTCGAGCGCCGTCCAAAAACAAGCGGGAATGGATATCGCAGACAGTAAAACGACTGGGATTAAAAATGAAGCACAGGAAGCGGAGAGCACCGATGCCGATGATGGCAATTTCCCAAAGCCTTTGGTGATTGCACTTTTGACAGCCGGGTTATGCTCAGTCACTTTCGCGACTTCCGTGGACAACACCATCTTAGGTATTTTGCGATTCTGTTCTGAGAGAAAGGGCACACCCCTTTGCATCTAGAAGGTTTTGCTAAAGCAAATATGAAGCAACGGCCATTCCACGTATCACGGAAGATTTCCACTCGCTTGACGACGTGAGCGGGTACCGAAGCGCTTATCTCGTCGCCTCAACCGCGCTGCAGCTGCCGCTAGGCAAAGTCTACACCATCTTCAACGTCAAATGGACATATCTCACAGGATTGATCATCTTTGAAATCGGGTCAATAGTCTGCGCGCTAGCACCGAACTCGGGAGCACTGATCGCCGGTCGTACTGTTGCAGGTGTTGGTGGTGCCGCGCTTTATTCTGGCGCGATCAATATCTTGGGTTTGGCAGCACCATTACGGATGCGCCCCATTTTGTTTGCTGCGTTGAGTGGTATGCTTGCGGTAGCCTCCCTCATCGGGCCGCCGTTGGGCGGTTTTTTTACCGACACACCCACACTGACTTGGCGATGGTGTTTCTGGATCAACCTGCCACTGGGAGGAGTCGCCTTTTCTGTCATCTTGGGGGTGTTTCGCGTACCATCTGCTAGAAGGCTCGAAGACGATAGCCACTCCGATTCTGGACATCAAAAGCGTGGGAGTTCTTCTCAGTCAGGACCCAGCAGCGCGCCAAAGCTCTCCTTGCTACGAATTGTGGCCAAGTTTGTCCGCTGGGTACTTTCTTGGTGGTTCCGGCCGTTGTGAGTCTTTTGCTCGTTCTCCAATGGGGAGGCATTACGTACTCGTGGGGAGACGCCCGCGTCTGGGGCTGTTTGTTATCTTTTGGCCTCCTCACGATTGCGCTCTTTGTCTCCCAAATATGGCGCGGCGACAACGCAACAATACCACCTCGTGTGGTGTGCCAACGATACGTGCTCGCTGGCGCGATGCATAAAGCCTGTTCGTCTGCCGCCATGTTCACACACATCTTTTCTCTCCCCTTCTACTTCCAAGTTGTGCTAGGAACGACTGCAACAGGTTCAGGGATGCGCACCCTCCCGTACGTCGTGACCATGGCGGTGGTTGGAATCGTTGGCGGCATCGGGATGGCCCGCACTAACTCGCACAAGCCCTTGGCATGGGTAGGCGCAGCTATCTCCGTTGTCGGCTTAGGACTTCTCTACACTCTCGGGGTTGACTCGCAAGCCGCTACCTACATTGGTTTTCAAATACTCATAGGCATGGGCACAGGCATTGCGTGGCAAGTCCCTTTTGTTGCGATACAGAGAACCAGCGCCAAAGGGAAGAATCTGATACCTGAAAATATGCCCATCGCAAACGCTTTGATGGCCTTTTTCAACTCTCTTGGCGCATCCATTCGCATTTCTATCGCGCAGAACGTATTCGCTAGTTCGTTGCAGAGCCGTCTGGCAACAGTAACTGGCATTACAGCGATTCAGGTTGGCATTATCATGAACGATGGAACTGGTATTGGCTTGCGGGATCCCAATGTCTTGCCGCCCGAACTACTACTACCGGTGTTGGAGCAGTACAACTCTGCCATCGGCTCGACTTTCCTCGTGGCTACCGTCTTCGGTGGCCTTGGATTTATGGCTAGTCTATTTTATGATTAGCTCCCTTTCATCAGCAGGAAGCCCTTTTGGTTTCTTTTTTTCTCGGGTAAGTCTTTCTGTATTTTATCCTCTGCGGCCTAGTCTACTCAAACCAGACTCTGTTGGAGATGTTATGGTTTTCGCGTGTCCACGTAATTCAGTAGTTGAGTTGAATGATAGCTGACAGCTCGCGAAGATCCTAGCATAACGTCATTTCTGACTGGCACAACCACAGATTTATCAAAGAACTGGGCCAAACCAAGTCTGGTGGTCTCCTTGGGTACAAAGGTAACATGATGAGCACTGGACTAGGATGGGAAGGGAAATGTGGACCGTAACCATAGAAGCATTGCCCTAGCCAATTTCTCTCCATTGCTGATAGGAAAATGAAACGGCATTGCGGAGTATCGGCATATGAACCAACAAAAACAAAACAGTTGCCTACTTCGGCTTTGCGTGATGTGGTTCTCTTCCTTGTCTCTAGAGCTTCGTGACATTGTTGCTCCACCCGTCTATGATAAAATGCGCAGCTTTAGAGGGATAAGTGGCCAAGTTTGTGATGACACGATTTCAACTTCAACCACGCCATCCCAATAACCTCCAACCTAACACTTCGCACGAGGAGCGGTTTTCTTGAGCTGCGGGTCGGTACCAGGATAAAACTCGTCATCATCGTCGAAGGTGTATGCAATGGGCGTCGGACTTGCTCTGTAAGGCTTGGTTTGACGATTCGGCGGGGTCTTGGGTGCATCGAGACTGGCCGAGATACCGGCCGATATATCGGTCAAGTTGACGGGTTTGGATAGGCAGGAGGAGTTAGAAGGAGTGCGTTCGTTCTGACTGGTGTATTTGGTATAGATTTTCTGGCCAACTCTCTCAGACATGGGCCCGCAGTCAAGGTCGTAACCTGCATGCTGGAGAAGATGTGGGAGAACTGATCATAGTTAGGATGATGGGAGAATGCCGAGATGAGAAGGAGGGATTAATAATTCTTATCGTGCATAAGGCATGCCACAAGAGGAAGGACAGGGCTTGATGATGCAAGACTGGATGCTCAGGTGGTCGGAGCGAACCTAAGATGAAGTGAAGCGTACCTTGGGCGACCGTATTCGCGGCCTCGACAGCCTTGCTTTGATGGTAAGCTAAATCCTCTATGAAATGAGTGTTAGCGTTGTGTTGCGATCAAGCTGGTCAGATTGCACCATGTGAAGATCTCCCGATCGGTAATCGACGTGGCAGACGCGTGGGGGTGGAGGCGAACAAGTGGAATCGTGGGGGACGAAGCCATTTTGAGGAGACCGGCATTGGTACTGATAATGGAGACAGTGATACATACCAGGATCAGAAAGAGTCGCAGAGGAAGGAGTCGAGCCCGTGGGAGTGAAGGATCTGGCCGAAGGGTTTAGGTTTGGAATTTGAGCCTGCTGCTGGGAAGTAGAGGCACTCCCCTTGCTAGAGTCACTCCCCTTGCTAGAGTCAAGACCCATGGAAGACATATTTTCTTCTTTTCTTGCTCTCCCGCGGTCGCGACGAGCTTTACCCATTAAATCGGTTGTTGCAGAGTTGAAAGATTCCATGACCCGGTCTGTTATTGTCCGATAAAAGTGAAAGGTGAAGTCGAAGATCGAAGCGACTTTCGTGATGTGATTCAGTGACGTGGACGGAAGAGGAAGGTACGAGGCCGGGCGTAAAACTTAGCGCTTTGTTCTTGTGGAACGGACTTGTTTTTGTTCTCATATTGTATGTTGGTTACTTTATATTTTCTACCGTTGTAACTGATTACAATCTTTTCCCACCATCTTGCAGGTAAACTATCCCACAATCAGCTCACTTTTAGTCTTGAAGGTCAAACAGACAATGGAAGCATGTGGCGCTAGTTGTTGTTGCACTTAAACTGAACTATTTTCTTCTCTCTATTTCTTCATTTCTCATCCTCTATATGTTGTTGAACTGTATCCTGTAAATTGTTTGAAGCGATTAGTACGGGCGGCAATATCGACTCTCGTTGGACGGCAACGGTTCGTATCTTTTAGGTCGATCACAATCTAAATCTCACTACATAATACACATGATTGCTTTTTTTAACTATTCAAATCAATTCTTGTCTACCAGATTGTTGGTTGCCAAGAGGGGAAGACATCTCAGATGCAAAATTTGACACCCTAAGGTGTCCACTTTGTAACCGCAGAGAAGATAATAGCATGTCACTGCTAAGCACATAGTGTGGCTCCATACAGTGGGGGGTCAGAAGTGTGGAATCACCCCACCTTAAAGCGCGTCCTGACGCGTCTTCCTCTATGCATCGATTTTTTCCTTTCTCCCATAACTTCAGGAAATAGAGGCCAATTTACAAGCTTTTTCTTCTCATTTATCAGGAAATCGAAAGCCTAACGATGAGTTATCAAGAGATCAGCGGATCGCGATTGTGGCCTTTGTGCTAGCTGGCCGAAGTTACCGCAACGCGGCTGCGGTCTTCAACTGCTCCTATAAGGCAGTCGCCAACACACTTCAACGATACCGAGAGAGCCAATCTTTTGAGTCTGCGCCCCGAAAAGGCAGGCCGCCAAAACTTAATAGGCGGGAGAAAAGGGCAATTATCAGGTTTACTCGCCGTAACTTCCGGGTTACCTACTTAGAGCTTACTAAGTCTTAGAAAGGCCGAGTTAGCCTTAGTACTATTAAGCGGACTTTGCAAGGCACCAACTTTCGTAAATGGAGGGCTATAAAAAGGCTGTTTATTACTAGAGAAGCAGCATTAAAGAGGCTTGCTTTTGCTAGAGAATGGCTACAAAAAATCGAGGAGTTGATGATGGTACCCCTATCTCTAGACTTACCTCTCATATAGGCCTTCTTACTGATTTTCTTTTTATGTAGACCCAGTTCTCTAACGAGAGCTCATACCAGAATAACTCCTTATCGCCCTTGGCCTAGGTATTTAGATTCCCTTCTGAGCGCTAGGATAAGCAATTCATTAACCTAACAAGCCACGTTAAAGCAAACATCTCAATCATGGTGTAGGCAATGATATGGAAAGAGGGTCAGAGTAAGCTCATCTTTCTCGTAAGAGATACAACCACCCAGAGGCAAGGATATAGCTCTAATAGCTATATATCATGCCTAGAAGAAGGATATCTTCCTAACAGAGACGAAACGTGTCATTTTATGCATAATAACGCGCCTATACATAATGCTGTAAAGACCACAGATTGGATGCTTAACCAGGGGATCTCCTGGATAGACTGGCCCCCATACTCGCCAGATCTCAACCCGATTAAGCATTACTGGCGTATAATGAAGGATAACCTGCGAAGGCTATACCCAGAAGCATTTGACCTTAGGAAAAACAAGCTAGATATCAAAAGATTCAAGGAGCAATTACAGGCGGCGTAGGAGGCAATCCCACAAGAGAAGATACAGGCGTTAATCGAGTCATTGCCAAGGCGCTTGAAGGCAGTCGTAAAAGCACAGGGTTAGTATACACGATACTGACCGGTAAACTTAGGGCTTTAATTTGACTATAGTCTTGCCATATAATTCAAAAAGTTGATAGTTTTGTTGCTGGATGAAGTGATGGGGTGAAAATGCAGGTGGCTGGGTGAAGCGGGGGTGATTCCACACTTCTGACCCCCCACTGTATGAGTAACTCAACACGGCCATGGAACCATCAATATAATGCAAAACTAACGTAGCCTTGAAGAGAGCGAAATAACTGGGAGATGCTTCCTCGACAGGCGGGAAATAAGTGTAGTACAACACGCACTCGAGCTAATGTTGAGAAGACGTATGGAGATTATAGAAGAGACAGACCAGCATAGAGCTCGGACATTCTTCACCATTGTCAGCATCCGAGCGCCGTTCGAATCAAACCTAATGGAGCTAGCTCCGAAGCATGCCGTGCTGAGCTCTTGGAAATCCTTCCGATCTCGAAAATTGGATAAGCGGCCGACTTGGCAGTTTGCGGCCTTTTCTTCTTGCTACTCATCATGAATCCCTCGATGATTGAAGTGTTGGCAAAATGATCCCAGCCACCTCGAATTTTCCGACATTGGTTGGGCGTCGATACCCGGGGAAAGGTGGCAGGCGAATTGTAAGATCCTTCTGATCGGAATTGACTCGGAGAACGGCACACATCTCCGAAGACCAAGATCGCAACTTACTCCGTAGCAAGCTCGTCAACAATGTTGATACATGCTTGAAAAACCGCAGAACAAGCTTACGGACAAGCATCGAGGCCGTAGATCTCTCAATTGTTACTGTATTATGCACGGGCACCATGACTTCCCCATTGGTACCTTCAAAATCAGGTTTCAATTGAATCTCCCAGGTCCAGGGGCCCACAGTAGTAGTGCCTCTTATGCAGACAGCGGCAACGGCTCGGAGGACATGTCTCGTTGCGGCAACTGCAAAACGATCAACCGCTCTGCATCGTTTTCGCCCAGCCCATGTCACCTTTATTATGATGGAAGGGTCGAATTGCGTGAAGGTCTGCGAAAACCGGTTAGATGCTGGAGGAGGAGCGAGCTGGATGGTTTTACATCAGCATCTGTCATCCGTAAACAATAAGCGATTTGCGCCAAGGGTGATAGCAATGTTCCTCTCACACGTGACGGCTGGATTTAGGCACGAAGAAACCTGCGCCTTTTGATGGTTATATGATGTGCTTCCCATCTTGGTCGTCTCATAGGCCTCCGTATAGGTTGTCAGTCACTTTGGGTGGGTGACGTGAGGTTGCAGCGCCGGGGAGTGCTTCTGAACAAGGATTAGCTCTGCGTCGTAGTACAAACGGAATCGAGCTGTCCGCGTCTCAATCGTTCCCCCACGGTAGCCCGGCCCCAAGGTTGCACCGGGGACCGGGAGGGAGTGAGACGAGGTGAAGCTTGCCCAGCTGTGCCACCGGTTGCGGGGCCAGAAAATCACACCACTTGAATACACTTGTAGAGATTGATTAGATTGCGTTGCAGCCATCCTCAATCATCTCGATCTTGTCCACGGGAAAACCCTCAACATCCGGGGCTTGACACATCTTCGCTGGCACTTTCAGACGCTGGAGGTGTACGCCATAGCACAACCCGTTGGTCACAAGATGTCACTCAGAGCGACATGTAGTTGGGTAAGTGATATCTTTTCGAGATAACGACCCCTTAAGCTCTGGGGATCGATCCTCCGAGGCGACCCTGACCGAGCCGTCAAGCCGTGAAGATAGACCAGTGACTTGTGTCGGTAGCCAACAGGCAATGCAACGCTGCGCTGCCCCGTTCGCAGGTTCGTATTCCGTCGGCCAGGACTCCACAAGCTTGGCGTACAGAACACTCAATCGCAACGGCAGACCTCGACCCTGCCAACCGGTGTTGAATCATACTTCGCAGACCGGGCCGTAGGCGTTGGCCTGATGTCATTTGTGGACTTCATGTGAAGAATGACAGCAACGTCCAACCAAATCGAAGTGCTTGCGTCAAGCCCTTCCAGCAGCCACGATTCTCAAAACGGAACGTGCAGCGGTTGCAGAAATCTGCCCGGTTTGATGGCGGACTCGATGAGGGCATTCCCCAGTCGGCTGCGCAAGGGTTTCCGGGGGTTTCCTGTTTGAGAAAATCACGGCCAGACTCAACCGCAGCCTGACAAGGACATGGCTTCTCTCCAAAGACGTCGATGAGACCTTCTGAACGCGGAAAAGGCGTTTCGATATGTCAGTCTGAGAAATGAATTGTAGTTGTGTGGAGCTCAGAGTCTGCTGCCTGCGGAGAACTCACTCAATATCCTTGCAGATAAACTTGCTTGTGATGCAACTCGAGGCGGTCATACGTGGTGTTGAGGTGTTTTCTTCCTGCATCCGATCAAGGAAGGAGGACTAAAAGATTGTCGAAGTTTGGGGGAGAGAAGGTTGAGCACCATGGTCCGAGAAGGTCTGAATGGGTAATTATTTAAAGCCTAGACGACTCGCAATCTATTCAACACTTAGGGATCTCAGGAGCATTCATTCCTTCAATCAATTAGGATTTGGAATAGTCCGTTCTTTTTTTGGTACACATTTGGAATCTATCCTTGCGGCAATCTTTCCTGTTCTATTTCTGTCTCGCAAGTATGCAGAACAAAACGGCTCAAGACTCGGTGTCAACTCCGGTTGGGTCAGTCCCCCTCTCTTTCACCCAGGGCGCACGAATCAAGTCCAAGTTTTCCACCGTCACGGCCGCCTTTTATCATCATGCAGAGAGTCAACCAGACGTCACTGCAGCTCGTGACCTATCAGCACAGCAGGTTCGAGATATCACATATGGCGATCTTGCTCGTCGAGCCAACCAGCTGTCAAGAAAGCTGAAGAGTCTCGGGGTCCAACCTGGTGATCGAGTCCCGCTTGTTGTTAAGCGAGGCATCAACATGCTGGTTGGTATTGTTGCGATCCTCTCATGCGGAGCTCAATACGTGCCACTTGACGGTGGCGTAGTGCCTGACTCTACGCTGCGATTTGTTCTCGAACAAGCGGGCAGCAAGCACGTTTTGTGTCTAAAGTCAACTAAACACCGATTTGAGACACTCGGATACTCCTGCGAGGCCCTTATCATTGACGAATACATGGAAGAGATCAAAGACACTTCAGAGACTCTTCAGCATACTGACCTGGCTAAGCCGGAGCACGGATGCTATGTTATCTACACATCAGGTAAAGGGATTCTAGAAGTTACAAACAGCTTCAAGCGAGTAGAACAACTGATCAGGCCTTCAGGAACTACTGGCACACCCAAAGGAGTAGACGTCACCCACAGAAACGTGACTAACCTCGTGTGTCTTTCACCTGGCAACCTGGGAATCTCAACTGGGACACGCGTAGGTCAGGTATTGAACATCAGCTTCGACATGGGTAAGACATTGAGCCAAAACTTTAGATTCTTGTTACTGATTGATCCATAGCCGCATGGGAGATGCTTGGATGCCTCTGCAATGGAGGCACCCTCGTCCTCCGAGGTTCAAATTGGGAACCATGTCTGAGAGAGGCAAGTTCTAATCTCACAAGTGTACGAATACCCAGCAAGCTAGACTAACAGACTTTTCAGGCTCAGGTTTTGATCTGCACACCAAGTATCTTGGCAAAATACGATCCTCGAGAATACACCAATATCAGCGTTGTTACAACTGCCGGTGAACCGAGCTCTCAAAGGTAAGGTTCAGTGTGAATCAACGAAGTTGAACTTGGCCTGACCATTTATTTAGACTCGCCGACTTATGGGCCACGCACGCGACCTACTACAATTGCTGCGGACCAACAGAAACCACTATTGTCAACACCATGCACCTTCACCATCCAGGAGAGACATTAACAATCGGTAAGCCAACTCCTAATAATGAAGTCTATATCCTCGATTCCAATGGAAGGTCTCTTGGTATCGGTGAAGCTGGGGTGATGTGGGCCGGTGGTCATGGCATCTCTCGCGGCTACGTTTCTCTGCCGGAGAAGACCACTGAGAGATATAAGCCAAATCCTTTTATTAATGATGAGTAAGTACTTGAGAATACTCTGGTAATAGTTTCACTAAATTCTGCTAGGTCCTTGATGTACAACACCGGTGACCTCTGTCGCTGGAGACATGATGGCTCCATTGACATTCTCGGCCGAGTCGACGACCAGATCAAGATCAAAGTTAGTAAAGTTATCTTTCCTGTATCTGTTTACGCAATCTTACGCAAATAACAGGGCTTTCGAGTCGAGCTCGACGGTGTTGCTTCATCGATCAACACTTGTCCTGTTGTCTCTAAGGCCACGGCGCTCTTGATAGACAACGAGATCCATGGATTCATCACGCCCCGAAACTGTAACTTGAACGCCATTCAAGCCCACGTCAAAGCTCGTCAGCCTTACTATGCCGTCCCTACCAAGTTCCACTTCCTCGACACTATGCCTCTGACTTCTAATGGCAAGGTAGATAAGCGTGCCTTGCGAGACTTAATCACCAAGGCCGACAACAAAGCAGAGACGAGCATCGCCATCAAAGATATCGGCTCCAAGGAGTCGTTTTCTTCGGATACCAGTTCTTCCACTGCCGACCTCAAACCTGACTCCTCTGCTTCTAGCTTTACAGCGGTGGATGAGAAGCTCGACCTTGACCGAGACGTCCCTGCTAAGCTCTGGGCTCAGCCATTCCGCGGCTTCATGCACCGCATTGCTATCGTATATCGCCGCTTGTTCACCATCGTTGGCCTCTTAAATATCGCCGCGGTAATTGCGATTGTGTTTTGTGGCCTCCAGAGAAACTGGCTCAGCAATCTCACTGCTATCAATCTTGTTCTCGCCGTCCTCGTCCGCCAAGACTTCGTCATCAACGGCCTGTACACAATCACATGCAACGTACCCAAGTCCTGGCCTCTTGCCATCAGAAAGCGCTGCGCAAAAATTTACCATTTCGGAGGTGTTCACTCAGGCGCGGCTGTTTCCGCAGGCGCTTGGCTTCTCGCCACCAACATTAGTGATGAGGTCTGCCAACTCACGGAGTGTCCTACCTGGGGCTACCAGTCTATGGCCTCAAAAGTCATGTCTTGGATGCTCACCGGTTTGTTCACTATCACGATTGGACTCGCTTGGCCTTCTTTCCGAAAGGGGCATCATGATCTCTTCGAGAAAACACATCGATTCGTTGGCTGGACCATGCTTGGTCTGTTTTGGGTCCAGGTAGTACTTGGTGCCAACGATGGAAGAGCGGCGGGCATGTCCCTTGGCGCAGCTTGCATTCGAACTCCCGGCATATGGATGCTTGCCGTGGCAACCCTGAGCATTGCATCTTCTTGGATGTTCCTCAAAAAAGTTCCTGTCGAGGCTGAGGTTCTATCCAACCACGCTGTGAGGCTGCATTTCGGCTACGCTGTCCCCGTTAATGGCAGCTTCGTTAGACTTTCCCAACGACCACTCCTCGAGTGGCACTCGTTTGCCACCATCCCGGCCCTAACAAAGTGGGACATCACCCCAAGGGCTTCTCGTTAGTTGTCTCGAATGCCGGTGACTGGACTAAAAACTGCATTGAGAAGCCACCTACTCAAATTTGGGTGCGCGGTGTTCCCACCTGTGGCGTCATGCGTATTGCGACTTGCTTCAACAGCATTGTTGTGATCGCCACCGGTTCAGGTATCGGACCTCTACTTGGGCATATCCAGGATCAAAGCTGTGCAACTCAGTTGATCTGGTCTACCCCTAGACCCGAGCAAACCTTTGGCAAGCCGCTGCTTGATACCATTAAGTTGAAGATTCCGAACGCGGTGATTCATGATACCAAGACTATGGGTCGCCCGAACTTGGTCAAGATGGGCTACAACCTGGTGAAGAGCTTCCAAGCTGAAGCTGTCATCATCATCGCTAACGAAAAAATCACGAAGAAGGTGGTTTACGGGCTTGAGACACGTGGTGTTCCTGCTTACGGCGCTATTTGGGACTCCTAATATGTTGCGCATCTTTTCCTCTTAAAATTCTCGAGATTTTTAATGATGATTTTAAAGGCTTTTCGTTTGATTTTGTGTTGGGGGTGATGGAACAACTTCGTCGCGGTTTATTATCACTTATTTCAGTCCTTAACTTTTATGCTTCCCTTTTGATATTCACAGTCAGTGGTACTTAACTTAGGTAGCGTTTGAGAATGGATATTCAATCTGCAACAGCCTGTTGCTGCAGGCGACCCGAAAATCCGGCGTACCTGTTCACAGCACGACCACTTTCTTACCACGATCTAGGCATAAAGAGATTCCCCTCCCCCTTTCCCCCAAAGAACGAAATCTGTGCTAAAGACTCAGTGACATATTCTCACTCTGGGTTCCCGCTAGTAAACACTTGACTAAGCTGCCTTGGTCCTTCCAAAATCCAGCTTCTCCCATTTCATGAAACAGCCACTCAAGAATGCCAAAGCTCCCGCGGCCACAACAATAAATTGCATGTCCGCAATTACGCTCGCAACATCTTCCACGGCCAGTAGAATCACCTGGGGGTCTGCAGCTGCCCAAATCTTGGAATCTAGACCGGCCAAAGCTTCGCGAATGTCGTGTTCACTATAACCCAGTCCAGAAAGTGAAGTGTGTAGACGGCTGTATCCAAGATTTTGGAAGACGCAACCTGCCAAAGCTAGCGTGACCGAAATTCCACCGAGCTGCACCATGATAAAAAGGGCAGTAGCATCAAGGCGTCGATTCGCGGGTACGGTTTGGGTCAAGATGGCAACACCAGTCTGCCACATGCATCCGGTTCCAGCGCCTATGAGGGTGCTGACTCCCATTATTCGGCCCTCGGAGCTCTGGGACGTGAGCTGTGACTGGACCCCTGCGCCAATCATGGCCAAGGCGCCACCAACCACGTAGAACGGAGCGTATCTGCCAATTACGGGGATGAGGCCGGCCATTACAATGGTAAATACAATGAAGGTAAAGATGAAGGGTAGAAGTCGGACGGCAGCTTGGACTGGCTCTAGTCCCTTAGTGAAAGCAAGAAAAAGTGGAGTGTAATATAAAGTGATGCCGTAGCAGCTTCCAGCAGCGAATGTCCCTAGACAGATCAGAGAAGTCGTCTTGTTCTTGAAGAGGTCTGCGGGGATGTTCCGGTTTTCTTTGCTGGTGAAGACAGAGAAGTATTGTTGCAAGAAATAAGATGCGTAGATTACGCCGACAAAAACCCAGGCCAAAATGGTGGAGTGCGTAGACCAGTCCCATGTAGAACCGCTGAATATGAGAGCTGAGCACAACAGGACGAAGCCGGCCATGTGCAGAACCGCGCCAGTCCAGTCTATTGCAAGAAGCCCGCCAACTATAGGCACATTGGGTGCCACATGAATGGGGGCAACGCTACAAAGATGAGCACTCCGATGACGGCGAGAATCGGTAAGTTCAGGTACATGGCCTAGAATTGAGTTAGCCTACTAGAAACGCTTGCGAGGTAGCGAACGAGCTGCTACATACCCATCTCCAGGTGGCGTTCTGGTTTTCGGCAAAGGCACCACCAATAACAGGGCCCAAAGTAAGTCCGATAGCCCAGGACACCGCCATCAGACCTTGCAAACGGGGCAATTCTGCAGGCGTGGAAACGAATACATTGACGAGAAGAACCCTGTTTGGTAGTTTTTAGTTGGACCGAGCGAGGTGTCAACGAGGCTTGTGCTTATCACTTACAGCTGGTAGATACCAGCCCCTCCAATACCCGCAACAACACGACCGATAATGACCGAGTTTATGCCAGTAGCTGAGCCCGATACAGCGGCGCCAACCATGAAGATTGTTGTGTAGACAACGATTTGCCATTTAACGCTGCCAAGGACCGCAAGTTTGCGTACGAGCGGAACCAGGCATACTTGGGACGCAGTGTAACCCGTGGCGACCCATGGTAAAAGATGAACATTTCCGAATGCTTCATAAATCGGAGGTTGGATGTTCGCGATATTGCTGACGTCGTAACCTTGGAATTGACATTGATATGTCAGTTTACTGATCGCATGGTTGAGTCTGAAATGGGCTCTGAAACGTTGATCACTTACCCAGGAGCATACCGCCTAGGATAAAAGCTACTTGAACACACGGCCATCTCCATGATGACCAATCCTCTCTTGGGTGCCTTTTCTGGTCTGTACTTTTCCTGACCTCCTTGGTCTCGGGAAGGACACTTCCTGTGCCAGAGCTGCCATGTTCGACGTCACTGCCCGAGGTCGCCTTTGTATCGGTTTCCATCATTTTGAGTGAATATGCCGTTAACGAACTGTGAAGACAGGATAACACACAATAAAATAGGAGCCAGACAAAAGCTTCAATGACAAGAAAAGTTGCGAGACAGTGACGGGGGGTGCCAGATATAAGCAACGACTTCACTTGCGCTCCGCTGTCGGAGATTTGCCAGCCTGCTCATTCTTATCTTGCTTGTGGACGGCAGACACCCCTACGTCGCTGGAATTTGGCTGCCAATGCTTATGCAACGTGTTGCTTGCTTCGACCAGTAGCCCAGAGAGTCTAATCTGGCGCTTCTGTCCAACTACTAGGGTCAATAAACACTCAGTAGTATCGTTTGTCGATGGGGGCCAGCACTACTAAATCCGGGTGATGAATGCAACCAAATGTCCCAGATCTGGAAAGAAAGCCGCGGCTCGGGTGACAAGAACCAACGCGGAAACTAGGGTGATACATGATCTTGGCTGGCGCTGTGCCGCAATTCGTTGTGCTCGGAGGTGACACGTCCCTAGGATCTCAACTCGCCCATATTCGGGCGCATTGCCAACATATTCTCATCGCCCGGCTTGACTATTCGTAAAAGTCCTGAGCATATCCGTTTATGCCGTGCGTGCCAATAGAGCTTGAGGTGATGTAGAGAGGCTCTCACGTCAGCCGTAGAGGATCCGAATGACGGAATTTCAGCCGTGCAGAGTGCCAATAAGCTGCGGAAGGAAGTTTTTCTGCTCTTCTATAGCCGCTTTCGGTAAGATTGCTTCGTTAACGGCCGCATCTCCCCCATTTTCATCATGTTTGTCTGCATGTACCCTGGCTGGGCTGTCGGGCCGGCAGAACGAGGATGGATCCATGTAATCAGGTGCAGCACCCCAGCAAATGAGAGGATGAGACTAACGACGTTCTTCGTTTTGCTATCGCCGATCATCGACTTGTCAGCGGCAGAACAGACTTGGCAGCGGCAGGCAAGCCTGAACATCCATGATCCAGAGGTTGAACCAGTTCGTAATGGCAACGAAAGTTGACCAATCCTGATGAAGGCATGCGCCACGCTTGTATGGCGATGCAGACTAGCAAATCAAAAGATATAAGGAAATCAACACCATGGCATTATTGCGGTTGGGTTGAACAGAAAGGATGGTATTAATGAACCCTACATCTTATCGTAATTTCACGAGGCACAGAAGCTTCCGTCGTTGATTTGAAGTTAACTTCCAAACGGATTGTGATTTTATTACATCTAGAATGGCCATTGACTAATATGAGAATAACGATTGTTAAAGAGCTCAATTGCAGCTACAAGTTGATGATACAAGGACCAAAGCTTGCATTTGAGACTAACGGAATATCAAACTGATCGCAACATGGCAATATAGCTTTATACTAGAGAAGAATGATAAAGCTGGCAATGATTGACGGACTGTTGTGGGTATCTTCTACCTTGGTAGCGCGAACACAGAAGCACAAAGCTCGAGACAACCTGGAGATTGGTACTCTAGGGAAAAGTTGCCGATGCAGTCTTTCTCATTGCTAAGAATAACCAAACAAATACAAAAGCTTTGTGAAGATGGTTTATGACTACGCATCACCTCGCAGAAATATATCCTGCATTGTGTCGTCTCATAACTTTCTATGAGACAAAAGGAGCAAAGGAGAAAAAGAAATTCTCGGTGATTTGCCATCATGATGGGGTGACTACCTGCCTATTGATGTTCATCCGTTGACTTGCCTGCTGAATCGCAGTCCGATGGCGCTTAGGGTCGTCGTAGTCTGGGCGAAGCTGGTTCTACACAGGAATGTAAAGCCCAAAGAGGTTGAAGAAGCAAGAACTCTTCACTTATGTTGAGGCTTTGCGTGCATCAAGCTCCTGAGAGCATCTGACTGGATAGAACTCCAGAGCAAGAGCTTGGATCCGTTCTCCTGACGGAGCGTAGCTTATAGCATTGAGCTTGAGGATCAAAATCTCTGCAACCTAGATATTAGTACCATCAATGCCGATGTATTCAGCAAAAAATCCGTCGACACCGGCTCACGCGACTTCGGTGACTCTCTGGTCGCATGCTTGAAAGAGCCCCGGGGTCGACAGAACCAGGCTTAAGAGAACGACGCTTCCGCTAGCTTGGCGAATTATAGTAGGTGAATGACACGTAGATAGCATGCTAACATGAAGAACCCCCGACATGCGTGCTTCTCCAAACGAAAGCCTTGGAGGGGAGATATTTTTCCATTCATTAGAGAGATGTTGACGAGTATTGGCTGCATTTAGCGATGAAGTTGCCAATACTACGAGCCTATACAATTGACCAAGCAGGTAATTTCTCTCCATGACTTTGCAATGACTTACTAACATCGGAACAACTCCCCGGAAGAAGGCGAGAAGAATTAGAATCGCTGGATGTAAATAGAGCTTCTCTCAAACAATTCATGGACTTGTTTGTGCCTGATTTTCGGCTCGTGCTCTTTAGTTCAGGTGGTTCATCAGTTCCGGTGACCCACTATTTATCGGCTAGCATGTCTTGTGCGCCGACCGATTGCAACCAACCTCCCCATTCCTTACCATAAACACCATCTTCCGAAGAGATAACAAAAGATCTGGTTCCCGCGATCAAGTCAAGATTTAAAGTAGATCAAAAATTTGATTGTGCCCAGAGGCGGATTCGAACCGCCGTCAACACGGATCGTTGTATAGAAGAACCACAACGTATCATCCTAACCAACTAGACGATCTGGGCGACTAGGGCCTAAAACCCTTACTTGACGTTGTTGGCTGAGAAAAGCAACAAGAAGGTCACTTGGTTTCGCGCTCGACAATCGACCTCTCTTCCCATGGCTGTTTTTAGTTCGCTATTGGGATCTGTTATTTGTTTGGGTTTCGTCGGTCTATGCTCGCTCGGCTATGTCAATCCTGGCTTGGTTTCTGCTTGTTCAGCTGTAGGAGAATACATCTGCGAGAAGCACATTGTCTCTTGTGGCTGGCTTATGCAACAAGGACTGCCAGCTCGGCAGTGAGTAAAGCACGACTGAGGATATCACAGGCGTCTGAGGTCTCGATAAATTTGGCTACTAGATGGATGGAATGCAGTGCTCTTACCGACGGAAACTCAAATGGTACTAAGGTTCTCGACGTCGACGGACCAGCTTCGCGCAATTCATATCAACAAACAACACGTGAAAACATGCATTGTCGGCGACGCCTTGAAACTCGGTCTGCAACAAACAATCAGTTTGTTTCTTTCACCGTATTAGATACGACGTCAGGATACTTAGAGCTGGAGAACTTGATTAATTTTTGAAAAGGCTTCCAAAGAAGGATTTGTCCGCCCTAGGACAATGCTTTCAAGGCCAACTCCTTTTTCACATCGATCAGTTTATTATAGCAACGAACAGTGCACAATGTCGTGAATCTGAACCTCTCGAACAGCTGTTGGCTGACTACTCGAGCTTTCATGCTGTATATGAATGCGCTCATCTTACACCCTAGACAGCTCTCAAGTTGTTACAATCCATCCAGCTAAATCAGCTTCCACTAGCCAGCCTATCTCTTAACCAATCTTCTTCAATCTTCGCAACCCAGACCAACGCCATAAGACCGCTCTTACTACTGCATTCCATCCGGATTCTAAACAGATAGGAAGAACAAACAACCCATGGTCGACTTCGGAAACATGGGCAAGAAATCGGGTGATGATGTCAAAGGACGTGGCAAAGGACAACGCCTCTACCCGCCCCAGGATGACATCAGCACCCGAACTGCTCTTCTTTATAGGGGGATGGACCAAGTTGGGGTGACAGACCCATTTGTGGAATCCAATGTTGGAACCCAGGCGACCGGAGCAGCCCAGCAAAATCTGTTCGATACCTATCGCGCCACAAGAGCTGCGGCGGTAGCTGACCCGGTCTCCCTCTACCGGCAAGGTCGGTACATGCCTGCAGGAGCTGATTATTGCCCCATGCCAATCCCAGAATTCCTTCGCAGAGTGTCAGCGTACGCGCATGCTCAGCAGACGCGGGAAACTGTAGATTCTAAGAATCCAGGCACTTATCCGTCGTACGATGGTGCTCTCCAGCCGCCAAGGGCAAATATTCCTAACAACCTTCCTGGTATTAGAATGCAGGTATCTGGGGGTCATAGACACCCGAATATTGGACCTTTTCAACCTCATAGACCCACTCCTGTAGAACAACAGCGCTCCAATAATCCACAGAGCAACTCGGCAGTGGTCAGAGTGTGTCCACAGTGTAGGGAGGTTCCCCTCGGTTCCGGACCCATCGTGAACGATAAACCCACCTATCCTGTCTGTGAGAAGTGCCGCCAGGTCAATATCAGACAGCAAGTACTCCGAGGCATTGCAGCACAGGCTCTCATAGAGCTCAATCAGCGCGCCGTTGTCCAAGGCCCCGGGCACAACGACCAAGGAGATGACGTGAGAGGCCAATCTCGCAATGGACTCGGCTCCGTCCCCAAGACTCCTCAACAATTCCTCTGCCTACGATGCAAGAGACCAAATGTGCCTCTGGCCCCTGGCCGAAGACGTTGTACGGAGTGCATCTGCATTCTTATTGCCTTTGGCCCGGACGGCGACGAAGAGAATTTTAGTGCTTATGATAATCAACAGCCACAGAAGCAACAGGCAGCAGGACTGCGGTTGCAGCAACAGCCTCCATATGAGCTTTGGCACATGTGTGACGGTTGCTTCAAGAAGCCGGTTCCCCCCGGCGGAAGAAAATGCCCGGACTGTGTCGTCCGGCCTGCCTCAGACGACCGTACTGCGGATGTGTGCGTCATTTGCGAGCATAATCCCACTATCAAAGGTCAATCCTACTGCGACAAATGTGAAGTCGAGGGCACTCGCAATTTGTCGCAACCGTATTAAGCCATACCATGCAGTGAAATGCCTGTGCTAACTGTGCCGACAGGACTGCATAAAGTATGGACTATGCTGGGGCTGTCATATGGTTGATACTACCTCAAATGGCGCTGCATGTACAGGCAAGTCACTGCTCAGGGTAGGTTATTCAGGCTGAACGGAATGGAGGAGGATTTGTTGGCCTGGGAGAATCAGGCGAGATGCTTAGAGAACAGCAGCGTTAATGCGACCGAGCAGGATTTCTAACTTAAGACGGGTTCGAGCTGCTTTCTGTTGACTTAGTCTGAGCATGGGACAAGCTAGGTACCTGTACGTGAGGGTGGCTGGGGATAGTTGGGTGGCATGCGTGTTGTTGCCAGCATGGATAGATGCAAAGTGGTAGGTTATTGAAGTATTTGGAGCACACAATCACGACAACACGGCTCCTGGTTTATTAGAATGGGTTCGAGCTTTGTCAACAGACAGTCGGTGTTGGGATCCGACGCTCTCCATGGAAAGTTCCACTCTAGCAGGGGTCAAGGCATTCAACAGAAGTTAGACAAGTCATTTCAAAATGAGTGTTGTCCAAGTCCCAGTGCTAGGTTGTGTGGGAAATCGTACGTTGAAGCATATTTTGGCCAAATTTTTCTGAACGAACGGGTACGAGTTGACAAACATCGATCGCGAAGCTCGAATAGAACTTCCATGGAGAAACTGTATTGCTCTTCTTTTATCATGCTCAGAACCGCCACCGTCTTTGATTACATACGCTGCCGCCCCTTTTTGATCGAGGCAAGAAATGATGTACACCAATGCCACCCTTTACATTCCGTTCGCGCGTCTTCCACCACGTTTACTCCGATCAATATGACCCTGCAACACCTTGCGCGTCTGCACCAAACTCCTCTTGTTCTTGTGCTTGGCCTTGTTCAGCGTCATCAAGAAGTTCTTCTGGCGCGCCTTCTCCTTGTTCGTCGTGCTCTTGCCCTCAGCATCCTTCTTGGACCGGCGGATGGCCTGCGTCGACTTGTGCTCCTCGCGGCCTGGCTTGCCCTCCTTGGCCATAGCCACTCTCTCCTCCTTGGTAGTCTTGCGTAGCCTGGCCGGCGCCTCAATCTGCTCGGCAGTGAGACCATCGTCGGCGTGCCGGGCCAGAGCCTTCTCAATCTCCTTTTGACGCTTCGAGGAACGATTGCCCAACGTCTTGTTCAGGTTGGCTTCCATGCGCAACTCCTGGAGCTTCTGGAGGTCGGCAGGCGTGAGGATGGTGGTCGTAGCCAGCTTTTGTATCCTTTCGATCTCGGCGGCATTGTCCTCTTCGTCGTCCTCGGAGTCGGATCCGTCCTCTCCTGTCCTACGCTTCTTCGGTGCCGGCTCGTCATCTTCATCTTCTGAGTGACTGACGTTGATCCAACCACCCGAGTCATCGCTATCGTCAGAGTCGACTTCCCAGTCTTCAGACTTGTAGCCGTCTTCCTCCTCGTCTTCCTTATCGGAACCGTCCTCAGGAAGACCCTTGGCAGCACGCTTAAGCTTGCGCTGCTCCTCCTTCCACTTGGCCAGCAATTCAATGCCCTCAATACCTCCAACCTCCTCCTCTCCAAATCTCTTCGTCTTCATCTCGCCGCTCCTCAAACCCATGGACGCATCCTTGCCTCTGTCCTTCTTCATCAACATGTCCGCACCAACTTCTCTGTACAGTGACAAAAGACCCTTGGCAGCCATCATGGTTCCCTTGTCTTTGCTCTTTCGGTACTGGACAAGATCCTGCAGCAGCGTGTCGGTCATGGCTAGCGGCTGTCTTGCGCAGATCTCACGGATAGCGTTGAGGCCGGCGGCAGCAACTTCGGAGGCGGCGGCTTCTGACACAAACTCGTTGGCGATCTTCTGAATAAGAGGCTCAACCGCATCAGGGGGAACCAGGCTATGCGTTCCCTGGGCGAGCGAAGCCAGGTAAGAGGTAACAGACTCTTGACGAGGCGTGAGGAACTTGATGAACCACGAGTAGAGGCTGATGATGGTCAGCTTGTGGAGACCGACCAGTCGCGTCACCAGCTGTAAGACCAGAAGTTTGTTCTCGTGCGCCATCTTGGTCTTGGTGTTCTGCAAGTGCTTTGAGAAAACGTTCTCGGCGAAGCCTTGCGGGTCGTGCAGGAGATGGAACGCCGAGAAGTTAAGCGGGTGAGGCTTGGCCTTGCCGCGCTCCTGCTTGTGAATCTTGGCGACGGCCTTCTTGTAGGCGTTGGCCTGTTTCTTAGACTTCTTGTTGATGCCGATCTGATGTTTCATCTTCTGCAGGTCAATTGCCTCTTCGTCACTGCTGTCGTCCTCCAGCTCTTCCCGCTCCTTGTCTCCACCGAGGAAGAATCGCACAGCACCGATAACAACCTTCTCGTTGTCGGAAAGGGCGGCCTCCTTCATGACGTCTACGGTCTTCGCATCGGTCCAGATCTGACGCTTCCATAGCTCGCGCGTGAGCTTCACAGCCCAGATGGCCTTTGGCGAGGTGCGGTCGGCTGTGATGAGGTTGTAGAGAACGGTCTGGATCGTGCGGTTGAGGGGGTGATTCGTCGCCCTCGAATTCGCATTGCGCATCTCGGTAAGGATCTTCTGGAAGAGGAGCGTACGCAGCGTCTTGCTTGGCGATGAAACAAGAATCGGGAACAAGGTCGTCAGGAAGCTCGTCGAGTCGATCACCTCCTTCTTGCGCAAGAGCGCCAGACTTCCAACGATCTTCTCGCGCAGTTCGGGGTGCAGGACCTCATGGTGCTGCAGCAGGATCGCCTTCAGGTCGTCGGGGAACGCAACGGCGTGTTTTGGGTACAGGTCCACAGTGTGTGCGAGAAGATCGACGAGGTTATGGAAAGACTCGGTGTATTCTCTCGTCGCGGTCGTCGGCGAGACGAGGAAGACCTCGCGCTGACTCTCGTACTGTCCCCATTGCTGGAGGAAGTTCTCCTCGTAGGACTTAGGGTCGCGGCGGATTTTGTACTGCAGACTCGCACTGCGAAGGTTAGCAATTGACGTACACGGCAGGTTCAGACATTTCTTACAAGTCGACATCGACCTTCTCAAGGGCGGTGACCTTGCGCTTTCCCATGTTTGCTGTCTTCTTGGCTCGTGTCGGCGTGTATGGAGATGGCTAAGCGACGGCGGGGAGTTGCCCGTCAAAAAATCTCGAATGGAACTTTTTGCGTCTTATCGATATCTTATCGATAAGTTTATCGCTTTATCTAAGCACTTGTGGGTCTGACCGTGTGCTTTGACCGAGCCACACCGAGCTGCACTGTTGGGCGATCAGCGCAACGATGGACTTAACCTTAGTTTCCTTGGTTGCAGCCATAACGTTGTAACATTGTAAGAGGAGCCGGATTTTTTCTACTTTGCTCTGAATTTATTTGTTCTTTTGAGACAGTAAGACATTTGCTCCCAATGTCTAGTGTCAAGCTGATTTTGAGTGAGTTGAACAGACATCTAAAATAAAGCCATATGGCAATTTCACACAACGACCATCTCGATAATTGTAGAGGAGAAGCGCAGGAGAGATTTTGAGTCAAGATGCCCTCTCCCAGCGATAATCATATTGCGCGTGGGTGCGCTTAATAAGCTCAAGACCTTTGCCTAACATGGCCATCTTCTTTTCCACTTGGACCACAATATCAGGCGCTAAACGAACTCAGTTAACTTTTCATAACTGGAAATGTTGGCGAGACTCACCTTCTAAACATCCATGGAATGCTTCCTCTACATACATAGCTTCTACACTGCTCTCTGGCTTACCCTTTTCTTTCCGTTCTTTCTTAACTCGCTCCACGAACATCAACTGTTCCTGGACCAGGATGTCGATGGCAGCGACCACGAGCAACATATTCTCGGGCAATGTCTCCTCACTGGCTAAGCAAGGACTCATCCTTGGGTTGTCCATGTCCTTTGCCTTTGATGGTGCCGCGTATGAATCATAAAGTGGTTGTATGAACGACATTGGATCTGTCCTAGGAAAGCTCGCGGGGCGTGGCTTATCTTCTGGTCTGGGACGCAGATCGACCGGCGCGTAAAAGGTGATGGCGGCGCGAATGGCGAACTCCTTAGACGGTATCTGTTGACTCGCTGCCAGAACCAGATTGCCTCCCGCCGAGGCGCCCGAGGCCGTCATCAGTGTCGGATCCGCGCCAAACTCCTCTGCAGCATGCTGCCGAAGCCACGCAAGCGCTGCGTCAACGTCATCGATCGCAGCCGGGAAAGGATGTACAGGCGCGAAGCGGTAGCTCAGGCTGACGACAACCGCCCCTGTTTCTGCTGCGACGAGTGAGCAGAATGTAGCGCTTGCCTCCGGCATCCCTCCCACGAAGCCGCCCGCATGGCAGTCAACATGCAAGGGTCGCAGGCCCGTTCGACCGGTCCCTATACCGGGTTCCCAGAATAGAAGCGCACGGAGGCTGCGTCCAGGGTTAACAGGTATGTGAATAACAGTAAGGGGGGCGTCGGAAGAGGTTTGGAACCAAGACGAGGGAGTTTGTCAGGAAGACTATAGGTTGTAGGGCGAGGAGACGCCAGCGAAGGGACCAAGGGAGGTGGCGGCCGAAGAAGAGGGCGTCGAGGGTTGGCCCAACGAGGGCAAAAACAATGTCTTTGATTGTACGAAGCATGCTGATGACGAGGTAGTCATTCCGCTCCTATGCACTCGTGAGTCGTGAAACAGGCCGTCAGGCTCGCTCTATGGGATGAAGGTGTGGGACAGGTTCACGAGTACATTGTATGGAGCTACTGGAGTCACAAAACGTCACTTAATATATCGCACAAAATTGATCATTACGCTGCCAGTGGGCCGCGGAGTGTAAGGCGGCCCAACGTGAGACCGATCAGCTTAAAGTCAGCCGGCGGATGTCTTTAGGGATGACCCAGCCTCAGTAAACCATCGCCCTACCTACCTCCATATTCTTTACCCCTCAATCGCTGGCACGCAGGTAACGCGATCGAAGCGGGTCATCGCTGCACGTTTCGAAACATTTTCTGGGGAACGCTGGGCATGGACATGGGAGGGGGAACCGCTGTGTGGGTAACAGCGGAACAGAGTTCGGATGATGGGAAAAGATCGCAATCTCAGGCCCAGCGTCGTGGAACATCCGTCCGGCGAGGCATCCGGGACGGGGATGGAATCACGCAATCTGCGGGCGACTTAACGACTTGAGGCTTATTAGCCTTGGCTGAACGAAGAGGTAGGACATTCGGTTTAGGGTGTCTCCAAACGTTAAGTCGATATGAGATTTACTCGTGACAGTGGAAGGGGATCTTATTTATTGGGTTTTTTTCACCAAGACTCTTGACGCAACAAAGGGCTTGGTAGAAACCATGTGAGGACAGCATGAGACATGACAGCCGCGACTTTCGAACACTTCAGCCACGCCCTTGAATCGTCTGTTTCGTCTCAGCTGCTGGGCGTAAGGTTCCAGTTATCTACAGCGTTCTGCAAACACACTAACACAACTTCTTTCGAGCGGTAACCGGGTCCTGGGTTGCGCCAGTAAATGGCCTACTGAATGACAAGCGCATGATCCAGTCCGACGTCGAGCGTCAATATTGGTTCGAGCCAGTTCAAAGAGCGTCGACGAAATTAGTCTTAATTATTACATCTGAATGTGAATATCATAAACAGCGACAGACTAAATCCAGTCGTGTCTCCCATCAAGTCGGTCATGAACATTTTCCTTCGTGAATACGCGTACCCCAAACCACCAGGTCCGTTTCATCCCGTCTGCTTCTCAAGACAGCTGCTTTAGGGAGGCGAAGAGATGGAAATGCGAGGCCAGCGGAGTGAATGATCAAGTCCATTGAATTCATAGTCGAAGGGAGCTCATGATGATCCGAGGAAGCGAGGACTATTGTCCTTCCCATCCAATCTCTTCCGGCTTCACCATTGCCTCGTTCCCTCCCTCACCTAGCAGTGAGCCTCGAAAAGAAGATGAACGGCCTTTCTCATCCTTTTAACCCTTCCACCCCCACGTCTAGCAAGACGCTTACAAGTCTGTATGAACGTTAGCATGCCTTTTCCGCCAAAGTGGTGATGGCTTTCGAGACTTACCCTCGCAGTAGTCGACGGTGGTGGTGACGGTGACGGTGGGACGGGGAGCAGTGCTGGTGACAGCGGTGATGCCCCAGCAAGAGCAGGCAGAGGAGTACTCCGCAGCGTCGTCGCAGGAGGAGGCGTAGGCCGGGATGGCGGTGGGGAGCTCGGTGACCTGGCGGTTGGCGATCTGGCCGTCGCGGCGGAGGCGGGCAGGGGCAGCAGTGACGGTGATGGTGACGGTGCTAAGAGGGTTTGTTAGTTATAATCCCCAGCGTTGTTTCATTGTCCACCGAAGAAAAAGGGGGACGGAAGGGGTTGGCATACGTAGGGGAGGGGGTGACGGTGGCCTGGAGGAAGGACGAGCAGTCGGCCTTGCGGGAGGTGATGGGCAGGAGACCGTCGCGGGTACCGGTGACCTGACGGTTGCAGTTGTTGCCGGAGCACGCGCGCTTCTCCAGGACGGAGCCGAGAGCGAAGCTGACGAGGGAGAGGATGACGGCGGCCTTCATTTTGACGGTTTGGGTGAAGGGTCTTGCTGGGAGACGATCGACTGAGGTCCTAAGAGATGGATGGGGTTGATTGGAGGGATCTGGTAGGAAGTCGGTGGATGAGAGGAAAGGGGAAAAGGAGGGAGAGAAACGGTTACATGGAGGCGAAGGCACCGTGATATATAACCGCAAGATCTGGGATGGAACTAGACATGATGGATGGGGGGGACTGGGGGAGCGGGTAGACAGGCCATGCTCGCAGATGGACTAACACGGCGAGGGACGCAAGTTTGGTTCGGCTCGCAGCAGGACAATACGAACCGCAGCAACCAGAGGAGAGAGCGTAGCGGAGTTCACCCGCCCTTCTGGGCAACGCTCAAAAGAGGCGATGACAAGGCGGGTCATCGACCGGGCCTTGGGACAAACAGACAGGGGGTCAGGCAAAGGCAAAAAAGGCAGCATCGCGGGCGAAAACCCCATATTGAAGCCAGGCTCCCCGGCACGGTAACACCCTGTTCCTGAGAATCAGACAGGACCAGGGGGTGAAAGAGAGGAGGGCGGAAAGCGAGGACCGACTGCAGTGGTTCCAACCCATTCAGCCCATCCTTTTGCCTGGCGTACAATTCCCACCTATCAGCAGGCAGAGCGTCCGCATGAGGCAGGTTGGGAGAGTGTGTGGGCTGAAGGTGAACACCAGGAACGTGAACATGCGCATCGCAGGCGTAGCGTATCCGTAGGAAGGGTTGGCCCGCGGGTAGAGGTACCATTTGCCTCACGACTCGGGCCAAGGGTAACCTGTCATGGCAGGCACTCAGTCGAGAAACGCGTGCGCCCCTCTGTGGTTCTTGACCCTTGGCTGCTAGCGTCTAGGTAAACCATGAATTGATTTCCCACCCCCCTCGCCAACGCTATCTCGGCGGGGGTTCGTCCAATCCGGCCTAGCCTTCTGCTGGATACCGGGGATTCCTGAGAGACCCCAACCGAAAGAATGATGCTGTTTCTTCGCCGAGACAAAGGCGAGAGGCATTCTGGTTTGACGAAGTTTGGGCCGGAAGCAAGGGAGGTGCTTGAAGAGTGACTTGGGGCAAACAGCCTCCTATTATTGCTGGGTACAAGCCGGAGCCTATTGGAAGCTGTGCAACGCGCCGCCCAGCTCATCATGGCGTTTCTTTTTGTGGCATTTGTTCGTGCATGGAAATGCGATGTGGCTTTGTCTCAAGCTATTCTGGTGCTCCCGAGGAATTGAAGGCGTTCTCAGCTGTGTTCTCGATCGGAGGATGCGGAACGGTCAGGGTGCGGAAGCGATTGGTAGCGCTGCGCCGAGGCGTAACGGCACGGAAATGCCATCCCGCTGATGCTGATGCTCAAGCTTGAACGTGGGCTCTGGGTAAACACAACGCACACGATGACAGCGCAAGGGTTGAGCTATGCTTGGCCTGCAAGGATCGAAGGACGTATGCAACAAGAACGGTGAAGAGGAGGAGGGGAAGCCGACCAAAATCTTGGGACTGACGGAACAAACACGCGATTGAAAGCGGTCCTTCACCAACCCCCAGCACCATCTATCTCCAAAGACCCAAAGCAGGCATACGTAGTGCGGCCGGAGATGAAGTGTAGATCTGGGATCCCGTACCTCGCCTCGCCTCTCCCGGGTGTGGCAGGACGAGATTGAGGGGAACCACGGCCAAGGAGACAGCGCTCTGGTCACTGAACAGACGGCTGCCGGCAACTCGCTGCGCCGTGTCTTGAATGCGGGACAGCCTCACACACTCCCCTCCTTTCCAAATTCATCCGTCACGGCGTCGCGCTCGTGGTATTTACACCGAGACGCGGGCGCGGGGGAAAAGCGAGCCTGCGTAAGAGAAGAAGGAGAGGCGGCGGAAAGAAAAGGTACGACAATGCAGGCAAGGACATGGAAGTTGCAGGGACCAAATAGCTGTTGTTCTGTGACGACTCGAACATAGGAATAAGGAACAGGTTGGATGTGAGGGGCGCTCCGGCACCCAGTGGGGAGGAGAGAAGGTAGCACAAAAACAAAAACGATCAGAAGAAAAGCCTGAATTGGATAGGGATCGCTAGCTGGAGGGGAACTGCCAATTGGAATGCGTCGTCCAAGGGCCGCGCCGCCCACCTGCATAGGCGATGATGTTGTCGGTGATGATCCGATACGACCCTCGGTCGTGAACTCGCTTTGTCCCTGCTCATTGATTGATTCATTCTTTGACTGATTCGACGCTCATGGATAATACTCAAGTTGCGTATGTATTCTTTTGTTCTTGTTCAAGTGTCTCATAGTCTGAGCACATCGGAAAATTGTTTAGACTCTTGCAATGATGGGAGAGGGCTCCCATCATCTAAACCCTCACCCTGGCCAACTCTTGCTCAACCGTCTGGCCCGGGCGCCGCACGGAACAAAACTCTGACAGCAACTGGAGCCTGCCGGGGTACATTTATTGTTAATTTAAGCGACAGCCTAGATCTAATCTGCCCACAAGCCAACCTGACAGGTCCCTCCCCCAATGCTCCCCGATGGCCGGAGGGGCCGGGGGTACAGGGAGTTCCATGGATCTTTATGCTCATACCACCTACTATAGTATGTAAACTCTGGTGCTTCAGTGGCTAGGCCGGCGCTGAGAGAGAGCTATTGAAGCATCAGCGTCGCAAGCCGAGACCCATTGGGGACATACCCATGATACGAACACCCTCCAAATTGCCCCAGGCTGCGGTGCTACCTGTCCGGCCCAGAATAAAGGTTGGCAGGTCTTGCAGTGTAACCCTCACCATACGCCTTGGTTACCTCGTCCCCTAAGAGCGCAGATTATAGCACCATCGTATCGCCCGGGGGTTTGGGTTCGACTTAAGCAGACCATGTTATGACACAAGGCTTGTGCCCATCGCGCGCCTTTCCCGTGCCGGCGATGGAGACGGACTCGCTATCAGCGGACAATAGTCCAAGGAATCCCAACGGTCGACGCCTCAGGAATGCGGCGCCCGATTTCCATCGGCGGTGGCCGTTCCGGAAGGTCAAAAACGACTGCCAGGGCCGCTAATTCCCATCGATCTGCTTATCGGCCAGGCCCTCTCTCTCTCTTTCTCGCTGCTAAGACATGCGGGATGGCCCACTCGACCCGACCAGGGGAAGCCCCTCTCCCGGGATGATGCGCCACGCCCAATGCCAGGAGCCGCTTCGCCGAAAGAGGCAGCTCGAGATTGGGGCATGGCCAATGAGTGGTGGTTGGATCTTTTGTTGGACTAAGCTCAATTTCCACCGACCGGATTTGGGGGGCATCGAAAATCTTTCTTTGCAAGGAAGGGCAATTGTTCGTCAATTCACCTTCCTCCTGCGTTGCACGTGGCTGTCAACCGTCACGGCATATCAGTGTTGACCTCATTTTATATCCAAGACAATGACGCTTCCTCTATGCTCGGGCTGATGGCTTCGAAAGTTGGAATATCGATCCTCTGATCGCTGACCCTCGTCCTCCCCCGAGCCTGCCGAGCTCCCACGGCGCGTCTCGACAACACGTTTATCCACCTTGCCCTTTCCCCGGCCAACTCTCTCCATCAATAAGGCTAGTCCCTATCGGCGCATCACCCCCGTTTACAACCTTAGAGCAGAAACCCGCAGGTCCCCATCTCCGGTCGCCCGCCGAGCCAAAATTGACTCTTGCCAGCGTCAAAAGCCTTGTAAAGTAGGGCACGTGGAGGGCCAGGGAGCGCTTCCTCTTAGGGGGCCCTCGGTGAAGGCGACTTACAAAAGGTAGAAGCGTCACTTGGCGACGGAGGCACGTTGTTGCTATCGTGAACCTTAGCGCTCTGTTAACCTTGATCCCTGTTTCGCAAGGCCCACACAGAATCTTGGAAAGCTACTGAGGCGGGAATGCTTTGACAGTCGTTCAAAAGCTCTGCGAAGCGATTCTAGAATTCTGCTATCTCTACTCTTAACTGCCTCTTTCTCGCATTTCCTGTAGATCTTCTTCGTCAGGTCCAAAGAATATTATCCGCCGGTGTTATCTTGGCAAACAGCAACCGAGATATTGTATGCCATTCCCATCCACTCTTGAATGGTCAAATTCTTTGCCGTAAGCCAACTTGTCCCGGACTTTTACAGGATCAATTCCCGAGTGACGGTGCCGTGATACGATATTTGACTCAACCGAAGCGCATCGCTTATACAGTCTGCCGAAATGTCTAACCAGCACTTCTCAAGTCAAACGTCTCTGGAAGGCCGAACCAACTCTAGCTAACCACTGTGTTTCGCCCGCTATTCGTCTTCTATGGTTAGCGATCGTACGACTTGCACAAGACGCATCACTCTCCCCTCACCAACCAGACCATTTTACCCGGCCGGCCATATCTCTTCCCAAGCTTTCCCCCTCACTGACGTCCTTGGGGTGTATACCCGGGCAACAAATCTCCGCGAAGTAATCCCGCCCAGTTCTGCCACCGCAAACCCCAGTTGCCCTTGCCTTGCATTTCTCTCCCACCGCCTTTCCCCAGCCTCAGACCATAGAGTATGCGCCTCCCCCGCACTCGGCCAACAGGACGACCCGGGACCGCACGCGCGCTACGCTCCTTCGAGCCCGCATCTCGTCAACGAAGCTGATCGAGCCGGATCTGATTGACGGAGCAGTCTGTCCCGAGCGAGGCGCGCTCCAAAGCCCTCAGGCCCTCGTTGATGCGCTGTGCGAGTTCCCGAGGAGCCAGCAGGCTTTGATCTGCGGAAGAACTGCCCCCCCCTCCTTCTCCTCGTTTCCACGCCCGTTTCCCCACAGATGGGCTCGTGGTTCGTGAGGGGCAACTTGGGTAGGATTGTTTCTCCCGACGGATGGGAACCATGTAGCGCGGTCGCTTCGATCGACAGAGTGATGCGAGCGGATAAATGGCCCATCGTCAGCCAAGATTACCGTTTGCCAGGCACGAACTCATTCCAGCCGGCTCCCAGGCCGTTTGTTGAGATGAACCATCCGCAACGGAATGGCTCCCTCGAGCCGATGTTCCTGTCCTTGTTCGCCACGACGCCGCTCATGCGTCAGTGAGCCTGGACCTCTGCTCTCGTGAGACCCGGGTCCAACTTCGATTGGTTGCCCTTCTGAATTTGGTTGTGTGAATGCGAGTGAAGAATGATGGCAGTGGAGAGCTACAGGCAACCTTGGCCAAGACAGTTTATTGCACCCGACCTTTCTGCCTCTCGACTGCCGCTGACCTCCGCTCTCGCGAGGAAGTCCACCGAGATAACCTGAGAGCATGGCTAAAAGGGGAGGAGCAACAGCTTGCATTTACCCCATACCCCGCAAGTTAGAAGCGGACACCCAGACGGAAGAATCAAATAGCTTCTCTCAATGTTCGGGCCTGCAATTGTCCATCCTTTTGAGATTTTAGGATATTGGAGAACACCTCAGTCGTCTCCTAGTCACGGGATGATTCAGATCCTTTGGTCAAGCCTAGACAATGCTCCCAACGTTATAGAAGTCGTTGCCTCTCCCTCCCCTTCCATTATCGTGAACAAGATTCATCGCCTCACTCACAAGTTGAGCCCACCCATGCATGCGGTCATGAGGCACAACCGCGGTGAACACGTTATGGCACGATTCTCGAAAATGAAGAGGTAAAAAAAGGTATCATGTATCATAGCCGTACCTAGCAAAACCCATAAAGGCAAACGCCAGAACCTATGCCCGGCTCTCGGCTTTTTTCGCAGCGAGGAGCACATCGGCCAGTTCCCAAAGCCCCACGCCCGCCGGTAGAGTAACGCCTTGTGCATTTATCGTGTATACCAGCCAGCCTGCGCGACGTCCAGCCATCTTTCGGCCGACCCAACTTTTCCATCTAGTTGGTCATCCACTCCTGAGGCTCTTTGCGAGGAAACGAGAACCGCTATTCTCGACCTTCGCATCCTGGAAAAATGTGTGACGTCTGCCTCGACGACACCATGGCCGTGGGGATCCTTCCCGACTCCGGCTGTTGTAATACAGAGCGTCTTCAGAAGTCTTTCTCCAACCTCGCCGGCCTCAATCTTCGCGGTTCAGGTCAACGCTGTTCCGCCACCCGTGACTGGGCAGGCCTGCTCCCTTCCAAACCTTTGCGACTTTAGCAAAGTCTAGTGAAACCCTTCCATAACTTTGGTCGAGTAGCAAGCGTCCCCTTCAACTCTGATTGTGCCCAAGATGATTCAGCAGAGAGACAGTTCAGGATGATAGTCCCTCCTTCCCGACCGACGTTTGACCCGTCGCCCGATCCGAAGGACCATAATGTCCTATCACCTCCGTGTCTTCGCTCACGACGCTCAACCCACCAGCAGCCGAGCTGTCGCTTCTTCCTCTGCCACTACCGCCCTCACTACTCCTTCGACGCTGGTGCACGGCCGGCGGTCGACTCATACTCGAAAGGTTACTCGCCGACCGACGGCGTGCCTCAGCCACGGCATCAGGAACAGGCGTAGCTGCCAGCTCCGGGACATATGGTGTTGAGTCGAGCTCCTGAAACGGTGTCCTGGTGCCTCCGCTCCCGTGATCGCTGCTTGCCTCGCTGGCATTGCTCCAGTGGCGTAGGTGTGCGTAGGTACCCTGAGAATCTGTGCTCCCACGATGCAGTCCGATCCACGCGCTCGACCCCTGACTGGTGCGTTGGCTGCGGTCTGGCACATCAAAGTAGCCTCCAGTGTAGGCCGAGTCGTAGCTGGCATGCCGGTCTGAGCCTGAGCCCTGAGGGACTGCCTGGTATTCGCCGACGGAACCTGGCGTGCCCCGGCACGATGGCATAAAGTCGGTAGTTGTATCGGAGTCGTGCCTCCGGTGTGATGGTCGGGGAGACATCATCAGCGGGTCTACACTCATATCCTCCACCTCGGATGGCGTAGGCTTAAACTGGTACATGGACGGCCGCGATTTTGCGCCGGAGGATGTTCCGTTGTTGCTAGTTTCTACTGCCTGGACAACCTTATTGAGGTGACGGATGATGATCCAAGCTGCGACCAGGACGATGACGAGCAAGCCCACACCGCCAGACACGATTCCAGCGATCTGACCTGTCGTCAAGCCATCGTTTCCATTGTCGTTTCCTGATGTTGGCTGCTCCTTTGGCACTGTACTTGGGTAGTATTTGAAGACCACTTGATCTGGGTCGCTCATGTCCATAGTCGCTAGGGCTGTGGGGGCCGTCGTAGGTCTCGAGGGCGTGAGGACTGTCGTCGCAGTCACTGTTGTGGTTATGACTTGTGTGACATCGTTTGTTGTCGTCATCGTCGTAGTAACTGTGTATGTTGACGGGTCTGTCGAGTAACAGGCGCTCACTGCACATCCGAGACCATTGCGACAGCAGCCATAGCTTAAGCTGGCAGGGCATAAGTAGTAGCTTGCCGGGCACGACTGCGAGTATGCAACACCGGACGCCGCGACGCAGTTTCCACCTCGTTCGCACATGTACCCTTCCGGACAGCAGCCACCTGCGCCAGCAAAGTTAGCGACTACAAAAACCCGAGACGAAGCTGTATCCAGTTGACTCACCTCCCATTACTGCATCACACGCATAGTACCCGACCTTTCCCGCGCAAGTCTGCGGTGCGCTTGTCGTTGCATAACACGAATCTGTGGCACAAGCATAGCCTGACTGGCAACACCCTCCGTTCAGGCTCGATGCGCAAGCAGAATATCCCGTCGCACAGGTCGTGTCCCTCGGGTTCAAGCCTTGGAAAACCGTGACGTGCGCCTTTTCCAGTCGGTGTACCCCGTCTCGTCTCTTAAATTCCGCCCCGCTTGCTTTTCCCACAAGCCAGTCTAGCCCAAGGTAGAGTGCGCAAAGCGAGCAAGAAGCCAGCCCTTTCATTGTAGCGACGATCGACTGGATTGGCACGAGTGTCGCGCAGGATTACGAGATCTGCCGATCATCCAAGGGCCTCCGGATCAGCGAGCCGCACGATCGCCGAGTGATGAGGGCGAATTGCGTACAAGACAGTTGTAGAGTGGTGGTTTTGCAGATGAGTAGCGATATAATGAGCGTGTGAAACTCGGGGTTTTCTCACATCGACGCCGTTCCAGGGGACATCTGGGATGAAGATGGCTAGTTACGCTGGTGCCTTGAGGTGGGAGGAGGATCGAGATGGCCCAACTGCATGTATGTCTGGGAGGGCTGAGCGGGTGCACAGCACAGCAGCACCACCCACAGTCACACCCCACGAAGTCAGATTTGGCGACGGAGGGGCACAGCAATAGGGCTGAGATGCGAGGATCAAGAACGGATGACGGACATTGACTCGTGTTACCATATGTGAAGCATATATCGCGTAGTGTCGACCAAAGAGCGCAAGACCATGCTCAAGGTTGTGTCTCTTGTCTTCGTCCCTTCACGTATGATCGACCCGACAGTGGCTGGTTGCAGATGGGGATGGGAGAGAGGAGGGCGATCATGGACCGTTTGGGAGGGGAATGGACGGATCCCTAGTGTGCGAGTGCGGCCATGTGTGACGGGAGGGACATGCCTCGCATTTGGCCCATGGGTGCATCTTTGGGCCGATGGGATTTGTGAAGTGGCTTTCTATCTGACTGTCAGCGCTCAGCGGGGTAACTTTTCCACATTGGGGCGAATGAGCGATGAGGCTCTGCCAATGAGATGACAGCAAGCAAGGAACAACAGCCCCCGGGAGAGCCACGATGGCATTATGGAAGTCCAGCAGGATGGAGGGATTCTGAGATACCGGGCTGGATTTCGATGCTCTCGATCGCCGTGGCTGCTGGGTGCGCCGGGCACCACGGGGTGTCATAGTCGAGGAGCGAATCATGGCGGAGCAGGTGACGAGTCGGAAAGGCAATGGATGCAGTGATGCGGCACGGCGATGCCTGTCTTACCCACGAGAGTGGGCAATGCGTGGTGAGAGCGTCGAAGGCCACCAATGAGAGGTTGCGCGGGCTGCATGTCGACGACAAGGGCCAACGGGAGCGGCAGCTTGTAGGAAAGGCTGGGCAAGCAGCATGCAAAGCAGCGGCTTGGCGGCGGAGGGATGCGAATGGACATCAGGACGGCGGTGCGTAGATTTGGGAGACCCAAAGCCCTTGGCGTTGTTGTCTTTGGGGGCTGTATCCGTGGGAATGCGACACTGGACCAACATGAGCGCGTCTACAACCAACGGCATTGGGCGAGACTGGGTGCGGGCGACCAGTCAACAGCCCTCATCTTGTGTTATGCTCCAGACAGGACAGCGGCGGGTCGCTCGTACTTGAAATAGTGGTTGATCAAAAGACGTGGCCAGCATTTAGCGGAGCCGGAGGTCGCCAGAGTCACTCGGTACCGGTGCGGGCCCTGGAGCCGGACCTACGGCCGGACAAAGCCCGGCCGTAACCTGAGCAACATGAATCGGAAAATCTTGCTATGTCAGTAGCAGACATTGTACAGAACCCACGCAGAAGCCATCATGCTATCTACCTTTCATCTCGTGTGACGGAACCTCTGGGGCAGCCAGAAGGTGAGAAATGGCCACTTGGACAGTGAAGTCAGGTAGAGGGCTCTAGAGTTTTGTTGTTGATGGTCGCGGTATATTCCAGTGGATTTCCGCGATGCTCGAGTGTAGAATCGGAGATGGTTGATGATTCAGCCACTCCGCAGCCATTTTTCTTTGTCTTCATTTTGCAGTGGCTGGGTGTTGAAGACTTCTGTGCAGCGGCTGACCAACTCCGGCCCCTTGACGAACTATGGTTTGGATGAAGATACAGCAAAAGACGATGAAAATGAACCCCATGGGACCATCTGATAGAACCCATACAATTTTGCCATCAGTTGAAGCGCCGACTCTTCCTGTAAACGGTCGCCGGACACGATGAGCAGCGTGAATACCAGACGGTAAACCATTGTGCAGACTTGGACTCGGAGGACGGGCGAGACTTGCTGGGGAGCTACCATCATCAAAAGGAAGCATCGGTGTGAGTCTGAACAGGAAAATGGAGAGCCATCAACCTGAAGCCGATGAAATGCAACCGAGATCCAGTCGACAGATGAGCTGTCACGAATTGAGAGTGTCCCTCTTTGCGGAAATGAAGATGCAGGAAAGGGTTCTTGGCCGCAGTTGCGAGTGGAAGCATCGGTTACGTATCTGACTCTATTAATAAGTCAATTCACCTCAGGAAACGCAGCAGCGGACGTGGTGGTGATGAAGGGGAGCCTCAGGCAAAAACCAAACCTGTAGGCGAGGCAAGAGCCCAGGTGCAAGCATGCCTTCCTCTTCATGTTGCGTATGTTTGTGTTCTTCGAGTACGGTATCGCTCGCTCTTTCCTCGGGTGGGGGATCTTCCAGCGCCTGCACTACTGACCAGTCACGCCAGTCTTCCACGTTGGTGCAAGACATCAGACATCAGACATCAGCCGCGGAAAGAGCGACGCACTTGCGCCTGCAACCACTTCTCCAACCCAACACCACAGCGCTTTTCCTCATTTACGCCTCAGGCAGCCACCACCAGAGAGACACCATTGAGCCCCACAGCAATATCGAGGGAAGAAGTTTGCTCGGTGCTCATCTCGAACCTTCAAAAGCAATTGGACAGCGCCCACGACCGCACCCGACGGGAACCTTAGCTTGCAGTGGGGGGAGTTCTGGTCCCTTGAGGTTCTTTTGCGACCCGCTTTGCCTGCCCGTGCCACGGTGGTCCAGCTCCAGCGACCCCACCAAGGAGGCCACTCCCGCCGCCTGCCCGACGTTCCCTAGACCTTCACGCCCAAGACGACCCCCAGAAGAATATCGACAGGAGAGGGCCGAGAGGGCCGTGGGTAGCTCCGCTGATCAACTACCAAACGCGCTGCTTTGGGCGTCCTTCCCCGGATTTCTTTCTTCTTTTCTTTCCCCCCATTTCCCCCCTCTCTTCGCCCACGAGACTTCGATTCGGCGAGTGCTTGGGCTCGTATGCCTGACAGGACAGGACCAGGGGGCGGGGCTGCATCGAATTCTAAGAATGCAATACATTCGTGGCTTTGTCAAATCACACCATCAGAAAACGCCGAAGTATAGGTTGCTATCTCTTGCCCTCTCGCCACAAACCTGGTACTTCCGTATGGCACACGATACTGGCCACAATCCTTCCAGGCTGGCCGGCACCACAACGTGTCTTCCATAGCCAAAAAGACGGCAAACAGACCTTAGCAGGCGGGTACCATGGACTGTGATCACCGTTGCGTCCGCAACAGGGTGGCCGTCCATTAAACAGACGACTAGGTGCCTCTGACCGCTCCCCTCACCAACCTCTTGACCATACTATTGCCCTGGCGCTAGCGAGCGTCGTAGCCCGCAATCCCATCTTCCCTCAGTCATCTCACCGCCCACCATGAGCCATGTGGTAGCATCGGAGACACGGCGCCCGTATGCGTCGTCCAGACTTCAGCTGGAGAACATAATGGAAGAACTCGATATGGCCGCCATGGCCACGAGTGGTCCATTTCCAGGCACTCAGGCAGGCCACCCTATTACAGCTTGGACGGATCAGCGGTAGTCGAGAATGCGGGGAAAACCCCCTTCTCGACGTGGTGGCCTAGACCCTCACGATCATAGTTCCGTGCCAACTACCGCATACCAGAGAAACGACCTAGACCAGCGCACTCGAATTGTTCGAATCGTGCCGTCTCCAATGTGCCCCCTTCCGCCTCGGACTCTGAGGAAAGGATACAAGAAAGGAGGGAGACGTTGGTTACAAAAAGATCAAGCAGTGGCCATCTCGTTTTCGTTGGCAGACGGATGATACGATTTGCATCTCGGCTGCGTTGGTGGTGGGCCAGCAAAGTCAAGTGACGCGACTCATTGCTCATATCCAAATTAATTCCATGCAGCTGGATCTCTCGACATGGGCAGCACCGGAGGCGATTGAACCCCAGTTTGGTGTTGTGCAAGGCGGAGCCGTCGCCCGGCAAATTCAAAGGTTCTAAAGCGTCCGAACAGCTACGCATTTAGACTTTTCCCTGTCGCTGCAGGGTCCATCTCACAGGTACAGTATGTACTCTGGCATTTGGTTGTCTGTGCCAAAGATACAAATCAGACAGACGACCACTCACGTCAACAAGGAGACACGATGTCCCTAGCTTGCTACGAGGAATGCGGCACAAGACTGCAGTGCAGAGCCGTTCATTAGCCCGGAGCAGTTGTGGCAAATCCGGCGACTAGCCGTAGGTTAGAAGCAACAGCAGCGTCCACCTAGGATGGCGGTTAAGCTGGCTCTAGCTTTGGCTCTGGGTCGGGGATACGAATGACGCTATGCAACGCCACCTCCTCATTCTGTTCGGTTTCTTCTCCAGCTAGGTACTCTGCGGTGGTCATGTTTGTTGCCCTTCTGGCAGCTGGTGGCAAGCCGACGACGGTGAGAAGCAAGTCCCGGTAAGCGTGGGAGCAACCGCGATGGACTCGGACAACTGGCAGCATGTATCCGTCGTCCGGGGAAGAGAGCCAGCCCCGACACATGACCTACTGAACAGTCAATATTGAACAGGAATACCTTACCTTTCACCGTCCCAGCTTCAGCGTTGAATTCGCGACTGCCCAAGGACATCATCTCTCAACGGTGTGCTTGTTCGTCTACTTCTCGAAGGCTCCTCGGTCAGGATGGCATCCCCTCACGTACAACATTATCAAATAATTACCAACAGGCATCTCCCATGCCCTGTGCCCCCCCTTACTCCAACATGTGTCGGTACCTACAGCGCGGCACCCCTCAAGCAGGTCACACCTTACAGGCATTGCAGGGAACGCCCTCACGGTGACACACACACCTTTCCGCAGAACACCACCATCACTGCCGCCAACTTCAAAGAGGCACGCACCAGCGCACCACCATCAAAACTGGACTGGCGCAACCACGGACAAACGCTGCAGAGTGGCAGACATGTCGACCGAGAGATTGTGACGCCCATCTCCGCACCAGAGTCGCCGCTCTAACCCCGCAAATTTCTCCACCTTTCTGCTTTTAGCACTACTTAGCCTCCCAGGATCTCTTGGTCACGATGTGCGTGATGGTAGCGGCCTTGTCAGCATTGGGAAGGACTCCGTCGCCGGCTCTTGGGTCTTGGTACTCTGTCGGTACGCCAGCATGACATGGACTCGACCTTGACCTTGACCTTGGACGTTTTGGGATGCCTTTGTTGGAGAAAATCGCCAAATCGTCTGGCCCCCTTTGCCCTTTTACCTTTTTCTCGCTGTCTCGGTGCCTGCCTCCGTTGTTTCGACACTATTTATGAACAGCCTCTTGTCCGAGGGGCATTTCCTTGACTCGCATGAGTTCTGGTCCCCCTTCTCCTCTTCTCTCCAATTTTCCCCATATCCCGCCATTTGCTTCCGAGGCACCATCTCCAGTCTCCATCCCCCACGCCTTAGCAGAACGGACCAACTATACGAATCCGGCTTCACTCCAGCGCGTCAAATCCCGACCCCTGGTCTTCCAAGCTCGCGGCCCCGTCACAAAAAAAAAAGGGCGAGAACGACAAACCAAAGCAAGACGAGAGAAAAGCTTTCCTCCTCCCTCATTGATCTGCGTCTACTCTCGGCACAGACCGACAAACCCAGGCCGGTTATCGAGCAGAAGGACCGACAGAGTAGGAGAAAGAAGTCGACTAGGGAAAAGGAAACCGAGCAAACCTGCCTGCCACATACACTCTTCTCCAGTCTCCACGAGCTCCTCAACTCTCTGACCTTACCGTATTCCCCCTCATTTCCCACCAGCAGATCCAGGACCACCTTTCGCTGGCTTACTTACGCCCGCCACCCCCGACCGTCACACTGTGCTGCGGGACCCTCCGACATCGTGAAAGCCTGTCTTCGCTCGCATTCTAGACCAAGTAGCCTCGGTCCACACGCCTTTGCGTCTGGCATTTTTTCCTTCTCTCCGTGCGTGATGTAGGTGTCGGGCAACTTCGTCCCAAATACCACATCCTCTGAGAGAAATCACACCACGACGATCTTGACAAACCGTCATGCCTATGCCTGCTGCAGGTACCAGCTCGTGAGCATCATGTTGCTGTATACTAAACTCGCCCCGCCAAAGGCTCCCAAAAGACGATCCAGATCAGGTGAGTCTTACGATGGCCAATCCCTCTCCTCTCGGCCTCCGCTTTCCCTCGTTTGCCCCCCGCGAGTGCTTCGTCTCCTGCTTGGTTCGCTGCCCGTTCGCGCGTCGCTATTGCCGCCCGAATAGCTTCGTCATGTTGCCCCAGGTCTCGCTCCCCTTTGCCCCGTCATGTTACGCCTGCCACTACTGGTCGCATTCAATTCCATTTCTGACCTAAACTCGTTTGTCACATGCAGGATGCACATATTGGTGAGTGATCCCAAAGCAACCCCTCCAGAAACTGAGATGCGACGTTCTTACTGACACACTGGTACAGCAAAGAAAAGGTACGACCACGAACACTCTTTAAATCCATCCCTAAGCCACCTCCCGAGTCCCCCCCCCTTTCAAAGACTTCGAGGCTTCCCTAACGTATTTCCGTGCCCGCAGAAGAAGAAGTGCGATGAAGCCCGCCCGCAGTGCTCCCGATGCGCCGAGCGTGCTCAGGAATGCTCCTACGAGCCGGTCAAGCCTCGTCAACGCAAGAAGCGTGACTCGATCGCCGGGTTTGGCTCCGATACCGCCTCTCAAGTGAGCGGATCTGCCGTTATTCGACGTTATTCGGCCCCCGATGCCACCATGCGACGCTGGAAGGAGGAATCCCTGGACGACGAAGACGACGTGGCTGTGGAGGAGGCCATTTTGGAGGAGCCCGGAGAGAATGGCGACCCCCTCGTCTTTGACTTCAAGAAGATGTTCGCAATACACCACGACAAGGACGACGTTCCCCTAGTCTCCCCAGTTGACTCCGTCGCCTTCGATTTGTCGCTGGAAGATGCAGATGAAGAAGTCGTCCGTCGCGGCTCGGTGCAGCGCAACGCCATATCGCACATGGCCGTCACTCGGGCGCAGCGCCACCCGGACCTAGCCATGATCGCGCCCGTCCCCGTGGCGTCGCCACGCCTCGAGTTCCTGTTCCCGACGTTCTCCGAGTTTTCGGATCGGCCGAATCGGCGGGCATTGGTCGACCATTTCACCAACGTCATGTCGCATCTGATTGTGCTGCGAGAGACTGAGGCTGGAAACCCGTTCCAGCAGCTGGTCTTGCCGCTTTGTCACAGCAGTTCGACAGTGACGAATGCCATCTACGCGCTTGCGAGTGCGCATCTAGAGAACAGAGGCTGCGGACATGCTGAAGAGAAAGCCGTCTACTTCCACAATCAGGCCATTCAAGGCTTGGCCCGGTTGATCGAGCTTGGTGGGGAAGCGAACAAAAACGAGCTTCTAGCCACCATCATGTTGTTGGTATACTACGAAGTTGTGAGTATTTCCGCCCTCGGTCATGGAATGCAACGCAACTAACCAGCGACAAGCTTGTGCAACAAAACCGATCCAACATTGTCGATGGCCATCTAAAAGGCGCTATCGCAATCATGAATGGTGGCAGCGACAATTCCAACCCTACCACTGCCTTCCTTGAACGTGTATGTCTTCTTAGCTCTTTTGATACCAGCGATTCTTATCTGACAACATCTCAGGCGTTTCGCTTCTACGACGTTATCGCGGCGCTCTCTTTCGGCACGGCTCCCCTCTCCACGGCACCGGCAACAGGCTGCCTCATCCCTCTTCCGCCCCTTGGTTCCCCTACTTCGTCGCCCTCGGATCTGTCGATACGCTGCTCGGCTTTTCCACAACCCTGTGGCCCATCATTCATCGCCTCTCCAACCTTCTAGCGCTGAAGAATGAGCTGCAGACGGCTATTGCTAACGGCCAAATGACCAAGGTAGCTGTTCTCCGCAGCGAGTTTGAAACCACATCAGACGCCATCGAGCACGCTCTCAAGCAATGGCAGCCCAGCTTCCCTCCAGGGTTTTCGCCTGATACTATGGACGACGTGTCGTCAGACGAGTCAGAGCTGGCCGCCGAGCGCGCTCGCCTACACTCAATCCTCAACAACGCTCTGGCCTACCGCCACTCGGCTTTTGTGTATCTCTACCGCAGCATCTACGGTTACCCGCGACGCCATCATCTGGTGCAACACCACACGCACACTGCGCTACATCATTGCGCTGCAACAGTCAACCATGCTGGCCCGATGGCCGCTCTCCTATGGCCACTCTTTGTCGCGGCTTGTGAGGCCATCAACCCCAGCGACAGAGAATTGGCACGGCAGGCGTTTGTGGCGGTTGAGCGCAGACAGGGTATGACGAACATCCAGCGTGCCTGGACCATCGCGCAGGAGGTTTGGAGACGCGCAGACATGATTGACGACCACGCCACATATGAAGACCACGCCATCATGATGTCCACACCTAGCCAACGGCTTGGCAAGGGGGCTGACTTGTGGAGGCGTGTCAGCGAGGACATGGGCGTCACGATCGTCTTTGGTTGAGGTGACCACCTCCGCACGTCTCTAAGGGTGTACATACATGTGGAGAATTTGTCCTCAGTCGTATATAAAGAGGGATGAGATTGGATTTAATGAGCAAAGGCAGGCATGTCTGGCAAGGGGGAGGCTTACAAAAAGAAGGATCTTATCTAGGGGAACCCTCGGTGACAACGATGATGGGAAGGGGGGCGCTACCGGTGTCTTTTTTGAAGTTGGACACATGGGAATCAAATGCTAATGGGGGCCAGAGAGCGGTATGGTTGTTTTTGCTGGATCAGGAGTTTTTATCAGAGATTTTAGGATATCACCACCTTGTAGTAGGCGTTAATCAAAGTCCTCCCTGTTGGGTTGGTTGTATTTCGGATATTCGCTGTTTCACCAGCTTTGGAAATGTCTCTCTCAGCGACATGTTTACTCGCACTCCTCTCTAACGGTCAATCATCTACGTCACTGGTGGCATTAACCCAGCGGCTTCCCGTCGTTCCCGAGACTTCAAGTGGGCTGACGCGGACTTGGGATCTGGGGTAAAGCGGGCCCTCTTGGGTGAAGGCGTGTGGCCCGTTGTGGATGAAGCCGTACTTGACTGGCGCGCTTCAGAAACGCGTATGGGTGGAACATTGTATTACAGGAGAGAGAAAGAAGGTATTCGGTGTATATAGTACATAGGTAAGCTGGATCCATGCGAATGCTACGCCGAGGGTCTCTTGCGAGCCAAGATAAAATCCGGGGCAAGAGGAAGCCTAGATGATTGGCTTCGCAGATTGGGGGAGGAGAGCGTTGAGATACGACAGGTGCGTGTGGTCGGCGTGGCGGAGGCATTGTTCGCATCTCGCGTGGGACGGAAAGCTGCATGTTTCGGCTTGGTGCGTGAGACATTTCCGTTTGGGGGGTTTTCATTCCGGTGAGCCACGACGGATATTTACAACAAAGTTCTTTCACATAGCCATTAGTCGAAGTTTTCGTGGTTGTCGTCCTTCGACAATGAAGCTCAACCCGGTTACTGCCACGCATCGATGCTTGAATCAAACATTCGCAGAGCTACACGTGCGCGAGATGAAACAGGCCTCGAGTCTTCGTCCCGATTAAAAGCATATAGCTATAAGTGAGGCTGGTAGAGGTGGAGATGAATCTGAGGCAGTTGGGCGTTCCAACATTCCATCGTTAAAGGGGTTTCTAGTTTCTAGTGAAGCGACGATAACTCAACGGCAGGCCATGGAACCGGGCAAGTGTAACGGCCAAACACGAGGTGCCTTGGTAGTATTTGTTAGAGTCCTGTGCAACCTATGCAAAAGGGTCTATACTTGAGAGTTTCCATATCGCATTGGTTTACACCTTGATGACCACCCGGTGCTGCGGCTTCACTCATACCGCCCAACAATACAGAGGTACGGAGCGACGATTTTGCTGCGAAACAGGCTGAATGGACCCGGTTTTCCGCACCTCCGCTTGGGTTCCTCAGCATTGGGGAGTAAGGTACGTACCAAAGTGTCAGTACTGGTAGGTAAGGACAGGCAGTCGAAGGCAGGTACCGGTACCTTCCAGTGCACCTAACACGGCAGGTGGCGCAGTGTTTCTTTCCCATCGGATTGGATGGGATTTCAGAGTGTTCCTCCCATGTCGCCTCCTATGTAATGCTCCAATCCATGCTCGTCGCCTCCAACCCCCATTCCTTTTCTCCGTCTTCCCCGTCCTCCACCAAAATTTCCCCCAAATTCCAAGTCAACACCGCGCAGTCGCAACGAACCGAGCCGAACCAAACAACACAAAGCCGGATCCCCGCCCTTCGATGCAATGGCAGTCTAAGACAAGACGAGACAAGTGTAGAGGCACACAACGCACCATCGTCGTCGTCTGCGCCTCTCCCGACCGCCTATTATCCTACCTCACGCCTACGTCCTTCCCCCCACCTCTTTCGGGGTGCCCTCGCTCCTCAACTCCCATCGCTCGCTTGGCTCAGTTTGGTTCGCGGAGCTCTCCCGCCAGTCTAGTCTCCCTTTTCCTCGCCTTTGTTGGTCGCCCGTTAGTTTTTCACACCCTTTTTTCCTTTTTCAACTCGGTATGAAACGGCCATATTCCTCCTTTACACGAACTGCAGCTTCGGATTCCCATCTTTCGTGACGGCTCCAGCCGCCATGTCCCACGTCGACCAAACGCGCAACTGACTTCCCGTCGCCCGATCCCTCAGCTGAAAGCCCAAGCCCTACCGCTGCATCTGGAGCTACAGCAGCTCGTCTCCACCGAACCCTCTCGCCCTCTGCACACCCAAGCTTTCCCCAAGCACCTAGAACTGTCCCCAAGAGCTACACCCCAGTTTACCTACCGCCAAAACTCCAGTCCCTGTGCCGGGAGAGACTTGCCATCTCCACAGGGGCCTGACGCGAGTTTTGGAGACCTGACGTGGACCACTCTGCGTTGCGTTGGGCCGGCTTGGTCTGATCTGGTCTATCCCTTTCAGTCAATCTCCGCCCACTGTAGCGCAGCATCATGCTGCGTCGCTGTTGAGAGGTTCCTTCACCTTGCGCGCCATGACCTCCATCATCGACGGAGCGACCCCCGCGCCAAAGCAGATCCGCTTCGTTCACAACCAAGGCCAACCACCATCCAAGAGACGTAGAATCAACGCCGCGTGAGTATTTCCACCTCTTCTTGGTCTTCTCCTCCGGTTCCTTTGAGTCCACGTGCTGTGTACGACCACAAAATCGTTCTTTGCCTGCAGAAACTAACCTGACTCGACCCGTTGCTAGCTGCCTGACTTGTCGCAAACGAAAGACGAGATGCGCCGGTGAGCGCCCCGTCTGCTCGACTTGCTCCAAAAACGGACACACCTGCTTGGGCTATAACGAAGCGATCGAGAAGAAAACTTCAGGTGGCGTTATCGCCACCCGGGATCCCCACCATGACCAAGACGACGACGACGACGACGACGACGACGACGAAAACGACCAAGAAGCTCGCGCTCGCGATGAAGAAGACCATGATGAAAGGCGGCATGGGAAGGGGAAAGACAGCGACCGGCGCTCCCCCGTCTCCAAAGTGGAAATTGATGATGCCCAAAGGACGACTTCCGACGTCGCTGCTGGTCATTCGCCGACCTTCCTGCGACGGTCGTCAGATCATAGCTTTCGTGACCAAGATCAAGCTTCTCGACATCGACGACTATCCCACCATCGCACAACGTCTTTCTCCGACGATGCTCGCAGTACGCATAGCCGCTCTCCTGTCTTGCACCATACAGAGCGCCATAGGGTCCCGTACTTTCGCTATTTCGGGCCAACGGCCATCGTGCCGGGCTACAAACAGATGGTTGTCTCCGTCCGGGACAGGAGGCGGAGCACAGGAGGCTCAGTCGGTGCTACGTCGCCAAGCTCCGGTTCCAGTGTGGTTCAGCCCATGGGCATGGCCCTCTCAGCTATGCCTCCACACGGCGACGAGGTTGCTACAGACGCGGAGCTGCCCGTATACGATGCCAACGACCCTGCGCCCGTCCACCCTCTAATTATACACCTAGTGAAGACCTTTTTCTTACACCTGGGCTGCAACTATCCCTTTTTGAAAGAGGAAAGGTTCGTTCGCATGGTCAGGGAAAAGAGGGTTGAACCAATTCTTGTCGATGCTGTATGTGCACTTGCTGCTCGGTTCTCCGACTCGGCACAACTTGGACATAGCAAGGCCGAGGAAGCGTCACACGCAGAGCAAGGCCAGCACTACGCCCAGAGAGCCAAGGCTGCGACAGTCGATACCTTCCCCTGCCCATCCGTAGGTGCTGTCCAAGCGCTCCTGATGATGGCCTACGAGGGTTTCGGTGCGGACCAGGACAGCGCTCTATGGATGTACTTGGGTCTCGCCATCCGCATGGCCGTAGACCTTGGCTTGCAGAAAATGGTGGGTGTGAGGTACCGAGGTGAAAGAGACCCTTGGTATACTCGTCATGGCGGCCAGGCAAGCAGTGATGGCGGAGCGGACGAAGAGCCACAAGAAGACGAAAATGGCCTCACTCATGAGGAGCAGCTCGAGGTCGAGCAGGAGCGCACCGATACATTCTGGGCTGTCTTCATCCTCGATAGGGTCATTTCTTCTGGCACTGGCAGACCCGTGACCATACGTGACGATGATTTTGAATTGGCTCTACCAGAGCCAACACTCGACCCGGCCTCGGGATGGCCCGCCCCTTTCCCCGTCTTCATCCAGATCATTCACCTTTACGGCCGCGTTTCTGACGTCTTGAATAACATCCGCAACGCCAAGGACATCACCCAGGAGAAGTGGACCAAATTGGCCCGCATGGAGCACGAGTTGACAAAGCTTTATCAAAAGCAGGATCCCCGGCTTCACTTCAGCGTCTCCAACTTCAAGACATATTTGAAGTTGGGTCAAGGGACCAACTTTATCCTTTTACACTTTTGGTTCCACGCGCTCATCATCATACTGCACCAACCCACTCTCTTGACACCTTTTGGCTCGTTGAGCCGCACTCACCAACTGCTACCCAACAGTCGTGAGCTGTCCATGTCCAGCGCCAAAACCATCGCTGATATCCTAGCCTTCGCTGAACTCATTGATCCAAAGAGTTTCATCGGTAATCCGTTCACGTCCCAGCCCATGTACATCGCCGCCTGCGCCTTTCTCATGGAATCCATTGCCAATGCTTCGAACCCTACATCGCGAGAGACATCTCCCCCGGCCGAGCTCAAGACGGAAGGCCAGAAGCAGAAGCCGTCGTCGCATGAACACAGGCCATCCACAAAACACTCCCTTTTGGCTTCCGCCGCCAACCAGAATTACTCCCGCTGTTACAAGTCTCTGCAACAGTTGCACAAGTATTGGGGCGGCGTTAAGTACATTCTCACGGCACTTGATCAAAAGTCCAAGGGCATCTGGGATTGCGAGACATACACCAACGAGGAATACGAAAGCACCAGATTGCCTCGCCGCGGTTCCATCGGCGGCCAATTCCCACTTCCTACCTCGCCCAATATGCCGCCTATCGCATGGTCTTTGACGGGCACGACGAACTCGCCCAACTCGAGCCTTACGCTCATGTATCAGAACATGCATGCCGGGACATCTAGCCACTACAACTTTGCACAGCCGCAGGCATCTAATGCCCCTACTTCTGCGCCTACGCCTCCCGGCAACATGATCTACGACCCGATCCGACAAAGTCTTCCAGAAGCAGCGCCTCACTCCATCTTCGCTACCGCCTATCCGCAACCGGTAATGTCTGCCATGCGCCACTCGTCCCGGCAGCACCCACACCAGCGGCCGTCAACGTCGTCGATGGATAGCCCACACGGGCAAGGGCGAGGACACATACGGTTTGATGGGATCCATGACGAGGAGACATCGTCTCCTGTAGGTAATGCTGGCTCGATGCTTACAGCGTCTTCTGCTCCACAGCAAACAGCATCTTTCACACCGTCGTCTCACAACTCGACCAATTACGAGCATCACATGATGCCATCCGCCTCTCCGTCTGGCAATATGCATGATGCAACATCGCAACAGCATCATAACGGACAGCATATTGCGTTCGACCCGACATATGCAAATGCAACCTACTCGTATCTCGGCCATGGCATGGGCCCTATCACGGATGTCATCACTTTCGAGAATCCGATTGACATAGGCGCGTTGGGCCTGCCGAATGAAATGATGCCGCCGTGGTTGGAGTACTTGCCTGGCGATGTCCTGGGTCTCTTTGAGAACAACGGCATGGACCCAGGCTCTTAGCTTGTTGCCATCTTACCCTGGCACCGAGCCAACCATCCGAGCCAGACATATATCTGCATTGCATTCCCTATTTGGCGAAGTGGGCATCGACTTCTTTACCACATACCTTCGGTTGGTATTCTGTTCCTTGTATTGGAAACTGTCTGTTCATTGCATACGGCCGTGATGGTGTTGGCGTGGGAAAAAAAGCGTTGCATTGCGGGTGATACCTGAGTCTTGTCTGACCGACATTATGATAACGACACGAAAACTGTTTTGGGGTGTTTATGGGAGCTGTTAGGGAAGCACATCTTATTACCTCCGTCATATTGTATATTATACTTGTTGAATAATTGTAACCCGTCGATACCAAGAACGGTCGACACCTTAGTGTTACCAATGTTGAAACAATGCACCTGACAGCTCACCCCAGTCTCGGGTGGTGAAGGAGCCAATCGACCGATTCTGCGATGTGGGCCTGACATGGAAGCCGTCGCGACCAAGCCGAGAAGACTGTTCAGAGATTTTGTCTTTTTCGAACTTCGAAATACACAATACGGGGAGCAACTGAGATACGAGGAACATACCAACGAGTCCTAAAGATCATGCCAGGGAGATGGCTGATCACGAGCTGTTACAACAACACAACAGTTCAAATCAAGCTTGTGCATTCAAGAAGACTGATAGGCATCAGTAACTGCTAACGAACAAGTCTGGGAAGGACTCGACGAGACCAGTCACAACAATGGAGGTTGAAGTCCTTACTAAACCTCTCAACGGTGATGAACCTGCCAATTACTACGGTCGTTGGGGAATGCTGCATCTCAAACAGCGAAAGCACCTCTGCCTAGCTCACGCGACTGCCATCTTCAATTGTTACCTCATTTAAGCTCCGGTCCGGGGGATGAAGTGGATTCGAGCGGGATCGGTGATTCGGAGCCGGATAAACCTTGGCGGCTGGGGTGGGTTACCCGGACAGCTTCCCGTCCCTGTACTTGTGAGAAAATGCGAGGTGGCTGGCGGATGGCGAATTTGAGTCATGATGGAGGGCAAGCCTGACGCAATTGCCGGAAAGGCTGGCAGCGAAGGAAGACGAGGGTGTTTCAGGGACGTAAGATGTACGAGAGACGACTGGAAGCCGTACTGCGGTTTTGCCAGGTCGTTCGGGAACGGTGATAGGATTGCTAACGTCCAAGCCTTCAACCTCGAAAGATTAGGTAACCGGCAAAGATCGCAGAGGTCGCCGACGATTTCGCGATGCCATCCTAGGCTGCGCTGACGACACTGACAGGCAAGCACATGGGCGAATGGAGCACGCTAAGTGGACGGGTGGATACCATTTTTGCGTGCTGTGACGGAAAACTTGGACTTTCGCGGGAAGACCGCCCGGCTAAACCTTGGCCGGCTCAGCGACGGTCCACGCAGAGATTTTTCCGAGAGACCGAACAAGAGCTCACCCCTGCCAGAATGAGGTACGTACTGAAGCAGCCTCAAGGAGGACGGGCTAGCAGCGCTGGAAAAAGAAGCAGGAGAATGGCTCGTGCACGCTGTGCAGATGCGCGGGTACCCGAGTAATCCCGAGCCAATCTGTTTGGCCGCAAAGGACAAGTTCTCAATTCGCGCCTGGGCGCCTTCTTGTCTCGGTTCCAGTTCGCTCCAGAGTTTCCCCCCAGCCGCGGCGCCGCTAAAAAAAAAGGCCTCACAGTTTTTCCCCCGGCCGTCTCCTTCCCCCGACAACAACAAAAAAAAGTTTCTCCCTTTTTTCCAACCTCCCATCCTCCAATCTTCACGAATCTCTTTGCGCGGTTCTTCGTGACAAGTCCTCCCCACTCAGCCTTTTGTCTTTTCATTCCGGTTCGATTCACACATCACACACAATGGCTTCCTCCGTGCCCTCCACCGGCTCGACCAAGGTCGACGCCGTCGTCGAGAAGGCTGCTGCCAGCGCCCCCGGCCAGCTCTCCGGCCTCGCCCTCTACTCCAGATTCGCCCTTGCTGGTGCCGTCTGCTGCTCCGTCACTCACGGTGCCCTCACCCCCGTCGATGTGTAGGTTCCATTCCACTTCCCCAATTGCGTGGTGTTGTTCGTCCCTGGTCGGTCCGCGGCGTTTTCACAAGCAATGAGGGACGAAAACCGCAATTACCGAGCGAGCTCCGGTCTACCGCGATGGGCGCGAACGACAACATCAACTCACAGACAAATACCATTGACACACTGCTAACAATGTCGACAGCGTTAAGACCAGAATCCAGCTTGACCCCGCCACCTACAACCGCGGCATGATCGGTGGTTTCCGCCAGGTCATCCAGCAGGAGGGTGCCGGCGCTCTGCTCACCGGTTTCGGCCCTACCGCCGCCGGATACTTCCTCCAGGGCTCCCTGAAGTTCGGAGGATACGAGTTCTTCAAGCAGCAGTCCATCAACCTGATTGGCTACGAGAACGCCGTCAACAACCGCACCACCGTCTACCTCGCCTCTTCCGCCGCCGCCGAGTTCTTCGCCGACATTGCGCTCTGCCCCCTTGAGGCCACCCGTATCCGTCTCGTCTCCGAGCCCACCTACGCCTCCGGCCTTATCTCCGGCTTCGGCAAGATGCTCAAGAACGAGGGTGTCGGCGCCTTCTACGCCGGATTCGGCCCCATTCTGTTCAAGCAGTAAGTCCCCACGACTCCGCAGGTGAATCTGTAAGAGCTCGAGAAAACTGACACGCGACCGCAGGATCCCCTACACCATGTCCAAGTTCGTCGTCTACGAGAAGGTCTCCGAGGCTATCTTCCGCAGATACCCCAAGCACACCCTCTCCGACGGCGCCCAGACCGCCGTCAACCTCGGCTCCGGTCTCATTGCCGGTTTCGCCGCCGCCATCGTCTCCCAGCCCGCCGACACCATGCTCTCCAAGATCAACAAGACCCAGGGTCTCCCCGGTGAAGGCACCACCTCCCGCCTCATCAAGATCGCCAAGGAGCTCGGCCTCCGCGGCTCCTACACCGGTATCGGTGCCCGTCTCTTCATGGTCGGTACCCTCACTGCCGGTCAGTTCGCCATCTACGGTGACCTCAAGAAGGCCCTCGGTGCCACCGGCGGTGTCGAGATCTCCAAATAAACGATGTGACGAACCGTGGAGCCGGAGAGACGTGGTGGTTGGTGAAGAAGAAGACTGGTGCTGGTTTCTGGATGAGGACGGTGATGATGTTTCCTCGTTCCCCCTTCACCCTGGATTCGGAGTTTTTGACCTCCGGGAATGATCACGGCGGGGACACATTTACGATATCCTCTCAGCAGCAACACAACATGCCGCCTGTGGCTGCTTCTTCTCCCGCATTAGACTTTTTTTTTGTACGACAAAAGAAGGGCTGAGGCGCAACGATTCGGCCTGGCAAGCTCCTTGTTTCATCTGTTTAGCAAGACTCTTTGGGGTGGGGACTTGGGAAATCTTTTCACCAATTGCCTATCATAGAAGCATAGAGCATGATAGACGAAAAGATGGCTGGCCCGCCGGAGGGTTGTATAATAGTCGCTTTGTAGTTTTGCAATCATAGATTGGGGGTTTGAACCTCGCACACATGCTGCCCAGACGGTGATTATGTCTATTACCAGAGTCTTCTGAGGCTGCTAATCTGAACAAACGCCATCTGCGCAATGTTGTTGGATGCTTTTTTCTAAAACTATCCAGAAAAGGACTAAACTATCACGGCCGCCAGGGGGCAATCTCATGAAAGCTACTTGAATTAACTTTGTCCGTCAAAGCGGCCCGGTCACTGTTCGTGCAGCCACAACGGGAGGGGACATGAGTATAGCAAGACCGGACGACTACATAGGACTCGGGCATCAGACTAGTCACCGACATTTTGATCCCCTGGAGACAGGATCTCCCAAAGCGTCCGGGCCCGTCAACGCTCCAACTGATTGGGAAAACTAAGAAATGACGTCAAGTATGCCACTGCGGGAGGACCGGTGTTGACTTCTTGGGACGGTGCTGTCAACCCAGCGCGGAAGTGCACAGAGGCCCTCCGGAACCCTGGAAGAGCGAAGAAGAGAAGTAAACATACGATACCGACGCGAGCCCATCCCCAGCCTTTTCGTTTTTCCAATCAATCGAAAAATCCGTTCGAGTCGAGGGCCGTCCAAGGTGGACTCGGTCGTCGTGGCTGCAACCGCTCCCGCGCAAACCATTGGGCAGCACGCCCAGAAAATGGCATGGTTGGGCGAGCGGGTCCGGCGATCAACCACAGCGCCCACTGGGCGAGCGGCGGCCCCACCCCTGACCACCCCCCCGTGTTTTGACCCGGCAACGGGAGTAAACAAACCAGTAGGTCCAGCCACTCCCGTCACTTGTCAATGCATGCAGGACGGTTGTCGACGCGGACGGGATGCAGCGACACCTCACCGCTGCCCAAGGGAAGCCCCTCCCAGAGAGAGAGAGACAGAGGGAAAACCCACTGTTTGACCGCCCACCAACCACCGCGAGACAACGAAGCACATATTAGCCGACGAGGTCTGTTAAGTCAATACTTGGCCGACTTTCCCGCGTCTCGATCAATTGCTCTTGCACTCGCCCAAGGCACTCCTTGTCTTTTGTTTCGGCCTTTGGAGTCTATTTGCATTTCGACTCCCTTCCACAGCCAGCAAGCAAGAAAGCAAAGCACCCCATTCAAAAAGCCCACGAACACCCGACGGTTGCTCCCTCGACCCGTCCCGAGCCGAGCATAAACATACTCTCGAACTATAGGGGTCCTCATTCCTCGCTGTCTCTTCCCCGACCCAACAGAGAAGAGGATCATCCATCTTAACCGTCCACCGCCCCCCAAGCCCGCTTTTTCCACTCTCGGGCGTGTTTGTCAGTCTGTCGAGGTCGACAGATGCCACGATCCGGGCCCAAACCCGAAGACCTCGATTTCGAGATCCATGTTGACCCGTCTTGCCTGAGCACCCCCGCGCACGAGACTGCCGAGCACGAACTCATGGACGACGACGTCCCTACCAAGCCTGAGGAGGAGAAGGTCCAGGAGGTCGAGGTGGAGGACACGAAGAACGATGTGAAGGACGAGGCTCCCGTGGCCGCAGAAGAGGTTACGGAGCCGGAGCCGAATGACACGAAGAAGGAAGACACAACGGCGCCCGAAACTGCCGAGGCAGTGGCTGAGGATGTGCCGGCCGAGGATGAGCAGAAGGACGACGATACAACTGCTCCTGAGCATGCTGCCGAGCCTGCTGCCGAAGCTGCTCCTGAGGAACCAGAGGAGACCAAGGCGGAGGAAGTAGAGCCCGCCTCTGAAGCCACAAATACCGCTGAAGACGAGGAGACAGAAGCGGAGGCAGAGGCCGCTCCAGCGGAAGAGGCCCACTCAGCTGCAGAGGGACCAGCAGACGAGGACAAGCCGGCTGCTGACGAAGCCACTGATGACACAATTCAAGACGAGCCTGAGCATGCAGAAACCCAATTGGAGAAAGATCTCTCGGAAGAGATCTCCGAGCTAGCGGTCGCGGATGACGCTAAGCTAGATGAGCCCGAGCCCGAGTCTGAGCCCGTGGCGGAGGTTACGTCTGTGGTTGAGGCTGAGAAGGAAGAACCTTCCCAAGCAGAGTCTGAGCTGCTGCCTGAAGATCAACCTCAAGAGGTGATTGAGGAAGACACAGCTCCGGAAGAACCCGAGCCTCAGGTCGAAGATGTCGACGAGGAAGAACCATCTCACCCCGAGCCCGAGGCTGAACCTGAGGTCGAGGTCGAGGTCGAGAAAGCAGCGACACCCGAGCCTGAGCCCGAGGCGGAGGTTGAAGCGGAAGTTGAGCGAGGAAGGTCACTCCAGCCGGCGGCTGAAATCACAACCAGTACGCTGGCAAAGGAGGTCGAAGAGACCCTCGCCATGCAAGCAGAGTCTGATGAGACGCCAGCGCCGGCCCCCACTGCCGACGAGGCAAAGGAGAACGATGATGAGCCCGCTGCGGTACAAGAAGCTAGCCGCTCTTCGTCTTCTCTCCGCCGCGCCTCTGGCCGCACCGAGGCTCTCATCCAAGCTGCCGCAAAGGAGGTTCTCCAACGACTCGAGGCCCAGACCATGGAGACCATCAGGAACAGATCACACTCTCGCCAGGACTCAACCGGATCCACCAACGCCGGAACCGAGTTGCACTACGACACTCGCTCGGAAGGCACCCGCCGCGGATCATACGCCACGGAATCACGGGCGAGTCGCCGCGAATCTTACAACACCCAGTCTCAGTCCAGCCGCCGTGAGTCGTACAACACTCGACCCCGCAGCAGCCGTCGCGAGAGTGAAATCCACCCTGCTACTGTACATGCCGAAGACGGCGCCGACAGCTCCTCTCAACACGGCGACTCGGATGTGTTCAGCGACCGCAGCCCGCGCAGCTCGTTGGGCTCCTTCGACGGCCACGTCGACCACCACAAGGACACGAGCAACCGCTCCTCCAAGCGGTCGTCGCGCATGTCCGACGTGTCCGTGTCCGAGATGTCCTACTACGACAAGGAGGAGTTCGTCCCCACCATCCGCGGCACGAACCGCATGCCCTTCCGCTCCCCCTCCGATGTTCGGGCACTGCAATACTCCTCCCCGGCCCCCTCAGTGACGGGCTCCTACTCCCCGCGCTCCAGTAAGCGCCCTCAGGTGCCGACCATCTCACGCCTCGGCAGCCCGACTGCCTCTGCGCAGTACACCACCAAGGGCCGCAAGACGCCCACCCGCTTCAACCCCAAGAAGGAGCCCGCCCCTCTCGTGCTGCTCCACGTCACTCTCCTCCCGCTCCGCTGGCAATGGGCCGAGATCCTCGAGCAGGCGTCGTCGGATGTCCTGTCCCCTGAGGCCAAGACCCTGCGCGAGGCCTGGCACCACCTCCACGACCGCGTCGCCGATACCGTCTGCGAGCGCGGCATTCTCCTCTCCCACCCGCAAGACGACTACGAGATCCTGGAAGAGCGTCTACTGGAGGCTCTCGATCTCCCCCTGCGCCGGAGGGCGCGTGTCCTTGAGTGCGGCCATTACATCGGCCCCTCCAACGAAATGACGCTCAGCGAGGACACCGATAGTGACGAGGAGGAGTATGATGAGGACTCGAGGAGGAGAAGCGCTCTGGTCAAGACACACTGGTGCCAGACCTGTCGCCACGACATCCGCTACGAGTCCCTCGGGCCCGGCAAGATCTTCCGCATCAAGGTGTACGCCAGCAACGGCCTTATGAGGACCGGCGCCTGGGCGGCTTGTTGGAAGGAGATGGAGCGCGTGGACGTCGAGATTGAGCCCATTGTCGAGTCGGCTGTCTTGGACGAGCTGGAGCGTCTCGCCATCTCCCAGTCGCAGCAGCTGCAGCTCGTCAAGCACGACCCGACGATTCTTGAGTCGACCGAAGGCAGGGATTTGCCTGAGGAGCACGGCATGTCCGACTTTGACCACACCATGCCGTCCATGGACCGCGACATGCACTCCCTGGACCGTGGCATTCCTGCTCTGGAGGAGCCTCCGCGTGAGGCGTCCCATCTGGAGGAGAACAACCTCCTCGAGCCAAAGTACATTGACCACGAGCCGCATATCCCGGTTTCTTCGCCTCCTCCGGCTGCGGAGGATATCCGGTCGCCCTCCGCCGAGCCCATGCCTCGTTACGACGAGAGCGAAGAGCGCCGCCTCCGCGACGAGGAGCGCATGCGCGAGATTTACGGCCACCCGCCGCCCGAGCCTCAACACCACGAGCCGGCCCCCGAGCCCCAGCCGGAGCCGCGTCACGAGTCCTTCTCGGCTCAGTCGCCGCCTCCGCCTCCGTCTCAGCCCGAGCCACAGCAGCATCAGTCCCCGCCCCCGCCTCAGGAGGCGTATCCTCCGCAGCAAGGGAGAGAGCAGGCTTTCCAGAACGCCGGGCTTGGCGAGCTGCTCCTCGAGGCGGCGCGGGTGTTTATGCAGGACAAGAAGAACCTGGCCATTGTGGTCATGAGTTTGCTTGTGCTGTTCATGGCTGTCAGGCCTGCGCCACGGGAGGTCAGGGACTGGGATGGCCAGTTTGTCGAGCATGTGGCGTCTGTCGCATCTGAGCCGCCGGTGTCGCCTCCTCTGATGGAGACTGTCCAGTCCGTGGTGGAGTCGGTCACGTCGTCTGAGGCTCCGGTGCAAGTGGTTGTTCAGTCTACCCCCCAAGTGGAAGTGGAGGCCCCCGCGGCGGAAGCTCTCGAGAGCCAGGAGATCCCGGTGGCTGAGGCCACTGCTTCTGTCTCGATTGTCGAGCCCGTTGAGAGCTCTACCTCAGTCACAGCTCAGACATCTGCTGTAGAAGAGGAAACCTCGCCGGCACAGTCGCCTTCTTCATCCTCTGAGGAAGTGGTGGCCCCTGCCCCTACCCCCGTCCACGAGACCATCACCACGAGGGAACTGGTTCGCATCATTGAGACTGTGACGGAGACGGTCAAGGCTGTTGTTACTGAGACGGAGGTCGTTCGAATCCAGGCTACGCCTAGCGTGGCGCCTAAGGCCCTCGTTGAGGAGACCGCTGCTCAGATCGAGGATAAAGTCGCCGAAACTGAAGAGGAGTCTCCTTTGGAGAGTACTGCACCTGCCGAGGAGCTTCTCGAAGACGCTACTGTCGAAGAGGCTCCGGCCACCGAGACGGCTCTGCCCACCGAGGAGCCCGTGGAGCAGGGAGAGGTGGAGGAAGATGATCACGATGAGCTCTGATTTAACGCTTGAACATATGGGAAGAAGACATGAAGTGAACGACGGGAAAAGACCAATGTAAGAGTCACAGAGATGTGGGAATGGTATCAATAAGTGTCATGATACCAGACGTCCGGTTCTTTACGCACAGCATTTGAACGATCGTTACAGCGAGCAAGCGAGCCTTCAAAAGAACACTTGCTTTCCAGTCGTTTGTTGCACAAAGTTGGCGATGAAAAGGATATACACAGCATGCGGAGGCGTTTGCACAAGATTGTGTTTTGAGTACTGTAGATAGATAACATGGACTCATTCATCTGCCTATGCAAGCTCGGTTCAATGCGACAGATTTTGTCAATGTCTACACATTAGTGTTAAAGCATCTGTGAATGTGAAGCCTTGTTCTTCAATGTTACTGAGGTGTTTTCGTATCTCCTAGTCAGCCCTTTGCCTAGCCCTTCCTTTGCCTCGTTCTTGACGATGTCCCTTCATTTATCCCATGCGTCGGGGGAATTTTTTCTTGTTCTTTTCTTCCGGTTTTTTTTTCAACAGAATTTCTCTCACCTCTTCTCAGTCTTGTTTTCGTTTCTTTTTCTTTTCTTAACTGATATGTGCGTCTTCTCTATTCAATTTCCTGCAACAGGCTTATGATAGGATAGCATCTCCTTAGTTTTTGAGAATCCTGTTTGCCATATAATGTGTAGCATCATGGGATAAATGAAAATGTGCTTCTGGAATGTCTACAGACTTGTGTCGAATAAAGTGCCTTTCAAACTTTCAAGACATTTCAACCACATAAAGCCACACGCATTCACATTGCTTTTGGTTTTTTGTTGTGAACATCCAACAGGTTGCAACCTAGTAGCAACGTGACGAGTAAAATGAATCAGGAAAAGATGGATAAATGAGAAACCCCTTGATCGCATTCTAATCCATCAGAAAAGCACGGTACACAAACGAAACAGAACGTACACCCCTGTCTATAGCTCTCTGTCTTGCAGACACGGTATATAAATCGCGTTATCAACCAAGAACATACTTTTAACAATTCCAATGACCGAAACCGTCTACCTAGAAGGGGAAGTTCTCCAGAGCCTCGTCCGAAAACACAAACCCCTGAGCCGGCGCCTCGGAGAAGAACTCATCATTGGAAACGTCATCTGTCCCCACGCCAAACCCAGCAGACATATCCTGGTAATCGCGCAGGAAATCCGCAATCATGAAGTGATGCTCCTTCTCAGCAAGCTCTATGGCTCTCTCAAAGCCCTTTGCTGGGTCTCCTGTGGCGCCGACACTGATCAAAAACCGCACCATGTCAAGCCGGCCGTGTTCAGCTGCGCCCTCGATTGCCGTTCGACCCTCTTCGACCGCAGGTCCGGCGTTGACATTAGCTCCTTGGTCGAGTAAAGTTTTGGCAATGGTTATATTGCCGCTAATGGCTGCGCCTTGTAATGCCGTTATTCCGCCTTTCTCTGCGGGAGATACATTGACATCCGCGCCGAATGACAGTAGGAGCTCGACGATTGCAGGTATGTTTTCATAGTTTGAACCGTATACCGCTGCTTGTAGAGCTGTTCGGCCGAATTCGCTGCCAGGTAGAGCATTGATGTCTGCTCCATGGCCGAGAAGCAGGCGAACAGCTTCCAAATTTCCAACTTCTGCAGCAACTTGCAACGGCGTCTTCCGGCCACAAGAAAATTCGTCTCTGTCCTCAATCCGTGCTCCTGCTTGCAGTGCTATCTCGAGGCACTCAACAACTGAATCGAGACCATTCCGAATAAGAAGATGCAGGACGATTCCATGACCACCATTCGGACGGTTGATAGGTGCGCCAAGAGCAAGCCAGCCTCGGAACTCGGACACCACATTGTCTTGAGAATCTTTTGGCCAATTGCGGTATCTGTATTTGCAATAAGAAAATGCTTCGAGGATAGTCATGCCGTTTTTCTTTGCGGGAGGAGCCTTGATATCTGCTTTGGCGCCTAAAAGGCACGTTGCGACAGGCTCATAGCCATGTTCAACAGCTGCTTGCAGAGCGGTACGGCCGCCATCGTCATCCGCGGGAACATTGACGTCCGCGCCTTGATCAAGTAGAAATTGTGTCAGAAGTAGGTTGTTTTTTGATGCTGCCTGCTGTAAAGCAGTCTTGCCCTTAGCTCCGTGAAGATCAATAGGGGCCCCGAGGTCTAGGAGAAGGTCGCATCCAGCCAGGTCTTCATACAAAGCGGCAAGTTCTAGTGCAGAAGCTCCGAGGGTATCTGACTGATGTTTTTTGAAGAGGCTTTGAATGAGTGATGCGTCCGAACTCCAGTCGTCCAGATAATGACTCAATTTCGATAATAAACTCTCATCTACGCAGGCGCCGGCTTTGAATAAAAGATAAGCAATGCTACTGTCGACCTCGTAGTCAACAGCCAGTTGTAATGGAGTAGTTGTGAGTAATTGAGGATCCAAATCCCCGAAGACCTGGCTCCCAGCTCGACAACTTTTCGCATTGGGATCTATCCCACGTTGAAGCAGTGTTCTCACAGCCAGATCATTATTCAACTTGACGGCTTGACACAGAACAACCTCCAGTGATTTTTCTTGGACGATGTTTTGTTTTAGCAGTATTTTTGAGAGTGCCTGGCTGCCTGACGCTGCGGCATCGACGACGCGGCTCAACAGTTTCCTGTGCCGGTCGAGCATTTGAAGAAGCAGTGGAAATCTATTCAGTTTGAATTTTCGTTGTTCATGTGTCAAAACCACAATTATTTCTTCAAAGTCCTTGCAGATGTGTGAGGGTATTTCGGCGCCTCTGGATAGGAGAAACTCCGCGCTTACATATCTTCTGACTTCCAATGCAAATCTAAGAGCCTCACAGATATCATCTTTGCTGAGTTTCCTACCTTTAGTAGGACCGAGCTCTAGAAAATATTCTATGATGAGAAGATTTTCAGCGTAGATAGCTTGTAACAATGGTGTGCCTTTGTGGTTGGTATTATGCTGATGGGGTTTCCTTCTAATTACCGCGATGGTGTCGAGCTCAGCACCACGTGCAATCAGTAATTCTGCAGCGTTAACTGAGTTTGGGCGACCGGCGATGGTATGGAGTAACAGTCCACAGACTTTCTTGGAAATTTGTACACTTTCATCTCTGTACAACCCTAAGATCCGCACTATGATCTGCATGAACGAATCCTCCTCGGATGGACTTGTAACTACTTGTGAGATGTGTTGTGAAAGTAGTCGTAGAGTTGCTTCGGCAAAAGAATTCGAAACCGCCGGACTTCTCTGCAGGTAGGCTGACAGTTGAGTCGTTATTTCCGCATGAATAATCCACCTGCAAAACGAGAGAAATTCTTTTGGTGCCATTGTGTTGTTGCAACAATGATGGATGGCAGCTGAGAGGAGTAAGTGAAGCAGTCGCTGATCAGTTTTGATGACAGAATCCATATCCATAACATCATGTGACGGCCTAGACGAATCGTTCCGATGAATGATTCCATCCGTCAGCGTTGACACCAGTTGTAGTATAACCGAAGTGGACTGCATCCCAATTGGGTGCGGAGAAGTATTGATTCGCCAATGCGGGTTTGTTGAACAGTTGCTGACCAGTTCCTGGAGACGGACCATATTGTTTTTGATGAATGAACTGCTGGCCTCCAGATTGTTGACAATTTTGCAAACGTCTAGTTTCTCAGTTAGGAAAACGATTGATCTACAAAGAATTTGTCTGGAAATACCTGGTAGAAGAAAAAATGTTGGCAGTGAGAGATTATCTGACCATAGAGAATGACCCGCTTTAGGGGAAATACGTGCAGAAGACAGGTTGAACGTGGAAGCACAGATGCGAGTAGAGTGACTTGGATTCTGCCATGTCATTTCATGTGGTGCCACAATTGAAATGTGTTCATTCTCCTGAATCAACCACGGGAAGCCTCGCTGTGTATCTGAATTGTTGACCATACACTCAAAGTCGGTTTGCAGCTCACCATAGAACGATGCTTCGGGAGCCATCAGCTTTGGCGTTCTCAAGTCAGCATTCTCCAGCTCGAAGTCGGGGATCTGCTCAGTGTGCTCGAGGATGTGTTGGTCCGTTTTCTCTTCGGTTGAAATAATCGTGTTTTCCGTGACGATGCTTGTAAAACGAGGACATCCGTTTTGGAGTCGAGTGATTCTTTGAGGGATTGGTGAGCGGATCTCTATGCGATGCTTGCCCACGGTGTCGATACCGAGGTCTGCGGCCGTATTAGTAACTTGTCATCCAGGTTCTAAGCGAAACGCGCACCTATTGAGACCTCATTGCCGGTTGAGCCCGGGCCTAGGGTCCCGCTATAACGACGCATCTCTCTCGCAATACGATCGGAATCAAGTTGTCGATTGTTGAGAAAGACAGCAGAATCTCTGCCATCCTCCTTCCTTTTTTGAATCAATCTCTTAACAGCCCTCCATTCTTGAGCCCGAAGCTTTTTCAAGCCTGAGTATTTCCGCTTAAACTGTCTGGTACTAAATGGTTGTCAATGTCTGCGAAATAAGCATAATAAAGAAGCTTGAAAACGCACGTGATCATTACGTTATGTTGGTCACGCATGATTTGGATCGTCTCCTCGATCGACTTGTCTTCGACCACGTACAAACGAGTGATCATGTTGGCCCATTTTGGCCAGTCGACAGACATCGTTGGTGGTATGCTGCAAGGTAGTTGAAACGCCGGATGACATGGAGAGACTTTGGGGTAACGCTGTATCCTTCCGGTATGAAAACTAGCTTAGTTGGTATTGTTCTTAAAACAGAAAGTGGCGAGCAGCAACGTAGCTAAGTATAAAACCGCCTTCTTTGATCAAGCTCATGAACATGGTACTTTTGCTCATGCATTGCCAAGCTTGAAAAACAACAGCCTTCTGACGGGGGACTTCTGCTACAGTGTGACAAACCAGGCGATTGGCCGCCTTCTGGGTGCGTAGTCCAGTGTCTCGCAGCGTTTGGGCATACATGCCTACTCTTGCATATGACAAGGCGAATGGAGGTGACAGCTATGAAGTAGCTACTGTTTGATTGGTGCCAAGCTGCCTTGTCCACTATGCAATATGCATGGGCTTTTTGTTTCCTCTGTGATCCACGAAGCAGCCTACTCGAGGCATCCAAACTTATTGGTTGCCTGAAATTCGCGTTGGCGGACTCCAAGCTCTCAACTTACCTAAGAGGTCGGTGACTGTTGGTTCCGACAGATAAGCATGCTTGTTCCTGACTTGTTCATATGTGACCTGCGCATCTATGCGTTCACCAACCGACCTCGATCTCTTTGACGACAGAAGCCTATGGGCTTGCCCAAGAACTTAACCAAGCGTCTGTCGTCTCCGCGTATCCATGATGGCTACGCGATGCATCTGTCATGTTGAGGCGTTTGGTCGTTAAGGATTCGTACAATTTAAAAGAATGTGGACCCGGCCGTATTTAGCTAACCACTCCTGCTTTGTTCTTTCAGTCATGTAATCATCAGCATATAGCCATTCTTATTTCCAAATTACAATTTCTGCAGTTGACCTGTCTTATGACCGAGCGAAAAGTGTAAACCTTGAGTTGGGTTCATAGTGACGGCTTGTTACTCATAATTTGCCAACGTATGGTCCATCAACTGTCCATCGTTTTCTTACCACTATACCTTCTCAGTCAGAAGCTGAACGGCGTTCTTACCACTGAGATCTTTGAAAGCCTTTGAAACATTTCAGGACTGTCCTGGGTTTTACCTCCACAGTACTTTAATGCCATCCGTAAGGCCAATACATTTCCCAAGCCGCCCTAGTCACATTTCTATAGGTCCATCTGCCTCCAAACGTTCTGTTGTATATCTCATTTTGCCCTATGCAGGGTCCTTTACTGACGCATTCGTAATTGAGACAGCTATTTCTCGTTCCTCTCAAAGTTAACAGAGTTCGTCACCTGCTTTCTACTGGGCAGAGGGAAAGGTGGAAGGTTCCGCTTACCGAGGGTATAACAGTTCAGTTGGCCATTCTGCTTGTTCTTGTGAGATCCTGCAGATGAAGACGCATATAATCTTTTGATCACAACCGTGAGCGACACTCAAAGAAGAAAAGTAGAAGCATCACGTAAGGGGTTCGAGAAAACTCTTCAGATCGATGAGATAGGGTTTCAAGCAAAACATGGGAAAATGCTCACGCATTTGACTAGGTCGTCTGACAATTGCCCATACTTATCGAAAAGTTCCTGGGTGCTGATGTCGCGCTGTTGAATGCTTGCCGAGTCGCTGGTCATCCTAATACGGTAGTCAGTCAAAATTTGTGCGATCACACCCTCTCGCCCATGGTTTCAAATACAAACTCACTGAGGTTTTAGGTGGCTGTCTGTCACGACCAGGAGTTCCGCTGCTGGCTCTACGCTGGGCTTCGTTGAGGCTTCGATGAGGAAGCTGGGCACTTCATGGTGGTCGATCAGAGTTTCTGGCGTTTCGTAGCTGATAGAATGAAGGCTGGTCGACAAGACAGGTGCGGTGGAGGTTTCTGTTAATACTAACACTTCGGCACGCTTGACGATGCGGGTAAATGTGGCTAGACTGCTCTCAGGGAAATGGTTATGATCATCACGTTTGGGCTGAAACGTCCTTTTTGCATCCAAGCGGCTGATACGTCCACTGTCACCATCAAATATGTTCCCCCTGATGGTGACCAAACTTGGCCACTCAACACCGTCTTGGTGATTGTGGTTGTCTATAACGCCGGCCGTCGCCGAGGCAAGAAAGAGTGCCATCTGGATCAAGAGCTCGCAAAGAAGCATGACGGCTTGGAATAAAGATAGAAGTGAACTGCAAGTCATGCCACAAACTTTAGCAGGATGGTGAGACTTAAGTGTAAAGTTGTATGATGGCGAAAAGAGAGACGGGGAAGAAGATTGGCAGTGGCTAGCCTATGCTTTCGCTAGGGAAACACAGGTGACTGGAAACGCAGTGTAACGTCTTCAAATTTATTTTTATACTTAATTTGCTTTCCTTTTCGCATATTTCGGGTGGTTGGCTGTAAAAGGCCCGTCCCAAAAATCTATTCAGTTAAGTAAAAATAACAGCCTCATAGAATTTTAAGGCGCCTCGCCCCCCAGATATTGATACTCAAGCTGGGACACAGCGGCGATCGATGCTTCTTTTTGAGATGGATGCCCTGGATCGGCGCAAAGCCATCCCTTACAAAGAAATCGAATATTGGAAGCGTCCTCTAAGACGAGTATGTAACTAAGTAGATAGAAACACATCAGCCTAATTTTGTTACAACTCACAAGTCTTGTCAGTCAGAAACGACAATGACTCAGTAACTTTATGACCATTCTTGAGAACCGATTGACCCCCTGTTGCATTCTTTGCATGCTCGTATTACAGTAGCTAGTATTAACTCTCGTTGTTGCTCTTTGAGTTAAAGAAGCATTTAACTGCCATTTCGTTCTTTGGAATTACATGTGGTCTTTTCCTAACCATCTGATAGTTTAGTTTTCCAATATCAAAGGAACCCGATACCGCTCTGAGGCTTATGTCCCCCAGCTTCGACTGATTCTAATCACTCAATGCAAGTTTCTTTGAAATTTCACAATAGGATATCGGCTCTTGACTAATGGTTGAATCCATTCATCGGCCATTTTCAATCTTACACCCATTCATGGCTTTGACACCATGCGCACATATTACCCTTGGGTAACCATGCAAACTATTCTTACAAAGGCAGATAGTCACTTCGGCTGAGATCAAAGGGTATATATCTCCCTCAGAAACACATCAAAAATTCTGGTATGGAGGCTGTCATGCAGGAATATAAGGGTCCTTACTCACAACTAACTCCTGATGGAATTATCCGCTACCGAGTTGCCGGCGTTGCCTAGAGAATTAATCTAGACCGTCAATCCAGCTAAAATCGGCTCACCAAGTTCATTCATGGTTTTAGTGTGCTGTACGACATAGAAAGATGCACATCTCTGCCATCCTCCTCACGCTGGCAACGGCTATCTCTGCTGCCCATGCACTCTGCTACGAAGGCGGCAGATCAGGCAAGTACGGCGAGTGGCTGAAGGGGAAAGACACCATCCTGGAAGAAGAACGCCTTAGCTTCGCATGCACATCTCTGGTCGGCCGGGGCGACGTGAAGTTCCATGCTTATGAGACAAGGAGTACATGTATGCAACAGGACCTGCGTACCAAATGGGACTTTACAATTAAGGTAAGTTGCCCCAAGGCTATTGTCAGCGCATGCAGTCGTCCTACCTTTCTTCTTCTTTCACCATTCGTATCTGAAGCTGACGAGCTGGCAGAGAGTGAGCGACCCGGGAGGTGACGGCACGGCTTCGATGACGATGGACAATTGCTTGGAATATCTGAGGCAGGAAGCATATGGCTGCGAATATGGCGGAAGAATTCAGAACTGGGACTGGGATATCACGTAAGTTCCGGAACAACTTCCTTTTTGAAGATTATGCGTGGCTAACGGATTCTCTGCTTGTGACTAGAGCTGATCCGAATTTCGGGAGCTGTATGGGCTAAACTGCCGGGGCTCTCTACACGAATGTCCTTGGCCGTGTTGTCCTTCTCATCTTTTACCAAGCTTCCGATGCTGAATATTACGTGGTTATAGACAGATATTGTCTTTTTGAAATCGAAGCCTGGCATCTTGATGCGATATAGCCAGGGAGCAGCAGGTATCACAAATCTGGTAACAACACCTAAGAGCCTCTACCGAGATAGGCTTGATATGCTAAACCTTGCAGGTAAATGATAGCAAGAATATACCACATCATCCTATGATAGAATCTGCAGTGATGGCTATGATATCAGGGTATAGCTGTCGCAGTCCTTCTGACAGATTGTGACTCAGACAAGTGTAGAGACAGTCTAGGTTATACCAAATGAAAATGAGCCAGGCCAGCTTCTTCAGGTTTGCACCGTTTCAATGGTAGCCTTGTCTCAGGCCCTCTCCTGTCTTTGACTTGGGTACCAGCGTCTGTTCAGCTTGCACGACACTTGAAAGAGGCCATGTAGTTTGTTGGCCCTGAAACACGTTCTGGGCTCACGGTTGCACAAGCTCTCTAACCGAATCTCTCGTTGTCCTCGGTGGCCACCCTGACAGCCAGGACGCACTTCACGTACAAGGGTACTTGTCAGGTAACCGAGACATCAAAGAGCTTTTGTTTCCTCTGTGAAAACAACACCAGGCGGGAAGTGGGCTGCCTGGTTCCGCGTGGAACGATGGAGCCGTTCGCTACCAAGGTTAGTCATACGTCAGAACCGCGGAATGTCTGACGGCATTGGCAGGTCAGGTGGTTCACCGGTCTATCAGGTCGGCTCCGCCAGACACGCTCACTGAGGACAAGAACTTGACGCGGGAAGATTAACCTCGCAGGCTCCGACCGATCCGGCTCTCAAGGTTGCTGGGACCGGGACATTGGGAAGACCATTCAATGCCCTCCGCTGTTTGGGTATACAGCATGAGGCTGGAGGACCACGCGTTGCGCGAGGACCATTGCGACTGGTGGATTGTGTTTGCAATGCGTCACATGTACATGCCATTATTACGAAGGTGCTCCATGACCTGAAGAAATTTCCTCGAGCTCCAGAGATGGATGATTTGTTTGCCAGATGAGGTTTCGTTCTAGACGACACGCCGAACGTGCTAGTCCGGCAACAACCCGACAGGGCCGGCCATCTACAGTCGTCAACGACACACGTGGCCTAGCATAGAGCGCTCGGCAGTGTCGAGGACCTGTCCGAGACCATGACCCATCTCGCCTCGGTGACCGTTTGGGTTGATCGAGATGCTCCCCCTCGGACTCTCCACAGGTCCCGAGACGCCTCAGCACCCGGCCATGAATCAGGATCCCTGAGGCCAATTCTCAAAAATCGATGGTCGAGGTGGGTAGGGAAACTGTATCGCTTGTCTGGCGGGTACCCAATGCGCAAAAGCAAGACCTGGATGGCAAACCGCTTGACATCACAAAGCTGCCGAGATGATGTAGCCCACCGGGCCACCGGTCCAGCTCACCTAGGTTCAGGGATCTCAAGCCCGGTGAGCCGGTTCCCGGGACATCAACCCAATATAATACGGCGGTGTGGATTCCGGAGGAGACCACATGGCGGATCTTCGGCCTCTCTTTGGACAGGAACCCAGAGAGGGTCAATGCAGCCCTGTGCGGTCGCCTAGAAGATCGTCCCATGTTTCCAGAACCAAGGGGTGTGAGCTGAGGAGGTTCCTCCCCCGTTACTAAGGGGAGACGCATGTGGCCGTATTATTGGGATAGAAGGTTCCACGGTAGAACAAACACTATTATCGGAAGACCTAAAGCTCCTTCGTGGTGCAGAGCCGGGTTGTGTCCCGGGTTTCAGAGTGATCGCCAGGAACATTTTAGATTCAGGAACGGTAGCGACGGTGAAGCAACTGCGCCACGCTGACAGTCCGGGGAAGGAGACAAGGTTTCCGGCAGAGCCTCAGGGGGAAGGGGACTAACTTGAGGTGTCATGGTGTTTGCACTCACAAGGGATGGCTCCCTCACGTGGGTGAGTGATAGGAGGCAGCCTAGGAGGCTTGGATGGCACAAACTGGCCAACCCTGGCCGAACAGCAAATGAGACAGATACCCCTAAGATGTAATGGTCTATAAGAAAAAAGCAAATTGCGAATCCAGGAGGCGCAGAAAAGGGATCCAGGACAGCCTTGAAGCAGGTCAAGGCCTTTCGATGGTGTCACGCCATGGGGTGTTAAGTGCGCCAAACAATACGCCAGAAGCACGCAATATTGTGTACAGCACGGCAGCAGTCACCTATCGACTGTCTGGAGCTCAGACAGACGACAGATCGGACCAAGGCAGACAATCGTTGGCGCGGCGTATGTGTAGGTGGGCTTCGACCCGGTCCACCAGCATCGAGGGCCGCGGGTCCCAGCAATCGAGCACACTGCATGCCATGCGAGCGCATGCATTGTATGGCCAGCGCTCTCACATATCCAAGGCAGAAAAAGTAAAGTTCTTGGAAAGCTCCAAGAGCTGTAGCTTCATCGGTCTTGGATTGACAACGGGGATCGGGAGGAGGAGCCAGGGTGGGCGATGGAGACGGTATGTCATCCGTGGGTTGGGCTGCTGTGAGGCGGTCTGACGAGCACGTTGTTGGATGATTGGCGACGAGGGGCCGGCCGGGGTTCGAGCATGCGAATTGAGAAGGGAGCTTGGCGCAAGCTTATTACTCCATAGTTCCAGAGATGGGAAAAGGAACCCCTTGAGCTCTGCAATAGCTATCATCTAGGTAAACACTTTGAGACGTGTCAGATCAGAAAAGGGAGTTACGTCTGGCTTAGACCGTGGATAGACGCACCGTCCCGTCTCGACTGCCTTTGGCGGGGAAACTATTCCGCAGACCAACGGAACAGGGAGGAGGATGTAACCGGGGCTTACAAACCTTGCTGAATCGACACGCAGCCAACCAAGACAATGGAAGAGGATATCAGTGATGAGACTGAACCGTTTGCGGCCTCGTTTTCAGCATGTTCCGTTCCGCCAAAGTGACCGATTTGTGTGGTTCCCAGGCATCATGTCGTGGAACATTTGCGGCAGTCATAACGCGAAATCGGGTCCGGCCAGCTATTTTTCATTTGGTTGCACCTGAATGGTCGAAGAGATGGCAACGTGTCGATGAGTTGGACATCCGAGCTGGCGGCTGCCTTTCTCATCGTGACAATTGGCGGCGTGGGTTCAGAGATGTGCCAACGACGCATATCCCCAGCAGACGTGCCGGCTAGTGCAACACACCCACTGGGGCAGAGCTTCCATCTATTCGCTCTGCGCGTATGACGGGTGGAACCATCCTGAGGCCATATCAGAAACAACCGGACAAACAAGCGAGAAGGAGCACAAGCAGCCCTGCAACTGCAACGCTAGCCAGTGGCCGTAGGGGTGGCCCGCTCCGGCAAGATGCGGCATCCTGGGGGAAACATTGAAAAGGGGGTCCGGCGAAAAGGACGACTGGCACTATTTCTGGCACTCGCCGAGTACGACTGACAGTCGGCTTGGGTGTGGGAGAGAGAGACACCGAGGATTTCCGCTATTGGGAGTGACAACCCATTGCTTTCGTCTGGCGGACAACTGCTATCGCGTCCAGGCATTCGTCCGATACATCAAATTCCAGCCGACGAGACAATGGAAACCGTCGGCTTTCGGACGGGCCTGTAAGAATTAGAGGAGCGACAACGTGCCCCCAGAAGAGTTTCGGGATCAACGGCCTGGCGCTTGGTCGCGTCGTCGGTGAAGGGAGGCACTGCCGGAGTGGCCAGTGGTGCTGGTTTTGTGTGGTGTCGGTGTACGGTGTGCTTTGCGGTCTGAGATGCTGCTACGCCGGGGGGAACGGGTCCGAGACGCTTGCAGTGTACTATGTATGTGCATTGTATCCATGGCCAATACGCAATGACGATGCTTACATCATGGCGGGAACCCCAGTTGTCGTACATACAGGACAGGCCGTCGGTCGGTCGGCTTGGGGCCAAGCTAGTGAGAGCGGCATTCTGGGGTTGTCCATTAGGTAATGGCAGTTCTCGTGACTAAAGACCTGAGACCTGGAAGAGAGGGCTGCGAGGACGTTGAGCGACGCTGGGAGAGAGGATCTACAAGGTAGGCCAGCAGGCAAGATGCAAGAAGTCATGGCCAGCCGGTTGGCGTTCCCAGTGGCTGGCCAGAGGGACCAAGGTTTGGGGTCCTTGCAAGTCGGGATACCTCCTGTGGTACCATAACCTCATACCGTACTATGGTACTTACTACCGTAGCATAGTAGACAGTACTCTGTAGCTTCTGGCTGGGGCATTTTTGGACTTCTCCAACCGTTTGGCGTTTGGCCCCAACAACCAAGGCGCGCTGGAGCCAAGGAACCAGCCTAGGGAGCGAGTTTCCGTGCTAGCAATGCCCTGGCATTGGTGAGGGCGGTCCAGGGCCCAACGGGCGACTGGGGCGATTGGAAGGCTCCGGGAGCCAAGTTAGCAGTCCCGTGGACGGCGTCACACCGTGCAAGCGGGGTTTGGACGAAAGGGCTGCTGGGTTGATACCGGCAGCCGCTGGGGTTGCGCAGGGGCGCCCGCAGCCGTGGGAACGAGAGCGACGGGGGAGGGGATGGACGGCCATGTTTCGATTTGCGCAAAGGCCGACCCGTCGAGAGGCGACGGTCATTGTCTGCGATGTGATGCGATGCAGCAGTGCGGTGCGGTGCGGTGCGGTGTGGAATAGTATGGTGCGCTGGCATGTGTGCGTGTCTGTCTGGTTGGTCGGTCGGTCGGCCAGGTGTTTGCTTTCTTACTTGCCTTCCTTCTTGCTGGCTGAGCCGTGTCTCGATAGGAGAGCTGGTGAGAGAAGCCGTGCGATCAACGAACGCGTGACTTTGAGTGCGAGTCTGAAGTTTGACTCGGCAAGGTCCAATGGCTCTCGATGGGTCGGGATGGCCTGAGCTGTGGCCACGGTGTTAGACCTGGAGGTGGTGCAGTTGTCAGATTGTCGAGGTGACGTCCGCTGCGCCGGCGCCGACGGAAGCAGATCCTAAATGTGTTTCCCTGTTTCTTTTTCTCCCACTCTGATGTTTTCCTCTCTTTCTCTTCATGATGCGTTTCGGACATGCCATGGGCCACAGCTTTCGGATGAAAATGGTAGGGAAACCTCGAGGACAACCGTACTGCGGCAGGAAAAGGAAGGGACGGAATCGGAGTTGATGATGATGCGATCGGTGACAGTGGCTCCTTCCCACGATTGTTTCCTCCCCCAGGTGCCACTACTTGCTACACGTGGGAGGGCACAAGTCCCTCGCCAAGCGTTTACCGAGGATAGGTACATCAGACATCTCTGTTGTTCCATCGTTATCCTCGGTACATGATGCGCCGCCCCATGGGCCCCCCAATAGCAGGTACCTCTCTTGGCTCCCAGTGGCTCCCTTCGACTGTCCCTATCAGCGCCGCTAGGCCCCTGTGTATCCCTGCTCGTTACACCCACTCCTCTCCACCAAGATACGCTTCCGCCTTTTTTTTTTTTTTTTTTTTTCAATTACCGTAGCGTCTGGCAGAAACTCGGCTCCACTGATAGGCCCAGTGAGAGAGTGAGAGAATCAAAGAGAGTGCCGAGTGCGCGCGGAAAGCAGCCCCAGCCCAACACTCCCTTCCCTCTGGATGCCCGGTTGCGATAATGATGATGATGATGATGATGATGATGATGATAATGATAAAAGACAGACACAGCACATGCTAGACGCGCACCGACAGGTATCTCTGCCCTGCGATTTGCCGCGCAGCCACATGCGGGCAGATTTAACCACCCAAAATTTGCCCCTCATTCACACTCGCACCACAGATCGCCCCCTCTCATCCATCCGTCTCAGTCAAGAGAGATTCAGAAGCTTGCGTGCCGTCTTGTCGTCCGTCGATCGTTTGCAGATACGTGCAACTGACGAGAATGGGAGCCCCAGCTAGTTCAACGGCATACCTGGTATCCATAGCACATACTCTTCTACATAGTGCTCTCTCGCTAGACGCACGCACGTACGCATCATCCACCGCCCACCGCGCAAAGTGAGAAACCCACACACAATGTGTGTACATAGCATTCGTGCCCACACAAATCCCACCGCCCACAGACGCAGATTCGCATCGCATGGCAGCGCATCGCATCGCATTGGCTGCCTTTCGTTCGCCTTTCCCGCGCACTTGTACATGGCAGTTGCTTTTCTTCCTACAGCACGCGAGGCCGTACCTACCGACTGCGAGATAGCTGCCCCGTGGCCGCAGCAATTTAAATCAGTCGGGGCTGCTTTTCCACCTCCCACACCCCTCGCCCTTCTCCTGGCGCACGCCTCCCACAGACACTCGAACCGAGCCTAACCTAAACTCGGGTGCCTGGTACCCTTACACTAGGCACGGTGTATCCCTCCCTCCCCTCTTCCACCCCCGGTCCCTATCAGCGAGGCCCGGTCACTCTCTCACAGGGCTCTGCGCGCTGCAGCGTGTCCAATCCTGAAGCCCACACCTCTCCCGGCCCGCCCACTTTCTCTCTTTCCTCCCACGCGTGTGTCGTGACGTCCCTTTCCCTTCCCCCAATTCTCCCACCTGGGTAAATCTCCCACCCACACACACATTCGCACACACTTCAGAGACGCAACCCACGCCGCTCTCTATCCCTACAATTCCCCCCTTTCCGCCCCAAAACAACCGGCGACCAATCCTTCAAATCGTCCTGAGTCTCGCCAGATGTTTCCCTCATGTCCAGCCCGCCTCGTAACGCCGAAAATGCCGCACCCGCGACCCTGGTGAGCCCCGCGCATTCGTCGTCGACGTCGTCGCCCACTCCTACCACCACAAACACCACCACTACTGCCCCCGTCTCCATTTCCAAGCCTTGCGAAAGTGACGGTCCGTCCGACCCAGCTGCCCCCGCGGCTGGTGCTGACGGGTCTGCCGCAGATCCTGGAGCTGGATCGGATGCTGCTGTTGCTGCCGCTGCCGCCCAGCTCCAGCAACAACAGCAACCGCCTCTGCCCTCATCCCTCCCGCCATCGCATCCAGACACCCCCCTAGCCCAAGCTGCAGATCTACCCCCTGCCACGGCCGCTGTCACCCAGTACCAGCAGGATGTCTCGAGCCATGTCGACCCGAATATTAAAAAGCCCCGAGGCCCTGCCGCCCTCCCGAGGCAGTCCGGTCCGTCCTTGCTAACCCAAGCACTCGCCTCAGCTCGCGGCATCCCTTCGAGAACACACTCTCACCAAGATCAACCATCCCAACCCCAGACCCAGTCGTCGACTCGCTCCTTGCCCTCTCCTACCGCCGAATTCGCCCCAAACAACCCCTCTGCCGCTGCTGGCCCGGATCCCCTCGCCGTCGACTCTCGCAATGTCCTCTCCCTTCCCGGCCATGGTGCCTCAGTAACTCCTCGAAGCGCCCCCCAGCCTGGACCTCTACCGCCTCTCGACCTTGCCGACTCGACCGACGCTGCCCAGTCCCCCGCCGCCGACATGGAGATTATGACATCCCCCACCTACGACATCTCTAGCTTCCAGGGTATCAGGGCAATGTTGCTGGACCACCGGGACTTTCTCAAGGGTACGCGATCGCGGGGCAGGGGGTCGTCGTTGGAGCGGCTTGACCCGGAGTCGAAAGTAACAGGACGCCCCCGCAAGACGCGCGCCCATTCACATTCCACCAGCCCGGAGGCATCTCTGACCACCTCCATCGCCCCCTTGGATCAGAAGCTACACCAGGACGTTGCCGTGCCAGAGGGACGACCTAAGAAATTGGAGCAGCGCTTCTCAGTCGGGCCGGAAAAGATATGGTCAATTGGGTCGAGTGAGGCCATTGACGGCCAGGAAGACGGCCAGGTTGAGAAGTCGGTCCATGAGGCCATGATTGGTGCCGAACCCAACGCCCGTAGTCGCAAGGCCAGCTACAGCCTCCGGTTTTTCCGCGAGGGATTGCCAAAGGAGGAGAAGACGCCTGGCCGCAGAAAGGACACCCGCCCCAAGGAGAAGCTCTCCCTGAGCCATGAGTCGCAAGAGCCGCTATTTTCAGACATTGCCATTGAGGATTTCGCCAAGGCTGCGAGCGCGCAGCCATCTCCGAGGATCCTCGACAAGAAGGACTGGTTGCCAAAGCAGCTGGAGAGGGTCAAGACCTTTCCTCTACAGTCGCCCCAGGCCGGTGAAACCCCTATCCTCACCGACTCGCCGACCCAAGATTACTTTGGCTTGAGAAAGGTCAACGGCGATATTTTCCACAAGGTGGACTCGGAGGATGCCAGACAAGCCGGTACCAAGGCCTCGTTCAAGCCCGAGGATTCCGAGGACCACGCTTCACCTCCTGCGGTTGAAGTGACCCAGGCAGACGAAACCCGGCGCCCGTCCGCCGACATCAGCGAACACGGTGAAAGCCATGAAGAGGGGGACGAGTCGAGCGAGGAGAAGATTTCTTCTGCCGTCTTCGTACCGCACCCCGGATTAGAAGAAGCCACCGAGCGCGAGCGGGATGTGGCGAAGCCAAGACAGACGGCAGGCTCCCGCACCACCTCCAGAGCGGAGGATTTCCATCCTTGGCTTGTCAAAGCCGATGAGCCCGAGCCCGAAGAGGAGCTGTCCCTGTCCCCCGACCAGCCTCCCGACACACCTTCGCACAAACCGAAGCCGAAGCGATTGCCTGTAGAGCATAATGTTGCTCTCCGCGAGGTCCAGCCTGGCACCGTCGATGACATTGCCATAGAAGAAGAGCAGGAGCCGCCGACGCCTAAACAAATCACTACACATCTAGATGAGCATACCCACCACCACCAAATCGAGCAAAAAGAGCCTCTCGAGGCTATTGAGCTCATTCCCTACAAGCATCAGGTTGGCGGTCACACCACGCTCTGGCGTTTCTCCAAGAGGGCTGTGTGCAAACAGCTCAACAACAGGGAGAACGAGTTTTATGAGAAAGTGGAGCAAGACCATCCGGACTTGCTGTCGTTTCTTCCTCGGTACATTGGTGTGTTAAACGTCACCTTTCACAAGCAGCCTCGGCGCAAGTCGACCCATAGGCGCGAGGACGCTCCCGTCTTGGAGCGCAGAAAGACTGGAGAAAGTGGTTTGGCAGTCTCAGGGTCGCCTTCCAAATCCAGCTCCAGCAATGGCAATTCAAACGGCGCATCCCAGGCCAACACGGAACACCGCAGAATAATCAGCCAGTCACTCTCCAACGCACCGGAGCCCATCCCCACTGTCACTTTTGACGATAACTGGCACATTTTGCCACGAAACCTGCTTCAACCGACGCCGCCCCCTACCGCCTTGCCGACCCGGGGCCGGAGTACATCACCCGTGGGCTTGCCTGACAACCCTGAGCAAAGCAAAATGGAGTCTCCTACAAGACCTAGCTTGGACGACAGGCACGCCAACAGCTGGGGAGCGACGACCGTCAACAAGCGGTTGCGCAACGAGGTGTTCAACGACGTCTTCTTGAAGCAGCCAATTCCTATCCACAAGCACCGTCGACCTCACCAAAAGTCGATGGCCTTCCGGAAGCAGCCCACCCTGCGACCAGCCAGCTCCGTTCCTGACCTTGTGCGCCGGCAAGACCCGTCTGCCCAAGAAGGTCACGCGCCCCTGCACTCCAGCCCGCTACGGCCAAGCAGTTCTTCGCCGCCCTTGACGGAAAGCATCCCGATGGAGCGCCCCGAGCGTCCTGGCCACGCAGAGGCAGTAGAAGCCGAGGACGGCGATGTCAAGGACGTGACTGGCACGAGTGCACCGGAACCTGAGACACTGGCGGACAAGATCATTGCGCAGAAGAAGAAGCGGCGGTACTCTGGAACAGGGCTCCGACGGAAGCCACGAACAGTCACAGAGTCTAGAGGGCATCTCAAGTACTGGGAGGAGGCGGACGACGCTGGCTATAGAGGCGAGGACGAAGGTGGGCAATCTCTTGTCACATCGCAAGTAAACTCGCCCATGATCGAAGCACCGAATACGAATGGTGCGGGTTCCCATGAAGGAGCTGAGGAACAACTGAGTCTTCCGGGCTCTGCCACAGATGCCCCTGAAACCGAAGCCTCAGCCGAGGTTGACCGTTCAACGTATGCCTCGACGGTGCCCTCTGAGGTGCCGAGTCCCACCCAAGAGTTCCGCAAGATCCCGCGACCCGTGAACCCCAAGGAAGCACAGACGCAGAGGGACTCTCGCGTGGAGTACTTTCTCTTGTTGGAGGACCTCACAGCAGGCATGAAGCGGCCATGCATCATGGACCTGAAAATGGGCACCAGACAGTACGGTGTCGATGCCACGCCCAAGAAGCAGAAGTCGCAGCAGGGCAAGTGCGCCAGGACAACATCTCGTGAACTTGGCGTGCGTGTGTGTGGGCTCCAGGTTTGGGATGTCAAGAGCCAGAGCTACGTCTTCAAGGACAAGTACTTTGGACGTGACCTCAAGGCTGGCCAAGAATTCCAGGATGCTCTGACACGATTCCTCTACGACGGCGTCGACTACGCCAGCATCCTGCGGCACATCCCGACCATCCTGCAGAAGCTAGACCATCTCGAGTCGATCGTCAAGACGCTAGACGGCTATCGCTTCTACGCCGCCAGTCTTCTCATGTTTTATGATGGCGACACGGCCACCGAGGGTAACGAATACGATACAGTCGTTGACGATTCTACGACTGACTTTGCAACCGACACGGAGGAGACGTCCGCGTTGCGCGAAAGGAGAAAGCAGAAGAAGAAGCGCGGCATCAACTTCAAGATTGCCGATTTTGCAAACAGCCTAACCAAGGGCGACCTGGCCGAGGGGAAGCCATGCCCGCCTCAGCATCCCAATGAGCCGGATCGTGGCTTTCTCCGAGGCCTTCGAACGTTGAGGAAGTATTTCCTCAAGATCCAGAAAGATACCCGGGCTGCCATGGGCCTGGACTGTCATGGACGGAGTAACAGAGTGGACGGTGATGATATCGACATTGACCATATCTCGGACGATGAGGGGTCTGTCAGCGTATGATGGGAGGACGTGTCTCTTTCTTCATGTTGATAATTTGGGATTATAATTCTGGATTGGGCTATGGTAGGCGTGGATGGACGGAACGGCGGAGTCAGGGACGGCATTTGACAACATACCCGGCATCGGTCTGGCGTCACAATACAGATTTCAAGGCAACTGAGATGTTTTGTATTTCACTTTCCTTCTCCCACGAGGCTTGTGTGGTGGCTGCCGCTGCAGACTGTGTCGTGTCTGACGTGAGTCCCGATGTTGGTTTATGGAGAGTATTGATGGGTGCCACTCGATTGGCGGGTGCAGATTGGACTAAAGAGCGACTGGAACGTTGGTTCGGATTGATGATCAAGGCGTTAGTTTTATTTTTGGGATTTAGGTTTAGTTAGATGTTAGACAAAATGACTATGTCCTAGATGTGCGCTCACTCCATTCCCCTGTTTCAACAATGCAGTGTCGGCGCGGGACACGGGCATCATACGTTTCCACGGTGCCGAGTACCGACCGGTCCGGCCCGGGCGTATTATGTAATCCTCCCCACGTCAACGGGGTAAACCACTGGGGGAGGCACAACTTACTTACATGTCGTTTCACCCAGGCCCGCACCGCAGTCGATCAGAGCTTCCGTTCCCTACTCCAATTCTTCTCCACCAGTTCAATCAATCACATCACCAGCTCGTTATCCATAATTCTCACGACTTGCTGATCGGTGGGGCCTGCACGACATGGGCTCGGTGCTCTCCGCCATCCGCTCCGCGGCCAAGACCGTCGGGGCGGTGGCCAAGCTCCTCCTGGACCTGAACAAGCAATACCAGGCCTTGCTGGCGAGGGTCAACGCAGCCCCGGGATTGCCGCACGAGAACCCTTCGAGCCCGTATTGGCTCGACGACCCGCCGTTCCCGGAGCTCGTGGACGTCCGCTCCGAGACGCTGCCGCGCGAGGCCGACGTCGTCGTCATCGGGAGCGGGATCACGGGCGTCGCCGTCGCGAGGGGGCTGTTCGCCGCCGCGCGGGGCGATGATGGCGGCATGCCAAGCGTCGTGGTGGTTGATGCGCGGTCGTTGTGCGCGGGCGCCACGGGGCGGAACGGAGGCCACGTGAAGGCGAGCCCGCACGAGCTGTTTCCCAAGCTGGCGCGGCATTTCGGAAAGGAGGGGGCGGCGCGGTTGACGCGGTTTACGCTGCGCACCGCGGAGGCTGTGTTAGAGGTTGGAGGGGCGGAGGGGAGGGAGGTCGCGGAGTGCCGGGGGGTTGAGACCGTCGACTTCTTCCTTGACGAGAAGGGGTATGAGGCTGGGAAGAAGGAGTTTGAGGAGTTGAGGACGTGGGTTCCAGAGGTCGAGATGGAGGTGCTGGGGCGGGAGAAGACTATTGAGAGGTTTGGGGTTGAACAGGGGCATGTTTTTGGAAGTTTGGTGTTCAGGGCCGGTGCGCTGTGGCCTTACCGGCTCGTTACTGCGGTGTGGAGGGGGCTGTTGGATGAGCATGGCGAGAAGCTGAGGCTGGAGACGAACACGGCCGTGGAGGAGGTCGTGTTGGATCCCGCGAGGGATGGGGAGAGGCCGTATGTTGTGAGGACGGAGAGGGGGAACATCCGGGCGAGGCATGTGGTCCACGCCACGAACGCGCACGCTGGGCAGTTCCTGACGGGGTTGAGGGGGAAGATGGCGGGCGTCAAGGCGCACATGACGGCGCAGCGGCCCGCTCCGTCGGCTCCTGGGCAGGGCCAGGGGGGTGACGGAGGTGAGGCTGGGTTCCAGTGGAAGGATGGAAGTAAACCGGGGAGCAGGTCATGGAGCATCATATATGGAGGAGGCATGTTCGACTACGTCACGCAGAGGCCGAACGGAGACGTCATGCTGGGCGGTGGGTTCGCGCGGAGTCTGGGGCAGGGGGTGGATATGGTTGGCGTCTGGGACGATTCCGGGACGGAAGGATTGACAATCGCGCACTTGTCGGGCGTCATGAAGGCTTTGTTTGGGGGAGGTGGGAGGGGGATGTGATCAGGGCTTGGAGTGGGATTCTGGGTGTCACGGGGGACATGGCGCCTTTTGTCGGGAGGGTTCCTGGGAGTTTGTCTGGGGTTAAGGGGAAGCTCGCCGGGTCCCGGGCGAAGAAGAGCGAGAAGAGGTTGAAGATGATGAAGGTTGATGAAGAGGAGGGGTGGAAGGGGGCTGGCGCCGGGGAGTGGGTCAGTGCTGGATACGGCGGCGACGGAATGGTGTGGGCGTGGCTCTGCGGAACGGCGCTGGCCGTCATGATTTCTGGCAAGGAGGGCGTTGCTCTGGAAAAGGGGGTCGGGTTTCCTGGGGGCAAGTTGGAGGAGTGGTTTCCCAAGGAGTTGCTGATCACGGAGGCGAGGGTGAAGAGGGCTGATATGAGCAACTTGGTGGATGAGATTTTGTAATGAAGATGGTGGTTCAAGTGAAATTTCGAAGAGGCTTTGGGTAACCGGAATTCGTTTGGCGTTGGTCCATTAGTAAACCAGGAAATTAGGAAAAATTATATGTGTAGTACAGGTCGATCATGGTTCAACTACCCATTTTCTAGTTGCTTTATCTCGGTCACGTAATAGCTCCGTATGTCGAGGTAGAACGCATGCTCCTTTACGGGCCAGTGCATGACGGTGATGCCCAGTTTCAAATTGGGCCCAAGGAGCCGACGCATTCTACGGATGCTCTCGGCTCGAGTGACAGAGATACTGAACCCGCAGACTCGGACGCCAGCCACTCGGACGCTGCATCATCACATAGAGACGACCCTGAGCTATTCAAAGTACGCAAGACTACCCCGGAAGACTTTCTATCTCGACTACCCTCATCCCTCAAAATCCTCCACATCGGCCGCATCACAGCCTGGTTTGCCATGTACAGAGACGCCCTCGCGCTAGCCGAGCAAGACCCGTTCCGGTTTCCTCAGATCTGGAAGGTGTCACTCGAAGTGCTTGAGGGCGTCGTCCCGCCTGAGGAAGAAATCCAGAGTCTAAACAGTGCCTTTAACTTATCCGGTATCACCTTGTATGTCTTGACTGTGCAGCGACAGGTGTCTTGGTCCTGTCGCGGAATGCTACCTCCCAGGCCTGGACAGGTAGCCACCGTTAGCGAGGTTGTCGCTTACACTGGGCTGGCCAAGGATGGAAACCAGGGGGCACAGTCATGGCCATCTGGCTAAAATTGTGAACTTACATGTAGTTTTCATGCTCCAAGGAAAAGATAATTGGCAGCACCAGACTGAGAACCTCAAACCTACAGCAATAAACACACCTGCAATAGACGTGTTGAATGGAGAAAGCGTGGACATTGAACAAGAGTTAAATCTATTGCAACTCAGCGAGCGCGTGACATTGTCCTGCATTTTCCCATTCTTCTTCCAGTAGCTTATGTCTTCCCACAGGACTTGCCCATGATGGATTGAACTTTGGGCGTGTTTTTTGGAGTAGGAGTTGCCCATATTATCCTTTCTCTTTCGTCGTCACATCGTTCTTCTTCTTGTTTAGCGTCGCGAAGTCCCCCTTTTTCGCGCCGACGCCGCCCAGCTCACCCATGCCCCGGAAATGGCATTGCTACTCCGCAACCCATCCAGTCTGGCATGGTTAGCAACTGGAACAAATTTCACTTTGTGGAAGAAGGCGTGAGCTGCGGCCAGCTTCTCAGCTCCCAGAACATCAACCTGGCAGACCTCTTCCGATGGAACCCGTCCGTCCGCAGCGACTGCTCCGGACTCTGGACCAACGACAAAGTCTTCGTTGGCATCATCGGTGGTGGGGGCGGCAACAGCACCCCCGTAACTACATCCAAGCCGACAACCACCACAAGCGCGGGAAACGGCATACAAACGCCCCTGCCTACGCAGCCTGGCATGATGAGCAACTGCAACAAGTTCCACTGCGTTTTGAGGGCAATACTTGCGACCAGATTATTAGCTATGGGAAAATCACCCTCGCCAACTTTGTCCGATGGAATACCGGCGTCGGGCCCGACTGTAGGAATATGTGGGCCAAGACTCATGTTTGTGTTGGCGTGTGATGCGGCGTCGGTGGAAATTTGGCCTTATGAGGGCTACGTACTTAGTTTTTGATGTACTAAGGTATGAAGCCATTGTAGAGCCCCTACGAAATATGAAGTAGGCGAACATATTCAGTGAATAATGTTCTTGAATAGTCAACTGTGTGAACTATGAGAATTTTGAATATGGCTTGAAGTGAAGACATCCGACATCCCTCTCAGACTTGCTCAAGGTCATATCGAATGTCCCCGTCATTGGCTCCACGATTCTCGAGTAAAATCTGGCCCATGATAGAGCTTACACCACTGGGACTGGCATATCATACGTTTATTACCATTAAATACTTATATGATCTGCTATGACGGACTGTCCTGTAAGACGCCTCGACACACACCAAACTCTGTAATTTGCTGACTTTCAACGTTTCTGGGGGAGTTAAAAATGCAGTGAAGTCCCGCCACTGATCGGTCTCTCCGTGACACATACAGCCTCAGTCCTGATGTGTTGCAGTGCACGTTGAGAACCCGGTTCGAGAAATCATCGGGAATCGGGCCAATCATTTTGCAATTGGCTGGCACTCGGTGAGCACAACGTAATGACCCAATTGCGGAATCAATGCGCTACGCCGGGAATATATGCGTCCATCAACTCGAGGATAAGATTCGGATAGAATTCAGCCATCGGACGGCGTGTTCTTAACTGGGCTGAGCATCCAAAAAGTCACCGCCTCAAAGCACCAAACCCAATCTCGCCCACAACTCGTCGTCGCTCCGTCCCGTTTCTTCGACTCCCCTAACCCACATCGAAGGATCGACAGAGTACCCGCTGTAACCATCCCCGAGAAGAACCCCTCCGCAGGGCCAGGGGATGGCCCCCCCTCCCCACCCGCAGTGACCAAAGACGATCGCGGAAGCACCTCTGGTTCGCTCCCAGCGGCTGCGGGGTAGCTGCGATGACGTCCACCCCTGTCCCAGTAAGCTTTCAGCACCTTCCCCTCCGCAGACCTGCCCCCGCTCGATACATAGTACAGCTGCCCGCGCCCCATCGTGGGCCCAGGGTTTCCGAAGCGTCCGCCGTCGCCCGGGGTTTGAACCACTTCGTTTTCGACTCTCCATTTTTGATTGTTGACCAAAAACCGGGCCGGCCGACCTGTCAAATCCCGCGGCCAACTTCAGAGTCACAGCTTATCTCCGACGAATACCTCTCGTCGCCAAGCCAAGGGTCTCGGGTAGCATCGCTTCAACGCCGGACGCAGGACCCCTAAATCCAGAGAACCGCCCCCCTTCGGATTCGCACTTGCATCCCTCGACGAAGCCATCAGCACAACCCAGCACCATTGCCACGCACTAAGCTCGCCGGCTCAAACCGCGACAATGCCTCCAATCCGTCTCGCGACGGCATCCCCCGCTACGGCCGCGACAACCGCCGCGACCCTGCACCAAATCTCCCTCCTAGCCGCCCGCGCCTCCACCCACGGCGCCGACCTCCTCCTCCTCCCGGAAGCCTACCTCGGCGCGGGCTACCCGCGCGGCGCCTCCTTCGGCTCCAAGATCGGCTCCCGCGCCCCCGAGGGCCGCGACGAGTTCCTGGCCTACTTCAACGCCGCCGTCGACCTCGGCGACACCGTGGGCGACGCCGGCGCCGGGGCAGGCGACAAGTGGGTGAGGAGGGAGTTGCCCGCGCAGCATGCCGCCGCCGAGGAGGGCAAGCCCAAGAGGGGCGACGGGTCGAGGGAGGAGCTGGAGAGGATCGCCGCGCAGACGGGCGTCTTCCTCGTCGTCGGCTGCATCGAGCGCGCCGGCGGCAGCCTGTACTGCGCCGTTGTCTACGTGTGCCCCAAGCTGGGCATGCTCGGGAAGCGGCGCAAGGTGATGCCCGTACGCACCAAACCCCCCTTGAACCCCCTTGGCTGAGAGAGAGAGAACCCGAGAACCGGCCCGCTGACAGGAACCCGCAGACCGCGACGGAGCGCCTCATCTGGGCCCAGGGCTCGCCCGCGACCCTGCGCGCCGTCTCCACGACCATCAAGGGCGTCCGCATCAACCTCGCCGCCGCCATCTGCTGGGAGAACTACATGCCCCTCCTCCGCCAGGCCCTCTACTCGCAAAACATCAACCTCTACCTCGCGCCCACGGCCGACGGCCGCGACACCTGGCTCCCGCTCATGCGCACCGTCGCCTGCGAGGGCCGCTGCTTCGTCGTCTCGTCCAACATGGCCGTCAGGCCGCCCTCGGCAAACGGGCAGCAGGCGAGCGGCAGCGGCGTCGAGGAGGACGGGGACCGGCCCGATGCCGCCGTGTACCCCCGCGCGCGCCGCAACTCGTGCCTCACGGAAGAGGGCTTCGAGATCGCGCTCCCCGAAACGGCCAAGCCCGCCAACGGCGCCGCAAACACCAGCCCGCGCCGCCGCCGCAAGTCCGTCATCGTTGAGGACGGCCACGAGATCGTCCTCCCGGGCGACGACGACGCGCCCGTCTCCGCCCCCGCGAACGGCACCAACGGCACCAAGACCGCAGCGAAGCAGCCGGCCCTCAAGTCCGCCGACTGGATCTCCCGCGGCGGCTCCTCCATCATCGGCCCCTTTGGCGACGTCCTGGCGGGCCCGCAGTGGGAGGACGACGAGGGCATCATCTACGCCGACGTCGACTTTGACGACTGCATCCGCGGCCGCCTCGACATCGACGTCGGCGGGAGCTACTCGCGCAACGACTCGTTCAAGTTCTCCGTCGACGGGCTGGATCTGGACCCCCTGCCTTACTGAGGTTGCTGACACATCTCATCTGGTCTGCCCGTGGCGACTGCGCCGCCTGTAAGTGCCGCGAGACTGACCTCTTGAGACAATGACAAAGTCTTGTGTGCACATCAAAGGAAAAAAAGTATTATAATCACTGGCGAGTACAAATTGTAGCTTCACTCGTAATGCATGTGTTTCCGCTCATGTTTGACTCACGACTAAACTGGCTGCGTATGAGCCCCGTGATGGAGATATCCGTAAACCCCTGATCCCGAATCCCTAACCTTCCCGATCCTCCCATGTGATGCCAGCCGAAACCCCATGCCCCAGGTTCATTAATGCAAGAAAACGGTCGTGAATAGAATTGGCGCATGACGTCTTTAGCGCTCCTCGTCATTCTTTGCCCGACTCGGGCCTTCACCCCTGTCCTCAGAGTCGTCCATTTCTGACGCCTCCCGAGGGCTGGTCAGCGGACTTGTCACGCCACCAATACTCCCACTGATGCTGTCTGCCCGACCGTGCCCCAAAAGTCCACTGCGGATGCTCGCCCCGTCTCCAGTGCCGCTCTGCTTCGCGTAAAAGCTATTCCGCTCGCCGGGAATAGCAGGGGCGACGCCCGTGGCCGAATAGATGCTGGTTCGTTCGGCGTTGGCGATGCGTGAACTGCTTTGATGGAGGCCCGGGGTGGTCGGCATGCCCGCGCCCTGATCGATGTTGGCGCTGAGGACGCTGAGAGGGAGACTTTCCCGGCTGCCGCCCCAGAGCGAAGAGGGGGCCAAGGCGCGGACCGAGGCGTCCGTATCGAGCGAACGACGACGGCGGCGTTGAGACGACGACGCCAAAGTGATGATGGACGCGTTGTCGGTGAGGAGGTTGTTGGCGGTTGCTGTGGTGTATGTTGTGGGATTACCAGGTCCCGCCGCCGCGGGACAAGGTGAGCGGGGATGGCGGAGGCGGGCGACGCAGTGGGAAACGGTTGGTTAAAGTGGATGGATTGGGTGTTGCCCTGTTGCGAGGTGTGATTGCTGCTGTTGGTCGGGTTCGTTGGCACATGGGTGCCTCCATTATTTGGTGCCATGGACTGAATTGTGGTCAGGGTCGTTGTCAGCGATCGCACAGAAGGCGCCGGCGACGAGAAGGTGCTGTCTCCCCCCCTACGAGACTCGACGCCCCCAATCGTCCGACTCGTTCCGGCAACCGAGGGAGCGCCGTGGGATGGGGCGACGACTGAGGGGGCTCCATCGTGGTCTGTTGATATCGTAGGGGCCATGGATCTTGCGCCGGTTGTGGGCGGGGCTCGGCCATCATCGGACGACATGCGAGAAGAGCGTTCGATGGAGGTTGCGCTGCCGCTGAGGGCGGTGGAGAATGAATATGAACTGGTCTCGACATCGACATCGGCGTGGCTGGCTGAGCCTACCCGGCCAGACTGGGGATAGGGATTGTTATTCTTGGAGGCTCGCAGCTTGGCGTGTAGTTTGGCCTGCTGGCGCTTGGAGCTGGGAAGGCGGACGCCGCCTCCATCGCTCGAGGAGGAACTCTTGAAGTTTGTGAGCTTCTTGACCCAGGTGGAGAAGGGACGACGCCTGCCTGCACGATCGGGGCGATCTAGCATTTTGTTAGTATTTCTGGGTGGTTAACCACGGTGGGCGAAACGATGCGGGCGAAATCTGCCAAGGAATCCCGTGACGGGCAAATAGAAGCGGTGGGAACGAAAATGCAGGCGACGAAGAAAAAGGCGGTTAGTTACCGTGCGGCTGCAGCGCGGCCTCGGTCGTAGCCATTCGGTAGCCTTGCGTTCCGGATGGACGTAGAGCAGGACTCGCTAGAATCAGTCGGTGGAAGTGTTGCCAGGCGTTATCTAGCTCAAGGTCGACGCAGCAGGAGAGAAGAATGTCGCGAGTCGTTGGGGCGGATTAAACGGGCGAGAGAAACGAAAACGAAGGGCGTTGAAGAGAACGTGGGGAAATAGGAGAAGAGGCACGCCGGTCGATGGAAGGTCGGATTCGGAGATGAAGGAGACGTGTCGGGAAAGTCGAAGGAATGTGAGCGAAATGCGGCGTTGGAATACGGCAGGAAGATCGGAGGGTGGTGTGTGACGGTGTGTGTGTGTGTGTCGTTTGTGGGACGGTAGAGGCAATGGGAATGGATATTGAAGGAGGGACGAGAGCGAGAGAATGGCAATGGAATTGGAAATGCAAGTGGAAGTGGAAAATGGGATGGGAAAGAGCCAAAGTGAATGGCGCTGAATGCCGCGGCGGAGCCCAAGGCGCCAGGACAAATTGGGACGATCGGGGAGGGACGAGGCCGCTGGGCGTGGAGCCTGGTGGACCTGAGAGAGCGCAGCCCCAGCCCACTGCTCAGCGTCCAGTGGCGCCTCCTCCCCAGGCGCAGCCCACCGTCGGTGCCCAGCCCAGCCCAGCCCAGCTTGGGTGCCACTGCAACTGCCATATCTGAGGTTCTCCGCCCTGTCAAGTACCTTATCTCACTGGTCTGTACGATGTACCCTGGGTAGCTTTGACCTGTCAAGTCCAGTCCAGGGCAGCAGCTAAGAAAGCTGCTGTCAATATCTACACCTATGTACACGAGGATCGATGCGTGTTGAATGATGCAACAGCTCGTGGCGGACAACTTCCGGAAAGAAGAGTGATGCTCGACTCCCAGACACGCCGGCTCACCCACGGGGACGGCCCCCCCGCCTTTGGACCGTCGATCAGCAAGGTCCCAGTGGCCCATCCCAAGCCAACTTTTTTGCGAATCTGGGAGTGTCTCTGGTTTAGTGCCGCCGGGTTGGAGACGCCCAACTGATCTCTGAAACTGGTGTGCATCGGTCGTCGCGGGTGGTCCACCTGTCTAACTCGACTCTACTTTGGTGGTTGTGTTCAACCCCCAATCTTATTCCAGCCATCCATGGGCTCTTCAGAAGAACTCGAGGTCCCAAGAAGAAAAAAGGGAGCCCGAGAACCCAAGTACGTTCGAGTGCCATTGACTGCACTCACCTGACAGAGGCAGACAGCACGACGGCTAGGGCTGGAGCTGGCCGAATTGAAGCACTAGCGGCCCGGCTGGGATCACTGCAAGGTCCCCCAGAAGGCGTGGACCCCTAAAGCCCATTCAAGCACTTCCAACTGGGTCTTGTTCGTTGCTTGCTTGCTTGCTTACCTACACAGTACTAGTGGGCGCGCGCCGCCGCCTTTGGTTTCCAAACAGGTTGCATTATGTCATCATCGCCGTCTGCGATGGGCAATTACCAGCCACGCACAGCAACAGCTGCCGTACACTCATCCGAGATGTGATGTCACGTTCCGTAGGCTGGGTCTGTTCCCCCGTAAAGGCATCTGCAGAAGATTGTAAAGTAGAGATCTTGTCTGATTGAAACTATCTGATTAAAACTGCCTGATTAGATAGTCGTTGTCTACTTGTCACAGTCACTATTTTGGGGAAAAGCAAGACTAGTCACATGTAAGACAGCGTTCAATGACTCGCAGCCACACTGTCCGACATCAGACGGCAGCTTGAGCATACGCACGGTGGTAGTGCATCTTGCTCAACTTCTTGTGGTCCTCCTCAATGGCGAAAGATAACAACTCGTCCCTATCTCATGATGCAGAGTGAAACCTACAGCATCGCATCACCTGTCACTCTTTGTACAGCACCATCAGGTTCTGTACGGAATGGGGAGACGCATCTCGGTCTTCACCACCGAACCCAACCACCTTTAATGGTTCGCAAGCCCTAGGTCAAAGCTCTCAGCTCACTTTCCAAGCACTTGCCAACTCCGGTCCCTGGCTGAAACTCTCGGGCTGACATGGCGCCTGTTTGTGTGACTGGAAAGGCAAGGTCAGCCATACTTGAGGCCTGGTCGGTGACCGCAGGTGCAGGTGCCCCTTCTTATCTAATCTTATCAAACTCTTATCGTCATTCTTGACGTCGCCCAGAATCTTACCGCACCTTCCCTGCCGCTACCCCCAGACATCGCAAGCGCTGGCAACAAGACACGAGCCATACTATATTTTCAAAGTCAACAACTACCAACATCCATGCGCATCGCCAGCCATCTTTGGCGGCCCATCCTGACGCGTCTCGAGATGGCCCTGCGATGTTCCAACCATCACCATGTCCATTAAGCCCCTGCCTGAGGACGTCATCCGCCGCATCAGATCCTCCGCCACCGTAACCTCTCTCAACGGTGTCGTCTGCGCCCTCATCAAGAACTCCCTGGATGCAGGCGCCACCAGGCTCAACATCACCGTCGACTACTCCCGTGGCAATTGCACGGCCGAGGATGATGGGCTAGGCATCTTGCCTCTAGAGTTTCGAGAGACTGGCGGACTGGGCAAACAGCACCGTGAGTTGGCCGGACCATGACACTGAGTCGACCCGCACCCACTGACACCCACTTAGACACATCAAGACACTCACCCGAACATGAGTGTTACGGCGCTAATGGAAACTTCCTCGCTTCGGTGGCTGCCCTGTCTCTCCTCACCATCACTTCTCACCACTACCTGCATAACTCACAAAGCTCACTCACCATTCATAACTCGCGAGTCTTGGCCCGCAACATCCCGGCCCTTCCAGAACAGCGCCTGCTCACCTTCAGCCATGGGACCCGTGTTACGGTTAGAGATCTGTTCGGCTCCATGGCTGTTCGAGTCAAGCAGAGAGCTGTAGCCTCAGAGAAAGCCGCCGTGGATAGGGAATGGGGTCGTCTGGTCCACGATGTCACTGCCCTCTTGTTGGCTTGGCCTTCGGACGTGGCCCTCTTCGTCCGAGACACCGTCAGCAACAACGAGACACGTTTTAGGCCCAACACGACCTCCAAGTCGGATTTGGTGACTCGTTCATCACGGATTCTGGCTCAGTCGGGCTGTGTGGATGGCCTGGACCAAGCACCCTGGACTCCCATCGGCGCGTCCGTGGGAAAGTTGAGCATTGAAGGATGCGTATCGTTGAGCCCAGTGGCCACCCGTCGAACTCAGTTCATAAGCTTCGGCGTTCACCCCGTGACCAATGAGCACGGGACGAACGTCTTGTACAACGAGGTCAACCGCGTCTTTATCAATTCCGGTTTTGCGATAGAGCAAGATGCGCCGATTTCCAGCGACTCGCCCCTTGCGGCGCTTCCAACATCGAGGGATCCTTCGGACAGAATTGCTCGCCCTAAACGTGGGTTAGATCGGTGGCCTATGTTCTATTTCCGCATCAGCTCGACTTCGCGGGCCCGGCCGCTTCTGGGCTCCTCCTTTGAGGATCTTCTTGGTGATCGGAACCGTACCCTTGCGGATATGATTGACCTACTGAAGCTGGTCTGTTACGAGTTCTTGAAAAAGCATCACTTTCGTCCACTTGAGGTCCAAACTTCTCTTCGCGGGTCTTCTAATCGCAAGCAGAGAGATGAACTTGGCACAGCACGCTCAAGACAAGATGGGAAGCGGTCGCGGACTGTCTCATTACCGCCCAGTCGTTCTAGTTCTGCCACGCCGATCTCGAGACCCGAATCTCCTTTCGATCTTTGGCAACGAGTGAAAGTCGGACGAGTACTGGAAGGCAAAGAGAAATCAGGCGCATCAACTCCCGTATCATATGATGGTTCCCGTGCAAGAACTGCGAACCCAGTGACAGATGAGCGCTCGGGAGAGCCCGAGACAATACAGCCCAGTTTGCGCTTCCTTGACGACTCAGGGAATCTGTTACGCAAACCTTTCGAGGATCTGGATACGGGATCTCCGCCGAATAGAACTGAACTAAAAGAAGACAGCTGCGTGCGCCCACTCGGTACCTCCAACGACAAGTATCCCCATTCACGACCTGAACGTTCGGGCCAGACGATGGAGGATGAACAAACCCCACCATTGGAGGTCTCCTTCAACGCAGCTCAAGCATCAAGCGCCATTGACGCGAAGCCTATTTCGACCTCCCAATTTTTCGGACCAGATAGCATTCGGTCACAACAGGGGCCCAGCGAATGGCTCAACGGACTGCTTTCTCGATGGGAAAACCCTGTCTTTCAACCCGCTAAGCCTGCCATATCTTGTCTGAACGATGCGTTGATTGGGGGGCCCAGTCGAGCAGCAATCCAATCACTGGACCTGGACGCCGGGTGCTCCCACGGAACCCACACGTCCAATATTAAACTGTCGGGGAAGATCTCCAAAGCTGCTTTGGTAGACGCAGAAGTGGTCTCTCAGGTTGACCAAAAGTTCATTTTGGTAAAACTTAGAAGAGATCAGGTTTCTGGCGACGATCGACCTAATTTGCAAGCCAACTCTGTGCTGGTTCTTGTTGACCAGCATGCTGCTGACGAGAGATGTCGACTTGAGGCTTTGATGCGTGACTACTTTTGTCCAGCGAGAGGGTCGAACCAGGTGGTTGCAAGAACCGAAACCCTCGAGAAGCCTTTGCAATTCGAGTTCTCGGCAAAGGAATGCAAATTGCTGCGCAAGTACTCCCATCACCTACACCGATGGGGTATCTTTTATGAGATAGATGACCCGGAGCCGAATCAGTGGCGACATAAGAGCAAACAGCTTTCCAAGGTGGACGTGATGAGTCTACCACCAAGCATCCTTGAGAGGTGCCGGTCAGAGCCGAGGTTACTCGCTGGCCTGCTTCGACAGGAGATATGGAAAGCAGAGGAAGAGGTCATACCGTCATCTCGACCCTTGTCCCTCGCCAACGAAGTTGACTGGGTATCTAACTTTCATGGCTGTCCTCAAGGAATTCTCGCCTTGCTCAATTCGAGATCCTGTCGCAGTAAGTTATCTCCGTCAGGGACTTGAAGGAACCTCAACTGACTTGGGTAGGTGCCATCATGTTCAATGATATTCTATCCAAGGATGAATGCGAGTCTCTTGTAGTCCGGCTCAGCCGTTGTTTCTTTCCTTTTCAATGTGCGCATGGAAGACCATCGATGGTGCCTCTGGTTGACATGCGAACGTTGAATATGAATCAGGAAATACAGCTGGGCAGTTTTGGCAGCCGGTTTAAACAATCCCGCTCGGCATAATAAAGAAGGCACTGTGATGATAGGCGTTGGGGATGCCAGTAGCTACTTTAAAAAAGATACCCTACAAGAATTCTGCAGCCATAGGATCAGGCTCCTCTCGGAGCCGCCGCTTATAGAGAATAATAATGTACATGTAGTTCAGATGAAGTCTTTGGCGTCTGAGTTGTATATGTGGCAGAAACATGAGCCAAATTGGGAACCAGATAGAGAACCTATTAAAACCGGCTTCAGAGATTATGTAACCATACCATAGTAATTAGACATTTCCGAAAGACGAAAGACCATGTATCCAGCATTACATAGTAAATATAGACGATGTGTGGCTGGTGCTCCTTACGCCACCTGTGGCGCACTACTGCAGCTCGAGGTGTTGCCTTGGGTGGGCCCCACATTGATCGGACAAGCAGCGGTCGCAACAGCGACGACAGCTCCAAGCTCCCCACAGCGGCGTCATTGGAGCGCGAAGCACCGACGTCAAACAACAACTACCACATCGCTGCGCACATCGTCGCCGATACCGCCCTTCCCACGACTTGCTGCCGCCAGGAGATGTAGCCATGGCCTTTCAGGTCCGTACGCGATATTGTTTTCCTCATCACCGGTTGCTGCCCAACGGCCCATACTAACTGTGTTCGCTGCAGTGGAAGGCATTCGACTTCTTCGACGTCAGCCAGGTCCGACTCGCCGACGAGGAGACGCGACTCTTCTTTGAGAGCAACGAGATCGCTAGTGTCTGCTCCGGCTCGGATAGTCTGTTTCTCGGCAGCTACGATGGATACGTTCGCATTGTCGGGTCGAGCTGGAAGGTGGTGAAGAGCTTCCAGGCTCATGAGGTTGGAACGATTACGCACATGCGCCAGATCGAGGGCACGAGTTTATTGGTTACGGTCGCTGTAGGTGGACTATCGGGTTGTTTGAATGCGGAGAACGGAACTGACGTTCGCACAGGAGGACTTGAGTAGCGAGCCGGTGCTGAAGATCTGGGCCCTGGACAAGCTGGTCAAGAAGACGAACATGCCGACCTGCCTGAGCACTTTGCAGATCAGCAACGGCAAGAAGCAGTTTCCCGTAAGATTTGCTTCGTAATGGAACGCCAGAGTATGTACTGACGTGTTGGCAACGCAGATTTCGGCCATCGACGTCCTCGACAACCTCACCCAAGTGGCAGTCGGCTTCGCCAACGGTACCGTGACCCTGATCCGAGGCGACTTGATCAACGACCTGGGCGCTAGACAAAGAACCGTACACGAGTCGGAAGAACCAGTTACGGGCGTCGAGTTAATGGCTGATTCCCAGGGCCTTACGACTCTGTTTATCTCCACAACAGCCCGGATATTGAAGTTGAGCATCTCAAAGAGGGGCCACAGCTCTCCCCCAAAGACTGTTGAGGATATGGGATGCCACGTCGACTGTATGACGGTCGACAAGAAGACTGGGGACGTAGTCGTGGCCAGAGAAGATGCCATCTACACCTACACGTTGGAAGGCAGAGGAGCACCGCGCGCGTACGAGTCGGCGAAACGGTTGGTGTCCATCTACCAGGACTACGTCGCCCTGATATGCCCGCCCTCGTCCTCCTCTACAGACAAACCTGATACCATGCGTCGGCGCTTTGGTGGCGGAGCCGCTGACGCTCTCTTCAACGCTTCCACCTTTGTCCTCCTTGAACCGGATCTCAGAGTTCTGGGGCACACACAGTCTCTGATTTCGCCCTTCAAGGCCATCTTTCAGATCTGGGGTGATCTCTTCATTCTCACGCAGGACGGCAAGGTCAACCGGTTCCATGAGAAGTCATTACAACAACGCCTCGAGATGTTGTACCAGCGCAACATGTTTCCCTTGGCTATCGAGCTGGCGCAAAAGTCGGGGATGGATGTTACGCAGCAGAGCGGCATCTTCCGACGCTTTGGTGATCACCTGTATCAGAAGGCGGACTACGACGGGGCAATGGTTCAATATATCAAGGCAATTGATACGACGGAGCCATCGCAGGTCATCAGAAAGGTAACATTTGCCAGAATGAGGACCCAAAGAAACCAAGACTAACTGGTATGCGCAGTTCCTTGATACCCAACGGATACACAACCTTATTCAGTACCTCGAACAACTACACGAGCACCGCAAAGCAACATCTGATCACACAACACTACTGCTCAACTGCTATGCCAAGCTCAAGGACATTGACAAGTTGGAAGCCTTCATCAAGTCACCTGGTGATTTGAAATTTGACCTTGAGACCGCAATCTCGATGTGTAGGCAAGGAGGCTACTACGATCAAGCGGCCTATCTCGCCAAGAAGCACGGTGAAATCGACCTGGTGGTGGACATTCTGATAGAGGATTCAAAATCATACGACGAGGCTCTTGATTTCATCTGGCATCAAGATCCCGATGTGGTGAGTCTCATTCCACCACGAACTGCTGGCAACGAGCTAACGTTCCCCAGGCGTACCCTTGCCTCAAGAAATATGCTAGAGTCCTGATCGAAAACTGCCCGAAAGATGCGACAACAGTGTTTGTCGACTACTACACGGGCAAATACCGACCGAGACTGCATTTCGTTCCAATCGAAGACAACGGAGAGACTGTTGCAGCTGGTGGTATGGTTGCTGGCGCAGCAAGCGCAGTCCAGAATCTCTCCAATTTCCTGCCCTTACCGTACATGAACACATCATCTCTCCAAAGCCCCGCAACACCAGGGAATGGAACCACAGCAATCAACGGCAATGCACAAATCATCATGAACCCCGACGATATTCCTGCACCAAAGTACACACCGCCGCCTCCAAGGACGGCGTTCTCCTCGTTCATAGACCACCCGGATGAGTTTATTGTTTTCCTGGAGGCGTGTTTGGAGGAGAAGGGTCTGAAGGAGAGCGACAGGACAGATCTGTATACCACATTGTTCGAGATGTACCTGCACAAGTCGAACGAGAAGAAGGGAGAACAGCACAGGGAAGAATGGGAGAACAAGGCCAAGAAGCTCATCGAGGGCGAGGACATTCCCATGGAGAGCTCCAACGTCCTGCTTCTATCACATCTGTCCGACTTCAAGGACGGCACAACGCTGGTCAAGGAGCAGTCTGGCCTCCTCTTCGACATTTTCCGGTCTTACACCTCGGCCAAGGATACCCGCGGAGCCATCAAGGCCCTCCGCAAATACGGGCCTGAGGAGCCACAGCTATACCCCGCCGCTCTGGCATACCTCACCTCGGACCCGCGGATCCTCGAGGAGGCGGGCTCGGAAGAGCTTTCTGCCGTTCTCAACAAGATCGACAAGGACGGCCTCATGGCGCCGCTGCAGGTCATCCAGACCCTCGTGGGCCAGTCGGGCTCGTCGGGCGGCGTCGCGACCATGGGCATGATCAAGCCCTACCTCCACGAGACGATTGAGCGCGAGCGCAAGGAGATTGCGGCCAACCGCCGGCGCATCTCGGCGTTCCGCAGCGAGACGGAGCAGAAGCGGGCGGAACTCGCCGATCTCGGCTCCAAGCCGGCCGTGTTCCAGTCGACGCGGTGCGCCGTCTGCACGGCGCCGCTCGACCTGCCGGCCGTGCACTTCCTCTGCAAGCACAGCTTCCACCAGCGGTGCCTGCGCGCCGAGGGCGAGTGCCCGCAGTGCGCCAACGACAACGCGACGATCCGCGCGCTGCGCAAGACGCAGATCGAGACGGCCGGCAAGCACGACCTGTTCAAGGCCGAGCTGGAGCGCAGCGAGGACCGGTTCGCTACCGTGGCCGAGTGGTTCGGCCGCGGCGTCATGGGCGCGCCTAGTGCCGATACGGCGTGAGCGAGGAGGGAGGGGAAGGGGGTAAGGCGAGGCCGGTTGCCGGCGGGGCTGTACGGGTTAGCGGGGAAGGGGTCTCTGGGAGGATGGACTTGGGAATGGGTGTGTATGTCGCAGATCCGGCGTTCGTCCCAACCGTCGGTCGACAACTAGGCCCGGTCGTAGTGGCGAAGATGACGGCGAAGACAACAGCGCTGGAAGACAGAGAGGCCGAAACTAGTCGTTTGCATCGCGTAATAATGCCAGCTCCATCCGGGCTGCTTGACCCAAACGGACCCTGTGAGAATGGAAGGAGGACAAAAGAAATTTAAAAAAAAAATTGCCAACATCCCTCTCTGCGCATGCCTCGTCGGTCGTTACTCGACCAAAAGGATGGCTAGCTTCCGCTCCGTCCAGTGACGTGGATTGCAGTAGCACGGGCGAGGAGGGGGGGAGGCGGAGAGCAAGCTAGTCGTGAGTTTGACCGCCCCTTGGGCCGTCGTCGAGGCCCGACGCCATCGAGGGGCGCCTGGGTCCCAGAGATCCGGCTTGGCGTCCATCCCATCGCGGTATGCGGCCCGGGGTTAACTCCGAACGAGGGGAGGGGGGGGAGGCGGCCTCGATGGTGTGTCGTGGGCCCCAATGGACAAAGGTGCGGGCGGGCAAAGGGGTTGTCCGTCTCTCCCTCTCTCTCTCTCGCGCGCGCGCAGGCGTCAAGGAGCTAGCGGAATCCAATCAATCCCACGGCCCCGACGAGAGTCTAGTCGCAGCAGCACGTGACGAGGCAGCAACATCACGGCTCGATGCAGGGACGTAGTAGTCAAGGCAGGCAGGCATGCAAGACAAAGGGTGTGTTTTGCTTTCTATTTGGTAGACGAAGATGAGTCCTTCTCACTTTTCCCGTCGTCGCTGGTTCGCGGGGGGATATTTACATGCAGGAAAAAGATGGAAAAAAAAAAGAGACCTCTCTGCTCTCCACGAAGCATCCACGAAAAAGCGCCGTCGCTCCGGGAGTATGACGCAAAATGATTATCATCCACCATTACAAAGCAGAATGCCCTCCCGAAACCTCGCTCTTGATGCTTGATTTTGACAAACTTCTGGGGTGTTGGGGTTTCCAACCCCGATGAATGAGAAACTAAAATCGCCCGTTTGCCCTTCATACTCCGCTTCCCCAGTCAAAAGACATATGAAATATCTGGGGGAATTTTTTAATGCAATGCATCATCCTCTGTCCCTTTCGCCGAAAATCGTCCTCCATCCGGTCCCAAGGCCAACTCGTCTCCTAATGGGCAGTGTCCACCGGCCGTCTTGGCTCACCTGCCGAGTCCCCGTTCATCTGTCCATTCGTGTCTGCGTGTAGTCGTCTCTTTCTGCTCGGATGAATCCCCCGCAGTTCACGTAGCGGGTACGCGCAACTCCCCAAGAGTAGACAGGTGGCGCATGTAGAAATCAAGAGCGCTTTGGTGATGTGAAGGCTATGTCGTGGTCGCTATTGTCCAGGTTCCTTGGCAAGGCGCTTGCGACGATCCGCACACAAACCTGCCAAATGTGCCGTCACATTTGACCAATTCTGCTCTCTCTGGTGCACTTCGGCTCTCACCAAATGAAGTCCTTCTCTAAGGGGAAATGAAACGCGCTTGAGAAATGTCCACGAGGCAAAGTTGCCGATGAAAACATGCAATCGGGTTGCAAACTGCTCTTTGAACATGCTTCAGTTGAGGAATGGGGGGAACGTCCAAAGAACCGGGTCTGGTTGGAAATCTCAAAAACCCGCCGGCTATACATATATATAAATGCTATGTTGGGAAGCCGTCTGGGAGCCATTATACAGTTTGGAAATGTGTATTTCGAATTGAGTGTTTGCAGTAATGTACTCGTCGTGCATCCTCACGACGTTCAATCGGCATAGGTAATGACCTCTTCGCCATGAATGACAACCTTCTTAGCCGTCTCGGTGCTGGCGATGCTGGCATTGGTGTCGCGCCGTCTCGCGCCGAAGGGGATTCGCTCGACGTGGGCATTTGTCGACTTCTTCTTCTTCGACTTTGCCATCAACAGGCCCTCGTCGCTGTCGCTGTCATCGTCGTCGTCCTCTTGTGGGCGGAGTTCGGGAGTGCGGTGGATCGAAGGTGGGGTCCTGTAGACTGGGCTGTGTGTGATGCGCAGCGGTATCGAGCCGGAATCGAATGAAGCGTTGTGTTTCTCAAACCGCTCCTGTTGCTCGTACTGCTCCAGTGGGAAGCCGGCCATTGGTTCCTTGACGAGGGCCGGAGGAGTAAGTGAGTCCGTGGTTTCCAGCAGAGCCGGCTTCTTGTTGGCAACAGCAGGCTCTACAGGCTCGGCATCGAGGTCGGCGGAAACCGAGCTGGAGCCACTCAGGAGTGCAGGCAGTGAAGGATCCGACTGGAAGGCGAGCATCTCATCCTTGGAGGGATGGGTGGTAGACGAGATCGGACTGTTCATGTCGCTGGGGCTTGTGAGTGGAGAAGCCAAACCACCGATGGATGCCGACCGCGAGGACTGCCTCGTTTCCATCGTATCCTCACGAGAAGGAGGCGGCGGCGTAGCGAAGAACTCATCGTCGGGCGACCCAGGACAAGGGACTTCTGTCGGGTCAATGACCGCAATGTCCGATCTGACATCATCCAAAGCCTGCTGAGCAAGTTGGTGCTGGTACTCTTCGATGTGCTTACGGTGCTGCTCAACTTTCGCACGCGCAAATGATTCCGGCGTGGATGTGTTGTACTTCCGCGGAGGCGGCGTCCTAGCCTCCGGCACGTCGCGCACGTTTTCGATCCTGTGGGCCGTCTGGGGTCTCTCCTCCAAGTCGGTGGTGGCTCGCTGGTTCTCGTAGATGTTCGAATCCGACTGTGGTTGGCCATGCTGATAACCGGTAACAGACCGCGCAGAGAAAAAGAGCGGCGAAGCCAAACCGTTACTGGCCTGCTTCGCTTTGCCCAAATCGACGGACCGCATAGCCCGGGGTCTTCCGGGGTGGCTAGGCATCCGGTGCAGGGTGCCGGGGACGCTTGCGGTCGTCACACTTACTTGTGCGGGAGCGCGTTTGTCTTGCTCCCTAAAGACTCCCCGCTCGGCCGAGCGTGCCCGTAAAGCCTCCTCTGTTAGAGCATCATATCCGCGCGTTTGTCGCATTTCCTTGAGTGGATCGGCAAGTGTCTTGTCCGCAAAAGGCGTCGGAGGCACTGTCTTAACCTCGGGCAAATTCGCCGTCAGGGTCAGAAAGCTGTTGCCGTTGCCGTTGGAGGGGCTCTGTGAATATCGGTACGACGGCTTGTAAAGTGACGCAGTGCCAGGTATCGTAGACTGGTCCGACGGCGAAGCTGTGCCGCTATTCGTTCTAGACTCGTTGCTGTACTGAAGGGCATGCAACAGAGCAGCTCCTGTGGGTTGGGCGATAGCGGTCGCGAGAGGATCGTATGGAGACTCGTACGGGGACGCGGTCTGACTGTGGACCAGTGGGTGTTCAGAGTTAAAGGCAAAGTCCTTGACGTTGGAGAAATAGTCTTCGCTCTTCAAACTTTTCCGACGGGCTTCTCTCGAGTGTGGTGTGGCAGGCACATTGTACATGCTGTCCCCAGCCGAGCTGGCGGCGCTGCTGGCAGCCCTCCGCCGAGACCGACTATCGCTTCGATCGCCTAAAGGGTGCATCAACTTTCCAACGGCCTTCTTCACTGTAGATCGTGCTCGCTCCAAGAAAGCAATGGGAACGACGGCGTGGGCAGTCTCCTTGTCGTTGACCTGCACACGCCTACCCTGGGATGGCCGCGCTGGATCCGTGTCGTCAATCCAGGTGATGGGGTTCGGGATGCCCTGCACGACCCATGGGTGTCTCTTGATATCCCGCAGACGGATTCGCTTCTCCGGGTTCTTGGTGAACATCTGGCGCAGGAGGTCGTACAGGAGGTTATCAATGTCCTCGTAGGCCAGCTCGTTGTCGTCTCTGTAAGGCGGCACGTTATGCCGCTTGAATAGAGACTCCGAGTTTGGAGGCGTGGACGGATCCACGGGCTTGAGACGTTTGCGCGGGATGAAGACTTCCTCGGTCGCGATCTTGCGGAACATTTGCCATTCGTCTTCGGCTTGGAAAGGAATCCTGGCGTAGATCAGGCAGTAAAGTGTGACGCCGAGCGACCAGATGTCAATCATTTCGGAGATTTTTGGTTGTTCCATGCGGTCGGCGTCTGTGTAGCACAGCTCAGGTGCGAAGAATGCTGGCGTGCCGACGGTCTTAGCCAGCTCGAGATCATCGTCGAAATCCTGGGCTTCCGACTCTGAGACTGTCTCATCATCGGGCTCACCATCTCGAATGGGGCGACCAAAGTACGAAACACCGAAATCGGAAATCTTGACTCGGTGGTCTTTCGTCCAAAGTAGGTTGGCGGGCTTGATGTCTCTGTGCACGACACCTTGGTAGTGCAGATATTCCAGGCCCAAGACAGTGTCTCGGAAGGTGGTCCTCGCCTGCTCGATGGTGAAGCAAGGAACGTAAGAAAAGTCTTCAGCAAAGGGGTCGTGCATCCGAGAATTCCAGTCGACCGAGGACATGTGCGAGATGATGGAATCAGCCATACTGGGCGAACGGCCCCGCAGCGCAGCGTCTTCCATGTAGGCGCCGTACATGGTTCCGTCCAGTGCAGTTGCGGAACCTGGGTTGCTATGCAGAGGGCCCGGCGTTTCCATGTCGTCGGTCTCGATAATGGCTTCCTGGTCATAGACGGCGGCGTCGCTGATCGACTTGACCGATTGCGATCGTGACGGTGCTCTCGACGTGGCTCGCGATGCCTGCAGGGAACTCGGCTGGGAACTTTCGCCCGTGGGGTGGACCAAGTTGCCCAAGTCGTCTCTAGATGGGACACGAGACTGGGACCCATAGCTAGCATCGTCAGACGCGCCGTGTTCGATGCTCCAGAAGTCGTGCATTCCCATGTTTGCTCGGGACATCTTCGCACGCTTCAACTCCCTCAGAGCTATGCGCCTCTCCATGATCAGGTTGTACTGTTCCTCCTCGGGCGTCGGTGGCTCGCCACGGGCTTCTCTCTCGATGCGACGACGCTCGTGGTGGCAGATGTGAGGGAGTCCCTTCTTTCTCCAGACGACCTCGCCCAATTCGACGTGTTCGAGAATCAAGTAAATCTTTTTCAGTTCCGGGTCGTCGATAATCTCGAGTAGCGATACGACATTCGGGTGTCTCATCTTTTTGAGGATGGCGATCTCCCTCATGGTCTTTTCCTGGGGGGACATGGCCATAACCTTGCCGAGTCGACGCTTTTTGGAGTACCGCGGAATGATCTTGATGGCCACATTTTCGCCGGTCTCGAGGTTTCGGGCTAGCTTGACCTTTCCGTGCATGCCCCTGCCGATTTCTTCGATGACCTCATACTGGTTGATAAGTTTGCGGCCGGTGATGCTATCGGAATCGATCAGGGCTTTGTGTGTCCTATCGGGTTGGCACGGTTAGCTTATCGGACTGTACTGTGCTCCCCTGGTCGCGGGGTCCACGATCCATGGCCCCCCCGTCGGTGAACCGGGCCAAACGTCGCCAAGACACTGCGCCAGCACAGAACAACGTCGCCCAACAACCACGACGAATGGGAGGGGGCACTCACTCTCTAACTTTGTGATTTTGCAGTGGGTGTAGGTATGGGCTGCTCGTCTCGACGTTCGGGGTGTTGGAGTCGGACGAGGCGTGAACCGGGAAGTTCATCTTCGGGCGCGGGTTCGAGGGGCTGAAGAGGCCTGGCGAGGTCATCGGGGTGCTAGCGGAAGACCTCAGAGGCAGCATGTTGGAAGTGGGCGAGACGAGGGCCTGCAAGTGAGGGAGGTGAGGGTTCCTCGGGTGAGGAGGAGGGTTCTGTGGTTCCATAGTTTGCGTGGAAGGGCTGAGGGTCTACTGGTCGGTCAAGTCTCAGTCGGCGATTCGACATGCTGAGGTGCGTGAGAGGACGTAGAACGAGGCTCGCACGGCGGCCAAAGAAGAGAAACACAGCGGTGGTTCGAGGGTTTAAGTGGCCATGATCGTGTCGTAGGCAGACTCGGATGGTAGTGTACGACGGGATGGGTTGGGTGGAGAGCGCGAGAGGCTCAGATCGACGTAGGGACCGAAGAAGTAGGTTGCAGAGGGAAGGTTTGGTCCGAAAGCGAAAGGCTGTGGTTGTACGGAGGAGCAGGTCAGTTGGCAGTTTGTAGTTGGCAGATGCGCGGTTGGCAGTATTTGTGATGCGTGCGTGCGTGCGTCAAACGAGTCGTCGGAAGTTTAGAGTGGGCGTTGGCAGAAGGAAGACAAGAGCCGCGGAGGGCAACGACGGAGGTGACGGGAGGCGAGGTGAGGTATGGGCGAGGCGATGTGAAGTCAAAAAAGGACGGAGGAGAAGACGGGAGACTGGACCCAGGAGGTTTGAAGGTTGGCAAGCACCAGGTACTTCCGGGGGGTGATGGGACTAAAAGACGAGGGGAGGGACAAGACGAGGGATCTCAGTCTTTTTTGGTGTGGGCGTGTGTGGGCGGGTGTGGATGATGGATGGTGGGTGGTGGGTAATGGGTAGTGGGTGCGAGTGCCAGGCAAGGTTGGGAAAATGGGGAGGGGAGGGGAGGGGAGGGTACGGTACGGTACGGTAGGAGGAGGGGGGCAGCAAGAGGCAATAGTGCACACAGTACGAGGGCTGGTAGCGCCAAGCCAGACAGCGAAGGGGAAGAGTGCTGGCTGGTTGGTTGGATGTGACTGGTTTGACCGCGTGTGTGCGCGGGAGACGAGGAGGAACAGTCCGGGGTCGGGGGGATCTGACACTCGCACTTTGGGCTGACTGGGCCGGCTTGCTAGCTCTGCGCCCCTAGTAGGTCTATGCTATCCGTAGATTGTGAGAACCAGCGTATTCCTACTGCTTCCTGCTTCTGCTTCTGCTGCTGCCGCTGCTATGATGAACAACGGTCGTGTGTTGGTGATGTGCGTGGTCGAATTGGGAACGGGGTCGCTTTATTTTTGGGGGAGGGGGCGGAAACGCGAGGGAAGGGGGAAAAGAAAATGATAGGAGTAGAGGTTGTAGCGGCCGGCGCGCGAGAGTGGACATTCACACACGTTCATCAGCAAGACGGTGAGAGGAAGAGTGAGTGAGGCACAACAGAGGCTCCAACGAGTTCGAGGAGAAAGAGGTCAAGACTCAGGACACTGTGGGACTGGGACGGGACACTGGACGAGGATGATGGATGCACCTCTAATGGGGACGCAAAATGGAGGGGACCGGGACAGAAGCGGGCAGGAAGGAGGGACCCGGCACTGCTTTCCTGTGTCGACTGTGTCTATTGTGCAGTGGCTATTGCTGCTGCTGCTGCTGCTGCGCTGCCGCTGTGCTGCTGCAAAAGCAGGCGAAGGCGAAAGGCGACAGGCCGTACCTCTGTACATACATACACAGTTACATAGTACCCAGGCCGTAGGCTAGGCGCGCCGCCCGCAGTGGGCAGTTGCATCCGCCCAAGAGCCAAGAGCCAAGACCAAGGGCTGTCGCTTTATTTTATCTATTTCATCGTGTTTGCTTTCTTTTCTTCCTCTCGCACGTCTTACTTTCCCACAGGCCAAGACGCAGAATTGAGACGGGATGACGGGAGCCGTCGAAAAAAGAAAAAAGCAAAGGGTCGGGGAAGAAGGGGGGCGCCCGCATACCAACAGTGCAGGCGCATTACACAGGGGCCACAGTATCTGCAATCTGCGTCTGGACGGGGTCACCGATCCCCTGATTGGCTTCGATAGAGGCTGCAGTTATCTAAAGCGGACCGCTTCCTGCATTGGGCTGGTCGCTTGTGTCGGTGTGAGGTGAGTGGATATCCGCACAGGTTCGACGCCGGAGATTCCACCTCTGCGTCTCTTATCGGCCAGCATTAGTGTCCAAAAATGGACGGGCTCTAAGAAAATCCACACCCGGTCGCACGGAGCCAGCGACTGCCGCACGGTCCAATGGCACGTTCGCTGGTGCATCTCGACATGGGAAGGAAGGCACGTTCGTTTCCACGTTCCAAAGTTCAAAGTACCGTGCTCGTCGACGACTCTGTCCACACACACACTCTCTCTCTCTTTCTCCCCCCTCGAGACGGGCACCTTGAGGCATTTCACCTTGAGGCATTCCATTTGGGGCTCGTCCAAGTTGTTGAGGTGCAATTGATATTTGACACAATGGCTCTCGTATGGGAATGACTACAGTACAGCACTGTCCAATGTGTTGACGGCGGATAAAAAGTACGTACATTCCAATTTCTGAATGCCACCCACCAGAGCAACCTCATGCTGCAGGCGCCATGCAGCAATGTCTGTTTCTCGTCAAGTCTGTGTCTCTCGCTCTCCCTCACCCTCATCCCATCTCATTATCACAAGCAATTAGTTGCTCTCATTATCACCTCCTCTCAGCTGGGCTCTCCCAACAACGGCCTGGCCGTCGCTCTACGTCGTTCCGTCCGCCGTCTGTTTGGGGCCACCTAGCTACGTACTATCGGTGCATATGCGAACGTAGCCGCTCCCATGTATTTCGCGTGGCGCCCTAAAATGGCAAAAGCACAAAAAAAAAAGTCTAAGCAGCCGGCCCAGGACTGACAGGTTTGCTCCGGCTCAACTGGGACAAACTATGCAGAGCGAGCAAAGGGTGTGGCAGCCGCCAACAAACACATGGAGCTTGCAATTCACACGCTCCCATCCCATCCCATCCTCCCTGGGTGTAGTAACATCCATTTCCTGCTTTCTTGAAGCACTGGCCCCATCTACGACCTCATGCGGTACTCTACCTGCGGACGAGGGGCCCTGTTGCGTCCGCAATGCTGTTCAGCGTTTCCGAGTTTCTGGCCCTGTAGAGTTCTTCAATCCATTCATCTCGATCACCCCGATTGAGCACGTCCAGAAATCAGGAAACAAACCCCTGGAATGAGGTACGAATGGGCCCCGGCAGCCTCACATGCTTCGCACCACGTCGTTGCATCCCCATCTTATTGACCTCTGGCCTGCTGCAACGAATGGGTACCGTGCTCCGGTTTCTGAAGCGTTGGGCCTTGCAATCGCCGCCAAAAGAGACAACTCGCAACCCTGAGAACAGGTTGTGATGTCTTCGCCAAGCCCCAGGCGAAGCAGCAGAGCAGTGGGCTGGTGGAGCGGCACGGACTACATAGTACGTCTTGTCTTTGCCGACGGTGCAGGGGCGTGGAGGGGCAGAGAGGGAGACGAACGACAGGGATGGCCGCTGTTGGGCCAGTGCTGCGGCTGCAAAGGTGAACAGGTCGACAGGTTCTCTCTGCTTGGCGAAAACGCTCATCATTCTCGCGCCCACGTTTCGCACTCATCCCCCTCCAAAAAATAATAATAAAACAGGTACGTATCGCCCGTCGTCCGCGCTACTGACCGCAGATAAGGTACGTATCGACAGTGGATCGCTAGAACGGGACCAGGGCAGGGACAAGGACAGCAGCAACGGAGAAAGAGAAGGAGAGACTTCCGCCCAGGTACCTTACCTTATCGCGCCATGATCTGCAACTCGTCATTGGCCCGATGGAGCCTCTCACCTTTTTTTGTGACAGGCGCCGACGACGGGGCACGTACCTGGTTTTCCCTCACCTCCGGCTTGTTTCTTGTCATGCCTTAGGGAGGTTCCTTCCACGCCATCGGCGAATCGCTGCTGCTGTGTACCAACACAGCCAACATCCCTTGTTGTTGATGTTGCTCTCCATTTCCTTAGGAAAACGGCACCGTGGGCGTTCCAAAACACCCAGCTGCTTGGGAAATACGGCCCGAGTCAAATGTTGGGCCGCCTGCCGTCCCAGAACTTCTGATTAGCTCGATGTACCGCATGCGCGGGCACGCTCCTACAGAATCGGCTCCTCCTCCAAGGCGTCGACCAGAGTCAACTCCATGCTGCTACGAGACACGCAAATGCCATTGTTAGCAGTGACGGCGCCAGTCGAACAAAGAACGGCCCATGATCGACCTACACTGCATGCACCTCTTCGCGTATGGTGCGTGTCTCGCGCGTTTTTTTCTCCCCCTTCTACTGTCTTTGCCATGTCTTTACGTCTGACTCTGACCCTTTGAACTGCCCATGACTTACAACAACACTCTGGGACACAGGTTTCCACATCTTGTCCCACACATTCAACACTTTACGGGACACGGACGCAAACATACCATACATAGGACATGACCAACGGCCCAACCTGCCCGATCTTTGACCCGACTCCGGGCAATCGGGACCTCATCACAGCTGTTTGGTGGCAATGGGCTTGCCAACTCAGGCTTCGGATACCTCGCGTTGCTTCCCAACTCGGCGTCTGCCCGGCTTTCAGGTCGCCATCGCCAGTCGCGTGCTGTCATTGATCCATGTCCATTGAACCCAGCTCCCGCCGACGCCGCCCTACCAACAACGTGCCGTGCGTTCCCACCATTTCCCGCACTCTTCTCCACCTCGTCCATCCGGCTACGCATTCGGCACAGTCGATTCGCTGGGCGTCTCGTAGCGGCGGCGACGGCGGCCGGGCGGCGGCGACTACCCACTCGTCCAAGGACCAGGTCTACCATACGCTACCACACCCACCCACCGTGTACCGCCACGAGCAAGACCAGATCGTGGTCGATGACCTACCCTCCCGTGTGGATGGCGCGGAGACTCGACAGATCCAAGTCCAGACCTCCTGACATTCTTCTTGGGCTGATGCGTCCGCAGGCCTCGAACGCTCTGCCACCTCGCGACATACAAGAGCATGCACATGGAACCGGGCTTTTGACAAACGACCAGTGACGACAGGCGACAGTGAAACTCTGATAACGCCACGGACCGGCAGCAAAGAGAAGCCAAAAATAAAATGAAAATGAAAGGGCACAAGCCTGCATCTCGCCATAGAGCAGCCGTTCGTTGCGACCACGTAAACACTGTTTTGCAGAACTGCTCTTCGGCACTGGTCCAATTTCCCTCTTCGGCGCATGTTTGCTCCTCGCTAGCTCTGAACAGCTGCAACGTACACAGCGCGACTGAAAAGACACATGCGACACTGGCTAGCTGCTGGCCTGGTCGACGGTATGGCCATTGGGAGGTGCAGGGCGCTTTCTGCACTACTCATTGGTCGCCTGGTGTCGGAGCTGCATGTCTCCTGTCTCTGCATGCTTCCTTTTCGGCTCAACTTGAACGCCACAGTTGAGACCCTAATGCGGCAAACCCTAGCATCCTCAAACTGGGTTGGCCAAAAGGAAAAACGAGCTCTCGTGGATTTCATCCACGCCCGCCTAGCACATGCGCTGCTGAGTGTCAAGTCTGTGCCTACATGAAGTTCTCTTGGCAGAGGCGGCCGACGCCCGTTGTTGCAGCCAAGCATCCGAGATGCCAACGTGGTGAGTGCAGCCAGAGGACTCAATAGGACGGGCGTTTCATTCCATCTTCGATCGCACACAAAACCATCGGTTGCACAACGCTGGTATGGCACTGGCATGACCGGACCTGCTGGCGTCATTCCATGGTCTGATGCCTTGCAACGCCTGGCATCAACCACTTGAACCAAGTCTCATCACCCTTCCTTGAGAGCTCTGCGAGAAACCACGTAAACAGAGCCATCGGCCTTTGCATCACTGCAAAGAGCCTCGCTGCCACTGGACTGGAGAGACGTCTTCCAACTTTTCTCCTCATTGAGGTTCCTTGACCGCCCGCTCATCACGTTGCCAAAGTCAACCACCGCTGCATCCCTGGGGCTGAATGGCAAGATAGTGGGTCTTTTTACAGGCTCATTTTGCTGTGATGACGATCGCTTCCTCTATCGCCACAGACGGGGCACAGGCTTCAACCACACGAGATGAGCCAACCACTCAGAAACGACAACACCATCAATCGATCGATCAGGGGCGGCGTTCAAACCCGACGAGGTGATTCGGGGTGGACCCTGGTACTGCCTAGGTGCCTCTTCGACAAAACGATTCAAGTCAAGGAAACCTACTGTGTAGTACGCCGCCGTTAAGCCTCTGCGTCGCTGACGGTATTGCCGCTATTGAGTTTGCACAGTCCCATGCGTTTAATGAATCTGACTTTCCAGCAACACATCTTGCAACCCGAGCCCTGCCAGGCGCGAGCCTGGTTGATGCCCAGGTCCAACATGATCGTCATCTAACCGGCCACTCACTATACATAGACCCTAATCCATGCAACGTGCCAACGGGTTATGTTACCAACCTTGCTCCCATCCTCCAAGGACGGAGCGAGAGACGTTGTGGAGCAGGGCATGGAGCCGCCATCAACGTCGATGACTTCGAGTGGAAACACGGCGCGAATGACGCTTCACGCTTCCCGTGTGGGCCGTTCCTCCGTGGTTACTACAGTGTATGGCTCTTTTCCTGTTTCCTTGAAGCCCAAATGTCTCCACCTTCCATGCAGCTTGCATCACTCGGCGGCCTTGAAGACCAAGATGATCGTTACACTAAGGAAGCGTAGCGTCGGGGAGAGAGACTAATCCCAAACCATTACCAATTGCGAGCGACTTATTAGTCGGACGGGTCAGGAACTCATGTATGGATCTTGGAATTGCAGCAAATCCCTAGCGAGTCTCTTCTGAACTACGCTGCGGGTACTCTGGGAGACCGTAACGCTCGACACAAGCCTTTGCCAGACGTCGGCAAAGGTGAGCGAAAGCGCGCACTGCCAATGGCATGCTGGAGTCCTCCATCCGTCTTGAGCGGTGGCATCTTGCATCCGAGGCCAGCGGCGCCCTCATGCAATGCAGGTCCGAGAAATCACGAAACCAAAATATAAAAGTATAAAAATAAAAATAAAAAAAGCTCTCGCCCTTCCCGCTGACAGCCGTCTTCCGGGCCAACACGGAGACAAAAGAGGGAGTGCAGGTACCGTAAGCCCGGGTCATCCACAGCGTTAGGTCGGCCAACAGACACGGCACTGTTGGATTTCGATTGGGCAATGCAGTGATGAACCACCAAAGCCGCCGAGCACGAGAAGTGATCGGACTTGGGAACAGTAGGTTCCGTTAGACTGCCTGGTTCAGGTTAGCATCCCTCTACACGGCCGGCCATGTCAGCATGGGGAAGCGGCGGCAACCTGCAAGTTAGGTGCCGTCGGCCGTTCTTCGCTCGAAGGCGTCGCGGCCGCCCATTCTTCATTGCAAGATGGAGGCGTCTCGGGCCACAGTCTTCACCAGCCCGACAATCAGTCCGACATCCACCATTCTTTGAGCTGGAAACCAACAATGGCCAGTGTTGTCCCTGCAGAACAGACCGGAACATCAATTCGCGACCCCGGCGCGATTACCCAGTCGTGGACAAACGTTGGCTCGGACGGGGAACCAAAATGTTTCTCCGGGGTGTTTTTTCCGTCGTCGTCGCCTCTCTAGCTGCTGGGGTCTGGTCGATGAGGCCCACCGTACTGGGCGAATACTGCGAGAAATCAACTGGGGCCTCTTTTTCTCTTTGTTTCTACCGACCCGTTCGGGTCTCAGTTCTGCGTGAGATCTTGTGCGTGTATTCAGCGCGTACTATGTATCTGACAATATGTCTCGCGTTCTCACCCACGCAGGATACCCTCGCCCCGTCAGGTCTTGTCAGTCTCAGAGTCAGATGGGCCACGGACCAGCCCTTATTGTGTGCTCATCGCGGCGCCGAGATCTCGTTCCTCTGCTGAGATCTGGACAACCCAGGGCGAAGCATTCGTTCCACAACTCCAATCTTTTCGTCACAGCCCAATGTTGCCCCGACTCAGATGCCGGTACTCGTCTTGCCCAACCCAACGGCCTCCAGGCCCCGGCGCCGTTGGCCCGTTGCACCCATCGTTACAAACATATTCCACAACCCTAGAGATCCAGCCATGGGTAGCTTCGGATGCGCGGATCCTCCGCTAAGTGAAGATGACGCTTTGCCGGCTCAGAGAACAAAACTGAATGAGGATGTGAGGGTGTGCATCGTGGGCCTGGACTCGGCCCAGAGCATGAACGACCGAATGTAGCAGATACAACTTTAGGGTCCAGAATCCAGAACGGTCCACGGTGCGGTCCCTCGTCCTGGGAAGCAGACGGGGCCTTTTTTTTTTCTCCCCTTGCCGCGTCTCCATAGAAGATTCGCAAGACCCACTGAAACAAGTGAAGCTCACGATACTCTCACCTCCAGCTGTCCATGCTGGTGCTCTTTGCTTCACTCTCTGTTGCAACCGCTCGCCTGCTCACCGACAGGCACACAAACGCACGCTTCACTGCAGTGAACCCGAAAGGAACGACGACGTGGCAGGACGACAGGGTCACGGAACGGAACAGGCCAGAAGTAATCTCACGATGGCTTCGCTTTTGCCTTCCTCGCTGGGCCTTCTCTTGACCACGGGGTCCAGTCTACCTCAAATGGGCCGGTCCAGACTGACGAGCCGGCCTCAGATTGCGGAGAAGAAGGCAGGGTCTGCCGTCGGTAGACGCACAGCACCCCAATCGCTGAGCTTGCCCGTTGGCTGCCGAGGTCCCTAACTCCGTTGTCAATCCGGGCCACACCCGCTTGCGGCGTAGCGTACGAAGGACAACATGCCGCACTCACGATACTTTGGCCCGATGTCGCGGTGAGGGACAAAAAATAAACAACCACAGACCCGAGGGCCCAAAGGAGATGCAGCAAAAGCTGTGCCGCGCGTCGGGTATTGGGGTTAGTGCCCGGTGTCAACCTTTTTTTTCTTTCTTTCTTTTTCCTCCAGCCATTCGCGCAAGACCAGCCGACCCGTGCACGAGGCCATCGTGGATTACTCCACGCTCCCACGCAACATGCGCAAGCCTGAGTCGGTTGTGCATTTGGTTCGTTTGCACCCTTACCCAGCAGCCCATTACCTATCTGCTTATCCTCCCCGCTCCAAGCGACGCCGCCGGGTGTTATGGCTCAGCCACGAGCGTGGTTGGAACGCGCATAAGTCGAGCAGACCATGCATCACCCTGTCTGCATGTTGACGGGAGCTAAGACGACCAGGCGGGTGCAGCGAGCCATCTCAGCGCCGAACCGAACGGTACGTGAATAGAAGCCGGCTTTGATGCTCATCTGCGGTTCTTACTCGCACCCGCCGACGTGGAGCCTGAAGACTCCAGGTTGGCCGTTGGGCGATTTGTCGATCACCCCAGATGCATACGGAGGAAAATTGCCAAAACGTTGCGACGTTTCGGGCGCCGATGCTCCTTTCTCTTTTCGACATCTACTTTCGATTAGCATCCAGACTTGGGGGCCAATTGGCATGATGGGTCCAAGCATGGTGGATGCAGTCGCTCTCTGCTCTCCGTGAGGCCAACAGCAGGATTTTCTTTGTCGGTCCCCTGCTTGTACCCCAGTTTCATGTTCCTCCTCCCATCAAGTCTCCGGGATGTGACTGCTCATAATCAACGACGCCTGTCTTGAGCCTGTGCCATTTAAGGGAATGTTGGTTGACAATTTCCTGTACGGCGTTGCAACTAAGACCACTGCCTCCTTTTCCCCCCTTGGCCGCCGCCCATCACGCCCACCCCCCTTGCTCCCTTCTCCTACGCGTGGGCCGGTTCTAACATGTGCTTATCGTGGGCACTGGACTGTCTCTCCCGTATCGGTGCGATTCTTCCCCGCCTCCCCTCCCCCCTTGAGACCCCTAAGCGGCTTGCGCGCCTCTCCGCACTTTGCGAATGTGCGTTTGAAGTACGGGAAAGTGTCAAACTATCAGACGTCTGGGGAAATGCGGAAGCCGTCGACTAGTGACAACCGTGAAACTTGTCCCCCTCAAAGCGTCTGAACGACACCCTTCTCTTTGACCCATCATGTCATCACCGCCCGACAGCAACCCCAGATTTGCGGAACATGGCCCGGCCACCATGTCTGCACATCAAACGCGTACTGTTCAGTGCTCAGCCCTCACTCTCCATACAGGTACCTACTCTCCATAGCGACCGGCCGGCAAGCTGGGGCTAGCTCACTAGACGCGTGGGCTGAGTGGTTGGGCTGATGCCTCCGGGCTAACGCTCCGTGGCTGACTCGTCGGCGCCTTCGGAGGCGGGTTCGAAGTCTCCTTTTTTGGGAGTGAAGGGTTGATCCCCATGGCCAGCCGCACGATGTCGTCGAGTTTGAACCACCCAGCACCATCCCCGCTCCGTGCTGCTCCAAAGACACAATGTGAATCTGGGGTAAAAAGTTACGGCGTGGAGCGCAAGACCAGAAAAGGGGGGGGGGAGGGATGCGGAGGGCGCCGGACGGCCGAAAACCCAAGCGTCAAGTTCCGCTTGCTTTCTCTGACCCCCTCCGGAACGCTACGAGGAATCACACCGATTTGGCGCTGACCAGAGATGTGCCCATCACGGCCACTTTCCTCCCCTCCTCCTCGCCCTTTCGCCTTTGCATCGACCGTTCTGGAGAGGCGATTGGCTCGACACACCGGGCAGCCCCCCCTCCATCCATTCCGACCGGCCGGTGGGCGGTCGTTCTCCAAAGAAAAAAGCCGTCGCCCCCCTCCATTACTCACTGGAGCTCCGCGATTTTCTGCCCATCTACGGGTACCCGACGCAACCCGCACTGGGTGTCTCGGCGTCGCGCATCCGGATTGGGCTGGCCGCTTCATCACTTTTCATAGATGAATGGCACATTGAGATAATGATGAGCCAACCAGAGGCGGGGGAGACTGGGCTCGGTGTGACATACCAGCAGCAAGAGCCTGGCCTTCTCAGCTCACACTAACAGAGTGCGTGATCTTGAGTCTCCTCCCCCCCTTCCAAATCTCAGCCGATCACCCATCATCTTCGCATGCGCGTTCGCGGCGCAGTGGCAGCAGCAAGGGAGAGGAAGGGGGGAGAGGCCGTAGGTACAATGCTTTGCCCATCTCTCTCCCCTAACCCCGCGGAGGTGCTGCAGGCGTTGGCCACCAGCAGCCGCTGGAGTCGCACGCCCGGGCCAGTAATCGGGTGCCCTCGTCCTGCACGTCATCCCATTTTCGCCGGTGCCATCTGGTTGGTCGGCCGGTTGGTTGGCCCCAAAGTCATGGATGTCGCCTATCGAAGGTGACGACCTCTCTCTCTCTCTCTCTTCTGATGTCGACGGCCAAATCATCCGTCATGTCCGCTACTGCTTACGGGCGTCTGGCTTACGACTGTCCATTTTGTTTTTGTTTTTGTTTTCCCGCCCTCTTCCGACCCTGCAGATATAGAAGGGGTTTTCTCTCCCCCCTTCTTCCAAAACGTCTTGGGGATCGCTGCTTGTAAGCGGATGACGCTGACAGGAATGCAGGACCCGTCACTGCAGAAATCCCAACCGAACGGGACGGGTTACACGTGCTTTTCTTATTTCGTGTCTGACAGGCAGCTAGGAAAGGGAGAGCAACGGCCGAGAGGGCCTTTTTTTCCTTTTTGGCTTTCTGTTGAGAGGTTTTCTGTCTGACCAACGCCCGTGGACGACAGACACATGGAAGCACATGTGAATGGACGATGGTGATGGCGGGCGTAGGGGATCGACTTGGCGTCGATACGAAGCCACCATTACACTTTTTGGTCTTGCACCTCTTTATTCTCTTTTTGGTTTTTTGCACAGCGAGTGTCTCGGTCGCTGAGGCGCTCGCGACCTGCCCGGCCAGTCCAGGCCAGCCACCCACGAGCTCGGGGGCTTGAGGGTGCTATCTTTCGCAATTCATCTTGCCACGGAGGAGAGGTGGCTAGCCTTTCGGGCTTGGCCAGCCTTCGTGTCCCCGTATCCGTCCATCGAAACCACGGGGCTAAGGGGGACGCTTGCGAGGACGATGACGAGTAGGGGTAGGCAGCACCGGGTACTCTGGCTATCGCGTCCTGCAGCCACACCTTCTTTTCTTACGTCTTGGTCTTTTTCTTTTCTTCCTGTTTTTCCCTGTTGTTCGCCTTCCCCCCGCCGTGTCGAGACGATCTCGTCATCCAACAAGCCCGTTTTGCACAGGGCGGCGCAGGGTCCGCGGGTTCGTCTTCTCTTTGTGCTATCGGGGGGCTGTCCTTGGCGTGACCTTTTTTACAATCAGCGTGTGACGACGCTGGTGCGACGCGCTTACACGAGCAGGCCGGGCATGAGGGGGGGAGAAGCGAGAGAGACACACACACTTACACGCCAGACACGGGCTCGACGGGGGAAACCAGTGTGGCTGGACAGGAGCGAAGGCAGAGAGAAACGCAATGGGCGTGGGCGAGGAAGCAGGGAAAATGTGAATCAGGTCTGTGGCGAGGCAGCTTAGAGCTACGACCCTGCTGCAACGCCGACCCTTTCGTGAAGGGGAGGCCGTCCTGATTGGAGATGTCTCACTCACCATCCCCCCCTCCTCATCCAGAGCCCGTTTGCGTCCTTGAAACTCGTTCATCTACCGCCCCCGTGATGGGAAAGTTGGAATTTGGATGTTTTTAAACAACTCGAGGCACTGTGGCACATTCCCCACCCCCCAAGAACCTCTGGGCCGGAGACTGCTCCGGTGGCAAGGCTTCTCCCCATCGGCGCGAACGTGCTGGGCGACCTGCGCTGGCCGCCTGGTACGGTGCGCACCACGGGTCCCTTTGGGAATGTGTTTCAGAAGAGGGCGGCTGTGCTTGGGACGCGGTGCGGGTGCTAAATGTCGACGGCGTCCTTGCCTGCTGCGACTGTGATCTGATTGCTACGGTTTGTGTGCCTCTGTGACTCGTTGGGTGATGCTGCTAGCTGGGTTCTCGTCGCGCAATGTTCCAAGGTTGGGGATGGGAGCGGTTTTGGGATGTCTCGGGTGTGCGGCATGTGCCGCGGTATCTGAGGCTATCTTACTGTTCCTTCGTCGGTGTCGTGGTCCTCCTTGTCATCTGGTAGACCAAGTTCGACTCCCCGTGTTTTGGACGATGGACACGGGATGATACAGGTGAGTGTTTGGCACGAAGACGCCGTTTGAGAGTCGAGTATAATCCAAAGGGGGGGGTTACGGTGGTGCGATGGGGACGAAGAGAACCGCACAAAATTTATGGACGCTACGTATCCAGGATAAACGCCAGAAGAGATGTATGGCTTGAAGTGTATTAACGGCTCCGCTCATGGACTTGTGTACGGTTACCAATTTTGAAGTTGCAACCTAACAGGTGTACTTGAACCGGGAGCTGCACTATTCCCCTCAAAAGATTTTAGTGAGGAGGGCGGTCAAGGAGAAATAGGGACTGGCGTAGACATCGAACATGTGGCAGGAACACTTTCCCTTGGGTTTGGTTTCATCTTTGGGCGGTAGTTTCTGGCAACGACTTTTGCTTCCTGAGCTGGTAAAGGCTCTTTGAAGCCATGGGGCGGTGATATTATGAATGGAACGCATGAGACATCTGAAAGCAAGCATTTATGGTGGAATAAATACTCTCCAGACCTCTATAGCGCTATTTTATAGGCAAAATGTCGCCTGTGGTGCCGTATCGTACAGCCAACATACATCCATCTATAAACATATCGTACACGATCTACCGATTAATGCTTTTGACGTTGTCTGCAACGCGTCCGGCGCCTATTTGTTGTCCTTCTTTCCCAAAAGGGAGTTCAACCATTCTCCAATGGTCGCGGCGTCCTTTCCGTTCAGGCCGCCTGCGCGGAGACGCTGCGCCCAGTCGTCAATCTCCCAGATCTGGGCGTTGACCATGGACTCCGAGAGGCTGTTTACATCCCCGCCGGACGCTAGGTCGGATAGTGAGAACTTCTGAACGAGACCGTGGCGGGCTTCGAATGAGAGGTTGAACTGCAACGGGTTAGACGGCTGACAGCATGATTATTCGTGGAAGCGTGATGGTGGTGTAGAAAAAGGGGGTCTTGGGTTTCAGGAGGACAAGTGTACAGGCGAGCGTTCACTTACGTTGCCTGGTAGCTGTGGACGTTCTCGTGAGTCGTCCTCCGAGGGGTGAGTTGAGAAGGTGAAGAGGGGAGTCTGTCCGTATATCCACTCTCGAGACTGCGTTGTATGTTAGTCTGGTCATTCGTCTTATTCGACTCTGGGCATCTCATCGCATCCTAGGGCGAGCGATATCCCACAGAGGGAGAACGGCAGAACTAACGTACCTCCAGCTCCTTCATCCCCTTCTGAATCTTCTCCTCCCCTTGCGCGTCCTTGTCGCCGAGCTCGGCCCGCACATCGAACTCGCCATACATCTTCCCAAACTCCTTGACGACAGCATCCTCGAACGTCTTCGTGTCAGTCACGCCAACGTTGCGGATCCGCGAGCGCACGCTCTCGACGCCGCGGGCCTTGATGAAGGGCTCGGCGGGCGACCGCAGGAAACTGCCGATTCGCGGGAGGTTCGGGGACGACAGGAGGCAGGTCCCGTGGTGGAGCGAGCGCAGGCGCGTGAGTTTGTACGCCGAGCCGGAGATCTTGAAGGTGTTTTCTGCGTTCACTTTGGGCTTGGCGCATGATGGTGCCGAGGATGTCGTGGATGCGGTGTCATTTGCCGGCTGCGTTTTGACGGGGGCTTCTGACGAGGACGGGGGCGGAATGGTCATGACGATGTCGTGCCGGCAGTTCACGGCCACACCGTCGACCCCCAAGGACTGGAGGGCGCGGACGACCATTTCGGCGTGCGTGTCGCGGTCAAAGTTTGCAGGCGGGCAGATGACGGAGTAGTTGACGTTGCCTTCATCGTGGAAAACAGTGCCTCCTCCGCTGCGGCGGCGGACGAGGTCGATGACATCCTCGCCGTTGCTGTTAGGACCGAGAGACTGAAGCTTGGGGAGGTTGACTTCAAGCCACGGGTTCTGGTTCCGGCCGATCACGATGCTGGGGCGGTTCGTGTAGAGAAACAGAACGGTAGAGTCGGAGGGCGTCGTCTGAAGGAGGTGATGCTCGATAGACAGGTTTGTGTAAGGGGAGCGCGAGGTTGAGATGTAGACTTGGGTTTTTGAGGATGGTGAAGCGGCGAGGGCGGAGAGCAGGCGGGTCTGGTGGGTTTGCCGTTGTATTGATGGTCTGGTGCGGGAGAGTATCCGCGGGATTGTTTGTGTTGAAAACATTGTGAGGTTCCGGTGTTCGCAGAGCGGTCAATATACAGAGTTGTGCTGCTTCTCACGATGACATTATTATGAACTCCCTGTTGGAATGCGATAAGCAGGATTACAGAAGAGTCCTAAAGTGAACGCAACAGTTTCCAGGTTTCGTTTCGAAATATGTAAATGAGCGACTCGCCGAAAAAATGAGCGAAGATACGGCGGTTCTGATACGTGCCAAAAAGCTTGCGGGCGTTGATGAGTGAAGCGTTGAGATGAAGTTCTCACTAAATTGCATCTAACAGAATCCACCCATGGTTAGGACGACCACCCCTGTAGACACAAGACCCACCCTGCTAACGGGGCAATTCAACTACATCATAGAGACCCCTCCACCCCGCATACTGGGCCGATTTCTTTTTGGATTGACTCACCGAATATCGGCCCTGATAATTTTCGAAACTTACCTCCTTACCCCCTCACAATATTTCCCCTTCCACACCGCCAGCCACAATGTCGACGTTCGGTTCCTACTTCAAGGTCACGACGTGCGTCGCCTCCTCCGGCCCAATTCCTCCCGTTCGTCTCGTGGCCACAATGGACTAACATAACATGCCCCCCTGCGCAGCTACGGCGAGTCCCACGGCAAGTCCGTCGGCGTCATCGTCGATGGCGTCCCGCCCGGCTTGGCCCTCACCGAGTCCGACATCCAGCCCCAGCTGAACCGCCGCCGCCCCGGCCAGAGCTCCATCACGACCCCGCGAAACGAGAAGGATCGCGTCGTCATCCAGAGCGGCACCGAGTTCGGCTACACCCTCGGCACCCCGATTGGCATGCTCGTCCAGAACGAGGACCAGCGTCCCAAGGACTATGGCAACTCCACCATGGACATGTTCCCCCGCCCCTCCCACGCCGACTGGACCTACCTCGAGAAGTACGGCATCAAGGCCTCCTCGGGCGGTGGCCGCTCCTCCGCCCGCGAGACCATCGCCCGCGTTGCCGCCGGCGCCCTTGCTGAGAAGTACCTCCGCGAAGCCTACGGCACTGAGATCACCGCCTTCACCACCAGCGTCGGCAACTGCCACCTGTTCCCCCCTACCCCCGAGCACCCGAGCCCGTCGACGAACCCAGGCTTCCTTTCGCTGCTCAACTCCATCGACCGTGCCACCGTCGACCAGTACCTCCCCGTCCGCTGCCCACACGAGGAGACCAACGAAAAGATGATTGACCTCATCAGCGAATTCAAGCAGCGTGAGGACAGCATTGGCGGCACCGTCACCTGTGTCATTCGCAACCCCCCCTCCGGCCTCGGCGAGCCCTGCTTCGACAAGCTCGAGGCCCAGCTCGCCCATGCCATGCTCAGCATCCCCGCCACCAAGGGCTTCGAGATCGGCTCGGGCTTCGGCGGTTGCGAGATCCCCGGATCGCAGCACAACGACGCCTTCATCAAGGCGCCCGAGACGGAGCTCGCGGCCGACGCCCAGCGTATGGGTATCCCGCGGTCCAAGCTGACCACCAAGACCAACTACTCTGGCGGCATCCAGGGTGGCATCTCCAACGGCGCGCCCATCTACTTCCGCGTCGCCTTCAAGCCCGCCGCGACCATCGGCAAGGACCAGACCACGGCGACCTACGACGGTACGGAGGAGGGCGTTCTGGCTGCCAAGGGCCGCCACGACCCTTGCGTCGTGCCCCGCGCAATCCCCATCGTGGAGGCCATGGCGGCCATTGTCCTGTTGGATGCGCTCATGGCGCAACACGCGAGACAAATGACAAAGAGCCTGCTGCCGCCGGTCAAGAGAGACAACGGCAAGGCGTGAGGGGTTTTAGCATTGGGACGTGTTGTAAATATGGGCATTCAAAAGCAAAATTCATAATAGATTCCCCTTTTGGTTTCGGCGACTATCCTTTCTGGTCTCTCATCTGCCTGCCGAGTGAGTGGAGAGTGGTAGACTTTACAACTCTTCCATGGTCTCCTGCTTCTTCGCGGTCTTGACCAGGTGGAACTCCTCTTGTCGCCCGTACACCCATTGCCACCCCTTCTCCTCGCCAGCCCAGTATACGTCTTCCTCCAACGCAAACCACAGGGTCTGGTTCCTCTCGGCGACGTAGTGCTCCACAAGCAGCTCGACGCTGAACCACATGTTGGAGACGGCGGCCAGCTCACCGGATGCCGATACGTAGTCTTGCATGTTCGTCATCCCTGCACTAGGTCAGCTTGTGAAGGGCAGGCATCAACTTCGTTGGAGGTAGTAGCTTTGCTCGAGACATGACTTACCGATGAGGGGACCGGCAGCATGGCCCCAGTCTCCAATCGGATGCGTGTAAACGCGTCCCTGAATCCCCTCTGCATGCATTTCTCCGAGTGATGCCTTGAGCATCTCGTTGCCTGTCTTGCCGACAGCAATGTTGCGCCTCACAATATCCTGCAATTTGTTCCCCTTCTTCAACCCATCCTTCAAGTCCTGGGGGACGTCCTTCTCGCCAGGACGAAGCACGTACCCTAGGTGCTGAGTGTCGGTGTTCAGCCCCAGAGCAGTCAACCCAAAGTCAACATGCAGCATATCGCCATACTCAATAACCCTGCCCCCCGCACCCTCATCCACGCTCGTCTCCATCTTCACAGCCCAAGGCAGCGCCTGGTCCACCACACTGACACTGGGCTGGAACCACGTCGTAAAGTTGTGCGCCAGAATCTCCTCTCTAAACCACCACTCCAGATCCCCTGTCGTCGTCTTCCCGGGGACGACAACCGCCTCGCTGAAACCCCGCGCGATCATCGCCCACGCCGTCTCCATGACCTGCTTGTACCGCGGCAGCTTCGACCGCGGCTGGGTCGCGATGAACTCGACGGCGATCTCGGGCTTGACGACCATCCGCGACGTCCACTCCCCGCCCAGCCCGCTCGCCATGGCCTGGTACTCGCCTGCGTGCAGGCCGCTGGCGAAGGCGATCTCCGGGTGCGCGTTGATGGCGACGGTGGCGGGGTTCGCGGCTTCGAGCTGCGCTTTGAGTGTTTCCCAGACGTCTGTGGTCCAGCCTATAATGCAGCCCGGTTGCTGCGGCAGTGAACCCTCGGAAGAGTTGGCGGCGAGGGGCTCGGCGAGGAAGAGGCACGTTGTGCGGCGGCGGGCGGAGAAGGTCGATGCTGGTTTGAGAGACCAGAAGACTGTTTCTTCCGCGTATTCGCGCTGGCTGATCTGGAGGTGTGTCAGTGGGCTCGAAAACGTTTGATGAGGCGCGGCTTAGACCAACCACCCAGGCTTCGACGCCATGTTTCTTGAGAAGGGCGGGGATGCCCGCTTTGCGCTCCTCCGTCCATGCATCTTGGATGCGGGCTTGCTCGCGGAGGGGCGGCAGAGGGTTGTACTTGGGCGTAGGGTCGCCAATGACGGGCTCCCAGAGGAGGGCGGCGGCCGGGAGAAATGCGGTAAGCCAATGCATCATTGCTTGATTGGTGGGTGTCTTGGCCTCACGATGCGAGTTGAGCGTAGCTAGGTACGTGTGAGGTTGAAGAGGGGTGGTGAGTTTAAGAATGGGACGAAGGATGCGAGGTCGGATGACGTCCGCGGCCCCCGTTTGAGGAATGAGGGTTCGATGCCATTGTGCGAGTACGGTGCTTATCTATTCCCGGAAAGGCAGCTCGTTGTCGGAACCTTGAATCCTACGCTGCATGGATGCTGATCCCCGCCTCGGTGAACCCTGCTCACCGAGGTCAGGTCCGCGCTAAGAGATCGTCCTTGGGGGGGTTAAAAATGCAGTGATAACACACCGAGGTCATGTCCGCGCTGAGAGATCGTGGTGTTCAAAAGTAGGCTTGCAACAATGAGCTTTTGTAGCCAATACTAAGAGTAAGATGACATAAAGAGTCACCCAAGCTTTGGCGGCTTTTAGCCAAAACATGCACGATGGACTTGGTTTTATAATTTTTCAAATTTTCTCAATTTTTCAAATTTTCTCAATCTTTCTTTATTGCTTAATGGTGATTGTTGCCGTGAGGTTTCTCACGGCCAAATGAAATGCATCACGTCGGTGCGCTTGAAGCAACCAAGATTTGGGCTCCAAGTTGATACGTTCAACAGATCATATCGCCGGTGTTCATCGTTTCAGCTCCAGTAGAGACTCGATGTATCTTATCCTCTCGTATTGCAGGAGACGGAGACAAGCTTAGTGACTGCGGATGATTCAAGAGACTACTCCAGAGCCCTGATTCCGTCCGGTGCCACCGAGCCTGATTGGCCATCAGGAATCACAGCCTCGCGGCTTTTACACTCCTTTGGGGGATGGTGAATTTGCAGTGAACAGCCTGATGAAAGACAAGAAGGCAGGTAATACCACTCATTTCCTCCGCTCGCTATTTATTTCCCCCGCTGACCACTCATTTGGATTGGCGGCGAACCAAAGTTACGCCAACTCTGCGCCTCTGACGCTACGCCAATCAAGCGCTTCTAAATCTGAAATTGTAAGGTTTTTATATGAAAGCAGCAATACCGCACAACGACACAATCATATCTTGAGTTTTCGACCGTCTATAGGACAATTAATGGTCCGGGAGGGGAACGTGAGTGTTCCGCTGGTGGACCGGACAACGGTTCGATGCAGCTCTGGTCATAGGCTGTATCACTCATCAAGCAAAACTTGTTGTAACTCAAGGCAGATGGCGGCTCACGAAATTCCGTTAGAGTAGTGAAGTCTCTTCTCTTAATCTACATAACTCTAACTCTAACTCGATATCATCGGACCATCTCACGCAGACATCTAGATGTGGGTATAATCGCCGTACAGTACAAGCATCGCCAAAATATCATCAAGCATCGTCGAGGTTCAAGTACCTCTCACTGGTCCCAAAGCCCCTCATTAAACTCGTAGCCATAGCATACATTGCCTTTTGAAAAAAAAAGTAGCAGAAAAGGAGTATCCAAACATACTTCGGTCGCATCCTATTGCAGTGTCTGGTTAGTCATTGGCAAGATTTCAGGAAGTTGGAACGTAACACTCACGAAGGTATTCCCGGTCCCATAGCTGAATCCTAATCAAGTTTCCATTTTGTCCCGAGGTCCCAGACATGAGTCTCCAGGTCGCGGTCCCATCCCGCAAGTAAGATATTGCGACGCCCATGCGCGTCTTGACATCTCGTCGTTCCAATCACACCACTCCAGCAATGGCCACGCTAGCAAGAGCAACAACGACGTAGACGAGGCTACTCCGCGACAGAGAAGAAGCAGCCGAATGGTCATCGTCGGCCGCCGTGCTCTTGGGACCATCGCCGGTCTGCGTAGGCGTGGGGTTCGGGTCATCAACGTGCAGCGCATCACTAGCGGCAACCCAGGCATTCCAATTCGTCATACCATCTGGGCACTCATCGGCGATCTGCCTGCCCTCGATCTTGGCGATCTCGGTCCCGTACTTGGTCATCGTGAGAACGACGTCGCCGGTGCCAAGGAATGGGGTGCTGCCATGATACATGCCCTTGCCGTTCTCGGGAATTGAAGTCCAGTTGCCCTTCTGCGACTTGCCGCCGACGGAGACGGTGATCTCGGCGGCGGAGGTGAGGAGGGCCGAGTAGAAGATCTTGTCCTTGACGACCTCGACCGGGGAGAGCACCTGTTGAGAGTGGGCGGCCGTGTTGGCCGTGGTGCCACCGTCCTTGCAGGCACGGGCCGGCGAGGTGCGGTACCATGTCGTGAGGGACTCTTTCTTGATGTCCGGTTGTACGGCGTTCTTGTAGCTGTCAATGAGGAAGGGAAGGGTGTGCCGCCAGCCGTCGTGGGGGTGGTCGAGGGCGTAGTTGAACGGGGCTTTGCCGACCTCAAAGGCTTCCAGTGCGTTGTTACGGATGGGGCCGATGTGGTGGGACTCGCCGTAGTCGTTCCACGAGATGATTTGGACGAAGCTGTCACGAGTTAGCCACGAGGGCTCAGAGTTAACAGTGGTATCAGGGGCAGACTTACGTAGGCATGATCTCCATGACCTGGTTCCAACGGTCGTACCAGAGATCGTCGCCGCGCCAGACCCAGTTCTTGTTGTAGCCGGGAAGGTTGGTGTAGAACCACGGCGACACGGGCATCATGTAGGGCTTCCCCTTCAGCGCCCACTCATAAGCGGCGTCACCCTTTGAAGTCATGTCCTGGTCTCCGATGGGCCAGGCGTTCCAGCTGAACAAGCCATCGGCCACGCCGCCGGCCAGGCCCAAGGCGTCCTCGGGCGAGATGGAAGACCAATCCGGGATGAAGAAGGCGCCCGTCTTCTCTTTGATCTCGATCCAGTCCTCGGCGTTCTCGGTGCCCTCGAACGTCGAGGCAACGGGCTTGTCGGCGTACTTGAAGTATTCGTCGAGCTTGAAGTATTTGTCGCCCATGTCGAGGATGGTGTCCTTGGGCCAGGGCTTGCCCCCGAGGTAGCCGCCGTTGTAGTCGAAGGAGAAGAAGAGCTGGAAACCGACGGTCTTTGCTGCGGTGAATGCGTCTTCCAGGGACTCGGCGGTATTGGGGTCCGTCAAGCCCATGTTAAGAGCGAAGGCGTCGATGTGGGCCTCCTTGGCGAGCTTAAAGTCATCTTCAAAGTCGCTCAGGGTGTAATTCTTGGTGTTGATGAGCTGGTTGCGAGTGTTAGTGATTGGTTTGTTCATGGGGTGCAAAGTATCGGACAGGTGATGGAGGAGGATAGATGTACCATGAAGTGGGCGATGACAGCCGCGGCCTGAACTTGTGTGATGGCGGCCAGGAAGCCTGCGAGAAGGGTGGTGAACTTCATCGTCACGGTGTGACGTGAGTGAAGACTTGCTTGACTGGCAGACGAAGCCGTCGAGAGCACGTTTGATCGGCAAGGGAATTCCTAATTTGCAAAGCATACAAGAGAACCACCCATCAGGGACACAAGGCCACGGCCGCCGCATTATGTATCATGAGCCACCTCGATCGAGAGGCGGGTGGCGTGCCTCGCAGGTCTCCTCATCTCGGCGTGCTCTGCCTACGAACAGGGTGGTCGCATTACCGCCCCTCCGGATACCGTATACTAACGTCTCTTGACCCCTGACATGGCGACCGCCCGACTCCATCGTGAGAATGCCCGGGTAGGCAGGTGAGGCGTGTAAGGGCGGCGCATGCGGCTCGACCTACACGGTGGCAGACACCCACCGTAAAACAGACATGACGCCGATGGGGGTCGGTTCTTTTCTGCAGGGTTGCGGAGGGCGCTTACCGGATGTGGCAACTTGAGAACAGCAGGGGGTGAATTCGCTTCGTGAGACGCCGTTGAATGTGCTTGGGTAGGACAAGCTCGGTGGATATCTGCCCTCAAGTTCCTGTGCTCTCGTCGAATCGCCGTCGGCCGCTGGTTCTTTCGTGCCAGCTGTGCTCTTTGGTGCCTGCTGTGCCGCTCAGGTGCGGTGCGAAGACAAAGGTGTTGCGGGCCAAGACAGGCTATTCCGTCCAGCCGCATTTGCCGTGGAAATTGCCTCGCCCGGCTCAGCTCTGTAGACGTTATCTCGGAATGCGTGCTTACGGCGGTGAGATGAGGCCTCTTCACGAGGTGGTCGTGAGTAAGAGTGAGTAGGATGGTGTCCGTCAACATCGCCACGACGCCATTCAGACACGAAGTCAACAATGGAACTGCGTCATTATGGCGATCGAATACGAAGACATAAAGGATCGGCAAAGCAACACGGACCCGGGAGTTTGTTTCTCGAGGGGAAGATCGTGGCCGGCGGCATGGTGTACAGAGCGTCTCCGCCGCCCACTCAAGCATCCTCCGGCTCTCTCTAAGCCCTGTCGGTGGCACGCCCGAAATCTTAAGCTTGTTGGACCTGACTGGGATCATCCAAGGCTGCTTATCCGGAGGCTACTGGGCAATATACCGCATCCCCCCTAGCAGTTTTCCGTGCACTAAAAGAGACTTAATAGTAGATGTCACGAAACCCCTGTTTTTTTTTGTGGCCTACACGTGCGGAATCGACCGAGATGAACCCCTGCCCGTCACATTGAGCTGCTCGCTTGTGATAGGCACTTGCAGCACAGCAACCGTTTGCCCCATCGCCTTTTAGGCTCTCGGCGGAGCTGTGCCTCACAATCAGAATTGAAAAGGGAACTATGGTTCGAGAGAGCCCGCCTGCGGTGCCCATGCTCCGGCTTTTCAGACGAGTGCGGCCGAACGGTACATTGTCGGATGCTTGGGCGTCTCAGCAACAGGGGTCCTCTGCCAGCAAGGGTAGGCAATAGATATCTGCCCACTATTACCAGGCAGCAAAGGGCAATATCGGACCTATGTCCTCGAAGTTGGACGGCGCGGATTGCTTGGCCATCTTTGCAATGCTTGGCTATTGCCCCTCATGTCGAGTGCAGTCTCTCGTAGTCTCAGCCAACCACACTCGTTGAAACAGTCAGAATCGTGCATACTCGAGGACTGTACAGCCTTGTGGGGGGCGTATCGGATCCTGATGGCCTTTACACGAGGAGATGGGCGGCATAAACGGAGCCCGGCACGTCATTACGGCGGGGAGTGTATCGGAGTCCCGTCGAAACGCATACACGAAGGACCGGTTACTGGCTGTCATCGCCGCCGTAGGGCTATGTCAAACGGCGAGGACGGCAAACCGGCAGCCTGGATACGGCTTGCATTGGGGGTTTTGGGGGGGAGACTAGCAAACAGAGCCCGGGCGTTGCGCTGTGTCTCAGAGAAACGCGTGCGTTATCGTTGGCCAATCGTCCCGACTCACTCCGAGGTTGCTCTGACAAGGGTGGGTTCGCGCCTAATCCAGGGGGGGAGGGAGGGGAGGAAGAAAAGCACCGCATCGACAACATCCCATGTAGTCTCATTGGAACACCGAGCCCCTCGGCTATCCACTACCCCAGCGACAATCGCAAAAACTCGAGCAGACGGACGAATGGCTGAAGAAGCCTCTAGATGAAAGAGAGGCAGAAAAGACACAGAGAAAGCCTGTTCCAACGGCGTGATCCAGACCCTTGCGCCCCTGTCCCCCTGCGCAGTATCCACAGTTCTAGACCCTTCAAAGTTGGGTTGCAGCGAGTTGCAGCGAGTCCAGAGCCACAGCTTCGGCCCGCCCGCCATCGTCTCTAACCAGAATGCGCAGGCTACTCGACGGTCGACTGCCCCAACCGCGCTTCTGCGCACAGAGCAGAAACATAAAGACCAACGGGGGGCTCGGCCTCTGCTTCCGCGTTCCTCTTGCAACCAGGTCCAGCCCTGGAGGACGCCCTGACGACGTTATCCACCATGAGCGGTTTCTGAAGCGGTCCAACGGTCATATGTCGGAAAAAGTGAAGGCATGCACATTGCGGCACAGCGTCATTTGACGGCAACGTGAAGAATTCGGTTCTCATACCTCCTTATGCCTCCTGATGTAACTGTGTGTTGCAGACACAGTTTCTCTTGACTCGCGAGTTGGAGCAGGGGCGATTCCCTGACTTTGGAATACCAGCCCCTTCAAGAGCACTGTTGGTTGATACAAGACAAGGGATTTTGCGGAGATTATGCGTGGGTTGGGGTTCAGCGTGTCATATCTGGGTGGTTCTGCAAACCGATCAATGTCCCACCCTAAGACACCTGTCTAAGGTATCCTCACCTCGTCCAAGAAGTACGTGCCGGTAATGATATAAGAGACAGACACTGGGGCAGCACTTTTACCACCGGGTAGGTCCAGAGTCAGGCACGAGACGTTGTGGTTCAAACACTTCACAGCCTGAGCAAACCCCACATGCTGCCTAGCCGAGAAGACTTGGTGACTCGCTGGGCTCAAGGCGGTGAACTTTTGCAAGACCATTATCGGACTCCCCATATACTGTGAAGGAGTCAGAGTCAGACGTGCCGGCCCGAAAGTCGTGGCCAAACATGGGAGTCGAAATCTACAGTTCTTACAAACGGATCACCTCAACTTAATGTCCCAGTAGCATCAGGAAGTAGCAACCAACTCAAACAATATCATTCTCTAAACCAAGATCCTCAAGTCTTCATCCGCAAGCTTGACATGAACCATGAACCAACTTTCGCTACTGCGCGCCAAGGCAGTCCCCTTCGCTGATGACGGCCGGGGATACTGAATCCCGCCCCGCCCCGATCAGCTTGCCCATGTTCTTTCCACCCGTCCGTCCCTCATCAAACCACCGAAAATTGCAAAGTAATGTAGGCAAAACAAAAACAAACCAAACGTTCATACCCACGAACCTGATAAATCGTACCGTGTAGTCTTCGATTCACCAAGGAATCGCGGCGGAGAACATAAGAGTACCTAGAAACCATGTTCCTCTAGCACGGTTTGCCTCTCATCTCTCGGGGCGTGTAGTCCGCCTGGGTCACGAAAAGTAGCGCGTGGTTCGCGTGGATTATGGGCAATGACGCGAGAGAAACCACTGTCCTCCAGCCTGGTCTGTACCATGTTGTTCGAGACGCCTAGTCCGCGTGGCTCACGTCCAGTAGCGCGTGGTTCGCGTGGATTAGGGACAATGACGCGAGAGAAACCACTGTCCTCCAGCCTGGTCTGTACCATGTTGTTCGAGACGGTAGTATAAGAGTGTACCGCATCCATATTATGCTGGGACGCCATGACTGTCAAGACGTTACTCTTCTATATCCTTCAGCGAAGATATACACAGAGCAATAGTTCTGTCCTTGTCGAATAATCCTCTCAAACAACACTCCAGCAGCCCAATTCTTCAGCAATCTGGCTCTTCAGCAATCTGGCTCTTCAGCGATCCGGCTTTCAACACTCCGGCTCTTCGATGGTCCAACTCTTTGGCACTCCAGTTCTCCAGCAGTCCAACTGCCTGACACTCAGCTCTGTACCTCTTGTAATGTTCAAAAAAGAAAGGATAAAGATCAGAGGAGTGTTCATTCTGGATGTGCGGCCGAGCCTTATATACACAACCCGTCAGGCAGAGAGAACCCCATGTGACACTGCTGCTGGCTTTCACTGCACATTGTGCAGTGAGCTAGGCTTGTTATCGCCATGGCGTCATGCAGGATACCGCGCGCCCTTGGCGTACCGCCTTACTTCAGAGAAACGACCTGTCCTTGTGATCTTATTGGCTCCTGTTGCAGCCCTACTTCCACGTCCTACGCGCTCTTCCACCGAAGGTTGCCCGTTCAGGTCTGAATGTGACCCAACATACATTATATTGGCCGTGTAAGCAACGTCGAAGAAGAAGGAGGAAACATTTGCAACAACGAAGGAACCAACCAACGTTCGGCCAGACCAAGCATGACCACATTCTCAAATCCCATTGGGGGGCATTGGTCACCTGAGTATACGGTTTTGCTAACCGCCGGTGCTGGTCTATTGATCGACTCTTCTACTACATCGGCATGTAATTGTCTTCTACGACACATCTCTTGGTAGCGAAGACAGTGATCCTGGCAAAAGCGCCCGGATTCACTACAAGGTTCTGTTCAAAGCAACCAGAAAACGGACTGTTGGACGCTAACTTGCAGATGCAATGACAACTGGACGTAGCTCCAAACACACATGGCGCTGGGTGTCTGATATGTAGTTGTACCAGACCCCTATTGTAGCTTGTCCTCATCTTCTCGCTGACTCGGCCGGACTGACCGTTATGTGTGATTACCATTGTTGAGATGGTCGGTAAAGCTGCCCAGGGCGAGTTTTGAAGTCGCATCAGACATTGATAGGGTGGTACTTGGTTTGATTCGAGCGACTACACATCTAGGCCTCGTAATGCCGCAACACCGTGAAGCAACTGTCTACCCTCGCAGATCGTAGGTGAAGCAATGGAATTCCTCCAGTTCTGGTATTTAATCATGAACCCTAAACACCTCGCTGATAAAGATTTGGTATAGTGACGCTGTTGTACGCCGTGTTTCCTCCCATCGTCTGAACATGCAATACTCCTAGATGATGATACTCGCCTCTCAGGGCCACACTTCTCAGCAAACATCTTCATTCCCATACTCCTGCATCCATCATCCCGTCAAAACTGAGCCTGCCGGCAAAGACACCGCCTGGCCCCTGACTTTGTTGCTGTTGTTGCTGTCGCCTCTCGTTCTCCTTTTGCTCCTCCTCTTTGGCCCTCGCCAGATCAGCCTCAACGTCAACCATTGTGATAAACTCGTTAAGGTTACGCAGAACATCGTCAACATCATCGAATGCGGATCCCTGGCTCTCGGGATTCTTCGGCAACGAGGGTGTTTTGTCAGCAGACATGGCTGCTTCAGAGGCTGGAGGTGCTGTGAAGGAATCTGCTGCGACAAAGGCCTCCGCCATGGCCATGGGACCTGGGCTCTCCAGAACCTGCTGAGACGCGGACGGCAAGAGGTGGTGGTGAAGGTTCTTGCGTCGTGAAACAGCCTGGAAGTGCTTCTGGTACTGGTCATCATCTCCGGTTGGTAGGTCAGCTACTGCCATCTCTGGCGGAGGAGAGGAGGCTCTAAGCCCTGTGGGCGTCTGAGGGCCCCGGTCCTCGTCGCCATCGTCTTCATCAGGCAACGGTGCCCATTTGACTCGTTTATGCGACTTTTGCACACTGTCCCAGGGGTTATCCGTCGTGGCGGCGATCAGGTTTTGAGTGCTGGGTAGGTGACCGTCACTCAAGCGGATCTTATTGGGCCGACGGCGAGGTTTTTCGGGCGAGGGAGACATGAAGTTCGCAAAAGATTTGATGGAAAAGACTGGTTCAGGAGAGCTTGACCTTACTGTCTCGGCGGCAACTGGTTGTTGACTTTCGGAGGCCCAATTGGCGACAAGCGCATCATGTTCCATGGAAGCTGGTAGAGAAGCTAGTGGAGCAAGCGGCGAGGGTGACACGGGTCTTGCGACCTTGAGAAAGTTGGACATCAACGCTTGTTGCGCGGCCTGACGCATTCTTTCAGGACTCGCAGTCCAAGGACTTTGACAGTTGGGATCCACAAAGATCTCATCGTCGCCCTTCGTGGTGAACTTTTTCTGCTGAGGCGGAGCAATAGCTGGTACATCCGCCTTCCACGGACTCTGTTGAGAGGCTGGTACCGCAGGACTGTTGTGTTGACTGATCATCTCCTCGATTCTCGCACTGCCAGGCATACGCAACGGCTCAACCTCTTGTTGAGTGCAAGGCTTCGCAGACTCCGATGTGGATTGCCTATCTGTTGAAGCCACCGATGGCCGTCCATGGCCCTCGTCAGACCTACCGGCAGGGCAGGGAATACTTGTGGCGAACTGACTCAGCTTGAACCAAGGGCTTTGGGGGAAGGCCTTTGGCATGGTGCTGCTTTGCGACGACGAAGGCTGAATGACGGACTGAATTGACCCTAGAGGTTGGTTCGCCGGTGTTGGTGACGGGACGCCGGCTGCACCATTGGCTGATTCTTTGTCCTGCTCTTCTTGGGATACAGAGTGTGCAACAACCGTCGGTTCTTGGCTCAATCTATCAGCCACTACTCCAGCGACAACACCCTGCTCAGTTGACAGGCTCGGAGGGGCGGCTTCCAAGCGTTCTGGCACTTCGATGGGCGTATGGTTTGCAGGCTCTAAGGTGTCTTCGATGTGGGCAGGAGCTAATTTTTCACTGGAATCTTCGAATTGCGAACCATCGATCTCCGATTGGGGTTCAGTGCCCTGCTCTGCTATCGCCTCTGTGTTTTTCCTCAGGGACTCTTCCTGGCCTTCATTATTCTCCGCACTGGATTCGGGCGAGGTCGCTTTGGTTTCATCTGCCATGCATGTGTCCCCATCCAGGTCCAGGCACTCGCCGTCAAAGTCCGTTCCAGAGGGGACTGTAGAAGCCGGTGAAGAGACCCGTCCAAAAGACATTCTTCGTATAGGGCTCAGGTCCATGATGTCCAGAACGTGTTCCCTGGGTCTCGCGCGGAAAAAAAAGCTTTCGTCTTGCTGAGTTTCGAACTCGTCCTTGACATCCACATCGTCACCAGCTCCTTGTACGGCCATGGCTGCTTCACTACTGCACGGTCTCGGTTCGTGTGTAGCTCTTCTAGGCGCCATATTTGACTTTCTTGAAGACTGCGGAGTCTGGACGGGCGTGCTTAACGGCGCTGGCGGCTCCGGAGAAGCATTATGATGTTTGTCGCAAATCTGTAACGGCAGTTGTTGTGAAGACCGAGTGGTGACAGCCTGAGAGGCTTTGGGTCGCGATCGTACGCTGGTATCGCGGCTCTCCAAGCTTGGTTTGTCGTCTTCCACAATGCTATCCTGTTGTTTTTGTTGTGATATTGATCTAGAGTTTGACAGATTTCGACGTAGACTCGGGGTATTGCATCGGGTAGTGGCAGAGGTTCCTTCGATATCATGTGCCTTATCGGCCTTTCGGCGTTTGTTGTCGTTCCTTCTGAGCCACTCTGATCCTGCTGGTCGACGTTTCCGTCGAGACTGAGACTGAGGTTGCGAGAGTGAGGCGTTGGACGACCAAGCGTCTTCCTCCACTTTGCTGGCCGATTCCGCGGTACTCCTCCATGCTTCGACTCGTTCGAGCTCGTCTTCTTCCATAAAGGGATGTGGGGTATTGCCGACTTGATCCAGGCTTCGCGGACTCGGTAAGTGGCAAGATGTTGTGCTTCCGCTGTCCGGCACTTCGATAGTCTCGGCTTCAGGTCCAGGATCTAACGTGGTTTCTGGCACAGGTTCTGCCAAAGGCATCGGGACAGATGCTGCAGGCGCCCTTTTCTTTCTGGATTGCCATGGATTGATCCAACCTTTTGCGTCTGGGCCTTCGAACGGTCCTCTAAGAGCCGTCGTGAGCAGGACTGGGACGTGGCCCTGGAGAAACCGAATCGCTGCTTCCTCATATCGGGATTTCCTTTCGCTGGGGTTGTCGTAATACTCGTCATCGGAACCTGCATACAGGACTTCGGCTTCGTCGTGAGGCGCCTCGCAGTATATGGGTTCGTCGTCTAAACACCGAACTCTCCATCCCTCCTCGAGATCCATCGTTGCCGTTTGCGTACACTTGTAGAGTGTAAGTCATTGGCTATATCGATGGAACAAAAGCAAGGCGAAAATGCGGTAGCGCTACGGTCGCATTGGCGCCGGAGGGTAATCCGGATCTCGGTTGGCGGTCTTTGCAAAAGCGAAAGTGCCCAGCCTACGGAACTATACAAACATGGACATCACAAGGCGGACAAAGAGGGACACTTCCGAAATTTGGTGGGTCGCGGAGGACCTGTGCACGTTCACCCGGCGACACGAGGAAGCGCGTTTGATGCCGATCTTACACGTGACCTCGCGTTTAAGTGATTTTTGTTTGTTTCACGGTCGGATGCAACGCTGGGCTGTGAGTTGAAACTCAGTAGTATCGAGTAATTGAATACGTATATATGCATCTAAAAGTCAAGCCCACTCGGCTCGATACAACGATTAGCGCTAATCGGGCGATCGGGGAATTTTGGGTCACGGCCATGGCCCGGCCTGATCAGAGTCTGGTCTGTGACGGTTGACACAGCAACCCGCCGCCTGCCAATCAGCATAACATTCAATTGGGTATGTTTATTCTGGGAAACAGCCCTGGACAAGTGAGATTGACATAACGCCGGGCCCCAAACGCGATCGCTCTCGAACCGCGTTCCCCACGAAACAATACCAACACCTCTTTTTTCCCACATCACGACTGAACCCTCACCGCAGGCAGCGGAGGCAACAAAGGCGCTTTCGCCAGCAGTCTTTTCGCGATTTCCAATAGCTCGTCATCCTGCATTTTATCGTCTTGCATTTTCAGCCTTGCGACGTCTGCATTGCAATTGCCCGCGTAAACACTACGCAATCGCGAAAACAAAACACCCCGCAAACCGCGACTTCATTTCCCGGACTATCTACAACCCGCTCGATGGACTGTTTATAGTCTAGAATATCCCCAAACCTCGATCGCATCAGCCACCTCACCATGGCTCATGCTTGGCTCGACTCCTTGTCGGAGGATTGGCCCTCACAGGCCGGTTCCGAGACTTCTCCGTCCGCCCAGCTGCCACCTCTGAAACCGACCGAGAACAACAAAACTCCAAACGCAAAGGGACCCGGCAGTCGCATACCACTTCCCGTCAGTAGGGTACGACCTTCGAGTGCCGGCACGAGCGACAAGAGCGTCGTCGCCCTGAGCGAACGGAGTTCCAACGACGTCAATCTCCCTCTCTCCCAAAGAGGCCCTTCGAAGCTTTCCCGCGAGATCAAACCCCACGATCGATCGCGCCAAACCAGCCGCGCTCTCTCGGCATCTACCAACGGCTCTGTGATCCATAATACGGTACAGCACAAGTCGATCAAATCATCGCCCCTAAGGGGCACTGCCGACACCCCAGAATGGAAGCGCAGACTGGTGTATGGAGACGTTGCATATGGTGAACAGCGGGACCTCTTTTGCTCTGCGGCCGCCGGCCTCGAGAATATGTTCAAGCCGCCATCCTCTCACCAGGACAGCACCTTGGCTGATCAGAGCGTACGACATAATACCACCCTACCCTCAAGCCCCCGTTCTTCCGGCGCCAAGACATGGACGAAGACCAAGACGAAGACGAGTCGGATGGCAGAAGCCAGATGGACCCAAGCCCGAGCCCGAGCCCTAGGATACGCCCGCCTCACATAACTTACAAAGCATCGACCGACGACTCCATCGACCAAAGTAAGTTGAGCGAACCAAGCCCGCACCGCGACAGTTACTCCCAAGAACCGAGCCTCGTGACCTCTGTGTCCGGCCTGGCACCGCCGAACGATGCATCGCGAAAGACCAGTGGACAAAGCGTCATCCAAAACGAAGATTTCAGCCCGATCGTCCTTACCCTGATGCGCCAGAAGGAGAATGAACGGAAAGGCGGTACTGCGCCGGCAGAGCTCCCTGTTGACCAGCTTCAAGATCGGCTTGAGAAGCTACGAATCGACCAGATGCTCCTGGACTCACAAGGGGAGCTCAGGTTTGACGCAGATGGGACCCTTGACGACGCCGGAAGCGACAGGATAGAGACAACAGAGGACTACGCAAGGCGCGGAGGCTTCCTGAACATACGACGGGGGGCACATCTGGCGATGGGTCCTTTAGATATCGGGGTTTGAGCCCTGGGATGGGTGTCGATACATCGGAGATGCTCCCAGAAGAGTCTCTCCAGGCAAGCACGCCCAAGCAGTTCCCAAGCGTCCGAACCTACTCGCCTGGTCACAAGTCGATGCGATTTGGTACCCAAAGTCCACCACCTCCGCGCGCACCGAACCCGAGCCCCGAGAAACCCGGGACGGCTGGAACTAATAGCACTAGTCCTTTGAAGCTCTTCGGACCCTACGACACGTTCACCAACCAAACACTCTTGCGACGAATCAGTCAGTTTGAAGAGCAGATGTCAGGTTCTTCACGTCAATCCCTCAGCGGCGAGTTCTCGCAGCAGGCTGGAAGACGACGACCCCATACTGCTCCAGGTAATTACCTGTCCGTTCCAGCACAGCAGACAGCTACAAGCTCCCGTTCTGTCAGTCAATTTGGTGCTGGGGACCTTGAAGGCTATCAATTCAATCAAGACATCTCCATCCGACTCGAGGAGGAATCTCAGTTTTACGAAGGCGAGGAGGAGTCGCAACACGCACCGGATGATGATGATGAGGAATCCGTCCTGCGTTTTGATGCGGCTCCCGGGTCGCCAACCCCAGATGAAGCGTCAATGTTCGTTCCCAGAAAGCGAGCAAAGTCAGGGACCACGACTGCTTCGTCTTCGAAGCACACTCCTTCAGCTAGTGAAGGAAGTGTACAAAAAGTCCAATTCGCCGGAAATGCTGCATTTATGCTAGGTACACCCCAGAGACGTGATACGGGCTCGGAAGGGAAGCGACCCCGCACCTCGCCATCCAAAGATCCGACACCCAAGCGCCGGAGGACGCTCCACAAGTCTGATATTGCATATGGACGGGAAGAGCGTGATGCACTCTTGGATACTGTACAAGAAACTCATGCTTTGATGCAGAGCATGATGGGCAAGAAGCGTAAAGATGCCCGTCCGGGAAGTTTGCAACAAAGAGCTCACCCCACCGTCCTAGCCACACGCCATATCCTTCGACCAAGGACGCCAACACCAAGTTCGAGGTCCTCTCTACAACCAGGCGAATTTCCCTTCGAGGATGATCTGCTCGACGAGCAACTGGATGAGCAACCGCAGCGACGATCTCCCCACCGTGGCTCCCAGTTCACGTCAAGTGCGAATGAGCGTAGTGCGACTATCGACACAGACCGCAAGCCATCCATTAGAACCCAGGACTTCCTAGATGAGGCTGGCAAAATCATGGCCATGATTCGGAATGGAGCCAAGGCTCCGAGTGGCTTGACGAGTGTGGAGGAATCTGATGCAGAATACGGCGAGCCAAGCCCAGCCATTGACGAAGACTCATTCGAGGATTCAACCAGGGAGCCACTCTCCCGCCCCCGAGCCGGGAAGGTAAACCCGTGCAAAGAGCGCCGCAACGACAGGAGAACCCCGAGATTCTCGACTACCTCAAGAAGTACCAAGAGCTCAGCGACATGGGGGATGTCATTACATCATCACTCAGGTCCATGGATGAGGCTCAGGACGCGATGCGCGTTGCACAGGAGGTCGAGCGACAAATTGAAGAGAGGAGCCGAAGCAGGAACAACAATGATGAGCTCCAATATCTCGGAGGAGACGAGACCATCAGCGACCCTCCCAATATCCGCATCAGCGCGAACCCGAATAGGCGACGCGATGACTCTGATGGCTTCGACTTCGGAACCCATTCGTCTGGTGCGTCTACCAACCACACTATGCACACAGGTTCCTCCCGAGGCTCCGAGTCGCGGAAAACGATCGCGCCACAGAGTGTGTCACACCTGATACCGGACCAAGTTGGCAGCATGTATCTCGATCGCCAACAAAACATCTGGATCAAGCGCAAGGGCGGAAGCATTCGACCTAGAAGCCCGCATGTTATCCCATCTGAGGACAGCGAAGATGATCCTTTTGCGAGCATTCCTGATCTGTCCGTCGACATCACAAAGGAGATGCAGCATTTGCGACTTGTGACGGCTCAAAAAGAGGCCGAGGAACGAGAAGCAAACATGACACAATCGCCCCGGACCTCTCTGGATACGCCCAGGAACTCATCTGGAAGAGGCTTCGTGACCTTGTCACCAGATGCAGCGCTACCCAAAGATATTGGGTTGCAAGCAAGAACCGAGATCAGAAAGCTTGGGACAAGGGCAGCAAGTGATGGAGACGTGGAGCATGAGATCCAGCTTGACGAGGATCGTATCATTGACTCTTCCCCCTCCCGGAGGCGGATGACCATTTCGTTTTCTTCGCCTATCGCCTCCATCATTCAAGATGTCGCCGCCGAAGACATTGATAGTCTCGAGGACGACGAGGGCAGCTTTGTGGACCCCGAGTTCGTCATGGAGGAGTCGAAAAGAAGCAAGTACCAGAGCTTGACGAAAGCCGCACGACGGAACCTACTGCAGCCACGCCCACGTACTGCCCCAGCTCGTGGTCCGTCGAGGCAGTTTTCATTGCGTGGTCAATCCTTCGTCCCGCGCCCTGTTTCTCGAATCGACGAACGTGACGAGGACAGCGTGGTAGGGGACAATGCCGATGAGCGACAGATCAGTATTTTGGCCGACAACAGTGCCCTCAGCCACGTTTCCCGAGACCAGCAAGAGAAGAGCTTGAGCTTCATCATCAAGACTCCGGGCAAGACAAGAATGGGCGGTTTCTACCCAGACACAGGCGCATTCATCAGCCACAACGTCGGCAACCTTTCGCTGAGCCCCATGTCCGACTTCACCATGAACCACCACGAGAAGTCATTCGGCTTCGAGGTGAGCTACATCGTTGAGGATCAACGTCTTGTCACGGGCGACGGCTCTAAGAAGGTCCTGTCCATGACAGTCCGGGATCTCGTCGACCGATTGACGGAGATCGAACCATTCGAGCCATACTGGGAGGATTTCACGGAACTCGACATGAGCGAAAAGCGGCTATCAAGCCTCCACATGTTGGACGAGTTTTGCGGGCGATTAGTGAGCCTCGATGCGTCGAACAACAGTCTTTGCCACCTGGATGGGGTGCCGGCCTCGGTCAGACAACTCAAGATGGCACACAACATGTTGACTGAGCTGACGTCGTGGGACCACCTCGCTAACTTGCAATACGTCGACATCTCCAACAATGACCTTTCCAGTCTCTCGGCCCTCAAGAACCTCGTTCATCTTCGCAGTCTGCGAGCCGACAACAACAAGCTCACTTCTCTGGATGGCTTGAACCAACACGATGGACTCTTGACGCTCCGAGCGCGGAACAACCTGATCAAGGTGGCTGATTTTGAAGGCACCAAGCTGCACCGGTTGACCGAGCTTGATTTGGTTGGAAACAAGGTGACAGAGCTTCGCAACGCCGGACAGCTTTCGGCTTTGCAAACCCTTAAGCTTTCCAAGAACTGCCTGGAAAGGTTTACTGCCGAAGACGCGCAAGGCCTGGACGGTCTGCGGTATCTCGACCTGAGTGATAATGACATTCTTGACCTGGACATCAGTTGCTTGCCAGCCGTTCGCCTGCTTCACGCGGACAGGAACCGCATCAGCAAGATCACCGGTTTCACCAAGGCTCGCCACCTGGACAGCCTTTCTCTACGAGAGCAGCGGGGCGATGCTCAACTGGACCTTTCCTTCCTCTCCTCGGCTTACGAGGTAAGGAAACTGTTCCTTTCTGGCAATTACATTGGCACTTTTGAGCCCAAAGTGGATTTCCTTAATCTACAGCTGCTCGAGCTGGCCAACTGTGGACTCCGGTGCTTGCCAGAAGGAGTCGGCCAATTAATGCCAAACTTGCGATCGTTGAACCTCAACTTCAATGCCATCGCGGATCTTTCACCCATTCGATTCGTTCCCCGGCTCAAGAAGCTTCTTGTTGCCGGGAACCGGCTGTCGGACTCAACGACAGTGACGGAACTTTTGACGGACTTCCCGCACCTGACACAGTTGGACTTGCGGGACAATCCGATTACCCAGGGGTTTTACCCGCCAGTGCACGTTACGATATCAGCAGACCGAGGCCACGTCGCTGACCCATTCACTCTCCCAGAGGCTGACCCGGAGCGGGACGCCGTGTTTGCCAGGCGACTGGATGAGACGACCCGACTGCGGCGCCGACTGTACCAGGTTGTTTTTGTGGGATGCTGCAAGAAGCTGAAGCTTTTGGACGGACTTCCCGTCAAGCGTCAGCACATGCTTGCCCGTGACCCATCGTTTCAGGCGTTGGTGAAAGAGGGGCTTCTGCCCAGCGACGTTGCCCAAGTTCCGACTTCTACCCCAGCGGCAGGGCCGGCTGAGCCCCAAGCCCCAGGTCCGATCCCGGCAGCGGCACCTCCCTCTGTCTCGGCACAGGCGGACGAGAGCAGCAGATGGAACGCAGAAGACAGCTTCGCTTGAATTGGCAGGACTGTAACAACACTGGAGGGATAGCAAAAGGAAGGCGTTGACAGCACAGCAAGGGTTTTTCTGTTTTTTCATATTGGACATTTTCAAGGCAAAGGAAGGGGCGTCTGGGTAATGATTCAAAAAAAAGGGAAGCCGGTATTATTAATGACGACACGAGGGGAGCATTGTACGAGTACAGACAGTAGAGAGCATTGGTTCAGCAACATGCCAGAGAATACAGACTCTGTATATGCTATTTGGTCTCAGTCCAACATGAAGTTGCCGATGCCGACGCCGAGGCAAGGCCATGCACCGGCCGCGATCCGAGTGCTCGGGTGTTGAGGACCCACTCCGCTTCTTCACTGCCGAGCCGATGCCTCCGGTAGGATCTTGTCCCAATTTGGGTGGAGTGTCTCGTCCGGGTCTAGTGCAATAAATTCAGGAGAATGACGAGCCGATGGTCTCGTGTTCCAATGTTAGGTCGGCGATGGTCAGGGCGTCACACGATTCTGGGTGTCCTGAGTCGCCTCATGTCCCGGAAAATTCTTTTGGTTTCAAGGGGAGATTGTCTCCCAACGAAAACCTGGACGAACGGGCTACGACCAAGGTGACTTGTGCGGGTTTGGGACCGCAAATGTTCCCAAGGCCGGCTTGAGCAACGACGAGTTTGGAGAGGATATGTCATCGCGGGGTGGTCGAAATAAGAAAGCCCCCCTGAGGTAATCTCGAGGGCGGCCACTGCCTAGGTTGTGCTGCATATGCGCGTTCCGGCTAGACGGCGTTCGGAGCCCAATGGCACTGTGAATTGCACAAAAAAATGGGCGGGTGCGCGCCCGACGTGCATCAGCAATCCACACGCGAAAGTAGATCATCCATAGGACCCTGCGGTTTTTCTTTTCCGCCCCCTTGCCATCCATTCCTTGGATGAGACGAGAAATCTCGTGGTGCGTGGGATTCAGAGTTAGAGTTGGGACGAAGGAGACAACGGGCAACAGACCACGGCAGACAGATCGCGTGAGGCGTCCGTCGCGGGAAGCGCGCTGAGGAAGGGAGGAGATTGCATGCGTGTCTGGGGGAGTTGGAGGCAGCCAAGACAGGGAACGCGGCGGAATCTAGTGAGCTTTGAAATCTTTTCTGGTGTGTGTAGGGCTCGATATTGGTGCTGTCCCATGTATTATTAGAAGTTTGGAAGAGGCGAAACGGGCAATTCTGTGGTCTTTCTCTGGGGCATCGTGGTGGGAATTGGACGAGAGGGTTGAAGAAATGAGTAGGGAACTCCCTTGGAGACGAGGAGGCATGGCAAGGGTACAGGTACATATGGGCAGGGCCAACTTTGGCTAGCTGGCGTCTTGGGCTCGAAGATGCCACGAGAGCGTAGGGAGGGGACCGGGTGGCATGGAAGTGCATGGCTTGTGTGTACCCTTTTGTTATGCGAATGCAAACGCGATGACTTCTGCCTGGGTTGATGAAACTGGATGTCCCCTGGGCCCTGGCCGAAGCTTTTTTGTTGTCAACTTGCCATGTGGGCTCCAGACCCTCCTCCTCTTTGTTGACGTGGTCATGTTGACATTGATGTGCAAGCGGCTTGCCACAGCAACTCTAGACTCTCAAGGCTGGTGGGTGACTGGCAAATGGATGCCTGTCTGTACTACCGAGGTATACCTTGTGCTTGAACATCGTCAGGTCCCAGTGATGTGCACGGTAAGGCACTGATGGATGATGGATGAGGGTCCTCCTCCACCCCCCTGGGAGAGAATCGTCGAACTGGGCTGCAGCTGAGAGGCCTGAGGTAATCGGCGACGCATGTCACTCGGCGGTACGTACCGCCGCTGCGCTAAGGGGGCGAAATTGGTGGCAATTGGCGCCGGGTGATGTACTCGTACCTGAGGCTATGGAATCTTGGTGGAAGCTGCGGGTAAAGTCCCCTTATCCACCACCGAAGGTACCCACGCTTGCCAGAGCAACCCGGCACAAGGCGCTGCACAGCACGCCGAAAAAGCACCCCAGACATTGCTAGGTACGAGAGACTTCGAGACTGAGTCCCTCCCCCCCCCTCCGCAGCCCGCCCCCTGGTCACGTCTGATGCTGCTCTGGGATTAGATTGCATAATGATATCGTGCCGCCCACACACTTTGGTCTACACGTCCCAATTCTGACCTCGACATTACGGTCATTCTTCGCTTTCCTCTCCGCCTTTTGCTAGCCCGCGCCCTGGTTCACTTTTCTACACACTTCACCCCTTTACGCTGTATAGCATCACTTCCGGCGGACTTGCGACGCTGTGAACCTTCGCCGCACCGTCTGAACTGGACTCGGACACACGACCACAAACACACACACATAGCAGCGCAACCTGCAGCAACCTGCAGCAACAACCCCCCCCTGCTGCGTTTGCCGGAAACCATGACGTTTGGCGACATCATCGCCCGCCAACGATGGACTCCGAGCCGCCTTCACTCCCCCTCGAGCGCACCGTCTCGCAGCATAGCGCAACGTCCATGAGGAGCGCCCGCTCTTCCACCGTACGGGCCAAACGATCAAAGCTGCATTCCCAGCCATCAAGCTCCGCAAGCTCCATCGCCGCCTCCGAGGACAAGTCCCTGACGAGCTTCCCCTCCATTCCGCCCGACTCGCCCAGGGCCGAACACGGATTCCCCCCGCCTTCGACCCCGGAACCTGAGCCGCCGGCGACGGTTCGCAAGATCTCCGATACCAGGCCCGGCCCCATCTCCCTGCTAGGCGGCCTGACCGGTGGCTCCTCTGCCGAGCAGGCGGCCCGCGATGCCCTGTTTGAGGACTCACCCATCTCGACGCACAAGATACCCGGTGCCCTGCACCATGCGGATGACGAGCATATCGGGCGCCTGATTGCCAGACACGGCGCCGTCGCACTGGTCAGACAGGTTGCGACCGACCTGGCACAGCGCGATGCCCAGATTGCCCAGTTGCGGAGGAAGGCCGACGAAAGAGAGAGGGCCCTGCGCAAGATCATACTAGAATGCGGGCTCTCCAACCTCGACCTCGAGACTAGGCTGAGGGCCATCGAAAGCGAGGTTAAGACGACCCGCCCAGGCAACCGTCGAAACGAGAGTGGCTTGTCCGACCTCATGAGCGATGCCATGCAGGACACCGTCATTTACAACGTCTTTGGCCAAACCGAGGTCAACGATGCGACGATCCGCGCCAACAACCTGTCCATGGCCTCAAACCCTGACGGCAGGGGGACGTCGAGAGGCTGGAAGGATTACTTGTGGGGAGGAACGAGCAGGAAGGGTAGCGTGCCCAGCAGCGTCAACGGCGACGACGTGAGGCCGGCCACGGTCATCAGGACACAGTCGAGCGCCGACAGGCGACCCGCCCTTCAGGACGACCTCTTCAGCCCACTCAGCGATGCCGTACCGGCCGAAAGCTTGCCGCCGAGAACACCGAGCCGAGCGTCTAGCATCCAGTCTGGCCCACCTGGTTCGCGCAAACCATCCACTTCGGTCGCAGCCAGTCTGATGAGATTGGTGGCCGGAGGCGCTATCAATACGCGCGATGGCGGCCCCAACCGCGGAAGGTCTAATAGCGCTACCCAGCCGCAGTCGACCGCGCGAGCGTCCTCAACCTCCAGTGCCAAGACCACTCAGTCAAGCAGAGCAGTCTCGACACAGGGCGGCCCAAAGGCCCTCATGGCCATGCGCAGGACAGCGACAAATGCCAATGCTGCTCCGGCCGCGACCGCTGCTAGGACTCAGCCGCAGGAGAGATGGGACACAATGGTGAACAGCCCGACGAACCCCGTGTCTAACCGCCAGGAGAGCTACGGTCCTGTTGAGATGGATGCGATTCTGCCGCCCGAGACTCAACCCCCGACCTTGACGCACATTTACAACAACTACATTGGCAGCGAATATCTCACCGACCGCTTCGGCTTCATTTACGACCAACGTAGGAAGAAGAGGCAGCGTGAAGCCGCGCAGATGGCTCGTCACTTCAAGCAGGGCAGCCGCGCCGAGATGCTCTCCAACGGCCGGTCGGATCTGGCCTCACCAATGATCGAGGAAGAGGAGGCCCCGAGCCCCATGAGTGGCGAGGAACGACCGGACAGTCCGTCATCGACTGAGGAACGCGTAGGCGAAGGCAAGGCCAAGAAGTGGCAAGATTACCTTAAGCTAGCAACATTCCCGACCGAGCTCTTGTCTCACACCCCCGCCCTCAGCGCGCCGTCCCTGGAAGTGCTTGAGGGGGGCGAGCTGGGGATGAAGTCGCCTGGACTCATCACCGCTGACGAGCGGGGCTTCGTTCCTATCGCGAGCACGACAACATCGGTCATCGACAGCGAGGCGACCCCACCTGTTGAGACAGACGCGGCTGCTGGAACAGTAGTCAGGGACGATACGGAGCCCGTGAAGCTGCTTCTCCAGCACATGGGCGAGTTGCACGACTCCCTGCAGAGAGAAAAGGCTGCTCGCTGGAATGAGTTCCTGCGCAAGGTGAGAGCCGAGAGGAAGCGAGATGGCGAAGCCGCAGCGGCAGCCGCCGCCGCCCTTGCCGAGGCCCGTTACGAGCGCCCGGCCATGAATCTGCCCGAGGCTGCTCTTGCCGACGGCGAGCTGATTGGCATCACCGGCCTCGGAATCAAAGGCAAAGTCGGACGCGCGAAGAGGACTGAGCTTAGGAACCTGGTTCTGGGCGGAATTCCAGTCAACCTGCGTGCGAAGGTCTGGTCAGAGTGCTCAGGTGCAACCACCCTCCGCGTCCCCGGATACTATCAGGACATTATCGCTCGATCCGACAAGGACGACGACCCGCTTGCGGTGTCCCAGATCGAGATGGACATCAACCGCACCCTGACGGACAACATCTTTTTCCGAAAAGGACCGGGCGTGTCGAAGCTGAAGGAGGTCCTCAAAGCCTATGCGCGTCGAAACCCGGAGGTCGGCTACTGCCAGGGCATGAATCTCATCGCGGCCAACCTGCTGTTAATCATGCCATCGGCGGAGGACGCCTTCTGGATTCTGACCAGCATCATCGAGAACATCTTGCCGTCGGGCTACTACGACCACAGTCTCCTCGCATCACGCGCAGACCAGCAGGTGCTGCGCCAGTACGTGGCGGACGTGCTCCCGAAGCTGTCCCAGCATCTGGATGACCTCAGTATCGAGCTGGAGGCGCTCACGTTCCAGTGGTTCCTCAGTGTCTTCACCGACTGCCTCTGCGCCGAGGCGCTCTTCCGCGTCTGGGACGTGGTGCTCTGCATGAACGATGGCAGCACATTCCTATTCCAGGTGGCGCTCGCGTTGCTCAAGCTCAACGAGACGCAGCTCCTGCAATGCGACACGCCCGCGAGCGTGTACACGTACATCAACCGCCAGATGACCAATCACGCCATCAGCATCGACAACATGATCAAGGCGTCGGACGGCCTGAGGAAGGAGGTCAAGCGCGAGGACGTCGAGGCGCGTCGGGACAAGGCGATCCAGGCGGAGAGGGATGTCGCGAGGCAGAGGGAGGAGATGAACGCGGCGAAAAAGGTCATCAAGGCTAATGGTAACGGCAACGGCAACGGGCACGATAATGGACACGACGAGAGCGAGGCAGCGACGCCGGGTCTGGATGTCCGCGACCCGATGCCGATGGAACAGGAGGGGCAGACGTGAAAGACTTGGCAAGGGAGCGAGATGATGCATTTCAGGTGTTTGAATGGACGTCCATGATACCCCCTATGTCCGATTGGGAAGGCACACAAGAATAGCGTCTCTTTTTTTTTTAAAAAATCATACAATACACAGTCTTTTTTTTATTTTAGCGATGAAGCCTTGCAATCTTACATTTCTTTGGATCATGTGAAGTGAACCCGTGTGTCATTGCGTAAAATCGTCACATCGTAAATTGCGTTTACAACTTGGCCTTGCCGGCCTTCCACTCGGCGGCAAACCTCTTGCCCGCCGCGACGCGCTGCGCCTCGCGCTCCTCGCGATCGTTCCAAATCTTCTCCGTGGTCTCGTAGTTCTCCTTGCCCAGGACGTAGGCGCTCTCCTTCCACATCTCGGCCTTGAGCACGGCGTAGACGCCCGACTTGCCCCTCTCGGTCAGCTTGCGGTCGGCGATGAGCTTCAGCGCCTCGTCGAGGCCGCCGAGGGCGTCGACGAGCCCGGCCTCGAGGGCGGCGGGGCCGGGGAAGCGCTTGGCCTCGAGGACGATCTCCTGGTAGATGCGCGGGGAGGCGCACTTTATGCGGAAGATGGCGGACATTGGGGGTTTCAGCGGGGCGCCGAACTCGAGCTCGTTCATGCAGAGGAAGCCCTTTTGCGGGTTCATGACGCGGTAGTCGTGGTGCATGGCCGTCATGAAGCCGCCGGCGAAGGCGTGGCCCGGGATCAGGGCGACGGTGGGCATGGGGTATGTGAGGAAGCGGTGGAAGAGCTTGTAGAGGGTGTCGGGCCAGAAGCCGGGGGTGGAGAAGGCGTGGTCGAGGTCGAGGCCGTTGGAGTAGAACTTGGGGATGGCCGAGGTGGTGACGAGGACGCCGTTGGGGTGAGCGAACTCGACAATGTCGAGGGCGGCGAGGAGGGCGCGGCAGAAGGGCGTCGTGAGGCGGTTGTCGGGGGGCGAGGACCAGCTCAGGAGGTAGACGAGGGGCGCCGGGCTGGTGCAGACGATGGAGCCGCCGACGTGGTCGCCGAGGGGCGCGATGGGGACTGTGAAGAGGGGGGTTTGGGAGGCCATGGTGGTGATGATGGCGGCTGCGATGAGTGAGATGCGGTTGGTGAGATGAGACGGCCTTGGGAGGTGGTGTTTCGAGATGGGAGAAGACGGGGACAATTGCGGATGGGGTAGATGGCAGCCCGTAGATGATCCCCAATATCTCAGAGTTCCAGTGGTCTTCAAACGTGCAGGTTGGATTGAGTACGGAAGTGGACGGGGTTTGATATCACAGAGGCGAGAAGTTGAAGGGATCAGCGGACGGAGGTCCCTGGAAGTGAGGTAAGCGGTTCTGACCTCGGCTCGGCAAAGAGGGCGAGAGGATGAGAAAACACGACGTGCGGCGGCAGTTCAGCTGGCACCCCAACGTCTAAACTGTCGTGCTCCCATGCACTGGCGCTAATGCTCCAATCAGGTAGCCTGTCATTCGAGCCTACCTCAGTCGGCACCGGCGGGAGAGTGAATTAGCCTTTGGCTCACAAGAACACCAGGCCCGATGGGCTTTCACATGTGAACAGTAGGGACAAACGACCCCAAAGTGACGCCAAGCCGGCGCGTTTCTGCTGTACCCCAGATCCGTCAAGCTGCCGCTTACCTTAGCTGGGTGTTACCCCCTCCCGGACCCAGGCGATACCTATACCCCTGCACAGGGACTCCCTTATGTAAGACTGCATCCCACTTTACCGCATCCAATCAGCGCCCGCCAACCACACAGCTACCCCAAGAGTGCAACCCAATTCGCGTCCCGCTGGGTCCAGTGTCAGGTCCAGTGTCATCTCGTCTCAAGTCGCATTTCTGTCCTCTTGGGAAAAGAGGCAGACAAAGGACGGTTGGTCTCTTCACAACAACCTCTCCAATTCGCCACACCACATCCCACTTCCAAACATGGCGGAAAAAGACGAGGACCAGAGGACCGTCGTCTTCTTCCACCCAGACCTCGGCATCGGCGGCGCTGAGCGTCTCGTCGTCGACGCCGCGGTCGGTCTGCAGAACCGCGGCCACAAGGTCGTCATTTTCACCAGCCACTGCGACAGGAGCCACTGCTTCGAGGAAGCTCGCGATGGTACGTCCGGGATACACCAGGCCTCTCCCACGATTGGGAAATCGCAAACCAACAATTTTTGGCTGACAACTGCCCTCCAGGAACCCTCGACGTCCGCGTCCGCGGCAACTGGATTGTCCCCGCCTCCATCTTCGGCCGCCTGACCATCCTCTGCGCCATCCTGCGCCAGCTCCTCCTCATCGTTCAAATCTATGCCACCCGCGAGCTACAGTCCCTAGAACCCGACACCTTCTTCGTCGACCAGCTCAGCGCGGGCCTGCCGCTGCTGCAGTACCTCGTCCCCAAGGCGCCCATCCTCTTCTACTGCCACTTCCCCGACATGTACCTCGCCCTCGGCCGCGAGAAGTGGTGGAAGCGCCTCTACCGCGTGCCGTTCGACTGGATCGAGGAGTGGAGCATGGGCTTCGCCGAGGAGATCGCCGTCAACTCGGGCTTCACAAAGGGCGTCGCGACCAAGGCCTGGCCGAAGCTGGCGAAGCGCAAGAACTTCAAGGTCGTCTACCCCTGCGTCGACGTCACGCCGAAGAAGAGCGACACCACCAAGATGATTGGCGAGGGCAAGGACAAGGAGGAAGAGGAGGCCATCTGGACGGATAAGAACATCATCCTCAGCATCAACCGCTTCGAGAGGAAGAAGGACGTCGCGCTCGCCGTAAAGGCCTTTGCTGCGCTCCCCGCGGACAAGAGGAAGGGCGTGCGGCTGGTGATTGCGGGCGGCTACGACCTCCGCAGCATCGAGAACTGCCAGTACCACAAGGAGCTCGAGAAGCTGGCGGCGTCCTACGGCCTCGAGACCTTTACCGCCAAGAACATCATCACCGCGCTGTCGGCGCCGGCGCACATCCCGGTGCTGTTCCTGCTGTCCATCCCCTCGAGCCTCAAGGACTCGCTCCTGCGGTCGGCCAAGCTTTTGGTCTACACGCCCTCCAACGAGCACTTCGGCATCGTGCCCCTCGAGGCCATGCTCGCCGGCGTCCCTGTGCTGGCGGCGAACACGGGCGGGCCCACGGAGACGGTCATGGACGGCGTCACGGGCTGGCTGCGCGAGCCGGACCAGGTCGAGCAGTGGACGGCGGTCATGGACAAGGTGCTCAACGGCATGAGCCGGGCGGAGCTGGAGAAGATGGGCAGGGACGGGCAGCAGCGCGTGCGCGTCGGGTTCGGGCAGGAGAAGATGGCGGAGCGGATCGAGAGAATACAGGACGACATGGCGGCGGCGCAGAGGGTGCCGCCCCTGATGAACGCCGTGCTCAACTTTGTGGGCATTGGCATGTTCTTCACGCTGGGCCTGGTCACGTCGCAGATGTTTGCCAACGCGCGGGCGAAGAAGGCCTACTCCGAGTAGGAACGTCCGACGTTCCACTATAAAATCAGATTTCGCAGAAGCAAAATATGTACGATACCAGGGCCGTCGAGGATTTGATAGACTTGCATTTCTGGCAATGTATGGAATACCCCAGGATGAAGCAGTGAAATCCCCACATCGCCCAAGTGTCCCCAATTGACCCCCACGTAGCGGGGTAAAGTGACCGCAGCGCGCCCGGTAGGTTGTCTCACCTCACATCAACCCATCTCATTTCACCAATGCACCATGCCATACGACACAGCACCGGAACCGGCCATGCCCAGCCGCGCCGCCCTCGTCGACTTCTTCTCCCGCGGCCTGACGGCGTTCCAGTCGTCCAAGGATGTGTTCCGCGTCGTCTGCACCCTGTCCCGACGGAGCCCGGCAGCCGCGGCGGGCCATGACGACATCGCAGCGGCGCCGGTGCCGCGGCCGCCGAGGGAGGAACAGCCGCCGCGGCGGGTGAGGAGCCTCGTGGTGCTGGACTCGTCATTCAACCCGCCCACGCTGGCGCACCTGCAAATGGCCGTCTCCGCGATTCGGGACCTGCAGGGGGGACAGCCACAGGAGAGGTCGGCTGTGAGGTTGCTGTTGCTTCTCGCGGTCAACAATGCCGATAAGAAGCCCACGCCCGCAGCGTTTCCCGTACGGCTCGGGATGATGCACGCCTTTGCTCAGGATCTGCTCGATGAGCTGAGGGGGCCGGCCCCGTCGTCTCAGGGGAAGGAGAGTGGGAAGCGAGAGCGCGAGGCGGTGGAAGGGGGCGAGGAGGACATTGACGTCGATCTGGGGCTGACGACGATGCCGTACTTCCACGACAAGAGCCAGGCTATCTCGGACGAGGGGTTCTATGCTGTAGACGGGGAGGGCCCGGAGCAGGTCTATCTCGCGGGGTATGACACGCTGATCCGTATCTTCAACCCAAAATACTACAACGCTGCCGCACCGTCACCGTCAACTACAGCGGGCGACGGCAGGGGAGAAGCGGAAGCCGTGGCGCCGATTCGGCGGGCCCTGGACCCGTTCCTTGAGAGATCCAAGCTGCGGATCACGATGCGGACAGACGACGAATGGGGCAACGAGGGGGAGCAAGTTGCGTATCTTGAGAAGTTGCGGGATGGCGGGCTGGAAGAGGTCGGCGGGCGAGGGGCGTGGGCGGAGAGGGTCGAGATGGTCCGGGGAATGGGGGAGGCTGTTAGTAGTACAAGGGTCAGAGAGGCCGCGAAGAGAGCGGATGAGGAGGGGTTGGGACGGTTGGTCGGAGGGAGGGTCAAGGAATGGGTGTTGGGCGAGGGATTGTATCGCGAGTGACGGTGATGTTGGAGCTGGCTTTTGGGTATTTGTTGATGGAGAACGCCTGGGCTCACGATAATTAAGCGTCTACTTTACATCATCCTTGAGACACGATATATAGAGAGCAAAGCTCTTGGTAGTGGCTATAGCATACCACTCAGTTGATGCTGTCGTCTCGGTCGATGTGATCGACTTGTGGCTGACTCGGTTTGGCTCACGAGGGAGAAAATGGTACCTGGTGAAAGCTGCAACTGGTCCTCGGGCCAAGATGTTCATAGGCGATCCAGCGGACATCAGTTTGCATGAGTACTGGGACTAGAGGACGTTCATCACTAGTATGGAGACGGGCTTCGTGATCAGGCCCGTGACAAGACCGCATATCGATGACCACGCCTGGCACCGTGCCTTGACGCAAAGTGTGGTAAATCCGGCTATGTGGTGGGGTTCTTGAATCTCAACATCACCGCCATCAACGCCCATGGAATCAGACAGTGTTGGTCCGCATTGTGATCGATTTGTGCCGTGTCCGAGCCGTCCACTCACGCCCTTCACTTCCTAACGGCCGTCAACATCACAACCTGACCCAGTCCCGGGGGCAAAATCTGTAGATGAAGAAGAGAAGTTTTCTCCCAAAAAGATGCCTGAATCCCTCATCTCTCCCAAGGCATCTCCCTCCGTTCCAACCCGCTCTTTCCTCCATTTCACGATGCAGAGTTTTGCAGTCCTCGCCAGGGGTACGTACCAGCCGCCTCATTTTTCACCATGCTCAACCCCATTGGCTGTCGGGGCTACTGATTCGTCCCCCACCCAGGACCCACTCCACCGCCCGTCAAATCTCTATATAAACCTCCCTTCCGACCGCGTCTCTTAGGATTTTCTCTTCTTCTTTTTTCTTCATGTCGACAATACTTCAGAGAATCATTTCTATAGTATTCGACCCTCTCTTGGTTCCCTAAAGGAGCCACAGATCCCACCCTGGTTGATGATTGATATCCTCGACACCCTAGAGTGAAGAAACTCTGGTTGCCCTCGAATCCTGCGCAAGCAGGACGGTTGTGCCCTTGCGGCGCAGCTGTATAGAGGGCGTTTGATGATCTCGTCCCCTTTCGCGGTCTTGCCTTCGTGGCGCGTGGATGGGGTGGGTGTTGATGGACGTCTGACAGGCTCTGAACTTTTTTTTTCTTTTTTTCGTTGCGAGCTGGAGCTTGCTCTGGACGTGAGGAAGACGGGGATTTTCTTTTCAACAAAAACAGTGATTTACTTCACCTTGACTACACTCCGAGATACACCAATGCTCTCCCATGGTCTTTCTCTATTTTGGTTCAAGGAAGATTGATGTTCTTTAGCCCATTACTCACCGCGGCTTCCCACTACACCATGGAGGTCGAGGTCCACAACCGTGGCTAACATTTTATCGCCCAGCAATTGTATGTGATGTCATTTAAATAACCTGATCGGCGCAATTAAGCGTGTCTCGTAACCCAGTTCAATTTCGAAGTTGCACCACGATTGGCTTGCCTTGCGCTGTCGATAGAACCCTCGTCATTGCCCTGCCGGGAACACTCTTGCAGTCGCTCAGAGTCTGGACATGGAATGCTTGCGACGATGGGGACATTCTATTTACGTCTAGCCAATCCTAGCTTGTTTGATGAACCTCCTGTCTGATTGACTGCTTTTGATGCCATGGCCTTGCTATTTCATCCTACTGCTCAGTACGATCTACCCGAAGCGTAGCTCTGCGGCCGACCGGACTCGTAGTACCCATACGCCAAGTCGCCGCCATCGTGCTCCTCCCGCCGCGGGCTGGGCGCGGGAGCGTACGCCTCGTATGTGCGCGGCGTCCGCGGCATCTCGGCGTACGTCTCTGGCCCCGGCGGACCCGTGTACCCCTCACCGGCGTACCACCCATTCACGTCCGCACCGGGGTGCGGTGAGCTGAGGTTGGATTCGCTCGCCGACCGGAGCTGTCCCTCGCTCACGGACCTGAACTGCGCGACAGCATTCGCTGCGTCCCGCGAGAGCTGTCCCCAGGCCCCGTGCGGCCTCAAGAACCCCTGTGCTGGAACGGGCGAGGGCGCTGGCGCAGCAGTAGCAGCAGCACCAGTTGCAGGCGCTGAGCCGGGCACCTTGTGCTCCGCTGCCGACACCTCAAAGCACGCGGCGTGCGCGAGGACGAGGCCTGCGACCTTGACGAGGGTGAAGACGACGCTGAACAGCGAGGAAAAGGCCCACAGCCCGACAATGGCGGAGGCGGCGGCGAATCCGGACACAATGCTCTGCGACGAGGCGTACTTCCTCACGCCGAGGTCCCGGGCGAGGTCGCGGCCGTTGTACGACTGGATAAAGAAGCCGACCTTGACGACGCCGAAGAGCGCGGCGAGCACGAGCCAGTGCGTCGCCAGGAGGGTGCCGACCAGGAGGATGAGATAGACGTTGCTGTGGCGGGGCAGGTTCGTGGCGAGGCGGTCGTGGAGAACGGCCTGGGAGGCCGGCGGGGTGAGGTTCTTTGGGTTGATGAGATTGGTCACGGGGGTGTCCGGCAGGGGGCCCAGCTCGAACGACGACGAGGAGAGCTGGGGCATGGATTGGAAGGCGTGGAATGCGTTTTGGAGGTTGCTGATCATGGCGGCGGGCGAGAAGGCGTTATTGGCGTTGTTCGGGACGACGGCCACGGGATCCGTAGAGGAGGAGGACGACGACGCGCCGCCGCCGCTGTGCCGCTTCTTGCGGTGCATGTCGCGGGATTTGGGCGGTCTGGCGGAGCGGGAGCGGGATCGTGAGCGAGCTCTCGACGATGAGGGGGCGTCCTGGGCCCTGGCGGTCGGTCTGAGAGAATATTCAGCGACGTCCCATCTCGACTCTCGCGCGGACGAGCTTGGGTAGCCATAGGGCTCGCGGGCGGCGAGATAGGCCGAGTCCCTCTGGGAGGCGAGGTGCTCGTCAGAGTAGGAGGACCTGGCCATTTTTTCGAGGTTGTCCGGAGTTTTTTGCTCAATGGGAGGTGAATGAGACAATGAGTGAAGGCAAAGAATGTGTGATGAGACTGCCGGACAATCAAATTCCAGAGAGACGAGCGGGAAAGGTTTCAGGTCACACTCACTCGTGGGCTACCCGTTTTGTGTGAGCTTAAAACGAAGGAGGAGAGACTGGTAAGTCAGCAACGGAAAGATTCGTGTCTCTCTAGCTGTGGAATGGGAGGTGTGAGCAGGCGTGGGTGCAGCTGCAGCTGAGCCCGACCCTGGAAGCGATTGGCGGGGGGAGCTCAGGTTCGGTGGAGCCGCATCCGGATGGTCGAGCCGGCTTCCAAGACGTGATGCGCGTCGGCCCCCTTGGCGATCGGCAACTCTCTCGTGCTCTCTCTCTCAATGTGTTCGTGGACAGACTTACCGGCGGTGATCTCTGCTTCGAGTTGAATGAGGTGAATGAGAAAGAGGGCATGCTTCGGCAGTTTCGGACCTTATAAAACGCCTCAAACCAAAAGTCAAAGCAGCTGCGGTGCCGTCTTCCTCTTCGTGTCAGAGCTGGGACGGCCCGTTAGCTCTAGGGGGAAGAGAGGTGCGTCATCACGGGCCCGAGGATTTCTGGAAAATTTCTGGAACCTTTCCAGAACAACCAAGTTATTGCATGCCTCTCGTCATGAACCTCGGCTTCAACAAATTATAGTGAATTGATTAAACGGATACACACTGGCAAATGGCCATACCGTAAAACACCCCTGGCGACGTCGATGCCGCAACCCGCTGCGCCAATCGTCCCTCAATGCGATATCACGGGTATACGCCTCTGACCGGCTCCTTCCGGAAAAACGACGGCGGCAGGCTGAAAGCCGGGTCCAGCTTCTGCACATGCTGAACGCTATCGCGGATGATGTCGTAGCCAAAGTTGTACGCAAAGAAGTCTTCTGGGTTTTCTGCAACACAACACGGTCAATACCTTCATCGTTCCATCGTATCACGTTGGCAATGTTGACTTACTTGGGACCTTGTCCACGGGGATATACTTGGCCGCCTCTTCCTGTATGAGCTCCGGCTCCTCTTGGCCGGCGTTGCTGAAGATCTGCATCACACTGGCCCGGTTCCTCCGGATATCTTCATATACACGCAGGCGGCTTTCGACATCTTTAATTTCTGCGCCGGCAAGCGCGATGCCGAGTGCCACGCCGTCTTCGATGCCTTGGGCGCCGCCTTGGCCCTGGTCTGTCGGGTTGGTCAGTCTTGTCGTGCCCGCCTGCCATTATCCTATGAAATCATGAGATGAGTTGGACTCACGAGGTAGCATGGGGTGCGCGGCATCACCTGCCAACGCCATCTTTCCTTTCGTCCAGGCAGGAATTGGGGCTCTGTAGAGCAGCGCCCATTGCTTCACCTCGGTTGCCTTGCTGTGAGGGGTTCAGTCTCCGGCCCCGTGAGCAACGAATGGTGCACTTACTCGAGAATGGCAAGCACGCTTGGGTGGAAGTCGGAGTACCTCTCAAGTAGCTTATCCTTGCTGACGGAGGCATGCCAGTCTTCCTTCTTGGTCGACTCGAGGTCGTCGTTATGGAAAATGGCGACAAAGTTGTGGATTTCATTGCTGTTCGAGTCAGTGACAATACGTTTGCGGTGGTTTTCTTGAAGCATGCTCACTTCCTGCAAGGATACGAAACAAGCCGCTTCATGTCGCCGACCAAGAACTTGATCCGGCCATCGTCACCCTCATTCCAGAACCTCGTCACTGGATCTGCCTCGACCGCGGCAGCCGGGATGAGAAACCGGAAGCAGAAGTTGTAGTGCCCCTGAGGTACCGCCGGGTTGGATTGACCGAGAATGGACTTGACACCAATGGTGTGAACACCGTCGGCAGCGACCACTACATCACCAGTCACGACCTCGCCAGACGCGAGTGTTATTGAGGCTGCTGTAGAATCCTGACAGGTCAGCCTTTTTGGATCTTCCAAGGGCAGTCTTTACTAACATATGCCACGACCTCGCTCCGCAAATGCACAGCAACAGGCTGCCCTAATCCATTACTTGACCTTGCGTGTCCATTGACACCGTTTGCCGCCGTGCCGTTTGATTCACCATGGCCGTTAGCATGCCTCTCACTGGGCTCTGTCGCCAACCTCTTCAACTCCTCATGCAAATCAACTCGATGCGCAAAGTACCACGGCGCGCCATACCTCTCCTCAATGTAGTCTTCCGTACCGACGTGGAACTTCTCGAGCGTATCCCCCTTGGCGCGGAAGCTGCACTTGACGAGGACGAACTTGGCCTTGACGGGGTCGAGGCCCCACGCAAGCAGAGCCCGGGCGGCGTTGGGACACACGTGGATCGCGGCGCCGATCTCGTTGTTGAGGGCGGACCGCTCGTAGACGTGGACCTCGTGGCCAGCCCGGCGCAGACCTACGGCAGCGGAGAGGCCTGCGATGCCGCCTCCGGCAATGAGGATCTTGAGGGGAGCCATGGGACGAAGCAATCAGGCAGGGACATGCAACGGGGAACTTTGGGCGTCGAGCAGAGATTTCATGGGAAGAGTGTTGCGCGGACACTAGCTAGCGGCGCAACGAAGGCCTGAGACAACGTGCTGAACAACCGGTTCATCTTAGACGATAGCTGACATATGGCTCGTCTCTCGTCGTTTCGGGCCGAAAAGAACCACTCGGGCAACGCCAGGCCCAAGGGTTTGCAAGGCGGAAATGCCAGTGCAGCCAACATCGGGAATAAGTCAAGACGATCTAGGGCGTAGAGCCAAGGCGACACGCCAACAAACAAGCAATCGGTACGGGACTTTGGTTTATGGCTTGTTAGGTGGGGTTCGAGTTACGTTACTAATGGGGTATTGATACAGCACGTCAGCTCATGTATGCAGGCTGGGCGCTTGAACAAGCTGTTGATAAGACCGCGTTGGTAGGAATCTCGCAGATGAGTAACCACCTCCCACGGTTGATGGGGCAGGGTGCATGTTTAGAGCCGGGTTCTTGCACCACTAGAGATGGTGAACTGGATCTAAATTACGGGCTTCCGCTTTGAGAAGGCGGAAACCTGCGACAGGTGGTCAGCGTAGGAGAAGGGCATTGATCTTTGTCCGGTGCTAGTCCGGGTCCCGATGCAGAGAGGGGATGCTAGGCCTATGATAAGATGTGAGACAATTTGCCGTAGCAACCGGCACTTCGAGGTCTTTGAATTGGCTTGGAGAACGAAACGCGGGAGGACAAGGCATTGTTCGAAATGAGTGGCAGGATGACCTTTTCCGGCTCTGATTGTAGATGGTCGGGTTCCTGGCATCCTGCGACTTTTGCCTCGCTTTCAAAGCCATTAGGTTCCCCCTCGGTTATACGCACAATGAACTCTGATGATGCTGGCTGCCAAGCTTCACATAGACTGGCTCCTTGAACCAGACGATAGGCCCTGCTGTCCCTATCAATCGCTGTGATGATAAAAAGGGTCTGTCTCTTAGTCTTTGCTACCTGCTTCGTCTACTTTACCATCGTGTCGGTAAAGGCGCTGTAAATTGCACATCGCACCCTCGGAACACAGTGCTTCAACCGAAAGTCCGGCTACAGTAAACCCGGAACATTGCCGCTAGGCTCAGGGAGAGCGACAAAGCGTGTGGCTGACATCCACAATTCACAGTCGTCATCATGACCGTCCTCCCCATTTGCTATTATCTCCTGAGCCGTCGACTACCAGACCCGCCGCTAGTGCTTGGTCGGACTCACAGCAGACGGCGTTGTCGACTCTGAGGTTCTCCCAGATGGTATGCCTCCCTGCCTAGATAATGTGTAACTTCTCGACAGCCTCTTTTCTTGCTGGCGGCGCGCTTGTACGCAGCGGTAACGAAACCCATGTATCATCGGTACACGGCGTCAATGATTGCTAGGTAACTGACAGGCCTAACCTGGCAGGTTCAAGGGTGTGTATATCTAACTAAGTTATCTTAATTGCGTGCGATGCATTGCACTGCACTCGCTGCTCCTACCAATAATCCACCACGAAAAGATCTACTACACCCTACTGCTCTTTCAAGCAGTATCTTTTACACTCACTAGAGGCTGTGTTAGTAAGGCAGAGAAACAAATTAGGGGTGACTCAATTTCTAGTCAACCAATTGAGTATCGATGGGGTCAGCCTGTGGCATATGGGGCTTAACAGATTTCATCTGCGATAATAAAGTTGTCGAATCACTCGAATGGCTTAGCGAGATAGTTGTATGTTTTTACACAGTGTTTATAGGAGGTGCTTTGTCCCTTCCTACGTTATATGTTCCCTCCGGCTTATAAGTAGACTGTAATCAGCTGAGATTGCATCATTCATGGCGTAAAGGTTTCACCGACTCCCTAGCCGCCCAGCTCTACATTGTGCATCATCAGCAAATCCGCAATAGAGACACTGGTTGTCGAAGACGGCCCGGGCACGCTGGGCCGCATGAATTCGGCACCGAATGATGTGGTTGCTGGGAAATTGGCGATACACTCTGTAAACATCAGTTCCTGGTCCAGACCACTTGCGTATTGCGGCTGAGAGGGGATATGGAACAAAAGAAACAAAGGCTTAGGTAGTGAAACAACAGAGGGGGAGGGGAAGGAAAGGAATGAGATGACCAGTCCTCTCAGCTATCATCTAGTCTGGTCAATTACCTTCGTATGCGTCCCAAGTAAACTGGTCGAGTGACGAAGTGGTGTCCTGGGGCGTGACAGTGGTAGAGATATTGACCGGCTCATCAGTTGTTTGACCTTCCCGTAGCCCTAGTACGAGGGCCAGATGTTCATCCGCCCGTCGGGCTTCCCTAGACACCGTGGGCGAGTGCAGCCAGAGTGGACAGGTGTTCCGCAGCAGACTGAGGATCTTGGTGCCTGTCTCCTGGTCGAGCGGTACTTCGGGCTGGGACTTGGCCAGTTGTACGTAGTAGCAGAGAATGCTGACGCCCAACAGGAAGACTGCTCGCGGCCGCGATGACGTGGACATCCACCGCGCCCACTGTACGGGATACAATAATCCGTCTGCCTGTGTCTCCTCCATCACTATCTGCTGGAACTCGAGGATCTTGATGGCAGCCTGGACGCAGGCGCGTCGCGAGTACTCGTAGTGCGGCTGGGAATAGGAGGGCGCGAGGTACCTACGGTGCAGCCAGATTACGAGTCTCTGTATGGCGAGCTGGAGCAGCACGCGGTGCATGACGACCTGGGGTGGCACCATGAAGGATTCACTCAGAGGTTTCCACCGGAAGATGGTCGGCAGCGTGGCCTCAACCTCCTGCAGCTTCCGGTCGAGGTCCAGAATCTCTGTGTACGGGCGCTCGAGAGTGTCATTGACAAGGTCATAGACCAGCCCCATCATCTTGTCTATCCTGTTCTTTGCCAAGCTGTAGAGCACGGGTGTGACCTCTGTCTCGGGCCGCGAAGGGGGAAGCTCGACGGTAGAGTCATCAAAGTCTGTGTCCAGCAAGTTGCGGGGCTCTTCCGTGTCATACTGCTACAGTTTGAGGAGTCGCGGCAGCGCCATCTGACTTGATAAACGTAGGTCCATTTGCACGATGACGGCCCATACGCGCCGCCGCATCTCACCGGCAAATGGGATAATGCTCTGGAAGTTTTGAGGGTCTCGGTGGTAACCCTGACTTAAGGCGAGCTGCACGATGATGCCTTGTACAAGCCAGAGCCCGATCTCAGTATCCTCGGACAGGAAGGACTCACAAACAAGATTGTTGATCATGGTTTCAAGGACGTAGTCCCCGCCTCTAGTGTACTGGCCTCGGATCAGGCAGTGAAAAGTCTGTTCCCGGAATAAGTTCAGGCGTTCTAGAGATTCCAGATCTACCGCCTCCCCGATCGACTGCGTGTACAAGGTGGCGATGCACATTACGCTAAATAAGAGGCCAATCCAGATGAATGGTACTCCAGCTGGGTTCTGCCAGAACCTTTCGTACTACAAAGGGGGCCCCAACTGTCAGCGCACAAGGACATTTCAGGGAATAAGAGAAAGCGGGAGTAAGCGAGGGTAGGATCAGGAGGGAGTTCATCAACGCCTGCGGCAAGTCAGAACCGCCAAAGAGCAACTAGCACCGTACCTCTCGGAGAAAATGACCACTGTGAAGGATTTCTGGCACAACACCTTGCGCGTTGAAGTACCGTGCGACCATGCGGTCCACAACGGGCCGGGCCGGTATTGACTTGAGAATATCGTCTTTTGTCGCCTGAACCAGTTGGTACAGTAGTCGAGGACCAGGATTTCGGTCGTGCGTATGGTCGCTGGTGGCAAGCATGCGGGCTTCCTCTTCCTCCTCGTAGTGGTCCCTGAGCTCCGAGATGCTATCGAGCACGGCGGCCCAGTGGACGCTCCCGACGTAGTTGACACCGACATCGTGCGAGTGCAAACGCATGCTACCGGGATCTGACGGCGCGGGGGAATTAGCACTATCCCGGCTGTGTGATAAGGACGCGTGCTTTATGGCCGGCCTGGGTGTGCCCTCGTCAACCGACGCCAGCGAGGCCGTGGGGACGCTTTGCGGCGGCATCCCCGGCGAGGCTTGAAGGGAATGCCCCAAGGAGTCTCTGACAAGGCTATCCGGACTTACTGCCGGCCTTTGCGGCGTCTGCTGCTCTTGCTGCTGCTGCCGCAGGAGAGAGCGCACACGCTCCTCGAGCTGCTGGATGCGGTCACCGACGCTGACTTTCGTCTTGCCTGGGCCGGCCGTTTTGTAAGTGCAGGAGGAGCCGATCCCTCTGTTTGTGCAGGTTTTGCATGGCAACTGGCGATCGCATCGCACCCTGGCGGCTTTCCGTCAGTTTGGGAGCCGATGCCAGAGGATGACAGGACGGGTGAGTGCTTTACTTGCGACTCCTACAGGAGATGCATGACAGCATGGGCTTCTCCCGGCGGCGATCCCGCAGAGGCGACGGCGAGTCTGCGGCAGCATCGTCGGGCCCCTGAGGGTGCAGACCAGACGTTTCCGCGCTGGCGGGTGTGTGACCGAAGGGACCTCGAGGATCCATGGGTTTCGGGCTTCCTTGGCCGAGAAGAAATAGTTCAGTGCGAAGAAAGGGCAGTCATGTTTCCAATGACTTTCGATATAACGAAGAACAATAATTCCCAGCAGGCGCAAGCAAGAAGAGGTGACAGTGGACAGAGAAGTAGACGGGGCAATCGACGAAGCAGTCGACGGAAGAGTCGACGGAGCAATCGGCGGAGCAATTGACGGAGCAATCAACGGAGCAACCTGGCGGGGACGGGGATGAATGCTAACTTGTCCAGGTGTCTCAATGCCCCACCTGGCTTCTGCCTCTTTAGGCGATGGCCAACCAAGCGGCACGGCATTATTAGCCCCGTATAACCCTGTCAAGACAATCAAGTGGGACCGAGAACGCCCAGGGAAGTTCGGCTCAAGAAATGGTGCGTCGTGATTATCATTGATGAGAGAAGCCTCATTGGGATGCTGTACTTACCGTCTCAGTAGGGAGCCACTGTAGATTGCAACTTTCACAATAATGACACGCTCGACATGGGAAATACCTGGGGCATCTCAGTTTTGCTTCCTTACTCCTTAACGGCCGAAACATGTTTGTTAAAGGGTCAGATCGTCCGCTGCCGCGAAGCAGCAGACTGGCGCCGGCGCATATCCGGAGCAAACAGGTTGCCGCGAGCAGCTATCCTCGACTACAGTTGCCCTTAAAACCCTTCTGCATACTGCGTCTCTTTTGTCGTGTTTCCACTGTCACATAGTATCTAAACACATCTTTGCTCAACATTCGAACCAAGCACGACTACGACCATCTGACAAAAACAAAAGCTGGAAGTCGAGCCAACAGTGACGGCATTGTCTACGGTCCCGAAAATAGTACCATGATTGGGTTTGAAACTGCCGTTCGGAAGAGCTCTGCTCGTGAAAGGGATTCTGTCATTGACGGGAAATGGGATGCCAACGACGGTTCCCCCCTACCTAGCGAGACAACCGACCCGAATACCGTCGACTGGGACGGCCCCGATGACCCTGCGAACCCGCACAATTGGTCCAAGGCGTACAAGTTGACCAACGTGGTGGTTGTAAGCTTGTCTGTGCTCTACACCAACCTCGCAACCACCATGTTCGCCCCGGGTGCCCCAAGCATGCAACGCGAATTCGGCTTCAAGAGCAGCACTGTTGAGATCATGACCATTACCATGGCGTCGCTTGGCTTCGCCCTGGGCCAGATGTTTATCCCTCCCCTGTCCGAGGTCTTTGGACGCATGCCTGTCTATCGTGCGAGCTCCATCTTTTACCTTGGCTTCACCGCCGGCTGTGCGTGCAGCACCAACGTCGCTGAGTTTCTCGTCTTCCGCTTATTAACAGGTTTGGCTGCTGCGTCGTACATGTCGACGGGCGGCGGCACTGTCGCCGACCTCTTGCCGAAGGAGAAGAGGGGTGTAGCCATGGCCATTTTCACCGCGGGGCCACTCTTCGGTCCTGTAAGTTGCCATCTGCACATCGTAGACATGAAATAAGCTAATTGTAATTCTTGGTCCTCGGTCCCATGGTAGGAGGGTTTTTGGTTGAGAACAAGGGATGGAGATGGTGCTTCTATCTGATTTTAATCCTGGTACGTATAGCCCTTTCATTTCCGCCTTCCCGTTTTGCGATGCGGAACAAAGTTGACGGTATATGATGCTGAGACTAGGCTGGCGCTGTCACTGCCATCACCTTTCTATTCATGCACGAGACGAGTTCCGTCAACATACTCAAGTCCAAGGCCGCTCGACTTCGCAAAGAGACGGGCAATCCGAATTTGCGCGCCGTCGGCGATAAGCAGACCCCTGTGAAGCAGCTCGTGCTCCACGCCATGGTCCGCCCCATGAGAATCCTCTTCACTTCACCTCTTGTTGCACTCATCGCCCTCTATATAGCCTTCAACTTTGGCGTCACAATGCTCCTCTTTGCTACTTTCCCGACTGTTTATGAAACTACCTATCACTGGAGCATTGGTGTTTCAGGCCTAGCCTACATCGGCGTCGGCATTGGCTGCGCCATCGGTGTCGTCACCTTTGCCAAGCTCAGCGACCGTCTTCTGACTGATCAAGGGGGAACCTACCGCGCAGAACGGCGCTTGATCATAATGATGTTTGTATCTCCTATGTTCCCCATCGTCCTCTTTATCTATGGCTGGACTACAGAGAACAAGGTGCACTGGGTTGTGCCCATCGTCGGTACTGCCATCTGCGGGCCTGGTGCTGTCATCATCAACTCGTCGTCGCAGACATACATTATCGATATCTTTGGGCCGCAGGCTGCAGCATCCGCCCTTTCTGCCATCACGCTGCTACGCAACCTAACGGGCGCCTTTCTGCCTCTCGCTGCCCCGGCACTCTACGCCAACCTAGGCCTGGGCTGGGGAAATAGCGTGTTGGCATTCATTACGGTGCTATTTATTCCCCTGCCGTTCTACTTTTACTGGCGCGGCGAGTCCTTACGAAAAACGTTTCCCGTCAAGGTCTGAAGAGAAACGACTGTGCCCCGTGACCTCACTTGGTGCTTGATGTTTTTTGCTGCCTGCCGCTGCCGCCGCGAAGGTGAATCCTCGTTTGTCAATCATATATTTTGAAACTGATGTTTCTGTCTCTTCGCGTTACGTGAACAAGTGCAGTGGATCAAAATATGTGCGTTCAAGTTTGGTTTCACTCGACTGTATCATAGCTTGATAGAAATAAGCCTGACTCTGGTACCGTAGCAGTCATCGGTATCTCATTGACTGCGACTTAATGCCAGTCAGCACTTGTAAGAGTTACAGGTAATAAGGGCTTTCATTTCTATCCGTGTTAGATTACAACTAGCTACTAGCTTTGTTGTCTCCCATTCTCTATATATGTATATAACCTCAGTCAATATATCACTGGTACGCAACGCAGTGAAACGGCGGTGATGAAATTATGAGACGACCTAACAAATGCGTAGGTAAATCCCCAGAATAACAATGGTAAGTCTCTGCAAATTCTCGTTTGGTTAAGAGGATAGGGCGGATGAGGAGGTCTAGTTTTGATAGTTTTAAATGTCATGGGCTGGGGGATGTTGTTGAGCATTGCTGGGCAATTACATTGGGCTTATATGGCTCGTCGTCCGGGTGTATATGTGCAAATCAAAGAGGATACCGCATATCAAGGCGTCAGGATGTTCACGGTGCATATGTATGTTTATGTATGTTTTTATGATAATCGATACTAAACGGCCGACGTCTTCATTGCCGCTAAATCTTAGAAAGTTTCTTGCGCTGGTCTCATGTCCAACTCATGAGTCCAGAGAGAACTTGGCTGCTGCGAAAGCCACAAATACAGTTCACCAACATCTTCTGCTCGCATCTTCTTGCCAGTTTTGGTGTCCCCATTATCCTCGTCAATGATCCCGCCATTGGCAATAGCATGGACTACGTGCACGCCGAATTTGCTGTGCTCCTTCGCAATGGACTGTGCTACCATCCTGGCGGCTGCTCGAGAGGCGCCATAAGCGGCGTATTGTTGATTCGTGCGCATGGCTCCCAAAGTTCCCGTGAATATGATGGTGCCTTTCTTGACACCGTTTGTATCGGCAAGAAGTGTTTGCCCGCCGTTTTGGGCATACATGAGCTTCAGTGCCTCCTGCGCGAACACGACGCCGCCAGTTGTATAAGTGCTCATACTGTCGTTGAAGGCTTCTGGGGTCTCCTCAAGGAACGGCTTCTTGCTAGAGTTCTTGACATGGTAGATGGCCAGCTTCAGTTTGAGATCTTTGAAGTCTGGATGATCAGCTATCTGCTGAAATGCTCGTCGGAGGTTGTCTGGTTGGGTATCCGTCGGGAAAGAATGAAGGATGCCGTTTGTGGATTTCCGGAGATCAGATGCAAGATTCTGGAGATTGTCTGGATTCCTTGCGAGTAGAGCAACTGCGAGGTTGCCATGTTGGGGGCTCGCCAGGATGCGGGCAATCCCTGCGCCAGATGTTGGCCCTGCACCGATGAGAATTGCAAGTCCTTTGGGCGCCATTCTAGAAATGTTTTTATTAGTGTATGTGTGAATTGGACTATAATAGAACAAAATGTGTGAGCATCCAGACTATTATACATTCTTCGATCGCCAAAGGTTGTCAATACTCTGCTTCTTATGTAACCATACCCTTTAGATGTATGTCATCCTGATGATGCTAGCACGGACAGTTGAGTACCGGCCCAAGCGGCCCTTAGAGCCATGGACGTCATTGATCACCCGATCGGTGCTTCATTATGCCCCACTTAGTCCGCACAGCGGGAAGAAGCACGACAAATAATATCGGGGATAAACCGTCAAAGACTGGCTCATAAGAATGCATTTGTCCGACTAGCGCATGCAGCCCGCTGACAGAGACGTCTGTACATTCTGATGTATACAACCCTGCCTTTTGCGCAACCTACCGGATCTGACAGTGGAGACGGCGCCGGGCCACGACATGGCGCCGCCGTTGTGGGCATACGCAAACAGAGAGAAGAATGTGATGAGCTAGACAAGTAGAGCTATGACATCCAAGTAGTTAATCGTTTGATAACACCCTTAGTTGACTCTTCAGAAACTATCTAAGGCCTATAAATCCCAGCTTGATGCCATTTATCCAACCACTTTTGCACCATATGCACGTCGATTCGCCGACCCCCGTCTACTTTGCCTACGTCGAATACCACGCCCTCGCCGTTTCCAGATCCTTTGGCCATCTCCTGGAAGAATCCTAGAAGTTTCAAGGCTGGAATCGTCTGGTCTTGAGGTCTGTCAGAACCGGCCTGGGTCTCTAACCGAGAAACCCATTCTCTCATCTCCACACGTTCAAACTCGAGTCCTGAAGCCTCTTGGAGGAAAGAGAGCAGCTCTTCCCAAGAAATAGCGCTGGGGTTGACGAGATTGGTTACCGCATACGACGACTCATTGGCAGAAGAAAATACTGCTTTTTGGATCGCCTCTGCACAAAAGTCTACTGGAAGCCAGTCGACTTTGGTCTGCAGCATAGGCATTGCAGAGAGAGTATCCAAACCGGTCATCATAAGAATCGGCCACATCTCGGTATGATTCCATACTCCCAAGTTTGAATGACCGCAAAGCTGGCCTACTCTGAGAATCTGAACAGGCATCTTGAGTAAAGAAGCGTACTGCTGTGTGACTTGTTCCACGATGAATTTGGATTGCGCATAACCCGTGGAAAGTGCATTCCCTGGATCAGGGCTAAGAGGCAGTTCTTGAATTCTTGTGCCGGATTCGTTGCCCATAGCTGCGGCGACACTGCTCATGAACACGAACTTTTTCTTGGTCCCTTCCAGGCAAAAAGACATCAGGTTCATGGTGCCTAGAAGATGTTAGTGTGAACTAGTTTTCGCCCAATGAACACCGAAGCATACCTTTTAAGCAATCCTCCTCGAATTGCTGGATTGGCCGGTTGAAATCGAGTTTCCAAGCGTTGTGCATCACGAGAGTTACTTCGTTGGTCAGCAGCTTAAACATCTTGCTGTCTAGTCCTAGACTCGCGTCCTTCATGTTGTAGTTAATCGCGCAAATCTTTTCGCTCTGGTAAAGATGCTCTGAGTAACCCCTTGACTTCATGGATTCGGTCACTCGGGCTTGTGGATAGGCCCCTCGAACAGCGCAATAAACCTTCTTGACTACTGGCAGCTCAACAAGGGCTTCCAGTAAAGCATTGCCTAAAGCGCCACTTGCACCTGTCAGGTATATGACGTGTCCATCGTCTCCTTTATGGTTGATGTCGTGAGTCTCGGGGGTCGCCCATTTGTCAAGTTCTTGGTTCAAGCGCTGAATGGTTGAGGTGATCCACTCGTGGTGCTGATTTGTGACCAAAGCACTGTTGCCAGAGCCATCTTTCTTGTAGCGTTGGAGAAAACGAAGCAGCCCTTTCACTGTGGGATATTCGAATATGAACATCAGAGGAAAGCTTCCGAAAACACCGACGAGCTTCGAGCGCAGTTCTACCGCACTTAGTGAGTCAAGTCCTAGTTCATACCAGTTCTTGTCCTCAGTGACGTCTTCTTGTGAGAGCCCCAAGACTTCAGCCACGGCTCGTTGAATGGTTTCCGCTGCCGAAAGATTTGTGTCGATGGCTTGGACGTTTTCAAGCTTATCGGTGTTTGGCTTATCACCCAGGAAGCGGTTGTACAGTTCCTCTACTCTGTCTCCATAAGACTCCCACGCAATATTGCGTCGCACATTCCCTTTGGGTGTGACAGGCAGGGTCTCGCCTCTTCCGAGGATCAGAATTGTCTCGCGCGGAATCCTAGAATACGCCTGTGCTCTCTCGTTGCATCGGCGTACCACTTCCCATACTGCACCTTCAAGATCCATGGTCCGTGTTTCGCAAATTCTGTCCCAGTGAATCTCAATAACAACAGAGGGACATGGCTTCCCTGTCCCAAAGACTGCCGTCTTCGCAATGACGCTCGTTTTGTCTTCCTCCAGAGACATAGCGAGTGCTGTCGCGTGCGTCTTTTCCCCATTACTGTGCACGAGAATGTCGTCACGTCGGCCCTGAAGTACAAAGTACCCGCTGCCAGGGGGGTCTTCCAGGAACAAATCTCCTGTACGGTATGGGTTAGGTGCTGACTTGTCAAGCCAAAGCTCCGCTGCGAGAGGAAAGCCTTTGTAGACGACGCATTCAAACAAGCCGTCCCCCAAAGACTCCATGCGCACCAGGGGGGACTCGGGGTAGAGATTTCGAAACCGATACACGTCGGGGTTGTCTCTCGTATGCGGAATCGTTCGCAGAGGCGGCCCTGTTTCGGTAGTACCGTACGTAGTTTTCACATTTACTCCAAGCGCTCCAAGCTTTTCCAGCATCGCAGCGGACAGGGGAGCTCCGCCTGGCTGCAGTACTTTCAACCGCGTAAGAGGGGTGAAGTCCTTGGTAGTAAGGGATATATACTCGTACAAGTCCTCGATGACCGAGGGGGCACAGTGAAGGCAGTCTGCCGGGTATCCAAGATCCTCCAAAGCTTTCCATGCTGAAAGAATTGAGCTCGGGGATGGTGGCCAGTGTGCAGGCGGAAGAGTGGTTGGAAGCCCTGTTGGGATGCCAGATAAAGCGATCGATAATCCTGCGATGTGGAATCTACTCGGGCCGCATTAGTACCTGCTTCAGTAGCCTCACCAAGGATTAGTCTTACAGCGGAAAGCAAAGATACCAGTTCTCTATGAAATATTCTGGCAGTAACCTGTACATCCTGGCGATTTGGCACAAACTCCTGTTGGTATGGATGATAGGCTTTGGCGTCCCCGTGGAGCCTGACGAGTGAATAATCATTGATTGCACATTCCACTCGTCAGTCGTTTCGAATACCGCCCAGTGCTTGTGGGTCTCTCTGCTGCTCTTCTGCAAGTCAACGAGACTGATTAGATTGACCACTGGCAGTTTCAACTCATCTCCCTCGTAAAGGGGAGACTCGTTTGCCTTGTCAACGATAATCGCGACTGCGTTGCATACTTGGAGGAGGTGGTTTCTTGTCGCAGGTGAGTTTTTGTTGCTGAGAAGAAGGATCCGGATATGTAGACTGTTCAAGGCGATCTGTGCAATCAAGTAATCAATCGAATTTCCGGTTCCTAGTAATGCGACTGTGGGTTGTTGGCCGGTCCGGTTGGCATCTTCGATCTCTTTCCGAAGCCTTTCAGAGTAGTATGCTGATGCGTTGACACAAAGGTTATGAACCTCAGCCCAGCTGACCACGTCGAAGGAGTGGCCGGCAGGTGAAAGGAATGCTGCCTGTAATGGCTGTGATGAAGCATTATGCTTGACCAAACTAGCAATGCTCGTCAGGTTTGGATTGGAGAATCTGAGCACTGAGTTAGAGACGATAATCTTAACAACGGTAAGGACGAAGAATCCTAATACTTTGCGCTATGAGGCTCGCCGTGTAGGTTCCAGAGCCTCATCAATTCCTTGTCCGCGTTTCGCGATGGGAACACAGACGGATCGGCCATAGCTTTAGGCAAATCACCTTTCAGATCGGAAGTTGCAATTGGTGCCATTTTACAATGCCAAAAGTCAAGGGTCCAAGGCAGCTGTGGTGTTACTTGCAACTTTCATCATCATCTTCGAACCCTCAGAACCAGTCTCTTTGACAATCCTCATAAAGCCCCAAGTCTCTTGTCGGGTTCAGTTGAGTAGTCACAGTATGTGCTGAACCATCTACATGTGGGTAAGTTGTCCGATTGCGATTGTTGACCGACATGTGATAAGATTAAAATTGCCTATCAGCGTCGTTACCGGCGTTGTACTGACCGATGGGATAGGACCAATGACATGGGCCACAATCTGACTGATAGCGCACGAACGCTTATCATGCCTATCTTGAGGTTATGACCAAACGCTACAAGGGAGAATCAGCTCTCATGAGTGATAGGCAAAGTAATCTGATAAGCGCTGTCGTAGAAATAAGCGTACCAGACAGCGGAAAGGAGAAATGCAATTTTGTAAGTAAAAAGAATGAAACATATTTTCACAAATCCCCGCCCAACCTGGGAATACTCTTCTGCATTCTGCTTCTGATTTGACAATTTCCGAGGACTCGAAGCTGTCAACGTCAGCAAACCGCATTATGGGCCTCCGAAAACGTTTGGAGCTCCGCTCCGAAAGCGCCGAACTCGGCACGGAGGGCGGCCGGCTTTCCAACAAGGACATGGACCCTATCCCGATGGGCTCGCCTGAACGCACCTGGGGTTGGCCGAGTTTACTCGGGTTTTGGATTGCTGAAGCATTTTCCATTTCCATGTATCAAGGTACGTGGTCGTAAGAATCTGAGAACACGGATTCTGTCACTTTCTGTTTCTCAAGCTTTTTAAGATGCAATAACTGACTTGGATGGTCTACAAACAGTTTCATCGACATCTGTAACGAAAGGTCTCAACCCAGGTCTTGCCATCCTCGCAGTATTTATTGGCCATGTCTTGGTATGCATTCCGGCGATACTGGACGGATACGTTGGCTGCATTCTCGGAATCAACTTTCCCGTTTTCACACGAGCTTCGTTTGGTGTACGGGGCTCGTACGCCGCAGTATTTGTCCGAGGAGTTGTCGCTTGTATCTGGTTCGGTACTCAATCGTTCCAAGGTGGACAGTGCTTGCAAGTCATGATTTCCGCCATCTGGCCGCAGTTCAATAACTTTCCGAATCATTTGGCGGCGGATGCTCACGTCACAAGCTCCGAGCTCCTTTGCTTCTTCCTCTTCATCCTCATTCAGTTGCCACTGCTTTGGCTACACGTGAGCAGTCTAAGGTACATGTTCATGGCTAAGACGGTCATCATGCCAATTTTCGGCTTGACTCTCTTCATCTGGGCCATTGTTGCTGGTAAGCCTTCTACTCTCTATCCAGCTAACAAGGCGGAGCACTGATGTTTTCCAGGCAAGGGTTTCGGACCGACATTCTCTAAACCTACCGTAATCAAAGATGGAACCCCAGCAGTTGTGGTGTTCTTTCAATGCGTCACGAGCGCCATTGGCCCCAAAGCAACCCTCGCTTTGAACATGCCAGACTTCACCCGCTACGCCAAGGATCCCAAGCAAGTCTTCTGGACTCAAGCTGTAGGATTGTGTATCCTTGTGACGATGTGTGGTGTGCTGGGCGCGACGGTCAGTAGCGCCTCCGAGGTCATCTATGGTAAGGTAACATGGAATCCCTTGGAGGTTGCCAGATTGTGGGACAACCGCGCCGCGCAGTTCTTTGCAGGCCTCTGCTGGGCATTTGCTGTCATTGGTACGAACATCAGTGCGAACAGCGTCTCGTTCAGCAACGACCTTTCGCTCTGGTTCCCGAGATACATCAACAATAGACGTGGAGCGTATGTCTGCGCGGTCTTTGGTGTATGCGCTGTGCCGTGGTACATCCAGTACAGGTAAGCTTCAGAGCCCTCTTTCATCATCGAATATTCTTTAACGTGAACATAAAACACAGTGCCAAGTCCTTCTCCTCTTTCCTTGGTGGCTATGCCCTCTTCTTGGGTGCCATCGCAGGCATAATTGTTACCGACTTCTGGATTTGCCGTGGGCGTAGGATCGCAGTATGGTCGCTCTACGATCCACGGGGCATTCACTACTACACTCTTGGGGTTAACCCTCGAGCCATCATTGCTTTCATCTTCGCCATTGTTCCGAACATGCCTGGGCTTGCGGCTGCTTGTGGTGCGAATGGGGTTCCAAATGGGGCGATATATCTGTACAGCTTGAGCTGGCTGGTTAGTACAGTGGTTGCAGGTTTTACGTATTGGCTGTGCTGGAAGATCCGGCCCTTCCCGGTTGACGAAACCAGAGAACAGCTGTACGTCGAGGGATTTCCGGAAACAAAAGAATCGATCGGGTCGGAGAAGGGTATGGAGACCAAAGAGCCGGATGTCAAGCCAATTTGATAGACTCAGGTCATTTCATTTTTGATTCACAATAGACTACATTGCTATGAGGACCCACATCAAAGCTTGAAAGATATCATCTCACTGTGTCCCTAACACTCTAGTGCTATTCGGTGTGGTGTTGATTACAAGTTTCGATTCAAAGCCGCTTCAGATGCAGCAGGCGTTAATTCAATGAGCTTTCCCAAACCAGCGACAAACATAGCATCTAGTCGAAGCAAGCTTAAATTCAGGAGATCGCAGCTTCTTGACTTTATTCGTAGCAATCCTCGCCACTGTGTCAAGAGCGTTAACGACTCATCAGCGTCGACTGTGGACGGGGACAAGGCGAAAAGCAAGACGATAAAGTTACTAGCGATAGCGAAGTTGACGCGTGAATCTAGTTGTACTTTCAGTCGGAGGTTTTTTCTATAAGCTAGGAAAATGAAAGATTGACATACAAGAATGCCAGAAGGCTTCTAGGTGATGAGCCTCTAGCCTGGCTAGAAAGCCGTACATCTCGCGAGCGACGGCCATCGCTCCGGTGCGTAACGCGGTGCGAGCCTCAGCCGGAGCTTCAGTATTACTAGGCCGTAATAAAGCCTTGAATATTGAAATCTTCGCGGTAATGTAGGCTAGTTTTAAGCTGCCGTTGCCGTCCAAGCCATGGCATGGTGTGCATGTGGAAGGCTGATCTGCCACGTCTGGGCGATCCTGCAGCCACTGTGCAAGCTCCATCCGTAACGGCCGGGCGACTTCAAAGGTCGCTTCCAGGGACTTTGTAAGTACTCTGGTGGCTTTGATAGAGCTACGAAAGTCAGCATCGATTTATGGGTCTTGACAGATGATGGTTAGCGCCATGGAGCTTACAATATCTGTCGCTGAATCTTGGAAACGATTTCAGTCAATAAAGCCAGATGCAGGAAGTGCTTGGAGGCGGAGGAATCGTCATCAGCCTCCGACAAGGGTCCAAACTCGTCTGCACGCAACGAAGAGACATCCCAGTCACATTCCTGGATGTGGGAGCTGCGACCAAAATTCAGACTGAGCCACTGATCTTGTACGTATACCGCCCAAGCAAGTCGTCGACGAAGCCGCTTTTCCCAGGGTGGTATCGGCCAATCAGTTGGATCTAGATTGAGGCCGAGACATTGTGCAAGCGCGACGGTGTCTGCCAGCATGACCCATTTGAACGGCGTGTCTGCCACGTGCTTGTTGGTAGGCCGACGCTGGATCATGAGAAGCATCGTCTGCACGACGGCAAGTGACGGGGTGTGAAACTGAGAGAGAGCTGCCATCCATGCCAGCTTGAAAAGGCGATCTGCTGAAGGTAGCGTATCGACGTCTACGCAGAGCTTGTCGTCAAAGACACAAAACGGCAAAGCATGTCCGTATATAGCCGCCAAGAGGCAAGTCGGCAATGCTGATGGTTCGCTGTCAATACCTTGGGTAGTGTGTTCTCTAGAGAGGATTGGGAAATATGGCTGAACATATCTCCAAAACCTGGAGTGTCATTCGTCAGAAATGTTCGAAATCATGACAATGGGGTGTAAACTTCTGCCTTACAGACTAATCAGCCTCTTGCCGACTTCATCAGGAACCATATTCGCAACATCGGATCGAAGGTCTGATTCACTGCCGGTAAGACCTCCAGGCTGTGCCTTCCTTGCCAGCGAGTTACTTTGAAACATGAACTGGGTAGGGACTCCATCGTCCAAGCCCATATTTCTGATGTGAAGCTGCTGAAAGGCGCACTCATTCTTCTCGTCAAAACGATAGAGATGAAGCAGGTATGGGTCCGATTCGCCGCTAAGTCCGATTACCTGGGCGTTATGGCCAGGGGTTGCATCTAATGATGACAGCAACGGTGCAAGTTCTTGCTGTGAAATGGCTGGGTGATCCTCGGGATGTGGTGAAATCGGACTGGTTGAGTTGGCCGCATCTTTTCTCAAGTTCTCTTCGTTCCCGGGCGAACCCGTTTCAGAAAAAGGAGATCTCATGTCGGTGTCGGAAGGAGTCCGACTTTGCTGATTCGGAACGATGACATCGCTAGAATCGCTTAGACGCCGTTCAGAGGTCCGTCTTCTTTTATTCGGTTCCCCAATGAAGGTACAGTCTTTGCCCTGCCGTCTGCACAGCTCGCAAGGCGGCTGATCGTGTAACAAGCAGGCGGCGCGCTTGTAGCGGCAGAAGTCGCATGGATGGCTGTTACGATGGCTAGACTTTCTGGTCCGGTTACGATTGGGACTTTCCATGGTACTTTGCCAAAGAAAAAGATGGAAGAAGTTTGTTGTCGCGCATCATGTTCCCCGCGTCTCCATAATCATGTTGGCCGGGGTCTATAATTGTCTACGCACTCTGATAAGGAGACGATGGCCGATTGGTCAATTAGAGTAATCCTCCAGTCAACACTACAACCCAAGCAAACCCCCGGTATGGACTCGTTCGGCGGTTGGGTTTTCCTTCGATGCAAGTCGAGATATATACATTTCTCCCGCGGGGAACTCAAATCCAGTCTTGCCCCCTTGCTTTGCGTCCGTCACCAGAACTTTTGTACACGCCGCTTTTTGCCGTCCGGCCTCCCATCCTAACCAGTCCCACCAAGTGATGCACTCCAGCTAAAACGCCATCAACTACCTGCACATCTTCGCCAACAGCCGCCTCCACAGCACCCTTGAGTGGCGTCATACCCGCGCAGCCGAGCAGCAGCACATCGGCTCCTTTCTCCTCGACCAAGCGCTTTCCGACGTTGGCCATGATGTCCATCACCTCATCCTGACTTTTCTCGTGGAGGTCCAGCACCCCCAGCTTGCAGGAGATGACACCGGCGCAGGAGGTCGAGAATCCATAGTGGTGAATGCTGTCTTCGTGCAACACCCGTGACCGCTCGCTCACTGCGATAAGCCCGAACCGCCCGCCGAGCGTCCGGGCTGCGAAGAGCGACGCTTCCATGATGCCGATGACAGGCTGGCGTGGGAGCTCCTCGCGAAGCATGCGGATGAGGGCGTGGTCGGAGTAGCAGGCCACCAGGATGGCGTCGTGTGTGGCTGCAAGAGGGAGTACAGCTCGTGCGGCGGCAGCGGCCGACATGACGTTGTCGAAGCTACCTTCAATTGCCGATGGCGCAGGTCTCGGTGCAGTGAAGCCTGTGACGATCACATCGGGGGGCAGCTGGCTCTCAACCATGGCGACACAGGCGTCGGTCATTGCTCGTGTGCTGTTGGGGTTGATCAGAAGAATGCTGATCTTCTTGTTCTTTTCCGTAGCGGTTTCACTGGTGCCATTTGCCGGAGCATGTCCGTTGACTGACAGCTTGGGAGGCTCTACAACGCCCGTCTGTTCCGTGATGCGCCCATAATGCTCTACACGTCGGTGTCTGGCAAAGTCAAAGGTGCGCTCTTTACCCGGTTGACATTCATCAAGGTTGATTTCCGCGTAGACAACCTCATCCTCCGTTGTGGATGCCTCGGCGATGAGTTCACCCTCCGGCCCTGTGATGCAGCTGCCGCCTATGAGGTCATACTTTCCATCGTCAAGACCGCACCTTGCTGCGCTGATACTGAAGCATGCATTCGTGTAGCTGTGGGCTTGCATGACCAGCTTGTGGTGGAACACGGCCTTCTTGCGCGCCTCGTCAGGATCCATGTTGGCGCTTGATCCCCAGAGGTGAGGCGCGAAGCCTGCCGTATTATATCCGCAGAGCACGACCTCAACACCTTGCAGGCCAAGAACGCGCCAGCTCTCAGCCCAACGTCTGTCGTTGCAGATCATCATGCCGAAGATGGGTTCTCCTCGTTTTGAGGTCGATTCAACGAGGCCGGGCACCCGGAACGCATTGAATCCCAGATCACCGGGCTTGAAGTACCGTTTCTCCAATTGGTTGGTGGCATTTGGGTCTGCGAACGGCTCAAAGTCGCCAGGGAGGTGAATCTTGCGGTACTTGGAGATGATTGAGCCGCTCTTGGCGTGGTAGTAGATGCAAGAGTTGAATGTTTCGCCGTCATCGGTCTTTTCGGCAAAGCCAGCCGATACGTCAACCCCAAGTTCTTTGGCCCTGTCAAATAGGGGTTTAGTTTGAGGCTGCGTAGCTATGTCGCCGTGTTCAAAGAAGGAGTCAAGCTCCACCGGGTCATTTATGAGATGTCGAGGAAAGAAGGTTGTGAAGGCAGCTTCAGGAAAAAGAACGAGCTGTGCTCCTTTGGTTGCGGCGCCTTCAAGAAGTGCTATCATCCGGTTCAGCGTATTAGTCCGAGAGTCGCCATAGTGCGTCGAGCCCATCTGGGCTGCCGCCACTCGAAGAACCCTTGATCCCATTGTTGTCGTTGGTCGCTGGCCCTTCCAAACTTTCGTCTGTACGGATATCTTTACTTGAGAATAAACTAGTCACTGTTAGAGGCCCGGACGAGACGTTTCGTGAAAATGATGTCTTTTTGCGTCCAGCGTTAATACTAAAAAAGCTACCCCTCACCCACGGGCTGACTGCCTGTATCCTCCGGTCTATCTCCTGTAGGCTCCATTCCAATCGCCGTCGGGCGATAGGGCGGGTGATAGGGGCCACTCGCCAATCGCGTCTTGTAGCAACTTGCCTATCCTTATCTATGCCTGGCCTATCTTCAGAGCTTCGTTATCCGCAATCACGCGCATAAACGCAGCGAAGGGTCGAACAGTTATGAAAAATGACTTGAAGCTGACGCTCATGAATTGAGGGGATGAGAGAGTGAACATAATTCGAGCCTTAGGAAATCTCATCGCAACGGAATCGCGGAAGTGCATCGTCATACTCATCCCCTACCCGATCAATGGTGGCATTCCAAAATGAAGGTCGACCTTATCATTGAGAACGCAACGGTGGTGAGTTTCTATGGCGGCTTGAAAGGCCATACACATATCTGACGCCTGACGCATCACTAGGTTACCGCATCCGACGTTCATCCTCGTCAAGACATTGTCGTGCGAGATGGAAAGATCCTTGCGGTTGGCCAAAACTTAGGCTCTCTCTTTTCGGCCGAAAAGGTTATCGATGCTCAGGATGGGTTCGTCATGCCTGGCGGCGTAGACTCACACGTGCATCTCGACCAGGTAAGACCGAGGCGTTGCACCTCTGCCGACATGTTCTCTAATACATGTCTAGGACAACTCTCCGACCGGAGATAACTTTGAAAGCGGTACGAGGTCGGCGATTGCTGGTGGAACAACGACCATTATTGCCTTCGCGACCCAGGAGCGCTATCATCAGTCCCTGCGTCCCGTTGTCGAGGACTACCACTCACGTTCAAGGGGCAAATCCTATTGCGACTATGGCTTCCACATCATTCTCACTAACCCTACACCGACCATTCTGCGCGACGAGCTTCCGTTCTTCGTGAGCGAGGGCATCACCTCCGTAAAGTTGTACATGACCTACGAGCCACTGCAGCTGAAGGATGGAGAAATCCTAGACGTCATGATGGCGACGCGTAACTTGGGGATGACTACAATGGTGCATGCTGAGAACAGCGACATGATCTCTTGGATCACAGCGCGTCTTGCGGAGCAGCAGCTTACCGCGCCCTACTATCATGCCATCAGTCGCCCTAACATCGCTGAGGACGAGGCAACTTACCGCATCATTGCCTTGGCTGAGCTTTCCGACATCCCTATACTCATCGTTCACATGTCTTCCAAGACCGCTGCCTCCCATGTTAGAAGCGCTCAAACAAGGCTCCTCCCAATTCACGCGGAAACCTGTCCACATTATCTCTATCTCACAGCAGACACATTGCGCCCATCTCACCCAACAGATAGCTTCTCCGGCGCAAAACACATCTGTAGTCCACCACTCAGAGAAGATCGCATGGACCTGGAAGCCATGTGGACGGGTATCATCAACGGGACGTTCACGACGTTCAGTTCGGATCATGCACCCAGTAAATACGATCATCCTTGTGGAAAGAAGGCGGGATTGGACAAAGCTGGGACAATGCGATACGACAAGGTCCCAAACGGTTTGCCAGGAGTAGAAACACGGATGCCGCTTCTTTTTGAAGGCGGTGTGCTATCTGGAAAAGTAACGCCTCAGAAGTTCGTTGAAGTCACAGCGACCAATCCTGCCAAACTCTACGGCCTGGGGGAAACCAAGGGCGCCATCGCCGCGGGCTATGATGCCGACTTCGTCATATGGTATCCGACAGCTGAGCAAGCTGCTGCTCATGAGGGAGCTGACGCCGCCAAGATGGAACCCTTCGTGCTAGAAAACTCCATGTTGCACCATGATATCGATTACTCGCCTTTTGAAGGAATGGAGTTCAACAACTGGCCGCGTTACACGATCCTGAGAGGCAAACTAGTGTGGGATCGAGACAACGGGGGTATTGTTAGTGAAATGGGATTTGGGCAGTTCTTGCGCCGTGGGAAGAGCACATTGAGCAAGCCAAGGAACCGTTGGGTGAACGAGTTCCAGCCCATGCCAGAGATGAAGAGCCCTAGCGTGGCATATCCGTAGTCATCGTCGACATTTTCCACAATTGTTTCCATCAATCTATCAAATTCTCCTGAACACGTACGCAGTCAAAGCAAAGGAGTCCGAAGAACGGTGAATAGTGCAACCGAAAGGGGTCATAGGGATTGATTTATGGATTAGTGGCCATGAAAAGTACAAGCTACTAGCAGAACCGCACTTGCATATTGTGTTCCTTGGATCTGTTTTTGTTCAACATTTATTTTCTTCCCTTATGGGGGCATGAGGTGTAGCTCTGACAAACTGGGTTGACGGGAATGAGCGTGAGATTTCCTCAGTACATCAAAGTCAGAGCCACTCTATTAACATCACGATGTGGAATCTATTTGCGGTAATAAAACGGCCATTTCTTTCTCTAGAACGCCCAAAGCCACCCCCAGCTCCCGCCATTGATCTAAGTGATGACGTGCTTATGGGTCTACGTAGTGGGACATGTATGTGTTGGTGTCAACCACTATCGCGGTCGTGTTTGGTACCATATGAAAGTCCCACCTGCATCATGAAACAAACCAAAGGAGAAAAACACCCCCCTCCCTTGGTGTTTTGATCCTCGTCTCATGTTACCCTTTCAATAATTTAGCATTCAGAGTGACGAAGGAGACGGCCAAGGGCGTAGCGATAATACTCATAACAGACGAAGGTAGCGCGAGGAGGAAAGCATAGGACGGGGGAGAAGGTAAGTGAGTTTCTCCTATTCTGCGTCACCCGCATGACTGACAAGTTACCTCGGTGTCCAGTCTCTTCGCCGCGGAGGCCTCGATTCCTGAAGGAGCCACCATTCAGGGATTCGAGCTCGTTAATCCTGCTCCCATCCAATTGACTACATGCATGGTGTAAACACAAAATGCAAGGCAATGATTGCGACATAGCGGGGTTACTGCCCATTTAGATTTCTCAACCGCGAAGTCCAAAAGACTGAGTGCGACAACGCCCGATGTTCAGAAATACCTACAAGAAGTTTAACATCTTTGGTTTCAGGTGAGCATAAACAGTTCGCGCTTCTTTGCAGTCCCTATGGCAGATTCGATCCAGCGGCTGCTGGGCCACCCAACGACAATGCTCAATTATTCCGTAACCCTAGCTCTTATTCTTTTTGTCGGGTACCTTTTGCAAAACGAGGTCGTTCGATATCGAAGCAGGATCAGGAATCTTGCTGGTCCTCGTGGATGGCCAATTGTTGGCAACCTATTCCAAGTATTAATAAGATCCTATCTGTGGGAGGTTCGTAACTGACTCAGTAACAGCATCCATATCAGGTGCCGGCAGAGACATATCGACAATGGGCGAAAAAATACGGACCTGTGTTTCAGATCCAACTCGGAAATACTACATGTGTCGTCGTCAACTCCGTGGAATCAGCGAAGCATCTTTTCCTCGGCCAGCGCCACGGGACGAACTCTCGACCAACATTTTTTGTCTTTCACCAAAAGGTCAGCAGAGCCGTTACAAGCATCGGTACCAGCCCTTGGGATGAGTCTTGCAAGAAACGTCGCAAACTCGCGGCTGGCGCGTTAAATCGCCCACGAGTAGAGAGCTATGCACCCATACTGAACCTCGAGGCGCGAGAATTCCTGAAAGATCTATATTCTGTCTGTTGCAACGGCTCGGTGGACATCGATTTTCGCCCCGCTGTGCGGCGGTTTGCCCTTAACCTCAGTCTGACGTTGAATTACGGCACCCGAGTCTCAAATATCGAGTCTCTTGCAGATGATCAGCTGCTTGCAGAGATTATATATGTTGAGTCAGAAACCTCAAAATTTCGCGATACGGGCAGGGACTATGCCAACTACATTCCTTTACTCCGGTACTGGGAACCAATCGCTCACTCACTCGGTTTGGGCTCGACGCCCAAAGATCACGCTGCGGACATTGGCCGTCGAAGGCTGGAATACAACGATGTGCTCTTGAGTCGACTGAGAGACGAAGTTCTACTAGGGGAGAATAAACCATGCATTCAGAGCGGAGTTCTAAAGGACCCCGAATCTGTAACTCTTACTCGGGAAGAGTTGATTAGTGTCAGCTTGAGTATGATGGCAGTGAGTTTTCTACTTCGAATCGAGGCTGATATGTAGAAACCCATGTCTGATTCATCCTAACTTTGTTACCCAGGGAGCCGACTCAAATCAGCCAACTCTGGCCTGGGGTATCCTTCTCCTGGCACATCGCCCTGATATTCAAGAGAAAGCATATGCAGCCATCAAGAATGCCAATGTTCTAGATCAGCCCTCAAATACCTACGCTTCTACCAAGGTCGATTATGTGGACGCACTGGCCAAGGAGATTTCAAGATATTTTGTTGTCCTGAGGTTGGCTCTACCCAAGGCGACTTTCACAGATGTATCCTGGGATGCTGCTACCATCCCTGCCAATACCTTGGTTTTCTTAAATAGCTGGGCTTGTAACAGAGGTAAGTCATAAATGTGGTCTCTTCTCAATGTGCTTCAGCTAAAGTGAAGTAGACCCAGAACTCTTCAGAGAACCAGAGATCTTCGCACCCGAGCGATGGCTTCCAGGGGCACCTGATCAGTACGCGCACCAGTTCGCCTTTGGTATTGGAGGTCGGATGTGCGTTGCTTCTCACCTGGCACACAATGCATTATACACGGTCTTTTTGCACTTGATCGCACGCTTCCGAATCCTTCCAGCAGACGGCAAAGATTCCAAGGAGATAGACCCACTGAACGGATTGAAAGGAGTGACATTTGTTGCCACGCCAAGGGGTTTCCAAGCAAGATTTATACCAAGAGAGGAATCAGGCTTAGAGACATGGCTTAATGACCCTAATGCTAGCTTTTGACTATGAATTCTATCTGTAACTAAGTATAAAATAATAAGGTAGGTACGTAATAGAAACGCAGGGAGAACCTTAACATCGTTGTTTTACGAATTTTTCTTTCTTTTTCTTTTGTCGCTTTCCGAGTTTTTATATCTTTTATCACTTCTGCCTTAGCTTTTTTTACCGCCCCTAGTGCTTCGGTTGTATTCGTTGGACCGTCCGAATACTATAGGTTCATAGCGTTGAATGGTTTGACAACGAGGACCAGGTCTTAAACCTATCCACAAGGCAAACAAGGAAAATTGAAAACCACATCATGGACAAGTCGTGTCACTGGGTCGCCAGTCCGACCGCTGCATGCTGCCGACTTCCCCGATAAGAAAGTCAAAACATAAGCCGGATGCTAAACTGCCCAGTCAGACTACGTGATGTAGGAACTGCGGAGGTCAGACCGCATGAGCCCGCATTCAGCAGCCACTCGCAAGTGGTCCGTGAGGCAGAACGGGCGACCTAGATGCGGGATGTCGCAATAGCTCGGGTGGGGTCATTGACTACCCCGCCAGATGACATTTAAGGCTCCTGCTGCACTTCTGGCTTCTTTGTTCCCTTTGATCTACAGCTCAAGTCTTTACATTCCATCTTCTTCTTATTGATCATACGAATCCGAAGAGAAAAGCTTGGATCTGAAATGGCATCTGCAAACCTCAATGCCGCTGACCTCTTCAGCGTTAAGGGCCTCGTTGCCGTTGTAACCGGTGGGGGTACTGGTACGTAATGCTTAATTATAGGGAAAGCAGCACCTACAGTTGTCGAGCGGCCTCACTAACCCAAAGACAAGGTATCGGCCTTATGATTGCCCAGGGTCTTGAAGCAAACGGTGCAATTGTATACATAATTGGTCGTCGGAAGGAAATCTTGGAAAAAGCAGCTAGCACCGCCGTATGTTGAAAGTCTGAAGCAGCTCATCACCACCTTCTCTCTTTTGGAAAACCAACGACTGATTTCTACCTCCTCATTTCAGAAGCACGGCAATATTCGCATTATTCAAGGCGACATCACCCACAAGGCCGATCTTGAGCAAGCCGTCGCTGAGATCAAACAGGCTCATGGATATGTCAACGTTGTTATCGCCAACTCTGGAATATCAGGCCCAGCTCTGAAGGGCCTTCCCCCGAACCCAACTGTCGCTCAATACCGCGACTTCGTGTTTGGTTGGGACCAGAAAGACTTCACGGAGACTTTCGCTGTTAACACCACTGGTGTATTCTTCACCGTAGCGGCATTCCTCGAACTACTTGATGAAGGTAACAGGCGCGGCAATTTTAAGCAAAGGAGTCAAGTGATTGCAACAAGCAGCATTGGCGCCTACAACCGCCAACCAATGGGATTCGCCTACGGAGCATCGAAGGCAGCCGTAGTACACATGTTCAAGCAATTGTAGGAACCGACTTCTCGATCATTCTGCTCAGACTCAATACTAACGTCCACGAAGAAGTACGGTCTTGGTGCCATTCAATATTCGCGCAAATGTGATTGCGCCAGGATGTAAGTTAAGTTCCGATGTACTATCGCTCCCCCGATACACTTACCGTCCGTGAACATCAATGTTTCGGGGAATGGTCCACACTTACTGATCGTGTCAGTTTACCCGAGTGAGATGACTGCAGGTACTGTGGAGCAGCACAAGGATGGTTGGCCAAAATCCGTTATCCCGGAGGAAAGGGCTGGGGACTTGGAGGATATGGCTGGTGCTGCACTGTTCCTGGTCAGTAGAGCTGGCGCCTACACCAATGGCAATGTGCTTGTTACGGATGGTGGAAGACTTGCAGTGGTACCATCAAGCTACTAAAGTCTCAAGAGCCGAATTCTGCGACACTTGACAGCACTTTGAAATCTTTTGCTTTATCACACAGTCAATTGAAGGTATGAATGTTTTAACGCCTAGTTGAGGTGTCACAGGGAAATGACCTCTTGTTTCCCGGACTGGGCTTTTGTATTGGCAACTCTTCAAAAAGCTGTCCCTGTTCGTCGTACTCGTGTCGCTCGAAAAATTCACCCTAAGCGAGACCGAAGGGAAGTCACGCTACTGATGTGTTAGAACTGCGGAGAATAGAGCGGGACGCACCGCCGATCCTGATTCCACTCGGTCCAGGGTGATGTCACCTAGCACAGGTAGGGATTGAGCCTATAGGAGAGATGCAACTAAACAGAAGTAATTGCCACAGTTGCCGCCAGGGGGTGTGTCTGACTACCCATTCGGATTCTCCCCATCATTTCTCACCTCTGACAATACTGCCCGGCTCGGGACTGGATACCTTGCTGGGAGGGTTATGTGCCATATGTTCCCCTAGTCGTCTGGTAGAAAACACACTCGGCTTAACCTGTACCGACATCGTACAAACCTTACAGTTCAGTAGATGGTATGAGCTATAGGTTAGTACATGGTTTCAGAGTGCCGAAGCGTCCAATGAGGGAGGACCCGGCATCAGTTACAGCTTTCGATGATGCGCACTCCCCCCGTTTGTTAATAGTGGATATGTCATAGTTGGTGTCGTGTGTCTTATTCTGGGTGATTTACACTAGTCGTGCACAATCAATTGGGTAACAAATGATGGTGCCTCGGTTGCTCCTCTGCAAATCTAGGCATCATAGCGTCGGTCATTTCGCCGGCGTTTGGGGTCTGGATGGGACCACAGAAGTGTGGGCAACTTATCCATGCTCTACCTGAAACCATGTCCTCGATTTGCAATGCACATTGAGTAAATCCTCTTAATAATCGTTGGCACCCTTACGCACCTAAGATACACTGTTTCCATCTTTACTTTAATCTACAAGATACTTAGATGAGATATTCACCATGCTGAGCCTTCTATCAATAGCAGTTTTGGCGCTACCGGCGCTTCTGCTCTATCTCTACTCAGCACTGAGTTACCGTAGATTCAAGCAATATGCCCATTTTCCTCAACTGAAGCCTTCATTGGTATGGGGTCATCTTAAGGCGATCAACGATTTCCACAAAAGGCGTAGAGAGAAGAATGCCCAGATGGGTTAGTTGATTCAACAATGCACTGATAGTTGGGCGCCATCAATTAACCTGACATAGATCCAACGATGGGAGACATGGCCGAGTCAATCGGAAACCCTCCAACCATGCTCTTGGATATCCGTCCAGTCAGCCGCCCATTGCTCCTTATCCGAACTCATGAGGTTGCGGAGCAAGTATCGAGACAGTCGAAAATGTGGCCTTACAGTACGCCCAAGTCCGACACAATACTGTATCTGACTCCACTGCTGGGTGAAAGGTCCATTGTTATGTCCCAGGTAATGAAATTAATCTTCGTTAAAATGTCAAAGCTCTCTTTTCAGACACTTATGAGTAATCCGGCTTAGGGTTCAGAATGGAAAGATATGAGAAAGCATTTCAACCCAGGGTTTGCCCCCCAGCACCTCATGAGCTTGATGCCGGTAATTCTGGACAAGACACAAGCGTTCCTTTCGAAATTAGATACACTTGCCGACACAAGGGAGGTATTTGAACTAGAGCCTCTGTGCACGAACCTCACATTCGACATTATTGGTTCGTTCACGTAATTCGTTTATTTCTTCAAGCTCAACTGCTCATTTGCTTTCTCTAGGTGCTGTGACCATGGATGCCGATCTCGGTGCTCAACTCCCAGGAGAGCTACAGGGTGACTTTATCAGAAACTACAAAGAGTTTCTTTTATCATATAGGGAAAGGACGGGTATCTTTCAGTGGTGGGAAGATCCCAAAAAGAATCGTAGACGGAAGAGACTCTCCAAGGCTGTCAATGCCTTCTTGGAAGATCTCATTCGGCGCAAGTTCGATGACGTTAAACACAACGAAGGCGTGCCGAGTCGTAGTATCTTGGCGCTAAGTTTGAAGGATACTGAAGTATTGACTCAGGGCATCATCAACGACACAAGAGACCAGCTGAAAACCTTCATGTTTGCAGGTCATGATACCACTAGCATTCTTCTCCAGTGGGCTTTCTATGAGCTGTCGCGGACTCCACGTGCGATGAAAGCTCTCAGAGCCGAGCTGCAAAGTCTTTTTGGCCAAGATCTGAGCCCCGAGTCAATCCGTGAAACCTTGCTTATAAGAGGCGAAGAAATTACACAAAAAATGATATACACTTCGGCAGTCATCAAGGAAACTCTGCGCCTGTATCCGCCTGCTGGCTCCGCGCGTCTTTGCCCCCCTGGCGCGAATTTCAACCTTCAATTACCAGACAGTACCAGCTTATGCGTTGATGGAATGGTTTTGTATAATTGTGCCACCTTGATCCAGCGAGATCCCGAGATCTACGGAAGCACTAAGGATGACTTCGTTCCAGAGCGATGGCTTGGTAACACGGATACATCAATGGCAACTAATGAAGAGGGACAGGAAGGCATCAGCAAAGCCGGAGAGAGTGAGATTCCTGCTGCTGCATGGCGGCCATTCGAAAGAGGACCCAGAAACTGTATCGGACAAGAGCTAGCCAACATCGAGGCGAGGGTAATCTTGGCCAGTGTGGTCGGTAAGTATGTCTTTCAGAAAGTTGGTTTGGGAGAGGCAACTCTGGACGAGAAGGGCAATCCAATCATCAACGAAAAGGGGCAATACAGGTCCGACACGCAACTCTACAACGTAAGTCCACCGTCAACTTCTCGAGCCATTGCCCGGTCATTTTTAACTCGAAAAAATAGGCTAGGCAAATCACTGCACGCCCCGTCGACAACATGATGGTCCGTGTAAGTCTAGAGGCTGCATACAAAGACTGAAAACCTTACTTAGGAGCCAAACTCTTGGATTCTCAATAGGTTGTGAATCTTGAACATATCAAAATAGTGTTATGCGAAAGTTCCATTGGACAGTGACAACTCTCCAGATCCGAGCATGTTTGGGTAACATGCTATGACATAGTTATGCCGCTCGGCCATCTGCTGTTTCAATAATTCCTCGTCACAATGATATGCTTTATTTCGTTGCCCTGCTGGATGCCCTGCTTGACCAATAGCCCCTGACGGCCTTCTGGCAGGACGGGTTATGTTCTTAGAAATATCCCACCGAATGCGAGCTGGCGGCGTTATAAGAAGATCCACAGTTGTCACCGGGCTACTCGAGAACGCCTATTGAGCCAGGGACTTTTCTGAACGCGACCTGTGCCGTGGACTTCCAATGTGCAGCGATTTCATGATAAGTTTCATCCGCCCCCAGACCTCGAATTGAAAACCATAAGTCTTGCTCGAAGTGCGACAAACCTTCACAGACGAAACGTCGGCAATATCCTACTTTAAGGAGTTTGCAACTGGTAGAACCCAGGTAAATCCTGCTCATAACATTTCAAACGTCCAGTTTCAAGGTTTTAGAACAATTTTCGGTGCTAGGTCAAACGTTCTGGGCATGGATCAAGGCTAGGAACCTGTAGTGTGGGACACTGCTTGGAGAACGGCTGTAGCATCGTCACTTGGCTTCTGATTTCAACTTACGGCAGGAATATTCTCGGGTGGTCTCCGACCGGCACAACAAGACCAGACCCTTGAACAAGTTTGTATCCCAGATTAGGGGCAGATGGCTTAGTACTAGAGATGTCTTCAAGGGCTGACAGAGCTAGATTGCCAGTATTTATAGATATATTGTCCCTTTACATCATCGAGCAAGTTTGCATCTTGGCAGTCACTGCCGCCAATGATCGTGGTGCTTACAAAAAGAAGCGGGAAAACCCTCAGGGCTAGGGGAGCGATCATTCGGAGGACATGCATTTGGTTGATTGAGGTGCGGTATGTCGAGAGGTAAGATGTGATGACAGATGTGAAAGGCAAAGCAAGTGATGGAAGTAGCGATAATGAGTACGTGCTGCCGCCTGCTTTTGGAGACGTAAGCAAGAAGGGTCTTGATGACGAAGACGGGGGGGGTTTGAAATGTCCAGTTTTCGCTCGTTTCACCAATTTAAACATAAAAAGTATGGAGTTCATTTTGCAGATTGAGTGGGCAATGCCTTCGTTCAGAAAGCCACACAGTCTACATAAACTCAAAACATGTGGCATGTCCTTCGCTGTCATAAGGTTCATCTTCTATTGTCTCAAGTCCTTGCCAATGTAAGGACACTCCGCATTCCCCATTAATTAAGTAGCAAAGATTCATTTAGCCGTGATCTCGCTTGGTAGTGGCGCGTTTTATTGGCCTTCGAAGTCGATGATCCCATTCATGCGCGCTGTAGCTAACCGGTAAGATATGAGTCGTGGGCTCAGCCGCCCACTCTACCCTGATATGCGCATAATCCGATTCTTTAACAACATCTACAACTCATCGGAATATCCGGTGGGATTTTTACACCGCGGACTGATCTTTCACAGTCACTGACCATGTTATTTTTGACTGGCCGGCGGGTCTCGGCACCTTTGGGTCATCCCAACTTTGCGCCCGTACCCACTTCGACCACCGGGCCGGTGGACTTTGCCTCGGTACGACGGGCCCGCGCATCCCGATCGGTAGCCTAGAAGTCAGACTCAGGGGGAGGGAGGTTCCAATCCGGTTTGATTGACCTCAAGATGACCGGTAGGCTAAGAAGTATACCTAGTGTAATGCTAAGTAAAACAACCTTCACCCGGTGTGATCACAACTTTCCAGGAAGTTTGATTTCCTGATCACGAACTTAAGAGGATGATGCATGTTGGGAGGACTCGGTACAGCTGCCAGAAATTGTCTTCCTAGGCGCCACATCAAATGGTGCCACCTCGGTTATAGATCAAGAGCACACCATACGAAGCACCTCTGCTTCACAATTTTGAAAAAAGAATTGCCTTCTATAAGAGTACCTATCTGGAAACCAAATTTCATACCCTTCTCTCTAATCCCAGGATTTAACATTCTGAATACCAAGCGTTGCACCTGCTGGCAAGGTACACCATCCATTTAAGCCATTGGGAGGCTGGTACAGCCCGCTGGTACCGTCGTCGTATGTAACCCTTATGGTCGACGTGTAACGTTTGTGGTTTCCGTCAAAATAAGCCCAACCGTCATCCTGTATCACCGCATTGCCGGTTTGGACGTTCCAGCTCCAGTGCCCATCACCGCTGTTGTAGTAGCGCCAATCAAGACCGCCGGCGACATCAAGTACGTTTTTAGCTCGGTATGACTGGCACGGATCTGCAAGTGCTGGGGCTACCAGGAGGGCAGCAGTAACAGAGATAAACAAACTCTTCATAGTTACTGTTTATCACGTATTAGAAGATTATAAGGGTTTGAATTAAGACTGGTAGTGAGGGTTCTAAGTGTACTCACCTAAGGATAAGTCGAAGGGTAGTGAGTCAAATTGTATAGATGTCTTAGTCTTCTGCAGTTGACGATATGATTGTTAGAGGCAAACCCAAGTCTAAAGGAAACCACTAAGACTTATACTGCGCGTTCGAGGGCGAAGAATTCCTACCGGCTGTCTCGGCCTCTCAACCGCACCGTCTACTTACAATCAATTTAGCTATGACCTAGCACTTTGGAAGTAATTCATATTATATTTAGATTAATTGCGTTAGTTCACCTTGATGTAACAACTATTTCAGAAATGGCAATTAGAGGTGACGTTTGCCTCGTATAGCCACTTACGCAGCATACTAGTCATCTATCATGGTCAGCGAGGTTGACCCTGATATTTGCCGCGGCCTCCGAATGAACTTTTGGAAGGTGAATATATGGGGTTAATGTCGCCGCAGTGGGACCGCACTTGACCCGCACTTGGCTTTACACTCAAACGGCTTCTGAAGTCCACAAGACCAGTTTGAATCATCTGGACATGCGTCCCAGCAGACAGTCATCGATGAAGTAGAAAGGAGACGCCGAAACCACACAGAAGCCTTTGAACATCGAGGCATGAAGTTGGTAGACTCGGCGTACTGACAGGCGTGTTGTTGGTTGCTTTAATGGCGTAATTGATATAATTTCATTTTCTTAAAACTGACTGGCGATTGATCCCGTAACCCCTTACAGTAAAACGAGACTTTTCACGTGTGGCAGGTGGTTGGAGCATGTAGTCACTTGCGTTTACATGTTTACTACGATGCTCCGACCATACCGGCAGCTATTGCAAGGCACATCTTGACTCATGTCAGCTCGACCCATCCGGCCTTCCGGTGTCCGCAATATCGAAGCCGAAGCTCATTGGACAGCAGACATGGAATAGCATAACTTCGAACTAGTAGCTAGGCAGTACACTTATTGAAAAAGAAAATAACACGGTTGAACAACAAGACAAGCGTCCGAGGCTAAGAGAAAAGAACTATATAAGCTGATCGGACAGTCATGAACAAACCGTTGTTTCAGTCATATCGTTATCTTTAGTTGCTCAGGCTACTCTACACACCTGCGTCTTGAAATTCTTACAAAAGTGAGTGTGATTCTTTTATAGTTAGTATCTGAGGACTTAACTCACTGACTGAAGGTATCTAACAGTATAACGATGGTTAACTTGTCTCTCCTCGTTACGGCTACTTTAGCAGTCAGTGCTGAGGCTGTCTCATACACGTGGACGAAATGCCTCAATGTCGACAAATGCCTCAGCGTTGGTGCCCCTGGTGACCCTACCGGTCAAAAGGGCAAAGTTTTCAGGGGAAAGGCAGGGGCGGCGTCTTTTTGGTATCCGGGGACTTATCTTTTTCCCTATTCGGCGACTACTGGTTTCACCTACGACCAAGGGGATGGCTACTGGTACTCGCATGATGCAGATGGACTTTACATTTCGCCTCAAGGATACGTCAACTTCGCCCACGATTACAACAAAATTGGCATCAACAGCAAGGACCAAGACATCGGCTCAACCTACTGGGTTCATGGAGGAGCTCCATGCTGCCTGCCGGACGAGGTCGGGGTTAACATTTATGACGTCGTCGCATACCAGCATTCCGCTTGAAAGGGACTCAGCCATGCAATGATAGCCAAAGCAACAGTTATAGCCTTGATAGCTGTAATATCCTCAAATGTATAGAGAGAAGAAATCTTAGAAAGGGCTTTTCTTTACGATTTTTCAACCAGCATTTTGAATGCAACTAATTGTCAGAAGCCATCGTGAGCCCGAAATTGGATGGACTGTTTGAAATCCGAATGAGTAGGGGGTTTTTCCAAAAATTGTCTCCATATGAGGCACAATGCAGATACGAAGATAGCGGTACGGTTGGATTAGCTGTATGATCTCACATAGATGAAGTCAAATTCTGAAAGCGAGGGTAATGTTTGTTCAATTGCAAACGTCGAGTCAAAATCACTCATTTCAGTCCGACTTCTTTGTCGATAGTCGCAGCAGAATAGTTACACAACAGAGAGAGTTTCCCACGGGTTCATCATGTCTGCCGTCTGAAGTTTGACTGCTTCGCCATGCATAAATCCATGGACACATGCACCGCCTACTAGGCGATGTCTATCAGATCCATATTTGCGGAAGATCAGTGGTACACGAGAACCAGGCACGATCCATATTGAGTCATCCTGTCTGAGAGATTCTGATCCAACCCCAATGTATCCTGCCGACGTGCTGAATATTCTCAAATAGATAGCGTGAGAAAACGCTGTATCATAGTGCTCTTTTGATGGACTTGAAGGTATATTTTTACTCACTTGTCGAAACTCGGTCAGGGTAGAGTCGTACTTGTTTCGTTCCTGTGCCGGCGTGCTTTCTGACAACGCTGTAAGTTTGATCCCAAGCCAGTGTAGGAAAGCGCGTCTGTAGCTCTCGTCAATTAGACACCGCGGTGGATCGCTGCCTGTATTTGTCAACAGAGAGCGCCAGACTATGTTCAGGCTTGCTTCATGGAAGCTAGAATGATGACCCTTCAGGATCCTTATCAGCTTCGGAAATGGCTTGCCTGCACTGATTTCGTGTTTGCTTTCCCCTACGAAGGAGATAGCGTCGAGCCTCCAGCCCCAATCTCAAGAATCCTAGATGACTCGTGAACAACTAGTTTTCGTGGTAGGCTGCCCGCAGCATTGAAACGTCTGTAACCTGTGACTCTTAACCCAAGAGACTTTTCGCATCGCCAGTCAGGAACCCAGGATGGCAAGTCGGGGCTACACTGAAAACTTTCCCCTTCGACGCAATAGAGCAGAAGAAAGTCATCACTGTCCTTGAGGATCTGAATGGCCGCTGAAACGTACGCCGATTCAACAGTACGGTTGCCGTAGACCGGTTGTAATCCTGGTTTGTCATGGACACTCTCTCCCAGTCCCACTAGCCCAAGCAAAGCATAAATCTTGTCGCGCGGATCGGTAGCTTTAAAGCGACGGCAACGGACCAATGATTTTTTGAGGGCCTCTGCATAGCCTTCTTCTCTACGCGAGAGTTTGTTTGCTTTAGTACCGTTGGCGTACTGTGGTGGCATGGTCCAGGAATTCGATCGTCAAGGCTCAACGTGCTAAAGTAGCTTGACCAAGAACTGGTGGTGAGAAATGGGAAAGTGCTTCAAGATGTCCCCATGAAGTGGCATGACTACCACAGAGTACAACCGCATTCTTGGCAAGAACGACTTCTTGGATGATCCAGACTCTTTGGAAGTAGGTCCGGCGGAACAGCTTCCTGATAGCATTCCAAGACGCGGGGTCGTAAAGCACGTTCTGTGCAGCAAGCCCTCCCCATACTCTCGCTATTTTGCTTTGGGTTATTCGGTGAGGGTTCACTTCGGCATGGTGGCTTGGTTCTATCGTAGGAAATAGGTTGATGAGATTTTTAGCCTCCCTTGTGTCGCTGTCCTCTTCGCCCAACCAGATCAGAACAGAATCGGCCGAGCTGTATATTGTCGACATGAGTCGTACTTGGCTTGACCGCTCTTCATCGTCTGTTTGGATAATTGAGATCGCATCAATCCAGAACTTCTTGCCTAAGAGCTCTGGTCTCTCTCTAATGCGCAATAAAGCTGCCTTCAAGTTTTCTGGGACAAGGATATCTTGTCCATTACATGTGATGGGAGTGGCTGGTCATCGGGTCTATTGACGCTGGCTGGGCCCCAAGTGTATGAAACGGCAAGGTACGGGACTAAGTCTTGATTCAAGCTCGTGACCTCCAGAATACAACTGACTTTGTTGGAATCACAGTCGTCTTGATGTTTGATCGAAATCAGTCGAGTATTTCTAGCGTTGAGAGGAAGAGCGGGGTAGACGGAGGATGGAGCTTGGGTGTGGATGTTTTTGACACTTCCACTTGCCGTGCTTGCCATTTCGCTCATCACATCGAAGCTCTAGCCTGTCGGTACGTTAATCATCTGAACTCATGGCAAGGCAACAGTATTCCTAATACTTATATGTCCAGTGTTGTGCCTCAACAAAGTACAAAATGAAGGCTTGCTTGAACCCCGCAATGAGACTTGAGCCTAGAACGCCATAAGGGATTGGGGTGAATTGAATTGCGGGTTGCTCAGCCTCAACTCTTTTCAATATTTCGCGCAAGCCCCCCAAACAATGACGCGCCTAATCCCTTTGTTGCCGCGCTTACTTATCTAGCTTACCCCCACTCCATTCAACCTCATCTGTCTCTGTTTCTACCTCATCATCCACAGCTATCGAGTTCATGCTCCCTCAAAACCTCTTCCCCGCATTACTCGCAGCGACTAAAATGGCTGCACCCATCAATCCTGTTTGCCGCTATAAGTTTACAATCCTTCCCAAGTACTTTGTGGACTATTACCAGGTCGCAGATAAGAGCCCTAATGGAAAAGCAACGACACAGCCGAACCTGGGGCTCCTTGATAAACCGTTTGGAGATGCAGCCAGTGAGGCAGATTCCACGCCATGGGAACGGTTCGCCACCCACGTCAACAGACTCAATGCTGAGAGTCCAGATGACGTTGCCTATAAGGTCCTATATCTTACGAGACACGGGTTAGGGTTTCACAACGTGCAAGCAGCCAAGGTTGGGACGGCTGAGTGGGATGTAAGTAGTTATTCTCTCACTGGTTTTCTATCACTGACAGGGGTACTGTTGTAGAGGTACTGGTCACGTCTCGACGGCGATGGAGTAGTTACATGGCTCGATGCCGCGCTTGTGGACACGGGTATCCATCAAGCGAAAGATCTGAGTGCATTCTGGGCTGATTCCACGACGACCGAGAAAGTTCCCTTCCCCGAGTCTTTCTACACCAGCCCGCTCCGTCGGTGTCTTGAAACCAGTAAGCTCGTGTTCGGCGGCTTGATCGAGGAGAAGGGCCAGGAGTTCCGACCGCTCATCAAAGAAGGACTGAGAGAGCGTATGACCGACCACACGTGCGATAAGAGGAGCCCAAAGAGATGGATTGAGAGCGCGTACCCTAAGTACATCATCGAACCAGGGTTTAGTGAAGAAGATCAGCTGTGGAAGGCCGACCGATTCGAGACCACTGAGGAGCATATTGCTAGAAAGCAGCAAGTTCTTGATGAGATTTTTTCAACGGATGCGAACCAATTTTTGTCATTGACAATTCACTCATATGCCATCTCGGCCATCTTGAGGGTTGGGGGCAGGAGGAGTTCAGGGTTAGGGAGGGATCGACGATTGCTTTGCTGGTTCGCGGAGAGAAATCTGATATCCCGTCAAGCTAGTTCTCAGAAGGAGTTTTCGGCTTCATTGCACTAAGCCCAGCCACGTTTTCTCAGTCATGCTATGTTTTCTAAGCTATGTTCTCTATACGAGCGGGTGCATATGTCTGATTTATTCTTAACAGCTTAGTGAATGATTCTTCTGTTGAATGCTGCACGTCATTAGCACCAGGAGCGTAGAAACAAACAAACGGTTATGGTACTCGTACAGTATCCCACGGCTGCCAAGCGAATGAACCACAGCTGAAGAACGAGATGCCTTAGCTCTCGATCAAGATCTCTCCCTCATTAGAATCGTAGGAGAGAAGTATGTTTACTCCTGAAAGTAGATGTTTGAAAACACCAGCAGATAGGAAGTCATGCCCAAAATGTTGTTCAACATCCTAAAAGGGGATCCCTGCTCGCCATATCACGGTCGGGCTCCGCCGCGACCGCTGTGATCTCCGCCATACTGGCCCTCCCTCGTATGTTCACGAATAAAGAGACACAGTTGATAAGCGAATCTATGATCGATTCCATCAAAGCTTATAAAGCTCTCATTTTATTGATTACAACGTCTTGCTAGCTTGAATTTATATGTGACTCCTAACAAATCTTACTAGCATTCATTTTGCCACCTCTGTTAGCTCAACTAGAACCCTCTTTCCATCGCGAATCTGCACGTTGGCCAGAGTCAGACTCGAGCTCTTGACAGTTTGCCTACTGGTCTTTTCGGTCAAAATAAGGTGCCACATGTGAGCCACGCAGCCCCCGCCAGAGCCATCGGGGGCATTCCAGACTTGGATTTCGTTGTTCGACTGGACGTTCATAGAGTCTTTGACTCTGAATTGAGTAACTGCATCCAGAAACTGTTGATAGTTGAAGCTCCCATGGTTAATTCTTTTTACAAGGTTAGCACGCTTCATTATCCAGGAACATTGCGCCTCACCTGACAAGTAGATCAGAGGCAGTATGTTCCTTGAAGGCCTCATGCGAGAGTATGTCGTTGGGCTGGAAAAATATCTTGTTGAAAAGCTCATCAACCCAGCCGCCAAGAGGAGCCGAATTTGAGCTCAGCTTGATTTCAGACATTTCTCCAGTAGCGCAGTCCGCGACGGGCAGGGTTAGGCCTTGCGGGACAAGTTTGCCGTGTAGGATGCCTGTTAATCGAAGGGAATAGTTAGAAAAGGATTTCCTTGGGTTGCAGGGTCAATTACAATAAGAAGAGATATTCAGCTCATATTTATTCTCAAGACACTACAAATAAAACCTCTTTGAGAAGTTTACGTTGATCTCTATGGACGTTTTCTTGATAGTCTCATGTCACTTGCAGGCGGGATTCCGCGTCGGAATTCCGCGCTTGCATAGGCCCACCGCTTCTCGACTAGCGCAAGCCTCCATGCACGGACAATATTAGTCAACCGTGGTTCCTCACGTCACACGGCCGACTACCATCGACTTGTGTTGCTCCCCATCATCTCCACAAGAACTGCTTGCTGAACGAGCCGGAGACATGATCTCTTCCCGGCGGAAATCATGCATCGCCTGCGTCAAAGCTAAGAAGCGCTGCGACCTAGGCCTGCCGGTATGTCACCGCTGTGCCACACGACCTTCCCAATGTGTGTATCCATGGGCAGAAGCCAGCGGCACAAGTGCCTCTTCATTGGGTCCCAGGGACTTCGAGCTCGAACAAAGGGAGTCCTCGCTACAAGACCTGGAAATGAGAAACCCGCAAGCCCAGCAACAAATCCTGGAATTTGGGAAGCTGGACAGAAACAACGCCATTGTACCCGCAAAAAGTCCCTTTAATCTGCAACCATTGTCGCCTGTCATGTCTAGTATGGTGGACGGTCTATTAAGCCACGACCAGTTTCTCTTCGATTCTCACCAACAACTATTCGAGTCAACAAACTCAACTTTTGATCAACAACTCGTACCACTGGTCACTGGAAATTCCGAACCAAGCTTTAGCAGTATCTTCCAGGCAAGAACCGAATATGTAGCCCGGCGTCTGGGCCTACAGCCTCACCGTCTTATCAATGCGGGGCAAACAGCGTTCATACATCATTCTCATATAGCTGCATCCTTACATCTTCAAGAAGCGTTCGCCGTTAGTGCCCTCTTCGCGATGCAGAATGCGATGAACGCACAAGTGGTCACCTCAGAAATCGATCGACGTGCTGCTCTACTTATATCAACAGTATCAAAGGAACTATCATCTGATTACCTCACCAGCCTCGATCTCCTAGCGCCAGTCCAGGCCCTTCTCATCTACCAATGCATCCGCCTCTTCTCCTCAAACATCCGGCAGCGCTCTCAGGCCGAGTATGACGAATCTGTTCTCCTGTCATGGGTATCTCAGTTACGGCCGCAGATTCGTCCTTTCAGCGACAAGAATGACTGGAACGACTGGGTCAGAGAGGAAAGCCTCCGCCGAGCGGTATTGATGACCGAAATCATCTCTGGCACTTATGCATTTCTTACGCAAGGCAGGGATGAGGCAGAAGCGCGGGTTGTGATACTGTCGTTCACGGCTCAAGCTACGTTATGGGAAGCGCGATCGAAGGCGGAGTGGGAGGCTGTGTGGACTCGGGGCCCGAGAATCGAGGTTAAAGTGAGGCATTGGAATCGGGATATGGCTTTTTCCTGTCCCGAGAACATTGAAGAATTGGGTATCATCATTCGAGCCATTTACCTGGGAGTAGATGCCCTGGAGGAATGGTTAGGCGGACAAAAAGAGGAATTGCTGAAATGGGGGTTGAGACCTTGAAGCTATCTGCCAACCCTTGAACGTAACATTGTAGAGAACCGTCACCAGGGTGATAGAATTTAACGTTCAAAAAAGCAACCACGTTGACAATGTTTCTTTCTGGTGTCGTAGGACATTACGTTTTCAGGTCCCACTCCCCTATTCATTTATCTTTGTGTACTTTAGTTTGGGTATAGGTCCGATTGATGAGTATGTCAACTATCTGAATGCGACTGTTGTACTACCGTTGAATCTGGCTCGTAGAACGTTCGCATGATTTACTATAGCTAAACGACTGGGTTGTATATTGTCGGCTCTCGCCCCTGTTACTTTGAATTGAAAATCTTTGAATCTGTCTAGGCGTTTGTAATTGAAAGGCGTTAAAGACACGTTTCTTGCGCCACCGAAGTACCATTCACGCGTGTCGGTGACTATGTCGAAACATTTCTAACATTCCTGAGTTACCACAATCGACACATCATCATAGTTCAATCTACAAGTTCTCAAGCGGTTGGTTCTTCAACGGTCATTGTCTCGCTCAGGGATGCAGCGTATGTAATCGTAGGGTATTAGTTCTTCCGTCAACATCACGATAACTCGGCCGACCTAGCATCAAGGCCGGCTAGCAGACACAGCAGAATTTCCAAGTAGGTTTAGATGCCTCAAGCATTATATTTACGCCCTTCCAGGCTTATAAGTCAAGATATATACATGAATCTGTCGCCGGCCCACTAGGGTTGCCCGACAACGCCCCCTATTACGCTCGCCGAAGCTCCAAAGGAGAAAAGGTATCATCAGCCGAAGCTTAGATCTTGCCGAAGCCGGCGTTGGTGGCGGCGGACTTGGCGGTGTTGGCGTTGCCAGCAGAAGCAACGTTCTTGCCAGCAAAGCCGGCGAGGACGGAGGTGTCGCTGCCGGCGAGCGAGCCGCTGGAGCCGAAAGCATTAAGCTGGCAGACGTGACCGACGTTGCCGGAGCACTTGGCGTTGGTGTTGGTGTCGGGGGAGGCGAACATCTTGCCGGCAAGGCCGGTCTGGTAGGCGGCCTTGACGTTCTGGAAGACGTTACCCTCGGCGACGATCTTGGCACCGGCGTCGGCCTCAAACGCGTGACCGGAGTTGTCGAGCCAGTAGTTGTTGACGGCGTGGAGGAGGGTGTTTCCAGCCACCTTGGGGGCTCTGCCGGAGGTGTGGTGGATGTAGTTGCTAGCATGGACGTCAGCTCACAACCGCTCTATTACGACGTTTGGAGATACAACTTACCCCTTGAGGGTGACCATGTCACTGCTGCCGGTGAAGTACATAGCCCAGTAGTGGTGGCCGTCACAGGTGGCAGACCAGGAGGAGGAGCCGTCAATCTCGTTGTTGGAGATGGTGACACGGTTAGAGGCGCCGTTGCCCAGGACAATGTGCTGGCGGCCGATGAGGGAGGTCTTGACGTGGTCGATCCAGACGAGGTCGCTGCCGTCGAGAGTGATGGCATCACCACCCCAGACGTACTGGGGGTTCAGGTTGGTGATGTGAATGTTCTGGATGATGATGTTCTTGGCGCCGCCGGTGATACGGAGACCCTTGCCGATAATGACGCCCTTGCTGCCCTGGCCGATGATGGACTTGTTGGAGGCAACCTTGATGGGGTTGAGGCCAGCGTTGTCGTACCTGAAGGAGTGATATGTGTTAGCTTACAGGTACCAAAGCCGGCTCTGCTAAGAGGGTCAAAGAGTGGAACATACTTGACGCTAGTCTTGGGAGCCTTAGGCTGGTAGTTGGTGCACCAGTTGTCCTTGTTGATGGCGGTCTGGCAACCAGATCCGGTACCCCAAGGAGCACAGCCGGATCCTGAGGTGGTTCCCTCCGTACCACGGAAATCAAAGGTCTTGGTAAGAACAATGGTACGGGGCGAGGAATCGGTCAGGTAAGAAACAAGCTGAGCGGTGGTCGAGGGGTAGACGGCGGCAGCGGAGCCGCCACCGGTGGTGCCCTTGGCGAAGCCCTCGGGAGAGCCCTTGACGGCATCAGCGGCAAGAGCCAGCGGCGCAAAGGCCGCCAGGGCCATTGAGAGAAGAGCAGATTTCATGTTGAAGGCTTCTGAATGAGAATAAGAAAGTAGATACAAAGAACGAATGGATTGGTCGGATGTGAAAGAGAGACAAGAGGACGAAAAGCCGCTGGAGTGAAAGGATGTTCCAATTTGAGCAAATGTGGCTTGAGGGTCAATGATATATGTCTTTTGGACTGTCCTGCCTTGGGTCCTGCAGACCACATTCTTTTCATTCCCTCGAGCCCCTTTCCAGCCCCTAAACACCACGGCGAGCCCCCTGCAACAGGGCGGGCGACGGCCTCATCTCACGGCTTCCAGCAAGTTTCTAGCACCCCACAGACTCAAAGGTGCAATGAGCCGACGATACTGCTGAATCCACACAAACAACCAGCCTGAATTCTTGGCGTAGGTGCCACAAACGAGCTGCTCAAGAAATGGAGTGGTGGAGGATCTCCACTTATTCATGGGGATTTGATGCGCTCTGTAACCCTTTCATCTACCACATCACCCCCGTCGACCCGGGGTTACGGCGATAGCTTCGGCGTCGCGGCCGAATCAAGCAGCAATAGCATTACAGTCTCCGCTGGTAGGGCCGCGTGCTGGAAGCCAACCTGCCGGGGCTAGAGACTGCCAGCAACGGAGCCCCTGCTGCAGCAAACCGTCACAAGGTGCCAGGGAGTAGGGCCGCCTTGCAGAACACCTAGGTACGCTAGTTCCGTCTGCTAAGTGCACACATGGGTTCACATGGCGAAGTCTAAAATTCCGCCACTTAGGGAACATGGGAGAAGAGCCCGGCGTGTACGGTAGCGCGTTCTGGGCACCCCGTAAGCTGTTCTGATGAAACGGTGTGAATTTCCCGCGATGGCGTAGTCCTGCGCACATTGCGTGTTTGCTAGCTCCTCCCAACTAAACACCCGGCGCAGCCAAGGACCCTTGCAGTTGGAGGGAGGGGCCAGAGAAATAGGCTAGGAAAATTCGTAGCCTCGGTCGTTCTCCGTGCCAATATCTCTCGGCCTGAGAAGGATAAGATCTGTTAAGCATAACCGCGGTCTGTTGCATCAGCTCCATTTATTTGGCCCAAGCTCCTTCGTGGACTTTTTGTTTTCTTCTTCGCTCTTATCGCACGTGTGCATCGCAGCGTCCCACCCCGTTCTCAAAGCATTCTAACGGGTCAAGGATACGGTTTGTAAAGTGAAGGAAATCGACGGCGAGAGCAGCAATGTTGGTTTTCTTATCCGCGAGATGCCCCTGGGTGTTTCGAGTCATACTGGCGTGGGCAGCCGGTGCCTCGAACGGGTTAGCCGGGCATGGGATGGAGTGGCGGCTAACGACATTTGCTGACAATCGCATTCAGGGGTCGCTCTTCCGGGCGAATTGCCCGAGCTCCCAAGACTGGGATATGCATGCCAAGCGATAGATTGAGCCTCAAGCCTAGCCCTCGCGGCCACTGCATCTGGAAGCAAAAAATCAAGCCACAGGAGTGACAGGGACAAATTGCGATCCCAAGGTGGCTCTCGTCGACTCTTCAGAGCATCATCGCCCTCCCCGGTGAGATGGGAACTCGAGTGGGAACACCCAGCACTCTGTCACTGTGTACACTATACCCGACGTGTTCCCTCGCGTGCATCAAAAACTGGACCCCCGGCTGTTTATGCCGAACGCACATCGGCAATGGCGGCAAGTGGTCAGAAAGGCCTTTCGAGGCCGGCTAATAGTGAACAACAGCTCCAATCATCAATGTCTTCCAGCGCCTTCGCTCCCCTGTAATCGACAACTCACTTCCCATAAGGGGGGTCTCAATACTATAAAATACGACTTTGGCAATGTGCTTCCCAGAGGTGCACTTCATATATTTAGATTGACTGCCGCTAGACCTCTCTCGTCGCTCGACCAATTCTGATGGAGCTAAATCGAACCCCCACCGTCCAGACCAGCTTTCGCCTATGTCATCTCCAACTCATACGACTTTTACGGACTTTAGGAATTTTATACTTCGCCAAGGACTCGGCTAATCTCGACAAACTCTTGTTCGCGTGCCAGAATTTCTCGCTCAGCCTTGGTGTTGCCTTCCTTCGGCAGCTGCGAGAATATGATGGGAATTAGCGCGGCCAGCAGCGTCCCGAAGCCGGTGAAGGCGCCCGTTGTCGCAAAGCCCTTGGTGAACCGGGGCCCGTCCGACGAGGGCCAGAGTCTACTTCCGTAGACCGCCGAGAGATTTCCGACCGAGTTGACCAGGGCAACGACCACTGCGCGCTTCTCCGCAGGGAGGGAAATGACCTCTGAGGTCCAGTTCAGCATTAGCGGCAGTGCCGTGTAGAGGCCGGCGATGTAGAAGCACAGCATGGCGTACACGACCTTGGGGTCCGACACGGTCACGCACACGATCGTGCAGACGAAGCTGAGACACATACATCCCGTGATGTGCCATCGCCGGTCTCTGGTCCGGTCTGCTGTATAAGACAGCACAACCAAAAAAACTGCGCCAACCATCCAGATGGGGATAGTCATGTACTGGGCCATTACCGACGTGTATCCCATTTGCTTGACGATTGTGGGGATGAAATAGGAGATCGTGCAGGATCCCAGGTCCATCGTGAACAGCACCACAAAGACGTACGTCCGTGGATCGGCCAGAGCCGCCTTGAGGGATTGCCAGTGCGTAAGGCGCTGGCTGTGCCTGGCTGCCGTCGTCTGCCTATCATGTATCATTCGGACCACGGCGAGTTGTCGTTCCTCCAATGAGAAGCGTTTTGTCGTCTCCGGAAAGTCGAGCAAGACGAACTTGAAGATGACGGCGAATCCCACCGTGCAAACCCCTTCGATCAGATAGAGCCACCGCCAACCGCGAATGCCTCGGACCCCTTCCATACTGCCGGTGATTGCACCCGCCAGGAGGCCGCTCACCGCGCCCGAGCAGACTGAAGCGGTGTAAAAAATCGAGAACCGCTTACCTAGAGTGCAATTTCACTTAGCACGGGTTGACACAGATAGATTGCGGGGCTCGGTATTAAGCTGCGGGTTAAGGGTACTTACCAATTTCTGCCTTCTTGTACCAACATGTCATGACATAGAGGACACCTGGGAAGAAGCCAGCTTCGATGCATCCAAGAAAGAACCGAAGGGCGAGCATCCCTTCGTAATTCTTGACAACCGACATCACGGCACAGACTGTGCCCCAGACAACCATAATGCCCGGCAGGTAGTAGGACGGCCGGGAACGGGTGAGCAACATGTTTGAGGGGACCTCACAGATGAGGTAGCCGATGAAGAAGATGGAGAGCAACATTGCGTATTCCGCGATCGGTTAGCAAAATCTCAGCCTTGGTGTGCGTTTGGCCGTGCTCACGAGAATCGTCCAGCTGCAGGTCCACCTCCATGCCAGCAACTTTAGCGTTTCCCTACGAGAAGTAAATTAGACCTCCATGTTCTTTCGAGGCGGCGCAATGGACTCACAATATTTTGTCTATCAATGTATGCCAAGATATACATGAACCACAAGGTTGGACCCTGCCTATTGTGTTAATTATTGCGAGCAATTCGGACTCGCCTCGCGGGTAAGCTAGACGCGAAGAGCCTGTTACCATATACAAGTCGAGTTTCCGCACCAGCGCTTTCTCTTCTGCTGAGTCGGGGGTATAATTCTGTAGAGCGCATTGTAATTCCAGGTCTTGTTCAGACAACACACCCTTTTCTGCGTACGCCTCCGCCGTATCCGACGACTCGGGCTGGGGTTTCTCTGCCTTGATGTCAGTCATCGTGGAAAAAAAAACTAGTTTAGAAGTATATGGTTATATGTAATGACTGCAAAGCTTGGATTGACCTCCATTGAGAACAGGATGATTGTCTTATTATGTCTAAACACTCCTATCTAAATATTCTGCTGGCATCAATGGCCCCCTTAGACCATGCAACACTGAGTCGGCGCCCGATGCTTGATAAAGTCGGCATATCCAAACTCTGCATGGTTATCAAGAACTCAGTAAATAAGAGGTTAGTGACAGGCAGCCAAGGTCGCCAAAGCGGCTCGTTATCTTTATTGCAACGGCGACATATCTTGAAGCTCCACTTCCACCCCCGCGTTTACACGTGCAAGATAGCATATACCCGTGCAGCAAGCTACAATTTTAGATGACGATGCGTTAAACTGCCTGGGCAGTATCGGGGTATTTTCCTAGATATCGATAATCAGAAAGAATGGGTCCGAAGAATGGGTCCGGATCGGCGGCCGGTTGGTCTCTCCGACCGGCCCGGTCCATTCGTGAACGGACAGCTAAGGTCTTAGTCAGCGAGCCGGTAGAACAACTCCCTACAGACACGATGCGGGATCTTCAATGACTACACGTGTCTTCGAGCGGAGTATTATTCTCGATTAGCGGGATTGATGCTTACATCATTCTCCAGTACAGTGACCACATGACCGTGAACGTCGGCCTCCAAAAGCTTACATTATCTCAACGATAGTCATGGCTTTACCGGTTGCGATTGTGAAAAGGTTGATGAACTCTAGTCCATATCAGCTGCTCCTTAGTATTACTGATTCTGTTAGTAGTATTACGATTTATCGAAGCTGTTTGATGCGGTTCAGCCGCTTGTCTCGCTTCCGTCAATCTTTTCCGTGCTCGCGTGTGCACTGCATTCGATCTCTCTCTGCCTCTTCTGCAATGGCCTATCCTGTGGGTCAGGTGAACGCGGGGTTCGACCGCTGTGGCTGGTGATGCGGCCCATAGAGATATATAGCCTCACTCGTCCTGTTCCAGTGGGCTGGGCTCTCAAACTCTTCCCTGCAGCTACATAGCCGTCTAGGAGGCTCCGCCAAGGTTCCAATCCTCTCTTAGTCCTTGTTCAGGACGTGCATGGATGCAGATCATCTTCAGGGTCCCGAGGTTCAGGTTCGGCTGGTGGCACGACCGTTCTAGCAGCATTTCCAGCCAATTCACTAAGTCGAATTCACAAAGACCATATCGTTTGGAAAGAAACAGACACACTGAACTAATCATTTGGTTAAGAAGGACTGTTGATGATGCCGGTTGAAAGTACTTTGTTAGCGGGTAAGATCATAGCAACCCCAGGTTTAATAAAACAACAACCGTATTGACGTCTGAAAATGTAGGCGGTGGTTTGTTTGGCTGGCCACGCATACTTAGATTGCAGCTCGCTCTCCATCGCAGGTCCCTCTAATGCGTGGTAACCATTTTATCCATGAATTGTTCCTCGACCCTTTTTTTAGTAGAACCGACTTTCAGATGTCTGATCAAAGGAAGCTTGTCTACCATTTTGTTATCCTGTCATTGAACCAAGGTGTATCATACTTAATGGCGCATTTACCTGTCTTCCATCGATTATCTTGTCTTCTAACCATTTCTTCTGAATCTATTTGTTGATAATACCATAAAGATCAAGATTGCATTCCTAACTTGTTGCGACAATCAAGGTTACACCTTCCCCCTTACTTCTCATTTTCACTGCGGCTTAACGGCTCGGTGGCCCAAAACAGCTGATTTGGTCACCCTCCCCCTACGATCTACTTTTCTAGAAGACGGAAAGAAAAGCAGAAAGCTGCGTAATCATTCAAGCTCATCCCCCCACACCCAAAAAGCGAAGACGAAACGAAGTTCTCCTCCACAATTCAACACTTTCTATCTCGACTTGGTCGTCATGATCGGAAGCGCCTCTGTCACTCTGGTACACCTTTTATGGAAAAATGATTCGCTATGATTGGTATCAAACTTTATCGCAAAAACTTTTGGCCATTATTCAATGCCAGTCATAACCATCTTGGTCACCAAAAACTCGTCAATACCATACTTGCTGCCCTCTCTTCCAAATCCACTCTGCTTCACGCCGCCAAAAGGTGCAGCGGGGTCGCTGATAGCGCCTTTAGTCATGCAAAGATTAGCACCGTCATTTATCATTCAAATCAGAACTTACCAATGTTGACACCAACCATGCCAACCTCCAGAGCCTCCGCCACACGCCAGCATCGGGACACATCCTTGCTGAAAAAGTATCCCGCAAGACCGACATCAGCGTCGTTTGCAAGCTCGATAGCCTCCTCCTCGGTGTCGAAGGCGAAGAACGCCGCCACGGGACCGAACGTCTCCTCGGAACAGATCTTCATGCCGGGCTTCATGTCGGCTAACACAGTAATGTCGAAGAAGTTTGGGCCCAGGTCAGCCCGGGGCTTGCCGCCCAGGAGCACACGAGCTCCCTTGGATACAGCATCCTTGACATGCTCATCCACCTTGGAAACTGCACGGCTGTGGATCAGCGGTCCATGTGTCGTCTTCTCGCCAAACCCATCGCCAACCACGAAGTTCTTAATGGCGTCTACTACCATCCGCGAGAACTTCTCGTAAATCTTGCTGTGCACCAGGATACGGTTGGCACACACGCACGTCTGGCCCGAGATTCTGAACTTGGATGCGATCAAGCCCTTGAGAGCTGCATCAAGGTCTGCGTCGTCGAAAACGATAAAGGGGGCGTTTCCGCCAAGTTCGAATGAAAGCTTCTTCAATGTAGAGGAGCACTGGTTCATCAGCAGCTTTCCGACGCCAGTCGATCCTGTAAATGATACTTTCTTGATGATGGGGTGTGTGGTCAAGACCTTTCCCACGGGTACTGTGTTGTCCAAGGCGGTAATGATGTTAACCACACCAGCAGGAATTCCCGCCCTGCGCGCAAGCTCTGCCAGAGCCAAAGCCGACAAGGGAGCTTCGGCGGGAGCCTTCACAACCACAGTACATCCCGCAGCGAGAGCCGGGCCGACCTTGCGGGTAATCATCGCCGCGGGAAAGTTCCACGGTGCGATGAGGCCGCAGACACCAATGGGCTCCTTGAGGGTCACAAGACGACAGCTCGGGTTGCTCGCCTGGATGGTGTCGCCGTAAATTCTGGGGGCCTCCTCTGAAAACCACTCAAAGAAGGACGCAGCGTAAGAAACTTCAGTCCTTGCGTCGGCCATGGGCTTGCCATTTTCGAGAGTGATGATTTTGGCCAAGTCCTCGGCGTTCTCCATCATGAGGTCGTACCATTTCCTCAGCAACCGGGCTCTGGCCCGTGCGGGTGTCTTGCGGTAGGATTTAAAGGCATCGTGGGCAGCGAGAATAGATGCCTCGGTGTCTTTCTCGTCAAACTCGGGGCACTTGGCTACCTCAGCAAGAGTTGACGGGTCTGATTCGCTCGTTAGCTTACGTCTGCTATCAGATGACAAGTGACGATTCTTACTTTCAACAGAGAACACTTTGCCGGACTCTGCGCTAACCCATTTTCCGTTGACATAGCATGATGTCTTCAAAAGCGAAGCATCTTTCAGCTACATCAAGGTTAACTTCAATCCACGCTCCTGTTAGGATGATTATTTCCGTGAAGAAAACTTGCCTGGTGTGCGCTTGATTCCATTGTGAATAAGAGCAATGCACGTCAATTTGATAGCTGCAAGGTAGAGTGGTCTGGTGTCAGAAGGGCTGCCGCGATCAGCCGGAAAGCCTCATGCGGGCTGCTTTTATATGAGCGTCTCATGATGGCGTCGAATCGGCGACACTCTTGATGCGACATCGCCCTGCCTGATGATGCCGGTGTGGGCACGACGTTTGGGTTCAGTGGGACCGGCCCGGACCCGGAGTGGGGCACGCTGCGGAGGGGTTTGACACATATCAATCTGCTGCATTTGGTAAAGAAACGAGACAATTCCACAAAATGAAGAAAATGTTCAAAAGCGCCACACCGTGTCGTGCGAACACAACGAACCGAGACCGGCTTGAAAGTATGGGTCATGCTAGGTCCGATAGAGAATCGATGGGGCGTTCAGTTAGTCTGGTTCCGGATGGGGCCGGTCCCGAGCCGGCCGGCTCGTCCCCGGTCCTAATTCGTGAGGGGCGAACAGAAGCTTGCAGACACGGTCTCGGACGATAAATACTCGACTCCCGACACTTGACGATAATGTTCTTTCAATCAATCAAAAAGTTTCATCATCTCAGGCCTTCTTACGTCTTTTTCTCAAGACGCACCGCAAGAGAATTACCACGACCCGTTCTCCAAGACCGTAAGGATATCGAAGCCAAGATGCCCGCCGTCATCGAGCACTCGGTCACTACGGAGGTGCCTGGGCCCATGTCCAAGGCTAGCGCTAAGAAGCTCGACACCTTCTTTGACGCCCGTGCCGTGTATTTCGTCGTTGACTACGAGAAGAGCTCCGGAAATTAGTATGCAGCATCGTCACCATCAAATGGGTTAATGCTGACATGGAGGCTTCAGTATCGTCGATGTTGATGGCAACAAGTATCTCGATGTGTAAGTCTCCAAGTCTGCCGATCATACTCGGGCGTCCGTCGACCCGCAGTTCGCTAATCTTCCCCGGTAGCTACTCCCAGATCGCCTCCATCCCGGTTGGCTACAACAACCCCACTCTCATTGAGGCTGCGAAGTCGCCCGAAATGATCTCCGCCCTTGTCAACAGACCCGCCATTGGCAATTTCCCCTCAGCATTCTGGCACGACCTTCTTCAGGATGGTCTGATGAAGGCGGCTCCGGAGGGCCTGGACCAAATCTTCACCGCCCAGTCCGGCTCCGAGGCCAACGAGCTGGCTTACAAGGCCGCCTTCATGCTCTACCGTCGCCGTGAGCGTGGTGAGGCCGAATGGTCCAGCGAGGAGATCCAATCTTGTCTCCAAAACACCGCCCCTGGCTCCCCCGAACTCGCCATCCTTAGCTTCAAGAACTCTTTCCATGGCCGAGGCTTCGGCAGTCTGTCTACCACCCGGTCAAAGGCCGTTCACAAGCTCGACATTCCCTCTTTCAACTGGCCTCAGGCTTCTTTCCCTGCCCTGAAGTACCCACTAGAGAAGCACGCCACCGAGAACGACGCTGAGGAGAAGCGCTGCTTGGAGGAGGTTGAGAAGCTGATCCAGAACTGGCACTGCCCTGTTGCTGCGATCATTGTTGAGCCCATTCAGTCCGAGGGTGGTGACAACCACGCTTCTCCGGCTTTCTTCCAGGGTCTCCGTGACATCACAAAGAAGCACAACGTTGTCATGATCGTAGACGAAGTTCAGACTGGTGAGTTGCCCTTTGATGTTGACATTCCATACATACGTGCTAACTTAGTAACAGGTTTCGGTGCTACTGGGAAGTTCTGGGCACATGCCCACTGGAACCTCACCTCTCCTCCCGATATCGTCACCTTCTCCAAGAAGGCCCAAACTGCCGGCTACTTCTTCGGCGACCGCATGTTAGTCCCTGACAAGGCCTATCGTCAGTTCAACACTTGGATCGGTGATGCTGCTCGTGTCATCGTCTGCAAGGCCGTGATTGAAGAGATCCGCAACAAGAAACTTGTTGAACAAACTGTATGGACACCACTGCCCTTGAACCCGACCTGTTAAATCTAATACCACTTAGGCTCGCGTTGGAGAGCTTCTTTACTCCGAAATGGAGAAGCTCGCCCAGAAGTACCCCGACCACGTCCAGAACCTCCGCGGCAAGGGCCGGGGGTGAGTGAAGCCACAAGTAACACGTTAAACCAGAACTTGTCCCGCTGATGCATGCTACAGAACCTACATTGCTTTCGATACAAAGAGTGCGGCAGCCGTTACAAGCTCGATGAAGCGCCTCGGCGTCAACATCGGCGCTTGCGGCAAGGAGACCATCAGACTCAGGCCCATGCTCATCTTCGAGGAAGACCACGGTAAGTCTTCAATTCCGGCTTAACAACCAACATCATTTTCTGACCATTGCAGTTCCCATCTTGATCTCGGCGTTTGAGAATACCTTCTCTTCTTTGTAAAGAATTATCAGGGCGCAACATCGGGGAATCAGGAAGAACAAAAACGGATAGCATAGCGTGGATTTCAGCTTCCAAGGCAGGCTAAGAAAGTCTTGGGCCCTTGGAGAGCATTTTGCACGATACCATAATGATATATAGGGATGGCAGCAGTCTAAAAGCAAAATGGGAAAAGAATAGAGTATCTTGGAATACTCTTCATCAACATTGATCTCGCAATATTTCGTGGCATGATGAGACAATCAAAGTCGGGTCATCAAAGTTATAGACTCTGAACCAAATTTCCGTTTCAAGCTTCGGCATATTCAACAAACCCCGAAGGCAAAGTCCCGGTCGGCTTTTCATAACCAGTGAGAATAAGTGTCAAGGGAAACGGCCTTCTTCCGGTTGAACACGTGAGAATCCCTTTGCCGTGCGCCCTTCATTTGATGCCTGGTCGACCCTAATGACGATTACCAAGCAGAGCTGTTTTTAAGCGATCATGCTGATCCACGACCGGAAGCACAGACTGTACAACATCCGGCCGGTGACTTATCAGATAAGATTTGAGTATCTCTAATCGAATTAGCATCCTGCCAAATTATACGCAACCGGTTCATCGACTCCAAAAGAAGCTGGGCCAAGGGAGGAGAGGAAGTCGCGGCATGTTGCAGTACCCCGCTCATCCCGCCGGCCCAGACACCGGGACGGGAGCATGATGTACTTGTGACAGTGATACCGATGTGTTTTCTCCGTGGCCACCTGATGTTATCGTAAACGATTCACGAACAACGCATTTAAACTTGCTATCCATACGTCATGACCAAGACTCTTATGGGCTCTGGATCCGATCTTTTATCATCTTCGTCAAACAACAAACTTTCAGCGCTGTGTAAGACTCACAAACAACATGTCCTCACCACGAAAGCACGTCGTCTTCGACATTGTAGGCACCTGCATGTCCTACGATGTCATTTACCGCGCCATTGAGACCCGTCTCGGCCCCAAACTTGCAGAGTACAACATCAAGCCCGCACTTCTTGGGTTTGCCTGGATCGAGGCAGCGGAGCGCGAATACACCTATCTTAGCATCCAAGGCCGCTACCAGCGCTTCTACGATATCTTCCATAACCTCTTTTACCGTATGCTATTTATGGCCGGTGTACCAGAGCCGCGTAAACTTGCGACGGACGACGATGCTGCCTTCATCATGGACCGCTTCCTCGAGCTCGAGGCCCGGCCTGGCGTCAAGGAATGCTTCACGCTCTTGCGCGAGGCGGGTTTCACAGTCTGGGCTTTCACGGCGGGCGATGCGAAGCGTGTGGGTGGCTACTTTGAGAAGAATGGCATCGAGATGCCTGCGGAGAACCTACGCAGCTGCGATGCCGATGGAATTGGGAAGCCGGATCCTAAGGCATACAAGCCTATGCTGGAGAGCTTCAATGGCGAGGAGGCGTGGTTTGCCGCAGCGCATATGTGGGATGCATCGGCAGCCAAGGGGTGTGGGTTCAGAGGCGCGTGGTGCGCTGTATATGAGGGGGAGCCATGCACTGACTTGTTTGGTGAAATGGACGTGATGGCAACTGAACTGCCGGAGATGGCACGGAAGATTATAGCCGCGTCTAAGGGCCAGGCGGCCTGATCGGGGACGGAGGGTTCGGCTTCGTTTTTGCATTATCGTCCTGCTTCTGTAGGGTCAGCTCCAAAGACTTCATTTTCCCAGTATTGAAGCCCAGTTGTCGTTATCTCATGAAGCCGTTTCGTTGTCAATGTCACTGCGCGCATGCGATTTGCTTATCGTGACGGATAAGAACCGGCAAATTGCCGGTCCCGTGCTCCGTCCGGATCGGCCTCCGGTCTCGGACACCACGCCGCTTTCTCGCCCCCAGATTCCAGAAAACGCTGGTATCCGCTCGGGGCTGGTTGCAGGATATAGGTGGGGATACAGCCGATATTGACTCGGCTTATCTACGTGTTGCGGTCTCAATCCCAACTTCGATTATTGATTACCAATGCTTCCGGTCGCGAGCACGAACGCACAGGACACGGCCATTTTGATGTCTGAACTCAATGGACAAACGGAAAGTCGGACCATATTGTTCATCAGTTGAATCTCAAACTTAGCTTGCCCGCCATCCCGCAGATGCCAAGTCTGCCGAAACCGTATCCGATGACCATGATCACAAGAAAGCTAGCTATCCCTCAGAGTCCTCCACCATCATTGTACCACCCCAGAGCTTCCCACTTGTAGTCGTGGTCATTTTTGAAGTCGAATTCGCGGTTACTGATATGGTATAATAATCATAATTGTCCTAACTATATCTAATCTAGTACTACCTTCCATGATCATCCTTGAAACGTCAACCCATTGTGGCCTGCCGTGATATTTCTTCAAATTCTAGAACATCTTTGAGACGGGAATCAACCTATAAGCCACCACATCTGGGACATCAGCATCCCCTTCACCTGATGCCGATAAGCGGCGTATGATAGGAGCTCCCCGTAGTTTCATCAAGACTGGCAAAAACGTCATGGCCACCACAGGCTACACAGCATATTGTAGTCGAAGTGAGACTACCTTCTTCCACAGGCACAGATACGGATTCCGTACGCGTTGGTTGTAGATATTCAACGGAATCTAGACCTCTGTCAAATCCTCCTTTATCTCCGCACTACGAGTCAAGCGGCACTGAGTTCTGGGTTCAAGGATGCGTGTCTCATGCAAGTTTTCGGCTCCGACCGGGATATAGCCAGCTTCCCCGCGTCTTGGAAAAAGGTGGGTCGTGCTCCGATGCCCGACCGCGGCGCAGGTTTCGCCGAAATTCTGCCCTCCCCCCTCAAGAAACGAGAGGCGGCATTGGCACGTTGGTGGGCATCCCATCTCAGCCTATCTTAGCTCATCACACACAAACCCGGAACCACCGATCAGTCAACCGACTCACTCACTTTATCCACCCGCATACCTTGCTCGCCCTGCACCGAGGAATTGCAAGGGGACTGACGAGACACCAAGAGAGACCAGACCTTCCTTCCTAAAACACGGACTTGGACTTGACCACGGCGGGGCTACACAGGCACGCACCCGCGGGCAAAGGCCAAAAGCAAAGAGCCCTTTACTCAACCGGCCCGGGCCTTGGCTGGCCTTGTTGATCGGCGGTGCCCGCCCAGCCGCGCGCTATCAACGTACTTTTCTGCTTATCGGTTATCGCAATCCCGAATCCCACATGGATCCCGACGACGGCCTGCGTCTGCAACGACACAAGCAGCGCCGTGTCGCCGATAAGGAGCGGAAGCGGGCGGTTCGAGCGTAGGATGAACCCCATTCCCTCTCTCATTTTTGGCCTTCATTGATGAGAACTACCTCATGCTGACGCGACCAAGCTGCGACGGATGTCGGAGACTCAAAGAAAAATGCGACGGAGGAGTCCCATGTCGCCGGTGCACCCGCTTGCGCCGGCAGTGTGAGTTTCTCACGCCCACGACAAGAGATGAACCCGGATCTGAGACCACAGCAAGGTGACTACTTGAAGCCCCATTTTATCATAGAGACATGTCTAGCTTCCATTGATTACGCCGACATATGGCTGACGAGGCACTTGGCGAATGTCACAGACCCCGCCATCCGCAACAGGGGGATTCTCAACTGAGGCAGAGGATGGCTCACATGGAGCGGTTGCTGGCACACTACACAGGCAAAAATACACTAGACGCTGAGACGTTGAAGACCTTGGCCGAGTCTGTCGAGAAAGGACGTCCCGACCCAGAGATATCTAAGGCCGGGGCCGAAGCGGACATTTCCATGGAGCCGGAAGTCGGCGCCTATGCAGAGGCGCAATCGCAGAGCTCTGACTCGTTCAAGGTGGACGAGATCACAGTGCAGCCTCTGGAGAACAACATCACACGTAAGACGATGGCTCAGTTAGCTCGATATCTGTCCAGAGACACCTTGTTAACTGTGGGTAGACTACTCTGGCGAGTTCTCCCACTGGAACTTCTCCATGCGAATAAAGCAGTGGATCGAGCAGTGCGTAAACGTAGGTCTACACAACTTATGTCCATTTGGAGGCCTTGCTGACCGGTATCTAGGACGCCCCGGATGGTCCCAAAACGCAGTTTAAGGAGTACTATCGCCCGGAGGAGCTGCAGTCATCCTCAAACACGGTGGCTTCACTATCCTCCCTGCCACCTCGTTACGTCGCCGACTTCCTGGTCCACGCTTTCTTTAACCACGCTGAAACCAGTTACTTTTACGTCGAGCGTCATTGGCTGAATGAAAAGCTCGACCTGGTTTACGAAAACTCGGCGTCCTTGACGCGGCGAGATGTTGGCACAGTGTGCATGATTCTCATAATCTTTGCCATCGGGACGCAGTATGCCTATCTTGATTCTCGCGATGAGAGAGGCGGGCCGCCCAATGCTGCTGCCGACTCAAGCCCCTTTTCCGAGGACACTATTGGTATCATGTTCTACCAGCAAGCATGTCGACTGGTCCCTGACGTGATCACAATATCGTCATTGGAAAGCGTACAGGCATGTCTACTGATAGGCTTGTATACACTTCCTCTTGATGCATCAGGCCTGTCATACGTTTACTTGAATCTCGCAGTCAAGCTGGCGATTCAGAACGGGATGCACCGGAAGTATCCAGGGGACGCCATTGATCCCGTTATCCGTGAGACGAGGAATCGTGTGTGGTGGACAGCCTATACGACTGAGAAGTGAGAATGGTCTTTTTGCAAGGGCTGTACTTATGCTGACTGTACATCACAGGCGCATTGGCATTTTTCACGGCCGGCCAATATCTATCGCCGCCAGCGATGTCGATGCGGAGTTGCCAGTAGACCGGCCAGAGATCTGGCCCGGACCTGCGCCGCCAAACACAGCACACATGTTGGCAACACTCCAGCTCAACAACGCTTTGAGCCGGATAGCCCATCAAATGTTAGTTACATTGCACTCCCACAGCAAGTCTCCTTCTAACAGTCCCCCGTAGATCATTGTTCAAGACTTATGAAAAGCATGAGATACCCGAAGGCATGGCCAAACTTGTAGAGATGAAAGCCCAGCTTCATAATTGGTGGAACAGCCTTCCGGAACCGACATTCTGCAAAGACCCTGCCGCCGGACCCACCGTTTTCCGGCCCACCATGCATCTGAGACTGGAATACTGCCTCGTTCGTATGTTCGCCGGTCGTCCCTTCATCTTCCCCCGAGACTCGGCCCGCAGTACCGCAAGCTCTTCCGGGTCACCCGCAGACTCGGTCGTGCCACCTCGCACGAGCAGTTCGGCGAGTAAAACACATCCTCGCTCAGTTCTGGTTGCAGATTGTGTTGATGCGGCACTGTGCGTAGTAGAGACGTGCCGTCTGCTTCGCAATACTGTCGGCCTTGCAAGAGCATCGTATACAGAGTTCAGTTCGTGTCGCGCGGCGTTGCTAGTGATAATCACGCAGTGCTTACAGAAGAAGACGGACCGCTTGCGCGATGCGTTGAAAGAGGGTATGGCGATGCTCAAGGAGATGTCGGCAGGCGGCGAGTCAGCCAAGTCTGAGATGTCGCTAATCGAGGCATTTGAGCGCGCCATCTCTAGGCTGGACACGGCGGATGACAGCAGCTCTACAAAAGAATCGGATTATGCGAGGTTCAAGAAATGGGAAATGCTGTGGAAGACGGACACGCCGGCACAAGATGAGAGAAACGACAGGGGCCTTGATGCGGCGCTGCCCATTCCCCCGCACCCTGCGGGGTTATGGAGGGGGAACCACGGTCAAGGAGGTCACGTCGCTCCTGGAGCAGGACGGCAGGGTACAGCGTCGCTGCCGCCGGCGATGCCGTTCTTCGGTCTTGATGGGAGCCTGTCGCCGATGCCTCCAGCACTCGACGAGTTCTCGTCCATGTTCGGAAATGGTTACGTGCCGGGCTTCGAGGGCATGGGTGGGGGAGTGAACGGAAACTGGATGGGTCTCTGAAAAGAGAAGAAAAAGGGAAAAGTAAAATCGGCAGCTTCCGTCAGCGGTGCTTGCCCGAAAGAGAGTAATTCCAAGCCCATATTGACCATCTTGTCTTCTCGCAAGCAAAAATTCCATGCATATGTTCTCAGTGTCGCAGACGGCTCAGGTCGGCGTCTAAACCTGATCTAAGTTGTTGCGACTCTTGCAAACTTGACCCAGTCATTGTTTCTCTAACACAATTAAGTATTCGAGTTAGACATGATCAAGCACCTGCAATGGTTCCTTTCGGGAAGTCATAGTCTCGATCTGTTAATCAGAGTAGCACTGCTCTGTAGTTGACAACGTATGACAACCAACGCTCAGGCTTGATCTGGTGGTCGATCGCAGCATTCGCAGGAACGACATTACAGTATATCTGGAGAGACAGCACAGAGGCCAAAACATACGGGTCAGACATGGTGAAAGACTATGCAACACTGACAAAAAGGAAGCGTTCCCCAAACACAGTGTCAAACTAGGACCTTTTCGATTATCTGGGGGTAACCATGACAGTATAACGTGTAGGACCAACTATCACACCATTCTGAGGAAGCATGATTGATCCACATAAATAGTTGACTGACTGCTGTGCAACAGAGTAAGAAAGGAAAATATGAAGCTCTACATGTGTGCCAGCTACAATGTTTTTTCGAAGTACTCCAGCAACCAAGAATGCTGTTCCCGTAAGTTCACTGAGCGAAAAGCCACTTAAGAAACATTTGATAAGAAATGCCTCTAACATTGATACCACTTAAGGTAAATCTGCCTCATTTTGACTTCAAGCTCTAGCTCAAGTGATGCTCTTCATCCGGATGATTGCAATCATGACTCAATCTGACGGTAGCTGAATTAAATCTGCAGAGTTCTCATGTGGAGGCGATGTCTTTGAATTCGAGTTGAGGCTGCCAATGTTTCGTGTACAGAAGCAAACTATGCTGTGTCAGGCATCGCTAACAGGACTACTTAAGTAATGTCCAGTTCTAAAGAGGGTTCGGTGATCTCCACATCATCGTTTGAAGATTTCGAACTGTTCTCCAGTCTCAGGCGTTTGCTTTGCCGCCCCACGTCATAGCCATAGGAAGCCAAGCGGCTGATCGGGTCCCTTACTTCCATGATGGCCCATTGCTTGAAGTTGACGACTTGAACAAAGAGATCCCCCAAGTTTTCGTACGGATTTTCCAGCGCGGCGTAGTCGCACAGTGCTCGGCTGAACCTTACACTTAGACTTGGTAGGTGCGGGATACCGTCATCGTCTGTGTTATCGTTGTTGGTTTGAACGTCGTCATTAGGGAATGGTGGCTTGTATTTCAGTAGATTGCAAAACCAGGCAATACCGTCAGGGTTAGGGTCTGCCTCTAGACGCTCATGGCAGATATCATAACCTGACTCTTCTACCAGGTCGTTGGGATTCGCGCACTGTGAACATGCCCTAACCCCCTGTCTCCTTTGTTCCCGAGAAACACTCTTCCAGTACCTGATTTCCCGGCTGAAGACCTTATATGTCAGAAACATCCGCGTCTTTATATCCGAGTTGATCAGCCGCGGATCGCTCCAAGGAAACATATTCCGCCTGTGGATGCAAGCGCCTGGTGTAGCACCCTCCGGGATCCACGGTGATCCAAAGCGTCCTGGCACAGGAGATGAAACTCGATCGCAGCTATCGACAATGTTGGCAATCCCAGATACATGACTGAGAATGCCGTAGGTATTCTTCAGATTCCAAGGAGTGCGTGAAGTCGATCTTTTACTAAGCGTGGTTATGTTTAAAGTGCCGTTGTCCTGCGTTGTATGATAGACATCCCGTGTCTCAAACACACGTTTGAGACGCTATCCGAATTCCTGTTTTGTAGGCACGGCGGGTTTCCGTCGACGGTGTACAAACATACCTCCGAACGTGATTTCTCAGGATCGTTACTGTGGCATCTGCTGTAAACCAAGACGCAGTTATCAACTGAAACTCGGAGCTCGCCAGGATGAGCACTTGGGTGATAAAGCGGTGTGCTGTCTTGTGAAAGCATGTGTTGCTGGTCTAACCTCTGAGAGACTCTTAGAAACGGCTCCTGAGGCTCTAGATTGCCCTTCTTAAACGAGAGATGGATGTAGCGAACAATGTCTCGGAAAACACCGTCAGATTTCTCTGGAATCATGATGTTTTTAAATGTCTTGGTGCCACTTGTTGATGTCTTTGACGAAGACCTGGTAGACTCGAAAACGCTAAAGTCAGGACACGCATGAAGCTCTAAAGCTCTGCGGGTAATGCAGGCGAGTAGCGTTTCTCCAGGAGTTCCAGCTTGAAGACGCTTTATGACATCTACAAGATTGTTTAGGTCGGATTCCTCTAGAATCAACATTTGCAGTTTCTGGGGTTTTCTATTAAGCGCGAGTCCAGAAGCCTCGACAACAGTATCCCAGGCATCATCGGCGATGGCGATGATATAAAGTTCTCGGACCTGGTGCCAACTTGCTGTGAGACAATTGGTACAGGATATTGTCGTGTAATATCTCACCCCAGCAGCAAGACCTGCCGATGTCATACGATCGGTAGTAGTCCAAAGCTGCTCCATCGCCTTAATAGCAGATTCGTCCAGGACTGAAGCATCCGACATACTGTTCAAAACCATGCGGCACAGTATTTTTGTTCTCGTCTGCTTCGTCGACTGTAACATGGTGCGAACGTTATCTCTGGTAATAAGCAGACAGCAAAACCTGGACTCGACAAACGTGGCGTGGCGGATGATGCCCATTTCCGAATCATTATCCACGAACGGTTTCTGGGCGGACATGTAAGCGTCGTAGGCTTCATTTCCAGTCGTAGGAAGATGTGTTTCAATCTGAAGGGTCGAGAAGATGTCTGTATCTGAGTACAAGACACTAGCAGCGTCATTGTCACCGGAAGCAAGGAACCGGAGTTTCCTCAGGAGATCTTCTCTATAAACATCTCTCGCCCAGTCAAAGACGTAATCGACGAGTAAAAGAAGCTGCAGAGCACCATCCCGGGTTGTAATAGATCCTCGCCAGAGTTCTAACACCCTCTAGAACGCAGTTAGAGATGGTGAAGGTGAAGGGCAAGTTTAGGCATAACATACATAGTCGCTAAGGCCAATCGTATTCGGCTTCTCTCTGCCCTCGGTTATGAAGGCCACCGAAACACGCCAGTCTTCGCCCCGGTTCGCAAAGAACCAAACCAACGGAGTCGATTGATATTGTGCTGGGGAATCGGCGGCTTTTTGAAGCCGATATTGAGTCTCAAGAAAAGTCCGGATGGGGAAGGCTGTCTGCGTCTGTATGGAATACCAATCACAGTCCGACTTGCCTGATTTAGCTTCCAGAACGAGGAATGGGTACAAAAGTTCATCGCCATTTTGATCCAGAGGCTGGTCGATAGGCGATGGCTGCAACTCCTCATGTAACTGCTGTAGATCATTCTGAAAGGGCTCCCTAGCCTGCGATTTCCGAGTATCGTGCAAAAGATTTTCAATATTTCTGGTTTGGCGTAAACCGTAAACAGCATCTGGTCTTTGGATATTTTGACCCAATCTCTTAGTAATCGCCGAATCGTGCCGAACTTTTTCGTCCTCTCGATGGCCAAAAATGCGATTCAAGCCAACTGCCTCGAGGCTATAGTTACATGCAACAATAAGTATGACTACATAGAATATGATGGGCTTTACTCACTGATCCTGACTGCGTGAGATCCGAGTACAACGACAAGGTTCTCTGGCCCTTCGACGCTTCAGCAGAGCCGATCCTCTTTGGCTGCGTTCATCACAATGAGCTTCAATCTCAGAACCCCACACCCGTTTACGACAGTTTTGGCTATCAGGTGGTACATGGTGTCAGCTTTTAGCAGTACGTTGTTTTCTTGATCAACAGTTACATACCAGACAACCTCACCAGAAAGTCTTGCAAAGATCAAAGGCTCGCAAGACATTCTCCAGCTGCTCTCATTTCTATGCCTGTTACGCTTCGCTCGTTCCACAAGTAAAGATGCAAGCTGCTTGACGTCTGACTTCCATGGGTTGTCGTCAACAACGTTAGGGCCGATAGCGTAGGAGTTGAACTTGTACCCCCAAGCTGAGTAACATGTATTAACAACGTTTTATGACACTCTGGCCAGTCACGCTGCTGTGCGTCTCCCAGAAACTCAATACGATACTCTTTGCAACGAGTATCTAGTTTTTCCAAATCTTTCGGCGAGAGTGAAGGCATGGCTTGCTTTTGTTGACCACAAGCGCAAGCGTTTTTCTATGCCGTATCAATAACGTAAGTGTAATGGGACATGAACTAAGAGACTGATGGCTAGTGTTTGGGTCAGTGTTGCGGTTTTGCAAGCTAGCTATGGCTGCCCTATATAGGCGCCGTTGGTCCTGGTAGGCGACCCCGGTATCCCGTTAGGCAGTTTACCCACCCCTCGAGTCCTGCGGTAATTTAGACAGACATGGGCATGAAGTGATTCAGGACGCACAGGCGGCACAGCAACAGAACAATGATGCATAGCCACATTGTATTCAATGGCCAACAGACCGCCAATGACTCGACTAAGGGCTTCGATTACCAATCCTCAGTCGGCCTCGCAATGCTGTTGGTCAGGGTATTGTCGAGCATGGTCTTTGGGGCGATTACTATCCTTTATGGGCATATTTGCGTTTGATTTATGTGGGGAGCTGATTCCCACACCTTCCTATAAACGGTTTCCAGGACGACGTAGGTAGTGACCCGCTATGGCTTGTTCTTAGGCAAGAAGAGGGAAGAGCAATAACTCATTGCAGTAAGCAAGAGAGTAGTTGTAACAAGTAGAGCCTATTAATGGCACTTCCAGTTGAAAACAAACATCAATATCATTACAGTGCTGGTTTGTTTTCTGTTTATACAGGCCTCTCTCGTGTTTGCCGTGTCTCGTCATATTTCAAGAAACATTGAGTCTGAGCAAACTCTATCTGTTGTTACGCCGTCGTTGTAGGCATCAATTGAAATTAAATGGTTGAAATATTGAACCTGATTGGGCTATGTTACACGCTTGAAACCTTGGCCTTCATTAAGTCTTGAACAGACTTTCATTTCCCACTTCGATTTTCGGTATCTTGGTGATATTGCTCGAGAGTTAGAGGCAGAGATGAAGCGGATGGGACTTCTTAGGGTCAGAAACCGAGCGTTCATAGGAGGAGCTCAGGTAGAGTACTCAACCCGTTTTAAACTGAATAATTTAAGTAATAATGAACGTCTGTACACTCAGTTGAGAGTTTCATCGATTTTGCGTGCCAAATTTTTAGTTGAGCCCTACATGATGCTATATGGTTCGATAGCAATATGGAATAAAACATAATCTTTCTTCAACCTAAGTTATGCTTCAACGTCAATTTCTATTTCCTTATAGCATTCTAGCTTGCGTCTTAAGCCGGGCCACAGCCCGTCTCAACGGCTAGGCTCTCTGACACAAGCTAGCCGTTCGAACGCTTGTCTACATCGGCTACAGTCCCTCTAACTTCCTGTTTTAGAAGCATTTGCATACTCCCCGTGTTGTCTGAGCTTCCGTGCTAGTGAACGAAATGCTACCCATACCGGAAGTGAGTGAAAAGATAAACGTGCCCTAAACCGACAACACTCGCGAACGTTGAGACCCTGACCTCGACGACAGTAGCCAAAACGAAGACCCGACTTGGCATGAGGATGACAAAACGAAAGACTCAGGTGCGAATAGTAATGACGGCCTCGAACACGATTCTCGGGATATCGCTCAAAATCACGGGTCACTGAGACTGTAGAGGGGGCTGCGGTGGAGTAAAGTCATAACTGGAAATTGCCGCAGACTTCTAAATGACCGATATAACAAAGGCGAGAGTCTATTTTGTCAACCGAAGCGTCCCTCTCACTCCTTCGGATCACGACCACCCTGGGCTGCCATGTTCCTCTCGTACTCCTCATCCGACTCCAGATCGATCTCGACAGGGTGCGTGATCGGCAAGATGGGAATTCCCTTCTCCTCGAGCTTGTTCAGCCTGGCAGCCGTCTCGGGTCTGGACCGGTTCATGCTGTAGACCTTGATGCGGTGGGCCGAGGACGTGACGTGAAGGTCCCAGTTCCTATATCGCCGTCAGCAGTTGTTCCTTGGCAGCCCTCTCGGGTCGGTGAATGGATGCGATTGGGGAGGATTGCAACATAAGAGGAAAGGGAAACTCACCAAGCGGACCGCACATAAGTAGGCTGCGTGTTACACGCGTTGTCCCACGTCCTCACGCAGAACTCCAACCACCCCTCCGCGTCCACCGGCAGCTCAATCTCCCACAGCCGCCACGCGTGGAAGTACTTCGTGGTCATTTTGTCATACGGCACCTCGTACCACACAGATCCGCCGTCTGCGCTGACCTCGACCCTCACGGGCCAATGCCCGCCACCAGAGAACGCCCATCCGCGCACCTTGATCTTGCCGTCGTGGATGATCTGGTCCATGTCCACAGGCGACATGATGGCCGACGATACGGGCATTTCCTGGATCGAGAAGCCGTTGCTGTACTTTACGTTCTGCTTCCCGATCTGTGGCGTGTAATAAATGTACTCCCGCCTCTGCACCGGCGCCGGGCTCTCGTTTGGGATGGCCCGGATCTCTGTCAGCCACTTCGCGCTTCGCGCGCCAATGTACCCGAACACGACGGCCCTCAACGGGAACCCGTGGATCTTGGGCAGCGGCTCGCCGTTCATCTCCCACGCGAGGAGGACCTCGTTCACCTTCACCTTGCGCCAGGGCACGCTCACCGCATAGTTGTACACCCTGCCCTTCTTGAAGTACGTGTCGGCGCCGTAAAACTCGATGTGGCCCGCCCCGTCCTTCAGTCCGCCGCAGTACTTGATCACCTTCTTCAGGCTGACGCCCGTCCAGCGGGCCGTGCCAATGGCGCCCTCGCCCCATGGGGCGTTGATGAGCTCGTCGCCATCACCGGGGTACTGCGCGATCTGCTCGATGCGGCGAGTACCGGAACACTGGAGCGAGACCACGTTGCTTTGGTGCGGGAACTTGGTCTTGAGGTCGTGGAGCGTAAGTGTCTGCGGGTTGTTGACGAGGCCAGTGATGTCGAGGGTGTATTTGTCCTCGTCAATCTCAGGGATGCCGCCATGGTTGCGAACGAAGTGGTCTTTGTTGTCGGTAATTTCCGTCTCGACGAGGCGATCCTATGCAATATATCAGTTTGGTCTGGGGCGTTTACCAAGGGCCGTGGTGGCTTACGCGCGGGGGTTCGCCGTTGTAGGGAAACTGCAACACGTGGATCATGTCCTCCGACTTTTCTTTCTTGACGATGTCCCAGCTGATTTCGGTGAGGTGTCCCAGTCCAAGAGCATAGTGGTACTGCTTCCATCGTTCTCCTTTGAGAATGGGGTTGGTCTTGGGCAACGGTTCAAATTGGAATTCAGGTGGCTAAGGCTCTGATGTTAGCACGAACAAGTATGAGCAATGATCTAAGTATGTCACAATCACTCACGTCAGGAAATTCATATTGGGCCATGAGCTCCTCAACCTGCTTCTTCTTCTCAGGGTACTTTTCCCATTCAATATATCCCTTCCAGCCCTCCCTCTCTTCTTTGAATTCTGGGATCACACCCTTCGCCCTGAAGGGGATGGCATATGGTTCAGCAGGAGCCATGATGATTGGTTGATTGAAGTAATTTCTATGTAAAGTAGGCGAAATTTATTCGAGGCGAAGCTTCCGAAACGAAACCAGACGGGGACGACGGCATTGATATGGGGAGAAGCGTCCGTCGCATCCGCCTATTCCAAGTCGGAGGTTCATCCAGACTTGCCGTGTATTCCACTGCCCCACGATTCGTCTCGCCAGGCGCAATCATTCCGAACTGGCTGCCGCTACCACAAATCGAGAACCTGGATTTTCTGTAGCACCAATAGGCAGTGTCCTCTTCCGATGTGGTGCCGTCATGGACACATCAAGACTCGCAATGCTCCATAGAGTGGGGGAGCACGGTCGCTATCGCGCTAACAACTTGCATCACGCATGTGTCAGCGATGCTGAGGCTTTTCACTGTAAACCCCCGCTCAAGGAGCAATTGACTTTGGATTCGACGTCTTGGCTACGACGCTCTCATGTCACTAGGCGGGGTACATTGTTCGTCGGTTGAAGTTCCACCCAAAGCCAAGATTTCTTCCCGCGTGCTTTACCAGTTATGGCCACCGTTTTGTTACTCCACTTGGTTCATGACAGTGATCGCTCTGTCCCCCGCTGTCCAATGAGAGAGTGTCTATACTTTTGGTATATTCGGTCAAAAGTCGGTGATACTTGGCAGATGCAAGGCGTTGACGAGGGCCTGGTGTTTGGTTTTCCGGCATTTACAGGCGACAAGGATGACGGCTCGGAGGTGTGAACATTAAGGATGTGTATTCCGAACGAGCCACAATGAAGGAAAGGGTAATCTAGGTAGTATGTCCTCTTCTCCGTAACGCCGTCAGCTTCTCTTCGTAGCCGCCTGCCAAAAACAATGTTATGCAATGTCCCTTATCGGACAACACTTCCTCCGCCCCAATCAACTCAAATAAGTCGACACGTGCTTTATCAATGTTCGCTGCGCTTTGGGGATAACGATACCCCATCACCATCCATCTCTTCCGTAAAATGTCTATCCTTGAAGAACAGCGCCATTCATGCGACGGCCGATCGTCTTGAAAGACGAATACTGTCCGTCAGCACCCATGACATCGAAACGGCTCACGCTCATGGCGTCCTCTGTGTAGCCAGACAGGTAGTAGCCAACGACAACTACAAGATAGCTTAACAACAGGATGCTACCCTTGAAGTAGTTGCTCTTTCCTTCACCGTACATGTAGCTTAGCAGGAAGACGCAGATGATCACAGTCACCATATCCCATTGAGGGAAGAGGAGTGCAAAGGTGTGCGCGCCCACGTCCTCAACACCCTCAGTATTGGCGTAAAATGCAGAGTACAACACTAGAGCTGGGACCTGAAGCAAGCAAACCTGGAGCGCATAAGCAGAGCCGATCTCCATAGATAGTGCAATGTTGCCGTTCATGGCGAAGGAAATGGCGTTCTGTGGAACGTTAGTCAATATCCAAGCTGGCATAACCCAAATTCGAACTTACCAGGAACTCGGTCGTGTTGGGTACCAGAGCAAAGAGGGTAATACCGAGGAATTTCTCGTCAATGGCGAAGCCTTCGAGAACGACATCAACGGTGTCGACCAGAATCTCGGCGATGATGGCGTATAGCACGGTGGCTCCCATAAGAATGAAGGCACTCTTGCCACGGCTCCAGTTCGGAGCGTCATGACCACCGTGGGGCACTTGTGCAGTACTGGCGGCAGCGAGATCGTCGTTCTCGGCCATCGTGGTGTTTCGCAGAGCAGGGGGACGAGGAGTAGCCCCAGTCGAAGCTCCGGGCAGGGCTGAGGTTCTGCGAGGCATCCGCTCCCGCGCGGCAATGGTAGCTGCGGTGGCCGCCATCTCTGCAACCTCGCGGACGAGGGCGTTGTTTTCTGCCTCTGAGAATCCAGGGATGTGAACGGTGGAGCGTACTGTGTCGCTACCGCTTGACTTGGGGGGCACGACATGCGGGATACTGACGCTGCCGTTGCTAGTATTCAGTCCCAACCCAGCGACGGAGTTTTGGAGGCTGGTGTCGTCGCCCTTTGTCGCAAGACCAACCTGTTTTAGGGACTGGCCGAGAATGCGCTTGTAGAGATGAGAGTCGCGGACGTCAACGGAGGTGCCAGTAGTCTCGGCGAAAGAGTGGGGGCCCGATTGTCTAGAATGAGAATGCGCCTGCGCCTGCGCCTCTTCGTGCTTCTTCTCATCTATCTCGGAATTCCAGATGACAGCTGCATGAGTTCGCAGGGTAAACCATAGGCCGACAATGTACGAAAGGAACAACAACGTGGCGCAGAAGTAGCAGAACGGGCGAACAGCTTCGAGGTAGAAACGGTCGTTCAGGGCTGGGGTCTGGGAGAAGAAGCATCGCTTGCAGTCACGGCCATCGCCGACAGGAGACAGGCCGCCCCCGATACCGCCGTTGTTAACACAGTCCAGACAGTTGAGCTCGTGGGTGCCGTAGATTTGGTAGAAGAGCGTAGGACCGAAAGCGCCGAGGACGGCGAACAGCAGCATTGTCGAAGTGACACCGGCAGACCTGGCATTGAAGCGTTGAGTTTTGCGCTTGATGGCTCCAAAGCACATGGAAAGGCCGGGAAGGAAGAGGATACCCGCGAAGATGCTTCCCACAATACTCCCCTCAACGAGCTGGCCCTTGCCTTGGTTCAGGGCGACACAGTAGAGGAAAACTTCGACAATGGTAGAAAAGAAGGCGTTGATGGCAGCACCAACTCCCATGGACGACTGAGCCGAGATGGAAGCGACAGCCTGGCCAATGAAATAGGCCAGCGGGACAATCGAGAACAGGCCAGCAATGAAGAGGAACGCGGGCGAGGTGATGAAGAGGTCCAGGTGGAGGACGTTGTCGAGTACGAGCCAGTCAAATATGACGAAGAAGACGACACCCATGAGGTTGATCAAGAACACATTTGTGCCGTCAATGGTGTACTTCCAGTATTTGATGCCCACCGCGCGGTAGGTGCACAACAAAATCGATGACTGCGGTGTGTTGGCAGTGCGGGCGAGCACCATGTCGGACTCGAACGAGAGCGCCAAGGGGTGTCGCCGCAGCTGGTCAAACAGCAGCATGGTGACTTTGCCCATGGGGATCGTGAAAACGAGGAACCAGCAGATCAGAGAAACCAGGATCAGCGAGGGGGAAAGGAGCAGGTAGAAGAACAGGAAGAAGACGACGCGTCCGATGTTCCACTGGCCTCTTCCGAACAGTCGGCGCTTGGTTTGCGGTGGTGTCTGGCTTCGATCGCCGCGTCGAGAGCGGCCCAAAAGGCTGTCCGTCTCGCTCGGCTCCGAGTCGATGCTCCTTCGCGAGCGGCCAACAATCGATCGGTTTCGTTCAGAACCCTCTGGACCAAAAAACAGGCGGCCATATTCCAGGTCACCGCTCTGCCATTGCTCGTACTCGGAAATGCTTCGTCCTTCGCCTTGGTCCTCGTCCAAGTAGGCCTCGTCCTGCTCCAGACGGACATACTTGCCGAATGGATAGAACAAATAGCTGGCCAGTCCCCAGAGTACTCTGCCATACTCCCTGCCGCTCGGGGTTGCGGCGAACAAGAAGCAGACGAGAGCGCCGAGGGCCGAGAAAGCTGCCATCCACCAACCAAATAGCAGAGTCCAGAGGAGGTTAAAAAAAAGAAGCCAGCTGTGGACTCTGCCACCGGGAGATGAATGAATGTCGCCCTCGGCATTCTTCTGCACCGAACGATCCTTCTTGTACAGAGCAGGCTTCCACAATCTTATACCAAACGGATGTGTCTGGTTGATGGCTTGCTGACGGTCCTTGAGCGTGAAGCTCTCTGCATCGCTCACGTCGCCATCAGATTCGGCTCCGATGTCCTCTTCGTCTGGGTGTACCGAGGGGTCACGCTCCACCTCCTCGGGGACGATGTCCTCGGCTCGGGGGGTTCGAGGACCGTCGTCCTCGTCGTCTTCGTCTTCGGCATTATCGCTGCAGGAGGATTGCACGCGCGACAGAGTCGTCGCCAGCTGGGGTCGGCGGCGAGTGCCATAGGTGGTGCTGCGTTGGCCTTGATGACGTTCAGCAGCATCAGCCTCAACCTCGTAAATATCGTCGTCGGCCGAGAAGACCTCACCGCGATGCGGTGCCGATGGGTTAGTCGAGAGCCGACGGGGCATCGGGGGCTTTCGGGGTCTCGAGGCTTTGGAGCGTTCGGGGCCCATCATGGGTGATCTAGTAGATTGGGCGGAGCGAGAATGAGAGCGATCGTGGGATGAGGATTCGCCCAGGTATTGCGAGCCGGAACCTTGGGTATGTATAGAACCTGCAAGCGCACCGGAGGGTTGATGTCAGCCAGGGATTTTCTGTTGGGTTACTCGGCAACTCGGACGACCAAGACTTATTAGGTTTCTGGGCATGCAGCAGGTCGTTCGTACGTACCGTAGCCACCTTCTGGGCGCCTCCGCACCGTGTCGGTGGACTGAAAGGACTGAAAACTCTCAGACAGACCTTCGTCGCGGGACGCGACATAGGAGTCGAACCTTGCAGGCTGATGGCGAGTGTCAGTGGGCGAGGCGGCGGTCGAGCTATCGTTGGACTGATGGGACGGTGTGCCCGGCCCGGTGGAGGGATCCATGGTGGGCGACGACGATAAGGCGACGGCGGAGCGCGCAGCTTTTTTGGAGACGGCAGAATCTGGAGGGTCAAGGATGGGCAAAGGGGATTGGTAACGCGCCAGAGATGTAGGTTATTAGTGCGGACGGGACGAGACGGCAACCAGGGAAAAAGACGCTGAAGACGTGGAGGCGAACGCGAGTGGCTTCGACGATGGGGTTTCCAGGTTCGGTGCTGTATGGGAACAGCAAACCGGGGGAGAGAAAGAGAGAAACAACAAAGTGAATGTCGTGCTGTCGTTGTGTGTGAGGTTAGGCTCGAGGTGAGATTTGAGGATTCCTCGGAGAACCCGAGTATCCGTATTGGGTCGCGGGTCGTCGAGGAGTTAGTTGGTGCCCCGGGCAGGTGTCCGTTGCCCAAAGTTTGTTGATCGGAAACGAGAGCGGGAAAAATAATGTAAGCAAGGGGAGGGACGGATGCGCAGGCGTAGTGGGAAGGTTGTAAACAACACAGACACAAACACACGACGGAAGAATCACGGAAGGGTCTAGGTCGAGAGCACCGGAAAAAAAAAAGGCTAGGAGAATGACGAGATGGTCAGACTCCCCATCCAAATGGAGAGGTCTCGCCTTGCCCATTCCTGTGCGGCGCAAATATTGTTCTATCTGAGGATAAGGCACTACTGGCGGTGGTAAAGTGATGATCCGATGTTGTGCACCTGCTCCCATCGGCGGTGGAGGTACGGTAGGTAGGTAGGTAGGTACCTTATCTTACACAAGGTGGTAGGGGTAGGTAGGGGCTCCGAGTTACTACCGGTACGTGCCAAGTTACTTGAGTGCAAGGTGCTGGAATGCTTGGGCTCCTCCCCCAGATTCGTAGTCTGAGTCAGGCGTTGCCCACTCTTGATCAAGTTTGCGTCTGCAGGTAGCGGTCATGTGCACCGGTTGTGGTGTTTGGATGGCTTCCGAAGGTGAGGAACAAACATGGAAGATGCCATTATGGACTATGGATGGGTGGTGGGTGGTGGGTGGGCGGTGAGCAGGTGCCACTGAGTGACTGCTCCTGTCGTTTTGGGACCGTCGCCAGGGGCAGATAGGTCATACATGTCAGAGGAGGGACGAAGGGCCTTGTTTGATTTCCGATGCATGGGTGTTTCTGATGTCTTTGGATGTGAGTGTGTCGCCATCAGGTAAAGCCCGCCGTTTGGTGTTTACTTCTCTTACCTTCCGCGGACGATTGATAGGTCCTTAGCCAGGCAGCTTTGTGGAGGCACTAGTGGAGACCCACCCGTGCTTTGGTGCTGTCGAGTGACGGTCGCGCGGGTTGGGCCTCAGCGATGGAAGGTGCTATGGAGCAGTTCTTGCCCAGAGCCCACTACGGAGACGCTGCGGCGGCGGTAAACAACATGGATCATCGTGTGGTGTGGCCCAGACAGGCTTTGGCAACAACGAACCAAGCTTCCCCCCCCAATCGGCCTAGCGTCCGCCCGCTCCAAATCAGGGTGCAACCTCAACCAGCCGCAGCAGGCGAACCTCGAACCCTCCCCAAACTCTCTCACTCCCCTTCCTGTCACCGTACGCCGCCGTCGCCGCCTCCTCCGCCGCCGCCTTCTCCTCCACAGCCTTCCATGTCTCCCGTCGTTGTCCACCGCCCCCTCCCATCCACTGAGGCCACCGCATGCGCTCTATGCTGGCCCAAACGTCTCTTCTGCCTCCTGATGATGAGTCGATGTCAGCAATGCCCCACTCGTCCAGTTACCTACTCGACATGTGCTCTGATCCCGTGCTGCGCTCCACTTTCCCAATCGGGGGAGCAAAACGTCACTGCGCATTCCACTGCACCTTCTCTCGCAGCACGCAGTAGACTCAGACACACGGACCACCGCATTACCTTCCAGAATACCGGCACCGGAATATAATGTCTTCCGACGATCATGGCCCGAGCTCAAGCTCGACTAAGAGCAAAGTGGGTTTCTTACCAATCCGGCCTCTACTGTCACGTGACCCGGACCAGTTGAACGCGTCGACCGTCGTTTGCCTGCGGCTGACTGACCGACCGACGGAGCCAGCCAGACCTCCAGCCCTGTCACTCCGGAATCCATCTGTGAGCTTTCCACCACGACAAGCTTCCATCACGACCCTCCCACCCCCGGCAACGTCAACCATCAAACCACCACAAACCCCGCCTTCGACGACCGATTGAATCCCCTCCACCGTTCCCCGAACAAACACCCCCATCGAAAGCAATCACACACTTCCCCGCCGATTTCCTTACCCTCGGGGCATCCATCACGATGGCGCTCGACAGCTACTACCAGAACAAGATCGAGGCCATGAAGCTCGAGATCCTCAAGGGTCAAGCAGTCCTCCGCCGCCTCGAAGCCCAAAGAAACGACTACAACTCCCGCGTGAGGCTACTGCGGGAAGAGTTGGGCTTGTTGCAGCAGCCCGGCTCCTACGTTGGCGAGGTCGTCAAGGTCATGAGCACGAAGAAGGTCTTGGTCAAGGTGCATCCCGAAGGCAAATACGGTATGTCGCTCGCCATTGTCCACGATGCATCCCACCTTCCGATACTAACCCGCCCACAGTCGTCGACGTCTCCGACAATGTCGACATCACAAAGCTCACCGTCGGCAAGCGGGTAACCCTGCTGTCCGACAGCTACAAGCTCGAGAAGATGCTCCCCTCCTCGGTCGACCCCCTCGTCTCCCTCATGATGGTCGAGAAGGTCCCCGACAGCACGTACGATATGATTGGTGGTCTGGACCAGCAGATCAAGGAAATCAAGGAGGTCATCGAGCTCGGCCTCAAGCACCCCGAGCTCTTCGAGTCGCTCGGTATCGCACAACCAAAGGGTGTCCTGCTATACGGCCCTCCCGGTACGGGAAAGACGCTGCTCGCCCGTGCCGTCGCCCACCACACCGACTGCAAGTTCATCAGAGTGTCCGGTTCCGAGCTGGTGCAAAAGTATATTGGTGAGGGTAGTCGCATGGTCCGCGAGTTGTTCGTCATGGCCCGCGAGCACGCCCCCTCCATCATTTTCATGGATGAGATCGACTCCATCGGTTCTTCCCGTGTTGAGGGCTCCTCGGGCGGAGACTCGGAAGTCCAGCGCACCATGCTGGAGCTCCTCAACCAGCTCGACGGCTTCGAACCCACCAAGAATATCAAGGTCATCATGGCCACCAACCGTCTCGACATCCTCGACCCCGCCCTGCTGCGTCCCGGACGTATCGACCGCAAGATCGAGTTCCCCCCGCCGTCCGTCGAAGCCCGCGCCGACATTCTCCGCATCCACAGCCGCAAGATGAACCTGACGAGAGGCATCAACCTCACAAAGATTGCCGAGAAGATGAACGGCTGCTCCGGCGCCGAGCTCAAGGGTGTCTGCACAGAGGCCGGCATGTACGCCCTCCGCGAGCGCAGAGTCCACGTCACCCAGGAAGACTTCGAGCTCGCCACCGCAAAGATCCTCAACAAGCACGACGACAAGGAGGTGTCGCTCGGCAAGCTCTGGAAGTAAGCGCGCAGAGGGGGGCGTGTGCAGCGGAAGAGAGAAAAGAGCGAGAGAGGGAAACAACAACGACGACATCGTTACTGGGTTGGCGGGAGTTGGACGGGCAGGCAGGACGGTGGAGGTGGACACTGCGTCCGCGCGGTTTGCGCGCGCAAGGGGCGCTTGTACGGCTAATTATGTACGACTACATAGACATGGAATCAGCCACAATGACTTGCACACCTTTGTTCCATTTGCCGTCCCACGGTTGTGCGTATGATGATGCTGGGCTCGGTTGTCTTTATTTACACGTTGACACGGACAACCAAACGTCCGGCTCCACAGAACAGAGGAGTCATCGTCAGTCGAGTGGCGATATGCCCATCCGCCGCGGCGTCTCCACGACCTCGTCTCTGACTATCCAGGAAGCCAAGAGACGGTCAGATTCCACGCTCCCCGCCAGGTATTCAGGCTCGTGATGCTTCCACACGGCACAAGCGGTCCAGAGGAGCCTTCCTCGTTTTCATCCTGGACCAACTGAAAACGAAAGGAAGAAGGAAGAAAAAGGAGGAAGCCGGTGTTGCTGACGCCGCCTCTCTCCATCAGGCAAACGAAATCACAGACTTGTAGTATGGTCTCGAAAATATCGCATCCGTTGTGTTCATCGGACACACACACCCCGCCCTCCCCCGTGGTTCTGCGTTCCAAAACTTGTATGGACGTCATCACCGTCGCTTGAGGTATGGATAGATCAGACCAGAAGAGTACGACTCTGGATCGGATCCCATCAGGAAACGGACAACGGATGTGAACAATTTGGAGGTCTCAACGAATCGTCATTCTCGCGAGCGTATATAGTGGCTAGAGTGCACAGGTCATGACACGCTGTATGGTAACTAACACCTCGCCCTCGTATTGGATATTCGTCACCGTTGAAGCAGAGGCAAAGGCAAAGGCAGTCAGTCATTCATGGTCAGCGAGACGCCCGCCGAGGCGACCGTCTCATGCTCTCTCATTTAGCCATCGTCTCTAGTATACAATTCCAAGGACAGACCGTAGTCAGATCCCAACATGCCGGTGCCGTTGAGACACAAGTTCGATAAAACCCATGCATCGTTGATAAATGCAGCTCAAGATGCCCAAACGCCTGGCTTCATGCCCCTGAGCCCTGTACCTAGGGCCAGTGTATCCGTTATTGCCTGTGACCATTGAAACCCAAAACAAAATGAAAATGCAAGATGCTTTCCCATTACTCGCTGATGCTGGCACCTTCCGCCGTTCACAAGGGTATCGCGTTACGATTCCGCACGAGTTCGTCCTCCCAGCCCATCCACCGCCTCTCGAGCCACAATTAGTTGTCTCCTCTGATCTGTAAACTTCCACTTCGAGCTCTTCCGCCTTTGCTTGAAGTCGAGTTCTTCTCGTGTACCCGCCATACATATTCTAGAATCGTCTCGTAGCACAAGACATATTGACGCAGGCTTTGCACCATGCTGAGTCTTTGGTTTCGGAAGTCCTCCACCGTCTTTTGTATGAGGTCCATGGTGTCGCTGTCGTCCGTCAACCATGTCGTGTCGAGTGGAGTTTTGTCGGGTGAGCCTCGACGCCCGTCAGCGCTTTGGCGGCGACTGCCGGGGTTGAAGTCAAACGTCTTTTCGCGAGGAGACGATTCTTCGGAGCCGCTCATCTTGATATCGCCATCCGAGTCCCGCTTCCTAACCGGCTTGTTGTTCGTCTTCGCAAGTCGTTGACGCTTCAACATGTCAATGACAGTGTCCACCGTGCAAAAAGTACCAGTTCGACCACATCCTGCGGAGCAGTGGACGAGCATCGGTCTTGCCCTCTGCTCCATCTCTGGCTCATCATACCAGGCGATAGAGCCAGGCTCAGGCGACACTCGAGAAGCAGTTACTGATGAAGTGTCGACAGGCCTCGCAGACCGTTGCATGACATTGGCCATCTCCACGAGAGCCAGCAGATGAGATGGCTGGGCAGGAGCGCCGAAATCCGGCCAGGAGGGGTAATGCAGATGAGTAATCTCACGCATGGGAGCGAAGGGCTGCGAGGCGTGAGACAGAGCGAACTTCCGGATAATGACATATGGCGTCTCGCCCTGCGCCGGCATAGGCGAGGCAGTGGCATTCGAAGCCTCCAGAGTAGTGGTCGTGTTAGCCCGGCGGCGACCAGCTTCGGCGGCGGCAGCCGCAGACGGGGCGCTAGATCCCTGGTTGGTGCGGTGCTTGTCGAAATCCAGCGAGACTTTCTTCTCCGATAGCGGCTTCAACTTGATCGAGCCGAATTCTCTGCCTTGCCAGTACGGATGGCACTTGAGCTGACCACCTTCCGACTCGGCGGTCAACATGACAACAACTCGAACGTCCTGTTCCCAAATAACGGACCAGAAATCCTACAACAAGTCAGTGTGCTGTTGATGGGAGTACAAAGGAGGTGGTTGCGAATGCTTACCTCGAAAGTTGCCGGGAGCGGGCCCTGGGTAGCAATGTATCTCTTGTTGCTCCTCGACGCTTTGATATGACTAGCATTGACATAGTCGCATGCGCCATCCGGCCGGCCTTGCAGTTTGACTCGGGCGTGCTCGAAGGGAAGAATATCCTTATAGCGGTTCTTACCACCCTTCTCAATGCCACAAAGCTGCGGAACATTCTTCTCCTTCTCGCCTCCGCCAAACATCGAGTATGCAGCCTTCATCCGTGACTGCTCTGCCCTTTCGATACTCAAGAACTTCTCTGACACCTGCCTGCCGTGGTCAGTCGGCTTGGAAGCGTCCCTAAGCCATCGGGGCAACGTTGGCGACTCCAAACCCGAGGGCCGGGCAATATCCATCTGACCCACACCATCGGCAAGATCCATATTCTGACGAATGTTGGAGAAGAACGGATTGGCGTTGTTTTGTGTCATTGGCAGCATCACACCTCCAATGACGGGTGCGATCCCAGGTCGGTTGGAATCATTGGCTGCCGCTGGAGAGCTACCGCTCGCCATGGTACCGTAGCCCTCATCCACGAACTCGGGATACGCATCAGCAAAGGCATTGAAGCCACCCCGCAGGATGTACATATCGCCGGTGTACCCCTCATTCGTGAACTTCTTCACCATGTTCATGCACGAAACAGCGTCACGCTTCTCTGCCGAGTACGCGTCGTAGACAACGAGCTGCTTTGTCGATTTCCACTTCGAGAACTGCTCTTCCATCGTCGGGTTTTGGAACGTTTTCTGCAGCTTCGTCAAATTGAAGGTGGCTCGCTTCAGCAGCGTCGTCGGAATACAAAGGTTGAGCGCGCCTTGAATTCGGGCTTGGGCATATTGTTGCGAGACTCTCAAATCAAGAAGCAGCAACTCGCTCTTGGAGCCATCAGCCTCGATCAATTCTTTTAGGTGAGAAGGTGTTATCAAGGAGGGCCCGCTCTCCATGGTCGGCGGCATCGTCTCGGCTCGCGGTTGGTTTGATCTAGCATTGGATGGTGCTGGAACATCGATCCTGTTCTGCGGGATGGACAACCTCGGGTGGCGGTCTTCGACCTTGGATAATGTTGTCCTACGTTCGAAAGGCGACTCCGAGTGTCTCGGCGACTCAAACCTCGGCATACTCAGGCTCAAGATGTTTGGGGGTTGCATCGACGCCTCCGAGTTGCGCTTCGAGTCCGACGAGACGTAGGCCGAATCGTGCGAGCTCTGTTGGTCAACCTCCATGCGACTCATGGGCCGCTCCTTGGTCACTCGGGGTATAGAGAATTCGGAGCCAGTGTCGCTTGCGTGGGTATTCCACCGTGCCGGACGCGGACGAAGCGTCGTGGGGTTTGGGGGCGCTTGCGGGAAGTGAGAAGAGGAGAGGCTAAATCCCTTGCCGCGATTGAGGTCGGCCTGGCGCTTGAAGGCCTCATAGTCGGGGTTAGCATCGATGGGAACCTGCTTGGGCAACGCAGCACCGAACGACTTGACGGACGAGGTCGGAGAGCTCCAATTGTCTCGTGGCATGGCGGACGAATCTCTCGGGTCGACCGACTGTTCGACGACGAGGCCGAAGTAATTTGGACTCGCCGCTCTCGCTTCCTGCTGTCTCGCGGGAGACAGCTTTTGAGGAGGCAGTGACTGGCCAACGGAGTAGGGCATCCTCGGGGATGCAGCGGGTGTAGAGGGCTTTGGGCTATGTGCGGCAGGGACTGCGAGTTTGGACTGCGAATGCGAGTGGCTATGGGATGATCGCGGGCCAGGCGAGGCCCTCGGAGCCGAATGAGGAGTCTTCATGGTGTAGTGGACGGATGTAGCCCCGTCGTTGCTCCTCTTGTCGAGCATGGTTAGTGTAGGTGTAAGAAGTATGATTTTGTTGTTGTTGCTGCTGCTGTCGAAGAACAGCCACGGGTACGGGATACGCTGCAGGAGAATTGTTCCGACGGCGGCCAAGTGATCAGGCCTTGCACAGTTATAGCGCCATTGCGGTATGGCGTTTTGGCGGGACGGTTTAAGTCAAGGTAGGATAGGGTTCAGACAGATCGGAGTGAAGGGGGAAGGGGGAAGGGAGGGTGTGCGGAAGAGGCTCTTTGAAAGGGGAAGGGCAGGCAGTGGGGGTCTTTTAGAGAGAAAAGAAGGTTGCGGGGGGGGACTCTGACGTGACGGCACAAGTGGCGATCTGAACCTGGTATGGACAGCCTGGAGGGGTGGTTGCTATTTGCTGCTGCTCTGTTATATTGCGACTCTTGGAAAGAAAGAGAGACAGGGAGGCGGATAGAGCGAGAGCAAGACGACAGCCGCCTCTTGGGACACGGGAGGGACTGGGGGGCGTGTCGAGAAAGATGAACTGGGCTGAGCTGACTGGGGACGGACAGGGTGGTGGCGCTGGGCGTCCCGAGATTCAGATGTCAAGTTTTGTATGGGAAACGAAGGCGCCTCGAGTGGAAAAGCGCAGCGTGCGGCGCAATTCAGCAGCGGGAAAAAAGACCAAGTCAAGCGGAAGAGTGTGACAATGATAGTCCAAGGAAACGGGCGGATGGACGGCGGGGACCATCGATGAACAAGAGACCAGCGAAAGGGGGGGAAGGAGCACTGCTGGGTCTGGGGGTGTATGGTGGGAAAGACAAGGCGAGTACATACAGTAGAGCAGGTTGGCGAGGAGAGAAAAAAAAGGGTCCAGGCCTGCGAGGACGATGGAAGGGGAAGGGGGGGCTCACCCCTGGCGGCAAGGAAGGGGATCTTTGGGTGTGGGTGCAAGCATGGAACAAGTGTAGTGAGTTGCGGGCTGTTCTCTCCTGGCCTTGTCCTCTGGTTGTCTTCTGAACTTCTGGGTTGGTCTTGGTTGATATTGCGTGTATGGGAGTTCGAACATCCAGGGGCAGACGGTACATGAGTCTCCTTTCCGGTGTTTTTGCTGCGATGGTGGTGTGGGCAGGCGGTTTTACAAAACGAAGATCGCTAAAACCACAACAGCCAGTGGAAGGTGGCGGCGGCGAGTGGGTGTGGTCTCAGTCTCTGAGAACTGAGAAGGGCGGTGGTGGCCAGCTCAAGTCGTGGATTGTAGCTGGAATGTCCGAAGCGGTTGGCGAAATGGACCGTAACCGGTGGGAAAACCCCATGGACATTTTACGATTTCCCAGCATCCACCGACCCGACAAGACGCTGTAGGGACGGGACCGGTGTCCGTAGAGTTGCGCCGAGTCCCAAAACCCAAACAATGCTAACGACACGGCGTGCTGGGGGCGGAACAGAGCAGCGCGAGAGCAAGGCGCCGAGTGGAGGAGGAAAGGATGGAAAAGAGGGTGTCATGTCCGATGAGGTCGTGTGTCGTCCAAGGCGGCAATGATCGGCGGATTGGGGTTCGTGGGCGGAGACCCTGACCTCAGACCTGTGCCAATCTCTAGCGCATCATGTGGCATGCTGTCCAAGATTGGTGAGAAAAACGGTGCCAGATGGGCGGTGCTGACCGTACCATGACAAAGTCCCTCACTCACCGGCAGGCTATAAACTATGCGTTATCTATCGACCGTGGGACACACAAGGTACAATGCCCGCCGAAGTCAACTACGATGCCATCGCATTCGAATGACAGCTGTCCAGGGGCACCATCCGGAATGTACAGTGCCCGGCCCGTACCCATGGTTCCAGCGGCGCGCTTCTCCCTTTTCCAAGTCAGAGATGCTCGTACATGAATCCAGGCGCAGGTATAATATCCAAACGGCATGGGGCTGAGAGGAACTGGGGAATGCATCGCCGGATTCCTGCCAAGTGAACATACGCAAAAGAATGAGCTTGCTCGCACACTGTCCGAGCCCGACTCTATATTCCCACAGGGTGTCTTGCCGTCCACTTCGTCATAGAATGGGGGGCGCTCCTTTGACGGGGTCGCATCGTGCCCTCTGACTGGCCACATGCTCGGTTGTGCGTTCCCCAGAGATGAGATATGGCGCAAAGCTGAACGTCGACTTGTATTGCTTTTGTACCCTCTCTGTTCTCGCCTGGGAACCGCGTCGCCGGAGCTTTTTCAAACACTGGATAAGTCCGGGCCCTCGCCTCCGACAATGAGAGGCTAGAAAGGCTGATTGTCCGGTCGGATCTTCAGGTCGAGTCCAGAAACGACACGGGCAAAAGCAGCACCAGACAAACACCTACAGGCAAGCAAGCGCCAGTCGACAGTAGCCAGAACGGACCTGTAGCAACCCTGTTCGCACGACTGGATTTGCCCATGCGAATGCCACACGCACGCACACATTTACACACACACACATACACATACACATATCTACGCCCACGTCGAGACAGGGACAGGGCAAGCCCCCGAGACCTGCGGAAATGCAGGGCACACACGCACCAGGCGTGCAAGCCCAAGCTCATGATTTCTGTGGTTGAGACACGCGACAGGATGGTAGTGATCTGTTTATTAGCAAGCATCATCCTCCTCATTCTCTCTCTCACACTCACTCACTCACTCTGTCTCTCTCTCTCTCTCTCTCTCTCTCTCTCTCACACACACACACAGACACTGTCGCCCTCCCCTCCCCCTCTCCACTCCCCAGCGACTCGAACTCTCATGAATGGGTGGGTGGCCTTTGCTGTATTTTTTCGGAAAGCCAGGTGCCAGAGCGCGGCTGTAGAAGGTTCAAACCCACAGAAGAAGAAAAAAAGACTTGGGGAAAGGAGACCAGAAACTAAAAGATACCTCCCCTGTACCTTACCTTAGCTCTCTCACATCTCACTCTTTATTTGAGCAGTGGGGTCTGCATTGGTGCAGACGTCATAGGGCCCATGTCGATTAGCAATCTAGCATCATCATCCCAACTGTGGGCGAGTCTGGACCCCTTTTCGACGCCGCCAGCCAGCCAATCGCGCGCCCGCATCCCACTTAGTGTGGGAGCATTGGTCGCAGCGACGTGTCTCTCTCACTGAGATGCTCTCTTGCTCCTGCTCTCCTCCCACCACTCACTCTTCGCCCTTCGGGCAACCTCTAGCGGAGCTATCATGGTGTCGCAATTCCCGTCCACCGGCGCCTTTAGTTTGCGTCTGTTTGAGTTGAAAGGAGGCCTTCAGCTCAAGTGTCGGGCAATTGCACCGACACTGACAGCAGGCAGCAAGGTTGGAGCTGATAATATTTCTTCTCTCCAAGCCGGGCTTTCTGCACCCCCCTTCCGCCCCCTGGCAGACTTGCTTTCGGGAATGACGTAGTCCAACATTACGAACGGTCAGGTACCCGTCGTCCATTTCAGCTGACATTCTTGGCCGGGGCTCCTGGGCACAAGAGAGAGGACCAGGCAGCTCATAAAGTATACCAGTTGGAGTCCTCAGGGGGGCATCTTTGAGGTTGCGTGGCACTGTCCCATCCCCTCTAAACTCTGGTGTCATGTTCGAAGGTCTAGAACTATTCTTTCAACTCTGTTCGACTCGTGCGCCTGACGATTAGCCGTCGATAGATGGAGTCGAAACATGCACACAACCTGCTTTTCCACGACTCTATCGAGAACATGACCTCGTCGCGGGGCGTACTGTAGTCATTCAACGCGGGGGCGTCACGCCGGAATGTCGCCGAAAGCAACCGCGTCGATTGACAGGCTAGAACGTAGTAGCACATCCCTGGTTCATATCCAGTTCCCACGTCGACTGCCAACAAGACGAAGAAGGGACGACGAGAATCAGTCGAATTTGCAACCCAGGCGGACGCGGCCATCTGGAAATAGGCTGGCCTCAGAAGATGGGTAAACATTTCTCTTTCTGGGCAGCCGCCAGTCTCGTTCCAGGGTTCCCAAGTCGCTTGCTGGCATGCCAGATCTTACTCAATATGCTAAGACAAACCGCACAAGGAGAACTCAGGGGAGACACGAGGCATAGGTAGGTAGACATCGTGCAAGTCTGTACCAAGTTCTCGGCACGAGGCCGGGAGTTCGGCAGGTGCGGTGTGCTGGGTGTGTGCCTTCCCATCCATGCATTCGATAGAGGATGTGGAAATTTGCATCCGCACCTTCCAAGTTGACAGGAAACAGAATTCCCGTGGAAGGAACCAGTTGAGAAATGCCCGGCACGTGAGGTCGTCGGACTCGTGGGTCTTGGCCGGCCCCATCTAGGTAGGTAGGGTAGTCCCTCTAGAATCCTGTACGACAACATGGCAGGAGCGAGTGTAGGTACTCCGTGAGGTACAGTACAGTACTCCGTCCCGAGAATGAAAAGTCACGACGACCTGTCCCTCCCTCTTCAGCTCCGATGCGGGCTTGACCTTCGCGTTTTCCAGTTCCAGGTTCCATTCCGGGCAAATTGCATCGGGTCCCCGTCCATTTCTTCCCGTGGCGTCCAAGTCCACCACGTCTTCTCCAAGTTTTCCATTCTTGGCCCTCCTCCTCGTCCCTGCCTCTTGTGCACCAACGCCCCGAAATGCTGAAATGTGAAGCCGATGCGAATTGCTCATGGGAAATTACCCACCCGTTCGTTGTCGCATTCTGCATCTTTTGCATTCTCGTTTTTTTCCCATCCGTCCTCCCCGTCTGCGCCCCCCATCCTCTCTCCCCTTCGTCTTACAACAGTTGCCAAATACGGCATCTCCCATTCCACACTGTCTCCCTCACTCCCACATCTCGTCCGTCTACCCATCCATTCTTTCGGGCTTCCGCCCGCTCATCCCACTTCCAGCCTGTGGGTTTCCTTGGGCGTAGCGCAGTTCTCTGTCGCAACACCCCCAACTCACTCCGCATCCCCTCCCACCACACACACACACACACACACACACACGCCCCCATCCCATCCATGCGGCATTGACAGCCGCCCTGTTTTGTCTCCTCTCACCGACACGAATAGGACCAGTTTGTTTTTTCCAGGGAAATAACCACCCCCCGTTGATCACTAGTGTTCGCCCAGCATTGCAAGCGTCCCGCTGACCGTTCCGGTGCCATCGTTCCCTGTAACCTAGGATGGCGACGCGCAACCACAGAACAAAAACACAAAAAAAACAAGAACAAAAAAAACAAGAGACTCGCATCTTCGTCGGGCGTGGCTCCATCCTATATCCAACAGCCTACTATTCTTCGTCTGTGCAGCACAGGTTATGACAGCAGCGGCGGCAGCAGCATCCGCTGGGTTCCGGCACCGTACAGCATCTCGCCAATGATACGTCCAGCCGGTTCACGTATCGCAGCAAAAAGTCAGGGTCCAGGGGGTCCCACTGCCACCACAACAACGCAAGACGGCACCCCCATTAAATCACAATACCAAAACCGGCCCGCAGCCCCTCGTTAACTGAACTAATTGGTCAATAACAATCTACTTGGTAGACGGCGAAGATGTTCCACGGATGCTCTGCACCACCCTCTTCGCCGTGTCGGCCGGTTCCCGTAGCTGCCTAGGGCCATTTAGCTACCGGAACCTCACTTCCGCCTCCGCTAACGCCGTACGCCGTCGTAGTAAATGAGCTGACATTTTGAGTCCGCTGGCGCACTCGTCAGGTGCCGACTTGGAGCGTTACTCGTCTTACTCGCAAAGCCGCCCACCACCCCATTAGCCTCCGTCCTGACAGACTAGTCCGGCCTGAAGTCGTAAGTTGCTGGGATGGTGTCAACGTTTCCGACCTGCCTCGACCTCCGACATGCGACCAAAGACACCGTCTGTCAGTGACTGGCTGTCCCCATTCGTCGAGTGTTTGCTGCAACACGCCCATTTCTGGGGCTGCATAGCGCCTGGTCAAGGTGACTCAAGTCCCGATCTATCTGCAGGGTTGTCGGTTCGCAAAGCTGTTCAGCTGTTCAATCATGTTGGGGCAGGGAAGCTGATAGTGGCCGCTCTAACGAATACCTCTTGACTGGCTTGAACTGTAGCGTGCTGACACCACTCGCCAAGTGTTGTCCGTCCGCTTGGGACGTCGAAACGCCTGCGCTGGTTTTTTTTTTTTTCTCTTCAGTCAAGCCGACTCTCACACGGATGAGCTCAAGCAAAATGGACCCTTGATTTTCTCTCTTTCTGCCGCTGCCATTACTCCGGATGCCTATACGTTATGCATCCAAATGGTCTTGTTGTTTCGTCATGAATCCAACACCGCCTGTGTATAGTACGTTAAGCCCACCTCTCCCCCCTTTTTTTCTTCAACGCAGACTTTGTACTACCAGTAAGGTTTCCGTCCTACCGGTGTCGGTCCCGTAATCAAAACGTCATCA